TAAGAAATAAGTATATTAACTTAGGATAACCGTATAAAAAGCTAGATAACCGCTATATAGGACCCTTCGCGATAGTAAGTATAGTAGGATAATAGATATACTAGCTAATCCTTACGCTAAGATACTATAAGATCTACCTTATATAATATACTTTAATACTAAAGCTATACTACGGAGATCCGCTAAAAGCTTAAAAGCGGCCCGATCCTATACTAGTAAATAACTAACCTAAATAGGAGATCAAGGAGATCCTTACCGATAACCGTAAAGGCGCCGAATACCTTATTAAATAGAGAGGATATAGGTATAAGGAAAATACTTAGGAGCCGAGAGAAGACGTAGAAGATATACTAGTATTCGAGAGCTACTATAATAAGAAGAAAGAATAGCTAGAGTGTATAATACGCCGAGGAAGATCTATAAAGAAGAAGTTAATATAATCTAAGATCTACTACTAGATACGTTCTAGGAAGATTAGAAGGACCGGAGTAGGCTTAAGAACGCCGAACCCGATAGCTAACTACTAAATAGACCCCTAGAAAATAACTAGCTATACTAATATATACTATAGATAGATTAGGGGAGGATCTAGAACACTAGTAAAGATAAGAAGCGGACGAAAAATATCCTAAAGAGACTATAGACGTATAATAAGGATATATAGAAGTTTATTACTAAAAAATAGAACGAAAAGTAATATAGCTAATACTCTCTAAGAGTATAACGTAATAACTACCTATACTAGACGAGTAACCTCCGAGATACGCCTATATCCTTACCGCTATATATATAACCTAGCCCGAGGAGGCGCCCGAAGCTAATCTATAACCCGACTTATTAATAAAACCTACGTCGAAGAGGGCGGAGGGGGTAGGGGGAGGTAGAAAGGGCGTAGCGTAAAGAGGACTAAAAGGCGTAACTATACCCGTATAGATATCTCGAGTTAAAATATTCCGCGTACCTTAAAACCCCTATATAATCGTAAGGAACGATATATTCTACGCGGGGGTAGTATAGGGCGCTAAAATATAAGTATTAGCTTAAGTGTCGAGTCTAGAATCGACCTAAGGAACGTTAATAACCGCTAATATAAGCGGAGGTCTATACTTACTATTATATAAGACTACCGCTTCCTTATATAATAGTTATACCGGGGAGTATTAACGTTAATCCCGCTAAGCGGAGGGATATATATATACCCTAGGTTATATCTAAGATAGTCTATATAATACCGATACTACGCACTCGTAGGGTTAGTAGGGGAGATAACGGCCGGAGGGGCGTAATTATTAATAGAGGTATACGTCGTACTCGCGACCGGAGGAAAGGGAGCTACTATAATAAGTCGAAATGACCTATAATAAGAAAAGCGAGACGACGAAAAGCTATAAGAAGAAAAGCGAAGCGATAAAAAGCTATAAGAAGAAAAAGCGAAAGGACGAGGAAGTATAGAAAGAAGAAAGCTATAACTCGAAGAGAGATAAGTGAAAAATATATAAAGAACTTAGATTATACGCGACGAAGAGAGATAACGCTTAAAGCTCCGAGTCTATCTACACCTTCCACTATAAAGATAAATTACCCTCTTTTAGATAGCTAGATATATATACTATTTTCGAACCCTCCCTATCTCGACTATAAGAGACCCTCGACCCCCGACCCTTAGCTACGAGGACGTAGCTCTTTAAGGAGGGGGAAAATATTACGACCCTCTACTAGAAGAGTGCCTTATAGGCTAGATCCCGCCTAGCCCTATGACCTAGAACCCGTAACCCAGTAGGGGTAGTATAACCCCCCGCTAGAGACCGCACTAGGGAGACTAAGTCCTACCGGGTTAGGTAACCTAGTCCCGTAACCCGCTAAAGGTCATCTATATAGAGACTACTAGGGGAACTTAGCTCTTTAGCGATTAGTTTACGAATATACTAGCACCCTACTATTCCTTCACTCTAGTTCTATATTACCTACCAGGACCCGCTAGCACGCCGGTCCTAATAGTAATATTTAATATATACCCTAATTCCTATAATATTAATTAGAATAAAGACGTATTGGGATAATATAGTTACCGAATTATTAGCTAGACTAATTTCTTTACTCTCGTCTATATAAACTATATATAGTAGCGATCGTACGGCTTTAGTAGATATTAGCTCGACTAAAGCGCCTCTATTAATTAATATCTTAGTAAATTTAACTTCTCTTACCTATACTTTAACGAATAACGGTATAGACCGCCTATTATCCTCTAGAGCTTCGGTAGTAATAGCTAGGGTATATATTAATCCGAACCCTATACCGGTCTTATCCCTTACCTAAGCTATATTAGCCTACGTTTCCTACTATTAGATACGTACCTTATAAACTCTAAATCTTAGGGCTATATCCTAGAGATACTATATTAGTTCTTTACGGGTAGCTTCCGATCGATCTAGGAGTTAGGCTATAGATAGTATAATAGGAATTTCGCTAAGGATCTTTACAATTAAAAACCTCTCTCTACTACTAATAACTTAGATTAGTCTAGGCACCTTAGGTAGATTAGTATTAATTTAAACCCGCTCTTTACGGTAAGTAGTAGTAACTATAGAATAGTCTAGGTAATTCTAATAGATAGTTTTATATACCTATTCTTTAGTAGCGCTTATCTAGCTTCCTAACGGTCCTAGGGTAGGGCTTCGGTCCCGTATTATATTAGGCGAACTACTATCCTTAATTATTAGATCCGATATATAAAACCTTTCTATAGGACGAATATTCTATAATACTTATTTTTTATATAAGCGCTCGAAACCTTCTTCGCGGTATTAAACTATTACCTCTTATTCTTTATAGCTCTACTTATTTCGTCGCTTAATTCTTCCCTAAGTTATATATATATCGTTATATACTAGCTATTTTCCCTAAGCGGTCTTTAATATAGGGCGAGTAGCTATATAGACTATCTTACTATAGCTAGGTAATATATATAGTACTAACGAGTTAGATTTCTTTCCCTTTCTCGTATCTTCTTCGATTTCCTCTTAACGAAGAATAGCGCTATACCTTCCTAAAGAAGATAACGGTTAATATAGAGATAGCGTTTTACTTATAAGAGCGGCGTAGGCCGCTACTAGTTCCGTAGGACGTAATATACTTATACTTTAGGGATAGGTATTTATATAGTAACCTATTTAATAATATAACTAATACTCGACTTCGTTAAGCTTAACGGCTCTTTTTAGATAGGTCGATCCTAAGATACTTTTACCGCGGCTATAGCCCGCTCTACTAGTATTAAAACGGCCTTAGCGCGTACTTACTTATTATCCGAGGGGACCCTATATTTATAGGCGTTCTTTTAGTAGTTACTTAATCCCTTTTACTATAATAGGTAGTACTTAGCATATCGAATCCTTATATATCGATAGGAATTAAACGGGCTTAGTTTCTATAAAATCCTCTTCGTTATCTAAATATATCCCGATAATATGACCTTATATAAATTAATATAAAATATTATTATAATCTCGGAGATAGTATAGTAATATTTTCCGGTATCCTTTATTTTAGAGGCCTTAGACTACTCTCCGCCCGAAGAAACTCTTTAGCGAGCTATACCGGTTATAGAACTCGTTATAATACGAAATATATTCGTTAACTATTTCTTTTTCTCCTTAACGCTAGCTATTATAAAGAGCTTCTATCCGGACCTAATACGCTATTTCGTCTTCCGCTAGAACGGTAAATCTTTTAATATATACTACTCTAAAGCGAGTCTAGTTACTTCGAGTTACTTTCTTAACTTATCTATACTAGGCTAAGGCTTAATTATCTATACTATTACGAAATAATAATTTATATTCTTCTTCGATTTCCTCCTAAAGCGCTTATTACTCCTTAGTTAGTCCGACTTACTAGTTATTACTATAATAGTAAATATTTTTATTAGCTATAGTAGTCTTTCTAGCGAACTCTCTATATATAATAGATTTAATATCTCTAACGAATTCCTTAGGGTCCTTAGTGCTATCCTAGCGACTATAGAAGGTTCGTAACCTATTATATTACGGTATTTCGTTATCTAACGCCTACCTTATAACTTAGATCCTTCTCTCTTTAGGGTTATCCGCGTATTACTCGCGGTAAGGAGGTTATATTATTTCTTCCGACCCTCCTTCCTTATTAGTAGAGTCCTCGATAACTAAGCCGAATAAATCCTTACGTACCGCCGTTAGGTAATATTTATTAGCGTACTTACCGCTTCCTCTTCGAGTACCGTATCTTTCTACTATATCCTAGACTCTCTTATAGTTAAATAGCGTTAGAGATACTTCTTAGCGAGATAGATTACTATCTATCTAATCCGGACGGATTAATAACCGCTATTAATAATTTTTTTTCCTTTCGATTAAGGGTACGCTTCTATTAGCGTTAGAAACCCCCCCCTCTAGAACTACTACTCTATCGGAGGAAATCTAAGGCCTCTACTCCTCGGCGTCTCTTCTTAGCTAACTAGACGTGCGTCTACTAGATAGGATAGGATCGTCGGCGTGACTCGGAAGAGCTAAGATAATTTTCTTCTTCTTACGATAGTATTCTGACTAGTAGTAAATAGAACTCCTTCTTGATGATAAATGAAGATGGATCTTGATGACCGATGGTATTTCTCAATATCTGCACGATGATGGGTAAAGACAGGAAATTGGGAAGGATGCCCCTCCCTACTAAAAATATTGCCCCTATGTTGGGCGGTGAGTCCCTCATAGACCCGTCCCGTGATTCCTCTCCGTCACATTTCAAGGTTATACCTGCACTGTCTTGAAACATTTATTATTGACTCGCTCCATGGAGTCTTGAAGGGCATAATGGAGTTCAATTTCTTATAATATCTTCTAGTTCAATTTACAGTGCAGTGGTGGTGGATATTCGATGTCGCCATCCGCGCAACTTCCGATACCGCTTCCTTCATACTTGTAGTTTCCATCACACTCACTCAGCACACCTCTTATCCCCCCAGCATGCCGTTCCTTAACGAGTCTGAGCCATGCCCCGAGAAACCTGCCTTCGAGCAACTTGTGGAAGACCTCAGCACAGCCTTAGGGCCGAGCTCGGGGCTTGATTCTAGCGATGTCGACCCCATGGAAATCCAACTTTTGATGGAGAAATACGTCTCGAATCCGGATGAATGGGCTTCATTTGCGTTAGGGGATGCAAGTAGGACATACACAAGAAATCTGATTGACGAAGGAAATGGCAAGAGTAATTTGGTATAGGCATTGTTGCTCTTCATCCCAAGTTGGTACATTGCTTAACTGACTCGTATAGCTGATCCTCGTATGGAGCCCTGGGAAAGGAAGCGCAATCCATGACCATGCCAAAGCACATTGCGTGATGAAGGTAAGTTCTCTTGAGACAATTGACTGGTAGACGCTAATTTCAAAACAGATCCTCAAGGGCAAACTACAAGAAGACCTATACTCGTGGCCCGACCAAGCGCAGATTGCGAATGGCCAAACTTCACCACCTCGGCTCACGAAGCAAACCATCTTCGGCGAGAACCAAGTGACCTATATGTCTGACAAGCTTGGTCTGCATCGCATATCCAACCCGGACCCGGTCAACTTCGCCATCTCACTCCATCGTAGGTGATATTTTTTGTGATTATAGGTTTGAGTCGAAGCTAATTCGTCAGTTTACACACCACCCAACGCCGCAATCCACGGATTTGGCATTTACGATGAACGGACTGGCAAAGCCAGGCACATCAAGCAGACTAATTTCTATTCATTCCGCGGTCAGCGGCTCGATGATAGACAGAACTAAACCTGTCGATGTCAGCCTTTGGGTGGCTAGTGGGGGTTACAGCTATACGGCTTGAAAACTCTCACATGCGGCGCGTATAGCTTTAGACCGGTCTTTTCGGATACCCTTTTTGTACAGTGTATACTATGTTCAATCACCTATTCTTACAGCTCCATGTGTGTCAGAAGAGATCCTCAATGATGATAGGGCTTTAAATGTCATTTGCTCAGAGCATATTGGATTCATGTACTTTTTGTAAAAATGTTGATCATGGCTCTAATCAGGAGAAAAGCGCGTCTTTAGGCAATTGCTCTACATGAAAGCCTCGACATTCAACTCCAAAGTACTGACGGGATACTTCAGCTCATACTTCTCCAGCACAGTAGGGTGCAGGATACCGAAAGAGCCAATGACCTGTTCCTTGCCGTCAATGCGGATGTGGATGGAGGCAGCGTGACCGGAGAGGTAGGTGGGATCTACACTGTTAGCAAATACTTCAATTGGGGTTAAAGGGCACGTACCATCTAGTTCCTTGATATAATACTGGGAGTCGCCTGTGGCAGCTTGGCCCTCGGCGAGATAGTTAGTCTTGAGCATGGCCATGACACGGTCAAGAAGACCGTGGACAACCTCGAAACCACTGGTCTTGCCGTAGAAGGCGGCAGCGAAGTGTCTCTCGTTGCGGCTCTTGCGCTCCAGAGACATGTCCTTGAAGGCAACATCGCTGACCTCGAAGATCTTCATGGGAACAGAGTGGGCCTTGTTCTCACGAATGGTCTTGAGAAGACCAGGAAGCAGGCTGGTGCGGACAACCTGGAATTCAGTAGTCTTAGGGTTGGCGAGTTTGACGGCAGTATTTCCGTCATCCTTGCGGTTCAGCCAGGCAAAGTTCTCATCGTGTGAGCACAGAATCAGTGGCAAAACCTCTGACCAACCAGCCATAGCAGTTTCCACGCGGACAATATCTGAAAGCTTGTTGATGGGGAGCGGCTGAGCGACTGTACCGGAGATATCGGGGAATGCACGGGGCAGTGAGTTGAAGCCGTAGGCAATGGCCACGTCCTCCATGATATCACACTGGTGAAGAATATCGGCGCGGGTTGGGGGGATTTCCACGTTGATGAGGTCTGGGTTTGTGGTCGAAGGCTTGGCACGGAAGGCCATCTTTGTGAGCAGAGTACAGATCTCGGCGGGGCTGAGGCTCAAGCCACAGCACTGGTTGATGTACGAAACTTCAGCCTGGGTGGTACGGGGGGCAATGTCTGGGGTGACGCGAGTCTCGTTGTTGTGCTCGGAAACAATCTGGACAGGCTCAATGGTGAAAGGCTCCAAGGTGTATTGGGAGAACATGGTGACCATCATCTTGTTCACAATATCCAACTTTGTCTTGTCAAGGGCTGTGATTTCAATAAAAACATTGGTGGTGTTCAGGCTGATCTTCGAGTGATCGCCGTTGATAATGGGGGGCAAAGAGCAAACAGTCCGGTTGGAGTCATAGATGACTGGGTAGACTGGAGAGTCACGAATGATGTGCAGGTACTTGCCCAGCTGTTGGTGCTTCTCATAGAAGTTCATCAATTGCTCACCATCCATTTCCTCGGTCTGGTTCAATGGGATGAACTTGATGTCCTTGGGAGGGAGAGCCTCATAAGTGAAGGGGCCCTTTACAGTGTCCAAGTCGTGAGTTCCGATGGATACTAGGGTTCGTTGCCGGGCCAAGTTCTGGTGAAGCTTGTCTTGGAGAGCAATGAAGGATTCGTAACGAGCCGGGTCGAACTTCAAGTTCCGCAGAATGGCACCAGCAACAAAGGGTCTGATTTTCGTGGTCTAGTTTGGTCAGCTGAGGGCCTCCACTGGGCAGTAGTTTCAAAGTACTGACATCTTCCTTGACGATAATCTGCTCCATCTGTGCCGGCTGAGTCAACTTGTACTCGGGCAAGGGTTTCTGGCCCAGGAAAATGTTCAACATGAGCGCAATGCCCTCGAAGCACAGCAAGTCATATCTAAACTCTTAGCCCTGTATTCTTCCGTTTCTTGGGCATTGATGTCAGGCATACCGGTTGGCGGGGATCTCGATCTTGAGTTGCGGTGCCTCTTGCTTTCCATCAACAATGGGGCGGTTCGAGTTTGTAGTCTGAAGATATCAGCATTGGCCAGGATTCAGGTCTCGGTGAGTGTACATCTTCGTCAAGTTCGATTCCTATTCACAATTAGCCATGCCCCGCAAGGATATTTCCGGCCAACCCACCAAACTCGAAACACAATTCATCAAATTCCTCCGTGGTATACCTGCAGTAGTGTCAATAGAGTTCAATGAGAGAATCTCGAGACAAACGTACTCGCGGCCCAGCTCTTGGAAAAGAGCGGCCTTGTCGACCGAGATGGTGGGCATGGTGGGGGGTTGCGAATTCTGTTGGTATTTAGTGAAAGTTCCGGTAGAACACAACAAGACCCAAGAGGGCGACTCCAACAGAATCTAGGGAAAGCTCGTACAGGAATATAGGAGGGAGTGATCGGTGCACAAAGTCTTGGATGACTCTTGCGCAGGTGGAAATTCTGCCCGCAAGCCACCACCGCCACAGATCCCCCTCTTTTGTGACGACAGTATCGGTACGGTCATCCCCCTCCATATTCCAATGTTTATGTGTACACCGCCAGTATGTAATTTACACCAGCAAACACTCAAAGCTCGCCTGCCCTGCTCTTGCTACTGCATCATCGAAGGGGCCTTTTTTCTTCTCATTACGACCTGAAACAAATCTATTAAATTTTCTGTTGATCTGCGTGCTCTGCAATAGTCGAGGTATGCTTTTGCTGAAGGTGTCCATGCGGCCCAAAACCCCACCCTCGCTCTACAACCATCCATCCCCTTGCCATCTCGCGAAGTCGGGACTAATCCTTATCAGCCATCCCATTACCTCCTACACCTCCTCTGCCGAATCGCTGTCAGGTCCAACATTACCCTCTCCCCTTTCAGGACCGGGACCTGTCGCATCTCTCCTTAATACATACTCATATCCGCAATGGAGGGTCAGAACGAAAATGACGAGCTCTACCCCATCGCCGTGCTCATTGACGAGTTGAAGGTAGGCTTCCCGGGTAATGCAGTCGATATCAAGCTCACATTTATTTAGCATGACGATGTCCTACTCAGACTCAATGCCATCCACCGTCTATCTACGATCGCACTTGCACTTGGGCCCGATCGCACCCGGGAGGAGCTCATCCCATTCCTTGATGGTTCGTCTAGCCTTCAATCGCCCGACACCCCCGTCTAACATTGATAGATTCTGTCGAGGATGAGGATGAGGTTTTGACCGCGCTGAGTGAAGAGTTGGGCAATTTCACAGAATATGTTGGGGGTCCGGAATACGGGCACGTGTTGCTCTCCCCGCTGGAGAATTTAGCGGCCATCGAGGAACCGTTGGTGCGGGAGAAGGTAATGCACCAGCTGAAAGATTTCGAGCCAAGTGCTGACTTTTCAGGCTGTTGAATCCCTTAACAAGGTGTGTGAGCAGCTCTCAGAGGGCCAAGTTGAGGAGCATTTTGTCCCGCTGGTCTTCCGCTTGTCAAAGGCAGACTGGTTCACCTCGAAGGTCTCTGCGACCGGTCTTTACTCTACACCATACAAGAAGGCTACCCCAGCGCTGCAACAGAGCCTCCGACAACATTTTGGATCTTTGGTACACGATGAAACCCCAATGGTGCGACGACAGGCGGCGAACAATCTGGCCAAGTTTGTGAAGGAAATGCAAAGCCAGGTCGTCATTGATGAAATAATTCCTCTCTTCCAATACTTGGCGAGTGACGATCAGGACAGCGTTCGTCTACTTACGGTTGACATTCTCATTGCGATTGCGGAGGAAATCCCTAAGGAACAGCAACCCAGCCATGGTGTCCTGTTGACTTCGCTGCGGAATCTGTTTGAGGACAAGAGCTGGAGAGTCCGATACATGGTTGCTGATCGATATGAAAAGGTATCTTTCTTTTATCGAAACTCGAATTGTTGAGCCAAACTGACGTATGCAGATCGCTAAAGCTGTCCATGAAGAGGTTGTCACCCGCGACATGGTGCCCGCCTTTGTTAAGCTTCTTAAAGATACAGAGGCCGAAGTTCGCACTGCAATTGCTGGCCAGATTCCTGGTATTTTATCCTACTCTATATATAGCTAATACTTGACTAATGCAACCAGGTTTCTGCAATTTGATCGATCGCGAGACTCTGCTCAATGAGATTATGACTAGTGTGGAAGATCTTGTCTCAGACCCCTCTCAGCATGTCCGGGCATCTCTCGGTACACAGATCAGCGGGCTTGCACCTATCCTAGGCAAGGAGGAGTAGGTGTCTTCTCTATCAGCAACCATTCTCTTTATACTGACTGTTTAGGACTATTTCCCACCTGCTTCCCATGTTCCTTCAAATGCTCAAGGATGAGTTCCCCGATGTGAGACTGCACATCATCTCGAAGCTCGAACAAGTTAACAAAGGTACGTCCTTTCTTATATTTTCCCTGGTGTGTACTAACTTTTCGTAGTCATTGGTATTCAACCTCTCTCTCAGTCTCTTCTCCCAGCTATCGTTCAACTAGCTGAGGATAAGCAATGGCGTGTGCGCCTTGCCATCATTGAATATATCCCGCTCCTTGCTAGTCAACTTGGAGTCGAGTTCTTCGATGAGCAGCTGAGCGATCTCTGCATGGGCTGGCTAGGCGATACTGTCTTCTCGATCAGAGAGGCAGCCACCGAGAACCTGAAGAAACTAACAGAGGTGTTTGGTGTTGAGTGGTCAAAAGCTTCTATCATCCCTAAGGTGATGGCCATGGGTCAACACCCTAACTACCTCTACCGTATGACAACATGCTTTGCCGTTTCTGTGAGTTCTCGCTATTGCTATAATTCTGAAATATGATGCTAATTATCAGACTCTTACTCCCGTTGTCAACCTCGAAATTATTGAGAACTCGCTTCTCCCTATCCTGGAACGCCTAGTGACGGATGAAATTCCCAACATCCGTTTCAACGTGGCCAAATCTTATGCTGTTCTTATCGCTACACTGCGCCGTCTGCCAGCCGATAAGACATTGGTTGAGGTTGAGAAGTCTGAAGAGCCTATCACGCCATCCCCCAAGAGCCAAGAGTTGATCCAGTCAAGGGTTGTTCCCAGCTTGGAAAAGCTCCAGGAGGATGACGATGTGGATGTCCGATACTTTGCTACGACTGCTGGCGGCAACCAAGACGAGATGCAAACTTCTCCTTAAACTGGGCGCCTATTTGGCCCAATACCCAACAAGGCATCCTGTCGGGTTAGAGAATATCCAAGCGTCATTTTCTTTCAGGCGTTCTTAATGTAGAGTTTTTACATAACGTTTAGCCAGGGCAGGTAGTCAAAAGCAACTGCGCAACTCAGGATCTTCGGTGCATATAAGCCTAGCTATTAAGATGTGTTCCAAGGTTATATCAACATATACATACGGAGTATGTGTAGCTTGTATATCATTCCTACTATATATATGTCGATACCTAAACACAAGAGCAATCGAAAAAAAATACCGTGGCCTAGAGGGTGTAGGTATCGTCCATCTGGGCATCTGGGCAATCAAATGTGATTTATTTGTCAGCGAAAAGCCAGCCGAGCCCTGCCCCGGTCTTCAGGGCTGGGCACACTCCCTATAATCATAACACTAGATCCGTGGAGAAACATCGGTTTCTCGTGGCCGTACATTGAATCAAGCGTGCAAGCCCAATTGAGGTTATCAGCATGTCTTTCTGACCCCATCACTTTCCAACTACATGCAGCATATCAACCGGAGTGTGTTTCTACCATAATCCTCATTGATATTTCTCCAATATGTCGTGGCCGTACCATTTCATTTCTTTATCCGAAGATGACAAGCTGCACCGCCGGGAGCTGCTTGATCTTCGGGGATATTATGCACAATTGTCAATTGCTATGGTCATCTTGGCCATTCGAACTTTTCGCTTTACCACGGGATCAACCGCAAAGCGGGACGGGCCGGTTTCTGCAAAGACCCGACGATATCTTGTCTGCGGAGTGTGGCTATCATGGCTTCTAGGTCTTTCAATATGGAACAGTGGCGAGGGTATGTCTTTGTCAGCCGGCACTTTGAGGTCTATTTGAGGGTTTCGCTAACATTTCAGACTACCTTCACTTGACCAAAGCGTTGGGCCACGTTGGCTTGTCTCAACTGCCACTGCAGGTTCTGATGTCTCCAGGAGATATCTCTCACCCAGAAGCCTCATCTGTGATGTCTGTGGTGACCGGTATTCCTCAACGAGTACTAACACCGTACCATCGTCTTTTTGGTCGGACGGTTGTTGTTCTCCTGTTGGCTCACGCCACGTTATATACGCTTTTCTTCGTGCAATCTTCTCATCCGGAATTTGGCATTCTGTTCTACAAACGAGTGGAAGACCTTGATGTGCAATGCGGTATGCTCGCGATCCTTTCGGCTGCGCTTCTGTTCCTCTTCGTGCGGCCTACTTCTCAGCAAGCAACCCAATCCTTGCAAGGCACACTTCAAGAACGCAGGAAGACGTTCTACTATGGTCATGTGTCTTTGGTGGTGCTCTTATGTATTGCAGCCTACTTCCATGTTCAGCAGGCCCAAAAGTACATTCTCCAGACTCTAGCGGCTTCCATGCTTAACTGGGTGTGTTCTCGGGTGGTAGGTTAGATTCCAATTGAGGAGGTAGGCCGGGATCATATGATGTGTTGATATTGAAGCTATATTGATCAACCCATTCTCAATGTTTTCTCCGAGTTTTGGTGGTCAGCTCTTTGAAATGGCTCTAAGTATATACATGCCTATATCAATGGATCTTATGTACTCCGTACATGTGGGGGCGAGAGAGCAAGGGATCAATCAAGGAGTCTACGGAGTATATATACATGAAGGAGCCAAGTTTGTAAATATTTAGCGGAGCTCTGATGTGGCGGCTCTGCGCTAGTCAAAGTATAATCTTTCCACTCCATACATTGATCCTTCTCTTCAGCACTTCCAATAGCAGCGATTTTGTGTACATGTACCTTGTACAGGAACTATACGAAGTAGTGACACGTATGTTGTAACCCCTGCAGCTGAGTAACGCCACAGAAGGCCGCAAAAGCCCCTTCATGAATCGAGGGCCGCACAAATAAAAAGACCATAGATATTGAATCTATTTTTATTCTTCCGATCCCTTGTAACAATTCATTGGAAGTACTCCGGAAATTGTTAAACATTGTGAAGCTTACGTTAGAAAGTCTTGGCGGTGGATTTAACGATAGCCCGAGGCCAACTCTAGGCACATGGAGAACCCTCCTTAAGACCCAGCTTCGCTACCCTTCTTCATGCCTTCCTCCAATGGCAGCATGCGCATACAACGGTTGATCGTGTTGCTTGCGATTGGTGTTCTCATATGTCTTTCTCTCCTACTACTACGATCGTCGCAACCCCCAGAGAAACCCATAGACTTGCCTCCTCCCGAACCGATACAGCACCCTCAGCTCCATGCGGGGCAGAACACATATCTCCCCGAGAAGGAACACCCGATTACACGTTTGATCGCAAATGCTCAGCAGGAATTTAACCATGCGCACTCGCGACAATCGAAGACCCTGGCCGAGGCCGTGAATGAATACAAGCGCCGTTATAATATGCACCCGCCCCCATACTTTGACAAGTGGTTTGAGTTTGCACAGTCGAGAAATGTACAACTCGTCGATGAATTCGATTCCATCTATCATTCTCTACTCCCCTTCTGGGCTGTGAAGCCCAAGACGATTCGCGAAAGGGCGCGCGAAACGCTTGGATTTGACAATGCGGTGATCGGTGTCTTGATTCGCGATGGCAAGGTGTCCTTAACGGATGGAGGAGGTGCTGACAGTAAATGGCAGCGAGATGCCACCGCTGGTATGATGAAAGCCTTTGTGCAATACCTGCCTGACATGGACCTGGTGTTCAACACCCACGACGAGCCGCGTGTGATCCTCCCAAGCGAAGACCTACAGCGTCTGGTGCAGATGGCCAAGGACATTAACATTCCAGCCGCTTTCAAAAACCCGCCAATCAACGCTTGGTCTCCTCGCGCCCCAGATATGAACAAAGGCGATCGCATCGATGAGGTGCGCACCACTCGTTTCAACCGCTTCGCACACCAGCCGACCTGGACAAACTCCCGAATCTCCTGTCCGGTTGACAGCCCGGCGCGCTCACTAGACGAAGATGCGCCCGATGACGCCAATCCTTATGCGTATGGCGAACTGGGCTTCATCTACAACACTACGGCGGCCTCCGATATCTGCCACACCCCCTCTCTCCGCTCTTCATACGGATTCTTCGACCGACCCAATGCCTTTGATGTCGTTCACGACCTATTCCCTGTCTTCTCGCAGAGCAAGATTTCTAGTTTCCAGGACATTATATATCCAAGTCCCTGGTATTGGGCCGACAAGGTCCCTTACGACATTAAAAAAGACTATGCTTGGGAGGCCAAAACCGACCGGATGTACTGGCGTGGTTCAACAACCGGTGGGTACTCTCGCGCTGGTGGCTGGCGTCGCCAACATCGGCAGCAATTCGTCGACACTGTTAACGCCTTGGGCACCACCAAAATTCTCGCCCGCCAGGGGGACAGCTGGGTTTCGCAAGACGCTAATCGGGAGGCCTTCCGTGATCGTTTCGATGTCAAGTTCACCCTTATCGGCCAGTGCGACCCGGATGACTGCAACGCGCAGACTGAATACTTCGGTGTATTCAAGCAGACTGGGCAGCAAGATGCGTGGGCGCATAAATTCTTGGTCGACATCGACGGCAATGCCTTTAGCGGGCGCTTCCATGCTTTCTTGCATAGCAACAGTTTTGTTTACAAGATTGCCATTTTCCGCGAATGGCATGATGAATGGCTGAAGCCGTGGGTGCATTACGTCCCTCTCAGCTTCAAAGGCAATGAATATGTTGAGAGCATGCGATTTTTCTCCTCGGAAGAAGAGGGCAAACAGCTTGCTCCCCAAATTGCTAGCCAAGGCCAACGCTGGGCACAGCAAACCTTACGAAATGAAGATCTGGAGGTTTGGTTCTTCCGGTTGCTCCTAGAGTAAGTCTTCTATCCTTACGAGCTGTGAGAGCTGTCTGCTAACTTTTCTAGGTACGGTCGATTGGTAGACGACAACCGTGACCAACTAGGGTTTATTCTTTGATCTGTATATATTTTCTCGACGAGATCATGGCTTTTTGTTTTTGGATCCCCTGTTAATACCCTTTTCCCTTGGACTGTTTTCTACCAATAATATTCGTGCATGTGGAGGTGGCGTTCGGTATGCCATAAATTGATCCAAGGCTGTCAACTGTATACAACAGTATAATATGATTAACATTCCTGAATCCTTCTCCTTAACAAGCATCCAGAGTATCGGATAGACTCTTGCTAAGCCTCTACATTTACCGGGGATATCTCGCTGACTAAGATGTGACGATGACGGGATGGCACGACGGTCCGTTTGCCTCTGGAGCAGACCGCACGTCTTTATAAGACATCTCCCTCCCCACATGCTTACTTCTTCTGACATATGCACGTTTCCAACATGGCCAGCTCAGCACCCCGCGTATTAGCTCAGGTGTTCGTTTTCTCCTATGGTTTCTTGACGCTTATTCTTTACGGCCTCATTGCCTTGATGAAAGGTACATACTTCAAGCGCCCCACTGAAAAGGAGAAATCGGAGTTGCAGCTTGGTAAGCTAGCTATGTCTGCTTTGATATCATAAGAAATGGTTGCTGAGTCCTGACTCTACAGCTCGTAATCGGCTATGGGATTTAAGCAAGAAGTTGGATGGCCTTTCCCACCATATGCTGACATTGCAGAGTGGATTCAAATTCCACCTTGTTAGCAATGATACCCCAAACACACCAGAAACCATCAACTCTGATAAGCCATTGGTCATCCTCATACACGGATTCCCCGACAGCTGGGCGATTTGGCGACATATTATCAAAACTCCTTCTCTGCAAAATGCTGTTTCGCTCGTCGCGATTGACCTCCCCGGATATGGAGGAACAGAGAGCCTAGACAAATACAATGCGACAAATGTCCTGGAGAAGTTAACCGAGCTGATCATCACTCTACGAACTCAGTATGGTGTGGATACGGACAGTGAAAGCAACAAGAAGAGAACCATAATTGTCGCTCATGATTGGGGTTGTGTCTTGTCTATGCGCCTCGCTGCCGAAGCTCCGTCCCTGGCTCATCGGTTCATTCTCTCCAACGGACCCTCGGTGCGTAATTAGAACAATCAGCCAGTCTACCTTAGCTAATACTGTCTAGATAAAATTGATTGAGTCCAACATCCGCCGCCTGTTGTTTTCAGCCAACAAGATGCTCGGCAATGCCTGGCGTTCGCCACTGCATGCCCGCGTCCCGCTGATGCGGGCGCTCCATACTATAAACCCTCTCATCCGCCAGATTTTCCTATCCGGCTATATCTTCGCCATGCAGCTTCCAAAGCCGCTTGTTCAGTACCTTCTGACTGGAGGCAATTCATCGTTGCTCGCAAGTTGCCATCGCATCGCGTACAACAAGGACAAGTATAGTCACATCGACTTGGCCGACAGTATGGCGAGCACCATGGGCCCGTCTACCGCGGAATCAGACACTAGGACTCCTAAGGGCGATGCCTATCCTGTTTCCCTGAGCAAGCGCGCGCTCACACATGTGCTCCACATGGCGGCTTACTACCGTGATGGTGCAGCGGTGGCGCGCTGGGACAAGTCTATCGAGACGGTGGCCAGTCTGCACAGTATTGCATCCGGAACACAGCGAACGAGCAGCGGAGCCGGATTATTTGATGCAGGTCCTCCTGGGGCTTTCAAAGCTAATACCACAATTTTCTGGGGTCAGGAAGATATCGCGCTTGATGCGAGGATCTGTCTTGATGGGATGAGTGATTATTTGGTACAGGGGTCTCAAGTTGTGCTGCTCCCTCGTACTGGACATTGGACTCCAATTGAACGCGAGAGCGGCGCCGCTTTGATCAAGGCTATTCAGTGGGCTGCCCAGGGCGAAAATGGGGATATCGAGACGGCCTTGCATACTTGCTATCCTGGTGCCCAGGTGACGCTTTCGCGATAAACAGACAATAAATTGGTCAAGTTACCTAGGTAGATTTGAAGTCGTATGTGTCCGCTAAGACCGTTTCAAAGTGTGTGTATGAAGCTGAACTATTAGAAATCGCGAGATGAAGCAGAAGAAATATCTGCCAGGTACGTCGGGGAGGTCGAGACCGTGATTTACCCGGTGAAGGGGAAGAGGGGCCAATCTCCACTTTCCAATGCCCCAGCTCTTATTTTACGTACTTCTCTCCGGTGCTTCTGCGTCTGCGTCTGCATCTGCTTTACTTTTCCTTTGGCTTTTGCTTTGGAATTTCCGTGTTTTCTCTTAGCTCTACCCTCACACAGCATGCTGTGAAATCCTCCTGTTTTCGTCCCCCTCGAATCTGCGTCCGGCCCAGGTACCACAGTCGGTGTATCCCATTCCTAGTCCGAACTGTCATTGCCAATTGACAGGTTAAACATAGCCTGCTCTCTTCTTTCGATTTTCTTCTTTTTACTCCTTTGATCAGGGAATCGTGGTTCTGCTGTTGGAATCGTGGCATGATGGTTTCCAACGGCAATGCAGTCTACTGCACGGTAATTACCCCCCTTTCGTATGCTCATGGTGCAGACTGACGATGGAATAGCTTCTATTGAGCGATAATTATCTTCCAGGTAGGTCTTTCTTGACCCATAGAAAGGTTTCAATCGCTCAATAGTCAGGTGCTATGGTTCTGGCCCATTCCTTACGCGACAATGGTACAAAAGCGAGGTTGGTAGCGATGTTTACGCCAGACAGACTACAGTCCTCCACCATCGACGAGCTCAAGGTATGTACGGCAACCCCAAAATTCGAATAGTCTTTCTAACATTATAGACCGTATATGACGAGCTGATCCCAGTGAGCTCCATGGTAAACGAGACACCGGCGAACCTTTGGCTCATGGACCGCCCAGATCTGATCGCTACATTCACCAAGATCGAGCTCTGGCGCCTCACGCAATACCAGCGTGTCGTGTACATTGATTGCGATGTTGTGGCTCTTCGCGCCCCCGACGAGCTCTTATCACTAGAAGCGGACTTTGCCGCTGCGCCCGACGTTGGCTGGCCGGATTGCTTTAATAGCGGAATGATGGTCCTCCGACCTAATCTGCAGGACTATTATGCGCTAAAGGCCCTCGCCCAGCGAGGTATTAGCTTTGATGGCGCCGACCAAGGACTGCTGAACATGCATTTCCGAGACTGGCATAGGCTAAGCTTCACGTATAATTGTACGCCAAGTGCCAATTACCAGTACATCCCTGCATACAAGCATTTCCAGAGTACCATCAGTCTTATTCATTTTATTGGTGCTCAGAAGCCGTGGAACATGCCGAGGCAGGTTGTTCCACTGGAGTCCCCGTACAACCAGCTTCTAGGCCGGTGGTGGGCTGTCTATGACAGGCACTATCGATTACCATTCGTAAGTGAGCTGGGAGATCGCGAAGAGTTTGACTGACAGCCTTAGATCGAGAGCGTCCCAGTCGAAACGAAGAAGACCGCGATTGTGCAAGGTGAGGAAGTCCATGCCTCTACCCATGGCCACGCCCCTCATTATGAAACACGGTCGACGTCTGAATGGCAGCAGCCCGGCCATGTTAAAGATCCAGCAAGCTTCTACGAGGAATCGCATCAAGCACATGTGGTTGAGCATGGCCATTCAGAACTGCATCATGAGCATCCCGATTCTGCCAAGGTACACCATGCTCCTGCGCCTATATTGAGCATGGTCCCTCAATATGTTCGGGGAGAGGAACATGTATCAACGTTTATACCGCCATTGCCTCCTGCGCCAATAGCCTTTGCGCCTCGGGTGAGCCACGAAACATATGAGACGCAAACGCAGACGCAGCTACAACCACAGCCGCAGATACAATCGCAGCTGCAACAGCAGACGCAATCGGAAACACCGACAGAGACATATCACTCCGATGGCTATATTCACCAACCGCAACCGATTGCTCCAATTATTGACTATCAACCGGCCCCATCTCCAACTCCAGAGGCTCCAGTCTTTGAGGCACCCAAAGCCGAATGGGATCCTGCTCGGTGAGTATTTATACCTTGTTATTCCCCACGGTGCTAATATCCCACAGAGAGCCACCGCCGGTCAATACAATCCCTGAAGGTTTCAGTTTACAACAGAAGACCTACAATATGTCCGAAGACACGCATTTATTCCAGCCTCCTTCGTCCTATCCGGAGGCACCGAAAAACATGTACTATCAAGTTCCAGCTAAACCGAAACCGCAACAAACCACGGTCTTTCCTTGGGAGATCCATGCCCCAAAACCTACGCGCGTGTTCGCTTACGAGGCTCCTGTAGAGGCTCCTGCGGAGTACGAGAATACTCCAGTGATATCCAAGGAACTGGAGCAGCTCTCGATCCAAAGCGAGCCATCCCATCCTGTGCCCTCCCCCTCCTATACTCGTGTCCCCTTCGAACCAAGTGCCGAATCATGGCAAACATACAACCGATCCAATGCATGGGACGAGGACCCCGAGATCCAGCGCTACATTGAGACAATACAATCCCAACGCGTACAATCTAAAGTGACAAGCCCAGGAGCCAATTCCGACAGCCCTGGGATATCACCGCCAGTCGCAGGCCGCCGACCCAGCACCAAGATTACCGACTTCCCAACTGATGCCGAACGTCCCAGTCTGCCTGTCACGCCGGCCCCAATCCACCGCACCAGCTACGGAGACGAGGCCTCTGGTACAGCCGCTTTCCCTACGGCAGAGGGCGTGCCTAACCAGGAGGAATGGGTGGGTATCACGGTTGACATGTTCTCTTCTCTCCTCACCGCAGCATACTTATTGTGGCGGTCTATAGAATCCCCTGGCTCAGCTCGAGGAGCTGCGCCGTCGGCACTCGGAGGCGTTGGAGGACCCCGAGCAGCTGTTTAGACGGCTTTCCGCTGTCTCAGATCGTGAAAGTTGACAGTATTTATTTTCCTTTTATTTTCCTTTTTGGCCTTTTTGAATTCTCGATGATTTGATTTGATTGATCTAATGATGGATCCTTAACTAGCATATGTACTCCCATCTTGCTTGGTTGTTTTTCTTGCATATGCATATTTATTGGAATTTTCTTGGATAATAGTTTGTTCTGAAATAATAATGGTGATGCTCAAAGCATTGAGTCGTTTCTATTTGCCAGCTAGAATGTCCTTGCATTCATGCCACTCGTTGATCAACCCGTAAGATTGAAGGATATATAAAGCAGTACCCACAGGAGTTCCACCTTGTTTTCTTTGTTTGTTCCTCAGCTCAAATAGGCATGCCTAGATGTACAGGTTATTCTAAGAGGTTTGATATGTTGTCTACATGTTCTCCGTAGGTAGATCTATATCCCGAGGTCAATGACGGAGTACATCTCCCTGATCATTTCCAGTTCCTCAATTATAGTCGAGCCGAGGCAACGCCAGCAGGTTCATAAGCGTTCTGGATTTCATTCACTCTGCATACCACAAAGTGGAGGTAATCGATGACCACGCATAGAAACGGAGAACAAATTTCAAGGCCATGATCCCATTATTAAACGCCTGATATGCAATGGTAAAAGAAGAGTTTCCTCCCAATATACCAAAGATAGATTCCCCGCAAGCTGATTTCCGAGTGTCGGGCCAATACAAATTATGAGATAGCGAAGAAAGGGCTTTGAAGGTCATGTAATTTTGATTGCGTGAGGTAGAGTATCAGGTTAGGTTAGGACAGATGGAAAAAACATTTACTCCTGAGCGAAAGTCTCCGCAGAACCCTCGGCCTCAGCGGCCTGCTGCTCAGCAAGACGCTGCTGCTCAGCAGCCTGCTGGGCAGCAAGAGCCTTGGCACCGTAATCCTGGCTCATGGGCTGGAGAACGGGCTGCTCCTCCTTGGGCTCGATGATGGTGACCGAGTCGGGGAGGGTCTTCTGGGGGCCGGCCTTGCCCTCGGGGTCGGAACCGCGCATGATCTTAACCTTGATACCGAGGACACCCTGGCGGAGGAGAACGTGACGGGTAGCGGAGTCAATGAACTCCTTGGCGGGCTGACCGGAGTGGATCATGAAACCGTCCTATTTGACGTGTTAGCACCATATACAAAAGAACCCCTTTTCTTTGAAACTGGCGTTCTCGATCGAATCGCGGATTTCCCGATGCGTAGACGTACAGTGAACTTCATGGACTTGGCACGGGCGGCACGGAGCTTTCCGGACACAACAACCTCGCAACCCTTAGCACCGGACTCCATGATGAAACGGAGGACACCGTAGCAGGCACGACGGACGGCAAGACCGTTCAGGAGCTTGTAGCGGAGGGACTCGCACTGAGCGACAGCGGAGAGACCGCGGTTCTGGACCTTGGCGGCGTAGAGGGAGACGGAGTTCTCGGGGAACTTGAAGCGCTTCTGGATGAGGGAGGTGAGCTCGCGGATGCGGCGACCCTGCTCACCGAGAACCTCCTGGGTGTGGGTGGCACGGACAACTGTGGAAGCCCGTTAGCATCAAATTTCCCACTCGATTTTCCGCATATCCAAATCGCGATCGTGAATTGTTCTTTCTTTGTCCCTCCTCTTGCCACAATTTCAACCAGCAATTCCCAAGCGATCAAACAGGAGGTATTTTCGGGGTCGAGACGTACTGATGTCGGTGACAGTGGGAGTCACACGGACTTCCACACCGGAGTAGCCCTCCTCGGCCAGCTCGCGCTGGAAGAACTCGTTCAGCTCGGCATAGAAGACACCGTCGGCGACGAACTTTCTGCGCTTGGAGATAGCACCCTGAACAGCGGCCATTTTGACGTTCCTGGTGTTGGTGGAATCGGGGTTGTCGACGGAGGGGAGGTCGTGGTCGGGAGACTTCAATTCTGAGAGTGTATTATTTAGTGGGGATTTTTCGGGACTAGGGCTGCTTGCCCGTTTGGGCCAGGGCTCAACCCTCGCTTGCCGGCGCCATCCCGCTTTGGTCCTAGTGTTGCAACCTTATCGTTCAGGCATAACTAAGGCAATAAGGCAGCAACATTTATAACATCTTACTATCCCGACGTCATTGGACGGGCCACTCTACATAAGGGCTGATTAACTAAAGGCGTACAGGACACACGCATAAGACGAAGTTGTAAATGATCAAAAATCACGAATGATCCCTGTGGTTACCCCCTGTTTATTGCATCTCTACTTCCAACTCGGTCGGTTTGTCGGTGCGCGCTGCTTGGAATGCGAGCTTAGATATGCCCGACGTCACGGCTGCCGTCCGCGACGTCTCAGTGATTTTGCCAGCACTGGCTGACCCTGCCGTCTCAATACCACTCAGCACTGTGCTTTCTGGGCTGTCACTGGGAGCGAACGAAGAACGGGGGCCATTCATCTCTGCATCTGTTCGGCCAAATACCTCATTCCACCATCGGGTTTCATTAACCCGGGGGAAGATGAGTCTCTCTTTGCCGCGCTGATGGTCATCAATGATAGGATCATATTGGAGATTTGTGAACTCTCCCCGGCGAGCGAGGAAGTAGTCCCAAACGCTACGGGTTCGTTCACGAGCCTTGCAATCCACACGTTCTTTTTCACTGTTGAACAAAAATGTTCCAAATTGACAGGAGTAGAGATGATAGAGAAGTCGTCTCAAGAAACGCTCATTAAACTCAAATCGTGTGGGATGTTGGTGAAGCAGCTGATAGGTCGCGTCCAAGAACTGGTGGAACACAGGGCTTGTTTCCTTTGGTTTAGTTATTTCCTTTTCGGGCATCCCCAAGCGCGGCGTAGTGGCCTTTTTGATAGGGGGATCAGAGTCATAACTCTGAAGCTCCCCATCTGAGTCGGGCAAGGAGTCACGGCTGGTGTTGTCGCGACCAAAGAATCCTTTCGCACTGAGGAATGCATTTTCAAGGGCCTTCCCTGCACCTCCTCCATCGCCAAAGGCGCGATTTGGGTCCCCGCCAATGCGTTCATTTTCAATCTGGAACCATTTCTCGCTGTTCAGATGACCAGACCGATGTCGGAACATATGTCCAAACGAAAGCCAGTCTTTTTCTACCAAAACCATGAAGCCCTCTAGCGTCCTAAAGTAGGGATCCAGGCAAATCTGGCTCAGTGCACTGAGCTGGCTTGTGCGATCCCAGCCATCAGAGCAGTGAATCAGGACATGAGAGTGAGTCAGACCAACTTGACGGGTGATTATCCTGGCCCCTTCCAAGATCCCGCCAATGTGCTTCAGCCAGCCGCTGCGCGCTAATTGGTCACGATTTGGCCCTAATGGGGTGACGTCTGATTCTTTCAAAGCATCTATCACCTTATTCAGAGAGTCTCGCATGACGTGGATGTTGTCAATACCAAGATATGCTTTGGTGGCGAATTTGTAATTATCCATGTTCTCTGATCCAAGCCCAACGGCTTGCATGGCAAATGCATTCACCGTGGGCCGTGCGTCTACAATCAAATTCGACTGTTGAGCGCCATATATCGAGCGATGTTCTTCAGGGTCACCCCTTGCAGCGGCTAGCAAGTCGTCCTCAAGTTCCTCGGGATTATTCAACTCAGGGACCATCACCTGGCTTGTCTCGGGGCTGTTGGTATCAGTTTCTTTCTCTGGGGTTGAGAAGCTTGCCAAGGGTCGTTCGGAGCGGGAAGTCAAGAAAATAGCAGAGAGAAGCTTTTCATCTTGGATGCTTCGGTTCTGGCGGACACCGACCAGCGGTTGTGAGCTCCTGGTGATGGTGCAATTATTGACAGGATGAAAGTATGTGAGAGCAGGGATTCGTGCTCGAGATCGATAGCGCCCTGCGTAATTAAGTGTATTGTCGGAGATGGAACAAGGGACGGGAATGAGAGCGGGATAGGTCGGAGAGAACTAGAGATGTCAGTAAAATGAAGAGCATATTTAGTGGGTTAAGCAGAAGTACCTCGTAGTTCGTATTTATCTCTGAAAGACGCCAGGCTTTTCCCTCATCTAAGCAACCCTGACGCGCCCATTCTTTGCGCGGATCATACAGCTCCCATCCATTAAACTCTTTCTCTGGTGGGGGAGGTTGGTAGCTGAAGGCGTAAAGTTTATCAATGCGACTGGATTTGCATGTCCACTGCTTGATGCTTTCAAACACGTCTCGTGCTTTGTGCTCATTTAAAAAGTAAAAACAGACAAAAGTGAAGTCCCGACATCGTAGGCGGATGGAGGAGAGCTGGCGGGAGGCGCCGGGAGCTGGTCGTAGGGTGCAGAAAGCGATTATAGGGTATGTAATCCAGAGCTCTCTAGGCCTTGTTACCACACCCTTTATCTGATCTTCTGGAGAGGTTGGTGGGATGTGCGAAAAGATGAGGTGGTGAGGGGTTAGATGGAGAGTACCATCGACCTGCTCTCCACGGCGAGCCAAGGTCACATTGTCAACCTGGAGGAACATAGTTAGTGATATGTTTGCAGGCAGTAGAAGCAGATTGTCCGAACCTTAGCAACCCGTGTTTTCTCCATGCCGTGTGAATCACTGGCGCGTGATCTTCATGCTGAATATGCTCGGGCAACAGTAAAAGGAACCGAATCAGATGCCCTAATAGGAATCGCAAGTGCGAAAAGCCCGTCTAATATGTATTGTAGCCGTTGAACCGAATCCGTTGGTTTAAAGCAGATATGGGGAGCGCGGAGTAGTTGGGACAAGAAGGTGTTACACGTCACGGGCCTTGAGTGTGGGGCCTCGCCGAGGTCACACTTCCAACGTCTACATTTTTGCCTCTTTCGCCAATGGAAATCAGCTCGGTCTTTGGTTTTGGCCTTGGCCATGGACTACTCAGGTGCTACTACGGAGTAGAACTTGATCAAGCTACCTGGTCAGCCTGTGGAGATATCCTGCTTGATCTAGCCTCAAAATTAATCGCATGAACCATATCGGAAGCTCAAGAGGATACGCAATATGTTAGCCATAACCAGCAAATGATGACAGCGGCAAGCTTTATATTTCGGCCCAGTGAATGGTCTTCTCATAGGAGATCAAGTGCAAGTTTATACTTATCGAGAATTAAATTCTTATGTAGGACGAGCCGAGAGCCTTGATCTGTAGAAAAAGATACCGCATCAATGGCTTTGGAAGAGGGATTAAGGCTCTAATCGCTCATTCTAGACTATGGAGTATTCTCTCAAGAGACTATATGCGAGATGGTCATCCTGGAATGAAGGGAATGGGGGGGGGGGTTGATTAGGGCCTACCACCACGGCGTTGTATAGCAGAATCGCATCTTGGTCTTTTCGTGCATATTTCATTCTTTTGTTTTTTTGGGCTAATCAAAAGCGTTCTGCAGAGAACTTGAACCTCCTTATAGAACTCGGAATTGCCCAGCTTGTCCTATTGATACCCTCACGGTTACGGGGCGTCCACTGTCATGTAGTTGATTCAACCTATAGTAGATAGTATAAGCAATAGGCCTATTCCAACACCAGAGCTACTTATTGCCAACTTGATATGCCATTGAACATGTATAAACATCTTCGAGCCTGACCAACTGATACCCTTCAAATGTTTGAACTCTATCGACATCTATGTTTCATTTCCGCCAAAAGCATAGTGAGTGGGATTCAAGAGGTCACCACACCCCGACTTGTATTCCGATGGATATAAAAGACCATCAAAGGGTGAGATGAGTTATCGTTTTGGGCAACGTCATGGAAAAGGCGATCTTTCAGGAACGTGAATGGAAAGCGTGTCTGAGATGTCGTGGGCTAAATGAACCGCTGCCATCGCCCTTGGAATATTACCCTGTGGATGATCAAAGATCGTTATGGTAGGCTTAGTACCTGCATGTCAATGCATATAAATCAGTGAAGATGTCTGCTCGGGGAGATTCCCCTCTAACATAAAGTCTCAGAACACAGTCTGTGTCCAAACCAAGTGGATATTCTACATGTAATATACATTAAATACAGCCCCCAGACGCCGCCACCCCACACGGAGGTGGCCATTGATGCACGCTGTACAAGATTCAATCAAAAAGCGACTCGTGCCGTTCATTCGTATGCCCACTGTTGTGGATTTTGAATGCCATGTCACATGCCGCATTGTAGAACGAATGGAACTCATTATCCAGCAGCTCAGATTGATCAGTCTCCATGCCGAGAGTAACTTCATGTGTCCGAGCGGAGAGGAAGGGACCGCTCTCGTAATACTGGTAGTCAAGTGGTCGCCCATCAAAGTCATACTTTTGGACAATAGCACCCCGAATGTCATTGAGTGGAGGGAACATATATTCAACAGTGACACTGTCCTCTGAGATTGGTTCGCCTGATTCATTGGTCTGGGTCTTCTGGAAGGCATGTTGTTGGGCAAGATCCCGTGGAAGAGAGATGTTGCAAAATGTAGGAGGTGGAACAGGGCTACCTGAAGCCTCACTGCTGGAGAACGAGCTCTGAAGCGAGCTTTTGAGGCTTTGTAGCAATGCCTGTGTCTCTGGCGAGGGCAAAGCTTCATGTGGCGTATGTTCAAAGAGGCCTTGTGTTGAATCTGAATGAGATGGCTCGGGGAAGAGATCTTGGGAAACAGTTCGTGTGAAACGGAGATCCAACCCGTTTTCTGGAAGCAGATAGTCGACACTGTTGGTGGCAAGGATAGCCTTTACGCTGTGGATGTCGATGCCATCAGAGTTTGAGTTCATGGCCACTGCAATTTCGAGTTCAGGGAGGGATCCTGTGTTGGAAGTGGGGGACAACCGGAATCGATATAGTTGTGCTTCGTTCTTTGGGGGGATAGGCGAAAGTGAGTTGATGAAACTAGACACAAGAGGGGCACCATTTGTGAAAGTCCGTGGAAGAGATAGTTTCCCTAACTGTGCTGGGCTGATGGCCGGATCATCAAAAGACTGCTTTTGCATGAACAAGCATTTGCCAACCACGGCTGCCACAGATTCATGTAAGCCAGTGAGGAGATCGGTGTTGGGGACATCCACTCGGAGCAGTTTCAAAAGCTCATCAGAGAGTCGTGTTTGGTGTTTATCGAAGAAGGGCGTTTCGAGACTTTCTGCCTCTGCATTTTGACTTGAAGACATGGCCCAGCGGAACCACGACTTTTGCCGCTCAAACCACGAAGCATGAATGTCCGGTTTGTAGCTATAAGCACTGGCAAACTCCGATGCAGGTAAATAAGTAGAGAAGGGTGTGGATGGAGATGTGATGTTGTTGCACAAGGCCAAATTCAAGGTTCTCCGAGCATTCTCTGCTCCTAACTTATTCTCTGCAAGATAAAGGATTTTTTCAGGGAATTTGGAGCCTTTATGTTCCACGAACACTCCGTATGTGTTGTTAACCCATTCCAAAAATTCCGAGTTGAAGGTCTGGCTGATACTCTCTCCGTGAGTAGATGCGCTAAATCCAAGATCATCCTCGCGGATTCTGACGGTGGAATCGATGATAACCTCACGAACAGACTCGCACTCGTTTCGCTTTCCGGTAAGTAAGACCACGCCCTCAGATTGGATGACTTCAATCCCACAGCCATGGAGACTGGCCAGCTCATGGAAGGAAAAGTGCTCAGCATGTAGGAGCAAGGATATAGATCGAATTGGTATGCTGAATTCCAGCTGGCCGAGCTCTCCATCAACCACCAACTGCCAACAGTCCCTGACAATCGTATCTGCAAGCATGGCCTTTCCCTTGAGCCCCTTGGACGAGGCTGATCCTTTGCCTTGACTCCAAGTCCACCCTTTGTCTTCTAATACAACATTACGTCTGTATTCCGAAATATAATCCGATAATTGCTTGTTTGTGAAAGAGGATGCCAATTGTGACCACAATGCCTTGAAAACCCTAGCAGGCAGTGTTTCTCCGAGGTGATATGATTCACGAATCTCATCAATTCTCTCCTGGACCGAGGAATCACTGAGAGATGAGTTCTCATCATCAAGATCATCCAAAATGGAGCTGATCGTGCTGTGAGGTTCATTCTGGAGATCTTGCTTGCGATTGCGGTCTATCCGGCGGCGACGTGGAGGAACAACAACAATCTGTCCTGGTTTCCCAAGCGAGTCCACATCTAGTGTGTGAGTATCTCCTCGATACTTCTCATCACGTTTCGAGTCGCGGATTCGTTCGGAGTTGGGTTTGCTCGGTTCGCGCGGGTAATCGCGACTCCAATTACTCTGGTATCGAGTAAGGACGGCGCAGGGGTATGGCAAAAATGGTCTCCGGCATGGGAGTGATTGGAAGCTCAGAAGCCCCAGTTTATTCCCTGCGGGACGTCGAAGCATGACAGCAAAATAGGTATATTGCACACGTACAATGTACAGAAGGCAAATTATCCTGCGATCGCTTTTCTCCGGCGATAATCGCGGCGCTAGGCCGCGATAAGAAACTGGTTTCTGCCTCAGGCTTCAATGTTCTAGAACGCGATATCTATGTACAATGCTCTCGGACGAACAATTGTATTATCCCACAAGGCTCAAATTGCTAACCGAAACACAATTTAATAAGATAGATTTTGACAGATATAGTACATGACACACAAGGTGGAGTTCATTCTCTCGGTACAGCCTCCCAGCTGCGTAAGTCATCCCTCACGTCGAACTCGGAAAGCTCATTGCTTGTGTCTGGTATTTTCCATCCTCGGCTTTTTACCCCCTCATAAAGCTGCTGCTCAAGGCTTCCACCTTTCTTTGAATGCCCAAGTGCAGCAAGAGAGTCTGGGGTCTTGCTCCTACTGCTTGATCGGTTACTGGAAGAACTTTTGGGGCGCCGCTCGAAGCTCGGGGACAACATTTTACCAGAGCGGCCAGAGCGGCTTTGCCTTGGGGCTGTCTCTTGAGTCAGCAGAGAGTCTCGATGCCCTTTCGTTGAAATTTCGGCGTTGGCATTGTGTGCGTCATTTTTCCAGCAAGAGCTTCCAGCAAACAGTTCTTCGATCAGCTTATCGGCAGGTAGATCACCGGCTCTGGAGGACCACGATGCTGCCAAAGTTCGCCGATACATATCTTGCATATCCGCAATCTCCCGGCTCTTGGTATCAATTGAGGGTAACCGACCAAGTTCATCGGCGTCGATCGGCTGCTCGGTGGGATGAATCACCCCGGCGATTCCTCCGAACACGGTGGCAGACTTCAGATGTGGTCTTTTATAATTAGTATTGAGAGTATGGTTGAGAACTCATGCTTAGAATTTCAGCTCACGTTGTGAAGTTGCGGTCTCCTTCTAGCTGGCGCATTGCAATTCCGATTTTGACAGTGCTGTTCACTTTGCTTTCGTTCATCAGATACCGCCGAATAATGCCCTCATCCTCGTCGGTCTTGTCCACGTATTCGGCAAGATTGAGTTTGATTTTGCCCAGCACATTCTTTTGGGAGATGGCCGACGAGGTGAACTCTTGTATGACTTCAAAGGTGATATCGCACTCATGAAGGACTAATGCCCTATCAATTGTAAGCTTTACTTGAAGACATTTCTCATAGCCCCAGTAAGCGCGATGATCTGACAGAATTGATTTCTCTGTGTTTCCTTGGTGTTCAGTGGCACTTGACGACGGCAATCGCCATCGCACAAAAGCAACACTATTGCCTAGAGGGACATTGTTGATATCAATGATCTTTTCGAAGTTAGAAATATTGGCAGCAGCTCCTCAATCTGCCTAGGATACATACCCTCAAATTGAGCTCGAATCGAGGCTGTGGCAGAAGTCAGTCATATATGTATTTCCTCCAGCTTCCAAGGTCCATCTAGTATCTTACTCTTCTGTTCTTGGGGACTACAAGGATGTTAGCATGCATCAGTCAAGAAGTATAAAGGAGCATACCAAATGCCTGCATGATGTTGGTCACGTCACGATGCCCACGCTTGTTAGAACTTCAATTACAGAAACGCCAGCTGGCCCGCTCAGGACCTGCCTAAGGGATATTTCTCAATCTGGAGCTGATCACAAGCTCAAAAAGCATGAATATCAAACCTCAAGCAGTGACAGAGTGCTCATTTGTCTAAAAGTCCTCCCCGCATGCGCCAACACCATGGGCGGTGAAATGCCATGATGCGGCAAAATCGGTAACCCGCGTCCAGACTCGCGAGTTCACTTCTACTCCGACACCCACCTATTCTTTGTATTTTTGAAACAACAACTCGTTATTTTGTTGCAATACATTCCCATCCGTCAGGGTTTCATCTCTCTACAGCCATGGTGAAGCCTGAAGTCACCCCTCCAGCTCCTTCTCCGCCAGCCCCAGCTTCGGCCATTCCTTTAGATTCAACGACACGCACCACCCCAATACACGCAGAGCTTGCCGAGATCAAAGTTCCAGATGGGCCACTGCCGTCATACCGATATCACCCCGTGACATGCCAGCCCATCGAACCTCAAGATTATCAAAGTGAACTTAAAGAACTCGAAGAGGAGTACAAATCACCAGAGGCCGCGCTTCGCGCACAGGAACAAATTGCCAAAGAGGTTCAAGAGAAGATTGCGAGTGCCCAGCGGAAACGAGAAGAGGTTCAAAAGTCTATAGACAAAAAGGTCAAGGAGCGAGACACCGAGATGAAGGTCGTATCCAAGTTTCAAGAGACCAAGGTGGCGGATATTCCGTCTTGAAGGAGACGATAGTAATATCTCTTCTAATTATTTGGAATCCAAAACAAACATCAAGACTTGAAATTTAGTCTGGTTGCCGCTCCCAGTGGACAAGTCACTTTCACGGAAGACACTTCAATCGTTCTCACGCGTGTGGTCGTCGATGATTGGAGTCGAGGCTACTTTCTCGTCGTTCACCTAGGTACGTCGATTACCCACTCACCAATTATGGATTATCTCCTCGCCAACACGTTCCAAGGAGAGAACCCACTTTTCTCACTCACAAATGTGGGGAGATACCCGACACGCAACGAACGCTTATCCACTGTGTCAGAGTTTTGCTTGATGAAAACGCGTAAAGCCTTCCATGCGATATGCAATAGGCTTCTTGGCCGTGATCACTTGTCAAATCAAACATCATTGCCTCTGTCGGGGACTCAAGATCGGATCAACAATGGCAATAGCTCGCGCGAAGAACATCCCAATCTCTCGGCTAAATTGAGGAGCTGTTACCACATGTCAAATAAACTCTCCTCTACAAGATAGCACAGACAATTCGAACCTTTGAGGTCCCAAATATCCCGATAACGTGTCTTTCCATTCGTTTGCTTTTGAAAGTCACCTGGGAACTCATGTGTACCATTAATCTCCATCTATTGACATGAAAATTTTGTTCCGGACGGAGTTAACGGAAAACAAAACATCAACAACACTCTCTACAACGAATCGAGCAGCTTCATGGCGAGCAGAAAGATCTAGCTCAGAGTCAGAGCACATTCAGTGGGTCAAATAGGGGGGAGGGTTGGGAAATACCTCTGGAGCATGAGCATCCTCGATTAGAGTCTAGGTCTGGTCTCATTGCCAACTTGGACATGAGCAGTTTGTCGGTATCAGCGAGGAGACCACCCACCTGAAATTTTGATGACAGGCGAGAATCGGTGACGAGAGACAATCCATACAAATTCCCAGTGTATGCCTATATGTATCTATATGTTAGGCTCGCTTCTACCATCTAAATTTTCAAATAGATTGAGCGCATTCAGAATCAGATAAGTTCTATAACAAATCTAAAGAGAATGAAGTAGTCTTTGCGGAAAGACAAATATAGATATAGTGGTCATAGTAAAGATATTTTGAGCCTTAATCCTAGCTATTAAGCATGATACATATAATATGAGATCAACCGAGTAATTCCTAAACCTTGGCCCTCCCGTGAGTAGTGACCGGGTAGACTTTGCCACCTGGTATCAAAAGGCTTTCGAGAAATTTAGCACGGTGAAACGTCTCGCACGAAGGTGGAGATGCCTCCCGACGTTCGAAGGTGCCTAAAAGGCCCAAGGGTAAATCTATCGGAGCTCTTCGGAATTTGCTCGAGGACGCAGAATAAAAATCACGAAACCGTATCACCATAAGCCCCAAATCCACGCGGTGCTATTGCTGTTGTAATGGCGTGTCAGATATGTTCTAAACACGAGGCGTGGTGAGCAGTTGTTGGTTATGCCCCAAACACAATGACTCATTCGGGGGTTCATTTATGGTTTTGGTCCATGAACAATATATTGTATCGCAAAATTGACGCACGGTCTGGTTTCGTTTAGAACCGAGCACTATGCACTCCGTAGGCCGTACACACATGAGTCGTAAGGGACGCAGTTCGCCAAGGGCAGTATGCGCTAATAGACTGCTTCCCTCAGAGCGAGACGAAGTCGTTTCTACCACTTGATGGTCAGAGCCTAGCAATCATGAAACGGATGCAAGCTGGATGCCCCAATACAGCTGAGTTTCAGCACCCGCCCGACTGTGGATGGGTCCATCGCCTGAGGTTCCAGCTCTCAACGGTTGCCAACTCATTATTGTCTCTTCCCCAACCAGCTTTTCGGGTACACAGTGAAGCTGAGCATAGCATAACTCGTCCGGTGTAAAGCGAGAAACTCGGAACTGCATATCTGTGGGGTCGGAGATATGTATCCGCCACATGGTTGTGGCAAACTGCATGCACCGCCTCACATCTATTTTAGGAAAACGCAGCCCGGTCGCATACTTTTTTATATCGTTACCTACGCAACATCAAAAATAATCCAATTTGAGGAAACCTTGACATTTTCTAAGCCGACGACAGCCAATCCCTTTTCCACACTTGAGACCATGTGACCAAACTCGTATGCAGCAGGGATCCGTTTCAGGGCAGAGGCAGAGAGACATGTGGAGTACCCGAGTAAGATGAGATCATTGCAGATATACGTAATCATGACCAAGGTACGGAGTAACGGTATCAGTTTCAATTCGGAGCTTGTGTATCTCCGTACTCTGTATCTCCGTACTCTGTACTTACTCTGTACTTCGTATGGAGGTACGGAGTATCGTACGCGGAGTACAGGGCTAGTGGCGCCCGTCCCAAAGTCTGGCAATCGCGGCTCCCCAATGGCAGATCAGAACAGGGATCTCAGCGTTGGGCGCATCGGACTCGCTTGCTCTCAGCGAATCCTAAGCCGGAGGTGACTCAAGATGCCCTTTGCCCCACGCTTGCTCGACCCTCCATCAGCTGAGGTCTACCACTTTAGAATACTCGATAGGTCCAAAAATATACCTAGAATGGTTATGTTGGGTGTATTCACAGGTAATGAAACATCCTCATGGTTCTACAAGTGTGGTCCTCAAATAATATAGGTGAAGTCCAACGTGAGATCAAAGATTCGATAGGGAAGGCTTGGCCTGCAGTCAAGTTTAAATAGAATCTTCACCCACAAGTATGGGATTTTTAGTGTCGACTCGGTATAGGATCCAGGACGGAGGAGGACAACATAAGATGTGTAGATCTTGGCGCACACTGAAATATGCACATAGCCCAGCGGAGACATGGGTTGAATTCGTTTAAACTGGAGATCTATGGAGACTCGGGGCTTGTTTGCGTCTGGTTCTCTGGCTTTTCTGCTCCATCTCGTTTCGTGGATCATTGGGGCTTAGCGGTTGCAGTTTAGGGCAGCATGCAGCGATTCTGGCCAAATGGACGTGCAACGCGCGGGTGTGTGAGACTGGCAATACTGTGCGAAGGAAGATGCAATGAAACACTGTCCTTTGGATCTCGCGCTTCACTGTGGTTTCAACGAAAATCTTGCCACTGAGTCCTGCTGCAGGTCGGGGAGTCCGAGATGTGGCCACTGTACGTACATGGACTCCATCGGGCTGCATACCGCAAATAATGCCCTAGAATCTGATTCTGTAAGTCTGTAAGTCTGTAAGTCCCAAAAGCAAAAAAATAAAATCAAATCCTCCATATTAATGTGCCCATTAAAATCTCCACTGCCGATTTGCGGTGCCCACCCCTCCCTTCCTCTTCGACCTCTTCCCTCTTTTCTTCTATAACCACTGACTTTTACGTCCTCTCCTTTTTTTTTCTATTCTAATTTCTCTTCTTTTTGCGCATTCGCCCGCACTTTAATACGTTCACTGGATCATGCGATATCATTAAAGACACCCGAATTTCAACCAAGTATCGTGTGGGCGAATGTCGCCTTTATGATTTATATTCTATATTCCACATTCTTTTATATATCACTCAACGCCGGACGCATCGCCCTTCGCAGAGAGTCATAATGCCTACAGTCTTACTTCCATCTTCCGCCGCCGCTTTTGCGCCGCGATCATCTCCGAATGTCGTGCTGAACACCAAGGTTGAGCCTTGGTTGACAGCCACCCTGAAACGAGTCAACCGGGTCAAGCGCCCTCTGAACAATGTCACTCAGCATACCCGGTGCCTGACAGAAACTCTCTCGTCGACAAACGCTATTTGGACGCTTTGCTCCATGGTGTTCGCCAAGGCTCCCGAAGCAGAGTTAGAGAAGGATGAGAACTTGCTCTGGGAAGCCGTGCACAATCACCAGATGATCCACATCGAGGCCTACGTTGTACACGTTGACATGGTCTCTCGCAATGAAGTGGCCTTCAAGCTAACCCCAGAGACAATCGAATCTCTAGTTGATTTCCACAAGGACGTCTACTCAGTAGATGCGGCCGCCAATACATACAACTGGTCAGGAAAGCACGCCGAGCTGAAGAAGTTGCAGGAGGAGTTTGTCCAAGCCGCCAACAAGTTTGTCTACCGCACCAGTGCCCAGGCACTCGAAGGATTGGAAGAAGACGGCGCCGGGGAGTTGTTGAGCGGTCGTAGCGAAGAAGCAAAGGCAGCCATCGCCAAGCTCTTCGTCCCACTGACTGCACCTCCTCCCCCGGTGATGGATATTATGCGCCCCGTGCGTCTCCTTCCTAGTTCAACAGGTTCAGATACCTGGTGGCAGACCCAGGTGCCCCAGCCAGCACCACTCGAGCCGTGGAAAGTACTGTCGCCCAGCCCCAACCCGGCCACCACGGGAGATTCTAATCCGAATCTTTGGGCTAGTCTCAGTTTCAGTGAAGCCCAGCTTGCCTCCCCGACCCCGTCTTACAGCCAGCCATTTACCCCCTCGCCGTTCCAGACCTACGACTGTATGCCGACGACCTGCACGCCAACAACCTGCATGCCGACCACATCGGCCCCTATTAGTGCAATTCCATTGCCGAGCATGTTCCCGAGCATGTTCCCGAGTATGCTCGTGCAACCCTGCAGCACTGCCGTGAACATGGGTATGGGTGGTTTCAACTGGAACGAGTTTGCTCCGCTGCCATATGGCACGATCGCCTAACTTGGCCCTCGTGAGTAGACTTGGTAGTGTCGACCATTGCCAGTCCTGCTCGCCAGGTTCATGCGATGTGGGCTCAAGAAACATGCATCGTCCTCTTGAACTAGACACTCGCATCTTTCGCTCCATGACTCCACACTTCTCCCCTCTTCTCTCCTCTCTGCCTTTCGGGAACCCGATTCCAAGCCACGACAATTTTCGCATTCTTGACGGCGTTCTCTTCGATTTGACTCTGTGCATCTGTGATACTCCCTCCTGCCTCTTGCATGATAACCAGAATAATCTCTTCATGCGCTTGTTTTGATATTTTCGATGTCCGACTCCAGCGTTAACGGTTCTCTGTTTTTCCTCTTTTTTCTCCCTTTGCATCAAGAAGCGGCGGGTCGGCTCTTTGTTATGTTTCGTTTCTCTTGTATGTCCGCATATACGTCATGAAGACTGGTCTGCCTCGCGGCATGTGGAGGATATGAATTTGGACGTGGAATGTCCAATATTACTTTTTCGATTCTTTTGTCGCGGCCCCGTGGAACGGGAAGGAAGCGAATTTGGGCGACTCGACTGAACTGGGTTCAGCGTTTCGCTTTCGCTTTCTTGCCTTTCTTTCGGGGTCTATCCTTCTGGTACTGGATACCGGCTGGTCAGTTCTCTCTGGAGAATTGGAGGATAATTCTGTGCGACGGTGTGTCCTTCCTTACATCTGCGATGTTTGGTTGAAGCACACCCTTCTTTCGAGTCACGTTTGGTTTGAGGAGGTGCAGATCAGCGACATAAGTGTGAGAGATGTTTGCTCTCTACCCTCGTCAGACTCGGCCATATCCACCTGTGGTGGACCCCGAGCGCAAAAGGGTCATGTCCTAGAAACCTCCTATGGTCTGTGACCTGAGGTTTCTTAGCATCCCGCCCTGAGCGACGAGCGGTTGGATTGTCATTCAACTCTTATCTTCTGGACAATGATCTCACCTTCGACGACCAAATTTGACAATGATAGGTTCATCTCCTATCGTCCAGGCTGGGTTTTAGAAATTCCTGGACAAGCTCAGTCTGTCGGGCTTTTTCACCGGTTGGAAGAGCCTTTTGGTTCTTTGTCCCGACTACGAGAAGCGGATGCTCGATCTGGCAGATACCTTCCTTCATGATCTGTCTAGTCGAGGGGCTGGTCCCTCGCGCTGGCCGCTTCTTTTCTCTTGGTTCGCTTTTTGTTGATCTTTCAGCATCGTAGCCCACATCTTGTATGTATCTCGTTAGCTTAGTTTTGAAAAGTGCATACACAATCTCTTCTTCCTACCTTGTAGGTTCACTAGGAATGAGAGTCCGCAGGGTATTCGAGTCGTATATTAGCCTTGTGAACCCCGTACTGAGCAACTATAGTACAAAATATGGGGTTTTAATCTGTAGGCAAATACAGTGTAGAATGGGGAAATAACCTATGGTACATGATATAACAGAAGAAACAGGACTACTCCGTACAGCAGCATAGTTCAATACGGGCGATTTCCATTTTCAGGGGTCTATTCAAGGCCATACTCCCCTGTTCACAATGCTACCCCACGGAGTCCCCGTATGACGTCAACCACACGCCAAGAACAGGCATCGCAAATCAATGCTCTGCGTGCTTCGCAATGAGTTCACAGTCGCTCCCTGGCGCTTATGCTTGCGTGTGGATTGGGAGTTTCTCTCCTTTTTTATTGTCTCCATGATATAATGTTGGTGAATTGATTTGCCCCATTACCTAGAAAAGCTTTATCAGATCCTCGACGCTCTGCCCATCCATAGCCGGAAGCGTCTCTACAAAAACGCACCCTGAACAATCTGGTCAAGCATTGCTGTACTCATAAGTCGTCGGGTTATTCGGAAATATTTGTTCTCGCCTGCGCTTATCCAACGTACTTCTGCACCCTGATTGCGGCAATCAATCACGAACTGTCAACCCCCACTCCTTCAACCGCAAGACTGCTGTACTGCCGCCGCAACACAGAAAATAGCTCGGAGGAGTACCTTCTCTATTCAGATCTCCAGCCGATCCTATGGCTGCTCTACATGAGGCCCTGCAATGCCTCAAACCGACGTCGTGGGAAGATGTCCCCCAGGATCCCGACGAACTCCGGGACTACATGGGCGAGATCTTCAAGAGCAGCCGCTTGGTAGCAGAGTCACTTCCGGACCCTCCGATCACCGATAATGACCATTATCCCGGGTTATCATACGACGAGGCCAATCCCCCCATCCGACGAATCGTTCCTTCATCCGCGCGCGTCGGAGAAACCGACCCGGAAATCGCAAACTTGCAAAAGGAATGGGGGAAGCCGCTTAAGATGGGCGGTCCAAGGGACAACCCGTTAGACGTGACTGTGTGGAAGCTCTCAGCGCATGATGGTAAAGGCTCATGGTTCGGGCGACGCAGCGTACATGAGGGGCTTCCATTCTCGCGGTGGCGCAAGAAGATGTCAACGGAATATGATGAGACGCTCAAGGTCAACCGGGAGAAGATCGAGAATGGGGAGACACCGAATTACAGTATCCGAGGGATCGGTGCTGAGGATAAGATCGAGGATATTGAAGTCAAAGATCACGATGGTAGTGTTCTGGGAAGTTTGATGGTTTACCATGTCTCGGCGCAATTTCCTAAACCTACTGCGCCGCGCGACTTCGTGGCGTTGATCATCAATTCCGACTCGGGTTTACAGGTCGGTGGTACTAAGCAGCCTGGTCGCAGCTGGGTGATGATCTCTAAGCCGTGCGACCACCCGGATATCCCGCATAAGCAAGGGTATACTCGGGGAGAGTATGAGTCGGTCGAGCTCATTCGGGAAATTCCAAGGAAAGAGAATCACAGCAGTGGGAGTAGCTCCTCTAGTCAGGGAAGCAAGAAGAAAAGTAATTCTTCTTCATCTCCTGATCCGCAACGGCCTGAGATTCATATTCAGAACTGCGCCGGTGATGATGAAGACGAAGAGATGAACCCTGTTGAATGGATCATGGTCACTAGAAGCGATCCAGGCGGTAGCATTCCGCGGTGGATGGTGGACAAAGGAACACCAAAAAGCGTGGGGGCAGATGCCGCCAAGTTCATCAACTGGGCTGTTCAAGATGATAAACCCCCAAAACAGGAGAGCCCAGTTACTGTGTCTACGCATGATATAGCGAGCGCCAAGTCCGGAAAGTCTGCCAATGATGACGAGGACGACCAGACAGACGACTCAGATTCGGATTACGAATCACTCGACAGCGACAGCGAGCAATCGCACCACGGTCTGATTGCTAGTGTCACTGGCTTGCTCAATAGCGGCTTGGAACGATTTGCACCACAAGCCTTGGGTTATGGCAATCACACCGAGGCACCGAGAGGTCTCCCGGCCAATCATGAGGTTTCCTACATTGATGGAGAAGGGGTAGCGCACCTGGACCCAGAAAGTGCTCGACAAAAGAAAGCCTTAGATACCGAGTCTTCAAGATCCCGCGAGCACGACCATGTCTCACTCTCCTCTATCAATTCCGGGCAAGCAACACCCTCGATCGATGAAATCGCACACAACAATCTGCCACCGGCCGAATTGATACAAATGACAAAGAATGGCAAGCTTACTTCCCACGAAAAGGATCTGGCAAAGCTAGCTCTTCGCAAACGCGAAACCGAACAGAAGCTAGAAGAAGTCCGCGCCGAACTCGACAAGCTCCAGTCCTCATCACAGCCACCTAGCAGACCGGGAACCCCACTGAAGATCAGTGAGGTAGACAGCGACACTAGTAAGATGCGCAAACGCGCAGCGACGAACCGGTCTTCGCCCGCTAGTACTCGCACACAGCACAGCAAAAAGCACTTCCAAAGCGAGAGTAACAATGACAGCCAGTCGTCTTCTGGACAGACAGCAACCCCGGAATTGTCAGCACATATCCATAGGTCTGTTTCGCACCTACTGAGTAAAGAAACGAAATTGGTTAAACAGCTGGGCAAGCTCGAGGCTAGTCAGCTCAAAGTTGCGTCGAAGATTGAGACGAAGCAGCGGAAGAATGAAGAGCGCTCGGAAAAGTCGAAGACCAAGAATAAGTCTGAGGTCGATGGCTTGAAACAGGAGGTCCACGATCTCAAGAAGGAGATTAAGCAGCTTCGTTCTGAGCGCCAGAAGTGGATTGATCTTGTTTCTTCGTTGCAGGCGGAGAATACGAAGTTGGCGGCGAGTTCGGAGTCCTAAGGTGTCGGTGGAATGATGATTTTGTGCTGTATACATACATGCATTTGTCTAGCCTTTTGATTTTTGGGGTTATTGTTACATTATCTGCATGGCAATTGACTTTGATATTGAATATCCTGAACATGTTCCCAATGTGTCATTGGATTATAGAATTGAGAAGTATGGTAGTCTAGATGGAGCATGGCCCACGAGTTGGAAATGACTTTTTTCCATGTGAAAGGTGCATTTGGAAAAATCGAATATGCGCGTCAAGTAATACCAAGCCATCCATGATCCATATTGCTGGTTGCTCACTTGCTATCAGGTCCAGAAAATCTACTAGAAACCCAGCAAGCCCACCCATTTTTGCCTCGCTGACAGGGACCGAGGGATATTTCAAGGCCAGTGGTATACAAGATGCAGGCAGTGCGTAGAGGCGGCCAACCGGAGAAAGAGACCAGGCCTGCTTCGCATACTTTATTTCATGCTTGCAAGCATCGAATGTCGAAATTCCAACCCGGATGAATCGAAGGTGAAGCTTGAGAACGCAGTCTTTAACGGTTTCAAGGCGCAACACGGACGGTCATATCGTCAAGATTGCGAAGCTGGGCCAGGTGTAGTCGGAGAGTCTGGATATGCTTCCTTATATGGAAAGCGAAGGACGCGATATGGGGTATCGGAAAAATCAACAAGAGACCACACTATGTGGTTCTACTCTTGAGTCTAAAATGGAAAAGACGTCAGCCATGAATGATCCTGGTATAAGTTGGGCGACTCTGCAATACACGACCTACCTCTGGAGGATTACCAGCACCTCTGACCATTTTCTCTAGCATCATCGCGCGCACCTTCTCCTTGGGCTCGCCCATTCCGACAGCCATGTACGAAAGCAGGGGAGGGTGGCCGACGTAGGAAGAGTAGCTGTCGCGGAGGATGTTGGACGTCCATTCGTACTTGGTGGTATCGGCGTGTCCAGTACCAATGTAGCGAGACTGGAGAGCCTCAAGGTTCTGGATGGTACGGAGCTTATCGGCCATGGTGAATAATGAAGAAGTTGGTTGCGTTGGATGCGAAGGAGAGTTGAAGCGCTTGAATCAGGTCGTTTCTAAGGCGCGTTGGTGCCTCAGGCAAGAAGCAATATTCTGCACGTGATCGCCATGGACATTTCGAGAGTCTTCAACGAACCAGCCCCAGCCTTAAATAGAGCATTGGTTTTTAAAAGAAATTATACGGGGTATGAAAATATATCATGGCATCAGATACATCTGGTCCCACGTTACCATCCCGGATAGCATCGCTGGTTCATGCTCATTTTGATGCTCTGCCCACACGCAGTAAACCCACCATTTTTCCAGATGGATCGAGGGAATGGATCCCAATGACCGGCATTGTCGCCGTTAAAGGTATGTTGCATGCAATCGTTTTGGCAGCTGCGTTATTGTTACTCCTTCATGTATATACACTAGAGGGAATTTGATCCATTATCTGTGCATTATGTTCCCAAGATGTCTCTCTTTCAGCCTGATATCCCTCGATGTGTTCCATATTAACATTGTTCTCTTCGAGCTGGTAGGGGAGAATACACCGTCTGAAAGTCTGACCTGCATATCTGTCACGTACGTTCTCAAAGTCTCTATCTAGACAGCCGCGCATCTAGCATATGCAAGGCACTTATATCAATGGTGTCGAGCTGACAGTCATGTAGGAGTGGTGCAAAATGCTTGTCAGCATCTCATATCCCACGCTGTAGGGGTCTTGTATTACATGATTGCCATGCCGAAATATTGGGCCTGCGAGCATTCAATTACTGGCTTCTTACGGAATGCCACAGTGAACTATCCCGAGAAAAGCATTTATCCAAAGCCTGCGATACATCCAATCTTGATAATGAAGAAGTATCAGGTTCTCCCTTCATACAACGGCGAAAAGTTGAAGAAACTGAAGATGTTCATTCAATCTCGGCCACAAAATGGCCACCCTTCGAACTGCAGCCTGATATAAAGATTTACATGTACTGTACATGTGCTCCTTGCGGCGATGCAAGCATGGAACTCTGCATGGCAGCTCAAGCTGATGCAACACCATGGGAAGTCTTGCAACAAGAGCCTCCCCCATCCACAAGCCAAGATGCAGAGTTTCCAGCGGAGCAGACCCTGCTAGATGGCCGGGCACACTTCTCTCTTCTCGGGGTTGTGCGTCGAAAACCAGCCCGCATGGATGCTGAGTCCACACGCAGCAAATCCTGCTCGGACAAACTTGCATTGCGGCAAGTTTCCTCCTTGCTATCCTGCGAAACTAGTCGCCTTGTTGCTCCCACCGAGAACGCGTATCTGGCCGGTCTGGTTCTTCCTGCAGATGAAATCAGCCAAGTAGGCTGTGACCGCTCTTTTGGGGAGAATGGTCGAATGCAGGCTCTGAAAGGACGAACGTGGCCTGGGAAAACAGAGCTCAAAGAAAGCACAACTGGGTATCGGTTCCATCCATTCCAGGTGCTTTCGGTACCGGTTGAGGAGGTAGCGGCGCTTTGGAGTTTCGCAAAACAGAAGCCTATGCCTTTTCTGGCAGATTCCTCGGAAGAGCAAGATGAAACTTCGACAACTGTTACCAGTCTCAAAAAGAGCAGACCGGGGAATGTTAGCGCTGTATGGATAGTGGCTCCCTCATATCATGCCTCATCGGCAACGGTCATGGATACGGGCAGCAAGTCAATGCCGACTCTGTATCGTTCAAAAACGGGGTTATATGAAACCATCATCAATGGAGTGAAGCAAGGGAACCGCGCATCTGCGCCCGGTGCTCGTGGGGCCTCGTCTCTGTCTCGAGCTAAACTTTGGGCTCTCTTTCGCGACATTGCTCCCGTGTCAGTTCCTAACATTTCCCAAGACCGTGTCACTCCAGCTGAATTGCTGTCGAATACTTTGGAAACTGAAGAAATGCCCATCAACACCATTCATGATCTAACGCCAGACACAGCCACTTATCAGGAGTTCAAAAAGCCTAGCAGCTTAGAAGATCCATTGCAAATCCGTAAGCAGGCCATTGAGAATGCCAAATCAGTCCTCAAGGGGTGGATGCCGAATGTAGGCGATGATTCTTGGGGGTTGGATGTTTTGGTCGATCCCAAAAAGCGAAAGCGTTGAACATGTCTAGCAACGAAAAGAATTGGGCTTTAAGTAGTTGTTGGTAGTCATTCCTCTGCCTGTTGCTTCACGATCTCAATGATTGTTTGCTACATAGCTTTCTCTTGTGTAGACATTTGATCATTGTAGGCAACTCAACACCAGATCAAACTCTGATCCATGAGGCCATCAAACAGAGTGAATTTCTCGGTTCAAAAACCAATTGTTCAGTGTGAGTTCCTGCTTTTCTTTGATTTCTTTTGTATTCGTGAACTGGGCATTAGAAGAAAGCAGTTCATCCCATCAACAATCTTTCTCTTTCTCTTTCTCTTTCTCTTCCCCTTTCTCTGTCTAACCTTGCTTTCTGGTCCCCTGTCTTATTGATCTGAGACTTGATTCTCAGCTTTCAAATATCATAGCTTTTTCCTCTTTTACGATCTCAACTGCCACCTTCAAGATGGTTCTCAAGCCTTCAACTCAGTGTGCAACCTGCGGGGCAGAAGCTACCATGAGGTGTCTTCACTGCTTAGATGCACCCGAATACCAGATTGGGGATTCCACTGTCGTCGTTTACTGCGACTCTTTCTGTCAAGAAATGCACTGGCCCAAGCATGAGGGCTATTGCAAGGATATGCAGAAACGAAAGATGCTACTCCGAGCTGCCTGGTTACTAAAGGCAGCTATACTGGCCTACAAAGAGATCGTGTACGATGTGGACTTGACCAAAGTCGAGTTCAAGGACGGCGTCCTCTCTCTCCATCAAAACCCAAGACCGATCTCGTCTGGACCCAAACATGCTCCCTTCCCAGCCCATATGTTCAACAGCATCGAGCACAAAGAGGCAGCTCTGGTGCACAATCAATGCACAGCAGCTACGGCGCTCTTGGGTCCCTTGACTAGGAGAATACTTCGAGGTAAAAACGCTCCCTCGGTGTCCACATTTTAGAACCGTGGCTAAGATTCAATAGGTGTGCCCTTCGTTATTGAGACCATGGACATCATCGTCCAAAATCCACCACTTACCACTAAACTTATTCCTGATGTCGGTTCTCACAGTGGTACACACACGGTGTTGAAGATAAGAGAAAGGGGAAACAATGACACATGGATCATCGACACAACAGGTTGTCAATACGGATTCCGAGATTTGCTTGTTCCCTTCAATAAATACTTCATGGACAAAGAATGCCAGGTACTAGATGCCCCTTTCGCCTACGATGCGTTCGAGACAAAGGACCTGGACTATTACTCGATGTTTCCTTGCTTTACCAGGATGAAGACGCAACGAAAGGAAATGAGATTGGAGCGACAGACCCGTCACCACTTTGCTGTCTTTGTTGCGAAGACTGTGGGGGATAACTTTCTTGGAGGCTCTGACATCGACTTCGAGGCAACGATCGATTTATTCGTCAATGGGCTTAAATCACACATGGTCCAATCTATTAGAGCCACAGAATACTTCTCCAACGATTCCGACGATGACGATGACTGCTGAAAACGGAAAGGACAGGCTCATATTTGAATGCACATGGCCATTTTTCTGATTGATATGATTGATGTACGATTTGTAGTCTAATGTCAGGCTTAAGTATGCGTATATCAGTTATCTTTCTATGATGCTTGGCGCGATGCCATCCACAGGCAACCTGAGCAGTAATCCATATGTCATAGTACAGCTCATGATGACCATTCAACCGAACAGGCTACCTAGGCAGCATAAATCAAATACTATTCGAGGCAATATCTTGTCGTCATCTATTCAAGATAGACTTAAATACGTGGTCCTCTCACCCTCCTGGCATCCGCCATGTGAAATGCACGAACTTCTACAATAATCTATATACCATGTCTGTTAGGACAGCTCCAATTGAAACGATCGTTGTAGACTCTGTGTCTCTCCTTTCGTCGGTTTTAGATGATCTATCTGATCTCCCGAATACGCCTCCTCCGCTGTATATCGATCTAGAAGGTGTTAACCTGGGTCGTCACGGTTCTATATCCATCCTTTCGATATACGCCCTACCCAACCGAAAAGTCTACCTCATCGACGTTCATAAACTAGGAAACGAGGCCTTCTCAACCACAAGCACCCGAGGAAAATCTCTCAAATATATCCTCGAATCTCCAGCTATTCTAAAAGGGATATTTGATGTTCGAAATGATTCCGATGCCATGTACAGCCACTATGGAATATCCGTTGACGGCATTCGAGACATTCAGCTCATGGAACTTGGCACCAGAACAGGCTCGAAAGAGTTCATCGCCGGCTTAGCCAAGTGTGTTGAGCGAGAAAGCCCTATCTCCGGGCCTGAAAAGGCGATATGGAAGCATACTAAAGAGAGCGTCCGCCGACTCTACGACCCCAAGGTCGGGGGTCGATATGAGGTATTCAATGAGCGACCTTTCAAGCCCGAGATCATAAAGTATTGCGCACAAGATGTTACTTTGCTGCCAGGGCTATATGCAAAATACCACGCCAAGCTATGCCGGCCTGGAGAGGGATTTTGGGAGAGTGAAGTACTGATCGCAACCAAAAAGCGAATCGAGCTTTCGCAGAGCCCAAATTATAATGGACACACGAGGGAAAATGCTCGCGGGCCTTGGAGTAGAGATTATATCGCGCAGGCTATTGACGAATGGAACATGGATATCGTTGAGGCCGTTGCATGGTGAGTGATGATATCGGCTATCTCGGGGATGTGTAGGGATTTCTTTTGGGGTATCTTGAAATACATATACGTTGGCTGGGGTTTCAAGGAACAATGAGCATTTCCAATGGATGCCGGTGTCGCTTTTACTTTGAATATCGCTTTGTTGCAAGTTGGTTTTATAGCCGTTGTTTTATCACAATAGCTACGTTATATTCGAGGAAGAAAGATATAGGAGCTTGGTAGTTGAATTGACGGGCATAAAAAGACCTTCATGGACCCATTAAAAGAGTGTTGGAAAAACTGTTCCATCTTAAAGCAAGGGTAAGATCACAAACTGGAGTTCAGGAAGGGTAGTATTCTGCAATGGCATCAAGAGACACACCGGTCATGAGTGGAAGTAGGAACGCCATCGTGAGATGCCGAATGAGTATCAAGTCCGTGTTTCAAGAAGTATACGAGATAGTTTGCAGCAGTATTTATCCCCAACCGGAGATCGGCGTAAAGAGACATCAACAATATGGTCTGAGACCAAAGACCATCATGGCTGATTTGGAAAAATCGAAACTCACGACTGTCTATCAGACAGCCATAAATGGTACAGTCGGTCTGGTTTCGTCTTTTCCGAGCAGCCCATGCCATGGCCATATATGTCAGTATCTGGCCATCAGCGGTGCTACAAAAACCACCGCATTTCACCTGAATGACCACCAAATTCACAGCTTCTGCTTCTTTTTCGCCAAAATGAAAGGCGTAGTCGGACCTTGCTACACAACGGACGTTTCGAACTTTCCGATCATCCATATATCTCATAGGAAAGAAAGTTGAAGTAGTCTCCCGAAGCACAGTCATATCATCTAAACCAGCGAATCGCGCGATGTGTAATTCTTTATATACCGCCCTTAGCAAAGCCCTGGTCACAGCTTTTGCCCGCTGTTCGTTCTGTCTAGGATGATTAGATGACTGCCTCACTTTAGGTATCATGTCTAGGTCATTGACTGGAGATAATTAGTCTCAGTCGTACCCAGTATTTGCTTTCTCACTCACAGAACTTTTGCGAGAGAGTGATAAAGTGTTGTGGTTTCATCCAGGCCTGTCGGCCTGAGGGTGCTTTTTGCAAACCGAACCCGAATTCAACTTGTCTTGTGTGTAGACCCTCGCATGCCACGGCCATAACTTTGCTGGGCAGATGCTTAGCGGCCTTTGATACCCGTGATATGTCTACTTCGCCTACTTTGAGGTTTTCCGGCATCGTTTTGATACACTTGTACCAACGCTGGTGCCATTTGAGATTGGCGTCTTTTCCCATCTTGGGTATGATACTCAAGTCGGATAGAGCGAGATAAATTTCAGATATGAGTGATGAGAAAGTGATGAGAAAGTGGGAAAGCAAAGATGAGGCAATGGGACAGAGGTGAGTGAAGGAGGCAACAGACAAGAGCAGAGAATCTTTTGGGCAACGGACATTTAGAGTTAAACCACCTTCCCCGGACTTGCAGTCTACATCCGTCCATATGTAGTGTCAGAATCTACGTTTAGCTCTTATATTCCCTCTTGGCTACTTCTAGTGATGCTCGAAAATGCCTCGAAACCACTAGTCCGGTGCAGGATGGAATAGAGCAAGACAGGAGTCCTCCAGCCACGGCGGGAGCTTCCAATACATTGCAGATAGAAATATTAGAAATGATTAATATACAACAAGAATAGACAAATGAGTGGATCCAAGGGCTACAAAGAAGAACTTTCAATGAAATCCCTCAGTAGATTCCAGGGATGATGCGGCTGCGCACGATCGAGGTATAGCGCTTCCAGTCAGCACCATACTTCTTCTCGCACTTCTCCTCGTCACGCATTTCACGGTGGATCAACAGAACACCGAAGTAGATCATGTAGAAGTACGTGAAGATCATACCCCAGCCACGGATCTCAGGAGTCTGAACAGCTTGGGTCTGGGCAGCACCAGTGGCTGGGTTGATGCTCTCAATGAGAACATATCCAGCAACACCAGTTGGCAGGCAGTAGGCCCACGACATGGTCCAGTCACCCAGGTAGTTGATGTGACGCGCCATACCCCACCATCCAGAGATCATCAGTTTGGATCCAGCAGCAGTCTCGATGTACTTGATGTGCTTCACCCGTGGGTCGTTGGGGTTCGTGCGGAAACGGTTCTTCTGATTATTGGCGCCGCGGAAAATCGAGTATCCAACTGCTGTGACACCAAGCACCACAGCCATGCCTGTCCAACCGAGTTCATAAGGGAAGACAGAGAGGTACCGGCTCTGGACGCTGTAAACATGAGGAACCCAGACCACGTCGCCGAAGGACAACATGAATCCAAATCCGTCCATGATCACATCCATAGTGGTCATGATAGCGGGCTCCATATACAGCGCATCTAGAATGTAGAACGCCTGGAATATAGTGACCAAAACGATTGAGTCAGTGATGTAGCCGTAGGTTCGGTACTGGTGGGCTACGTTGGACAAGTTCAGAATTGTCCATCCAAGCAAGCCTGGTCTCATCTCCATAAACACCTTGATGTCGATAGTGCGCGATGTCTCGCTGACAAATGGAATAGGCAAGCGAATACGAGGGTTCAGCTCACGGCCAATGAAGAAGTCGTAGAGCACGTTGCCCGTGTGGCCACCAGGTGCCAGCTCTCGCAGGCTTGGGTTTGCTTGTCCGGGAGCGGGGACCGCGAAACTTCTCGCGTAGACGAACAGCGCAATGAGCGAAGAGATCAACAGGTTTGCAGTGATAACCTGAACATAGTTGTCCCATAGGAATGTCCAAACCGCAAAGTCGGCTCCATAGAGATAAGTGCCACCGGCCAGGCCCGAGAGGATGATGACGGCAGAGAGGAATGCTACAAGATGCGCGGAGTCAGAAAGAAATGTACTTGACTGTAAGACAAGCGACCAGGGGCTCCCATTTCCATACCATTAAATTTGTACTTCAGCCGTCCTCCACAGGCCAACGCGACACCCTCTAGCTCCTGACCAGGCAGGAAGACTTGCAGGAACAGACTGAAGGCGTAGTAACTCAATGTCCACAGTGTGACCTTGGTATCATAGAGCGCTGTAATTCCCTCCTCTGGCCAGCCCGCTTCACGTTTCAATTGCTCAAGCGATAGAGTTGAGGGGTTCAATACCGAGGGCACGGGGCAGCCAGAGACATCGTTGCAGAGGAAGGTAAAAAGGTAGATCAGGGTCGGCAGTCCGAACACAATGCCAAAGGCACCGAGTCTATTGCGAAATATCAGCTCTGCTTCGTCCACTTGAAGCTTGCCCTGAGGGAAACATACGGTCCACCAAACTCATAACCACGCTTCTCCGGCACTGGTTGCACGGGGATTTTCTTGGAGTCCTTCTTGGAAGGCATGTTGAGGGCCAATGGATGAACAGAAAAGTAATCAAGAATGAAGGGCGATCCGGGCTTAATAGGAGCCTAGGGCCTTCTGAAATCCGCCGCGTACGATGTCGGATGCTGGGAGCCCGCGGGTTTGCTCCGCATCGCCAATCGCAGTGTTGCTACGTAAGCCGTTGATCTCACCTGGGCAGAGAGGTCCGCCTGGATGCATCAGACCTATCTTCATCCCGTTCATTAACCAACGTTATTTCTATCTTTTTGGCTGTCATTGATTGATCGCGTCCTTTTTTTCATCGGTTTCCACATTCTCTTGTCTCATTGATATCCGAAACTGTCTTGGGTTGACCCCAAACACAACAGTCATGAAGCTCACCAGCTCCGCCCATTACTCTCTTTTTCTTCTATCATCAATCCTCGGATTATCTAGCGCATCCGATTCCTCTCATTTGAAAGATGATAGTCCATGTGTTGCCCGCTCCCCGACGACCGGATTGTACTTCGATCTCAATGCGATCTCATTATCCCCGCCCGAACTAAAGGACGGCAATAAACTCTTGAAAAATGCGCGGAATGAAAGCTGGTTTGCCAGAGGCCACGACTACCCGGCGAACTTTACAATCAATATCTGCGCGCCAGTCATTGAGAATGTGACGGACGTGGTCGGGGTTGAGGCATCGCGGTGGAAGAACGTCAGCGCATATTACGAGCGGGATAATAAAGTGTATTCCATAGGGTATGGTGACAGATCTTCAACCCAGTCGGTCTGGCTATTGACTGGTGGGACTCTTTCCTTGTTCGTTGTGCTGACAGTCCTCGATCCTATACAGAGAACAAGCTTCCGAGCCTTTCTTCCGTGGCCGCAAACTCGTCCTAAATTATACAAACGGTTCGCCCTGCATGGACGACTATAACACTGCCAATTCAAATGTTTCCGTCCGCACTAAGTCGACCATTATGTCTTTCCTTTGCGACCGCGATGCTTCGCTCAATATGGTCACCCCTTCCTTCGTTGGCTCCATGGATTCATGCACGTACTTCTTTGAAATCCGCAGCTCGGCGGCATGTGGTGGAATTGCCCTGGATCCCCAGGGCGGTGGTCTGGGACCGGGCGGCGTATTCGGTGTGATGTGAGGAAATCTCTCCTTGTTCGAGCCACTTTCGAATGGTCTCATTTATGCTAACCCCGTCGTCTAGTATGCTCATCGCCGTGGCGGTGTATTTGATTGGCGGCTGCGCCTATCAGCGAACAGTCATGCATCAGCGTGGCTGGCGCCAGTGCCCGAACTTCAGCCTGTGGGCTGGTGTGTTCGACTTTGTCAAAGTAAGTATTCTAGCATTGATCCCATGTTGGTCTCGTCGCAGATTTAGATATGGCAACTTGGCGTCGCAGAGAGGCCGGGGCTCCAGTGGGACAGGACTGCCTGTTTCAAGGACGGATTAAGCTAGGTAGTTCTAGCTGGTCTGGAGACCAATCGCTTCGGGAAAGACGGTTGGGGTTTGGCTTGTCCTATTTATCTTCTTGTTTTCTTTTCGGGTATAGATCACTCTTTTGTCCATGTTCGTTTCTTTGATTCCACTACCGTCTGTGTTGATCACGACGTCTATGTTTCTCATGTGTTTGACAATATGTCTTGATTTATGCAACGGATTGTCCCTCGGGTCCTTTTGAATCGACCTGTCATTTCATCTTTGGGGTCCCTGAGACAGCTCCTGCATAGTCACTGTTCCATTTGTTCCATTGTACAGATCACATGTGTTCTACTGCATGTCTTAGTTGCAAGTTGATTACGGTTACGAGCCTCGTTTTTGGGAACATGGCGCTGACCACTTCTTTCTTTCTACCCCAACAGGACATGGTCGTGATCATCCTTTCCTCGCTTGGAAACCTTCTGAATTGCAAGAAGTCCCCCTCGACCAGTGGCTACGTCCGCGCGGACTCGGGTGGTCAGGGTGGTCTCATTGGCGCTATGGGGGGACGAGGAGGACGCAGTCAGGGTGGACGCGACGTCGATGCCGAGAACAGGCTAATAGATCAACTGGATGAAGAGTGGGATGACTAACTGTTGATTTCTTTTGCTTTTTTGTTTTGCCTTCTGGTTTTCGATGTCTTCTAGTGCCTTGTGTTCTCCATACTATCTCCAATACAAGATTTTTCTGCGCACCTGTTGAGGTCGCAATCTCTGCATCTAAGCTTCCGCATGTAGTCACAGCAACTGACCGTGTATCCATTGTAGCCTACAGTACAGAAGAGGTTCTGCATTCAGTTCTCGCGGCGAGACGTTTCTACTCTTTTCCCTTCCTTACTATGTGTGACACGGACCTAGCCCAAACCTTCCATTTGGACTTATGTCTGCGTGTACACTCCCAACTTGGTTTTACACCCTTTGGTTCTCGGGGTAGTGAGATCTTACCTTCCATAGCCCTTTTCTCGTCTCTTTATCTCTGTCTGGCCGTGCTAATCACCAAGAAACCCGCGAATATCACACGCGTTTTGCGCTGGATATATATCCACCTTGGTTTTGAATCAGCAACCTATCTCAATTCATTTCCTTTGTATCGAGACATCGTCATATATACAAGATAAATTCCATCAATATCCTAATTTACTCGTTCCAATTGAAAAGGTCCATCGCAAACTATTTCCCCCATCCAATGTGGGCCATACTCTATAGTGGCTCAACCATTTAGCGAAGACTGATTGATAGTCCCCACAACGCAGCCCTAACCATACAACTAGCATCATTGGTCTAGTGGTAGAATTCGTCGTTGCCATCGACGAGGCCCGTGTTCGATTCACGGATGATGCACATAGATTTCTTTTTTGTCAGTGTGTGATTCTCCTGGTGATTTTTTTTTGTGTCCCGAATATAGAATGAGATGCATATCTTTTTGTCGTAGTGACCCTCCAAGAAGGAAGCAGTCTTCAGTTTCAATTCAAATAAAGAGGAAGCCAAAGAATTGGATATAGATAAGCTCTCAGAAAAAAACCTCCTGCACCAAAAGAGAGGGATATACAGCCTGGAGACAAGACGACCAAAAACAATAATATTTACACACAAAGCAACAAACAGGCTCTTGAAAAGTTGCAACTTGCAGGAAAAAGCAAGAGAAACACGCCCTCAAAAGCCCGAATCCAACCTTTGATAACCACTGGAAAGAGAATTCAAACACCTCGTTTCAGTCATTGAGAAAGTAGCAGCCAATCAATAGCATTTGCCCTGATCTTTACCGTGAGCCTTTCATATCTGATCCTGTTAAACCTAGATCGTATGCGCTTAAAGGCATACCGCCGGCTCCCCCGAGACCGGAAATGTCTGGCACAGAGGGAAGTCCGGAGGACGCGCCGCTGCCATTGCCTCCCCCAGGTATGGGAGCCGGGTTCTGGCTGTGTGGTGGGTGTCCATCGCAGATAGGGTCAAGATTGAAAGGCAGGAACCATGCGCTGGGCTGGTAGAACTCGCCCGTTCCAGCAGGGGCGCTTGGATCTAGATGGCCCGTGAACAATGTTTGGTCTGGAGGCTGTGTTTCGACACCATTAACCAGTGGGATGGGAGGGTTGGGCGAGACAAAGGAGGTGGGATCGAAGCCAGTGAATGAGCCGTAGACAAACTGTCGGTCTAGTTGCGGTAATTGATCTGATGGGATACTGAAATCGAATGGAGGCTGGCTGAATGGCATTGGTCGAGATTGCTGCAACACAGATGGCTGTGGGAATACACTGCCTGGAACAACTGGGGTATTCCCCATGGTCACTTCCATCATCGATTGCGGTGAAGTCTGGTCCAAGCCTGGCATACCATCTGATAATTTGCTGTTCTCGCGAGATCGCGATTTGCGGGGGTAACTTGGCTGTGGTGTGGGTGATAGGCTTGCAAAGAAGTCTTCCACGCTCTGAAGATCAGGTTTCTGGCCCATCACTGCGTCTTCGCCTGTCTCCTTTTGTCGGCTATCCGGGTCTTCCCAGTGGGATCTTGACACTCCATGGGGATATTTGTTGAACCAGTCACCATATTGGAACATGGGTGTTAGCGTTGTGCCATTTTGAGTTGACACAGAGCCCTTGATCGCCGCATCAGCAAATTGCCGATACCGATCCTTAGCACTCTCAACCATATAGTGGAACATGCCCCAGTACTTTTTCATTTTGTTGAGGTAACGGTAGGTATGCCGGAGGTTCTCCTTTGACCTGGCCTCGAGCTGCATGTTCTTCGAGAATATTCCCCAGATATGGACTGTGCTTGCCGAATAAGCACAGTATCCAGCAAAAGGAACAGTGAGGGGATAGGCTGAAGCTCGCTCAAAAAGCACTGAGATGTGATGCGCCGCCTCCACCGCAGATCTGCCTGCATTGCTGAGGAAAGGCTTCGGCATATCTTTGGGTGGCCGCCCTCCTGGAGACAGAGGAATGGCGAACTGATTGAGGAATAGCATATTTTGATGTGTGACGATGTGGAGGAAAATAAATTGATTGGCAACCTTCTCCGCTGCATGGATTTGTAGATTTTCGTAGTTGAAAACCATATGGGCCGGAAGCGATATGGAGAACTCTTCAATTTGCTTCTTGAGCACCATGTACCCCGAGTCAGGATGCCAGAGTGGATGTTTGTCCTTTCTTTTTCCACCCAGATTGAAATAGTCGACAATACGCCCCCAAATGACGATAGCGCGAATGATATACGCTGATACACCCATGTTTTCCTTGGCATTAGACAGTTGGCCTTCGTCTTCGGGCATGGGATTGATGATATCTCCGTCGAGATCTTCCGTTGGACCAGGAATCTCCATCTGGAAATGAGTTTCCTTGATAGGAAGCTGGATTTGTAGGAATTTCTCGTTCCCTATTGGCGGGCGTTGACTCCCAGATGAGTTGTACCGATCCATCAGATAGCATCCCCACATAGTCCGCCGCCGGATCTCTTGATCGGTGAAGCTCAGCTGCGAGCCACTGCTGTTTTTCTGACTTAGTAATGGATCCTGATCAAGTTCCTGATGGAGCTGCAATGCGTATGCCATCCTTAATGCTTGGCCCCCGAAGGACCAACTCCGTCCACCATGACAGGTTCCAAACTCGTGGAGACCCAATAGGAGGAAAACAGTAAGAATTGTAATGTTCGGCTCATCGTGCCGACTGAGAGCGATAGCCGCAGCAGGGTTAGCCCAGTTTTCTCCACGCAAAAACGGCGGGTCTGAATTAAGCTGAGGATGTGTGGAGAAGCGTGCAGATACGGCGCAAACAGCAAGGGTCAAAACCGGGGGAATTGTGCCTGCTTTAAGCCGTCGCATAAAACTGGGTTTGTGTAATAGAAGGTATGACTGTCCATAGACACAATCAAAGTACACCTCCGAGAGATGCTCCTGAATCTCCAATGATGGCAAAAACTCGGCTCCCTCGGTCAGAAGCCCACTTCCGTCGCTGGACTTGACTTCGCGATTCATCGGGAACGACTCGTACGGCGGGCGGGCGCCTCCACGGGTCCATTCTTGCATTTCCGCCGCAAATGCCTCCTCCGCATTTCGTTTCCTCTGTGCCTTTGACGGCTGTCCCGAGATAGAAGGCTTGACGGTTGACCTGCCAATAGAGATCATATCTCTCGTCTCTTCTTTGGGGATCGTCTTAATCACGCGGTCTTCCATCCTCTTTAGTCGCTTGTCCAGCATGGCCATATAATCCGTACGCGGCGCCGCCTTCCGCGTAGTGACTTTGTACACGCATGGAATCCTCGAGCGGGTACAATGTTTACAGGCGGGTTTCTCGCCCGAGCAGCGGATTTTCTTGCGGCGGCATGCGATGCAAGCCAGCGGCAGGCGTTTCCGCTCCTTCCCGGCTTTGGTCTTCATCTCGCTCCAAACCGGTTTGTCATCTTCGTTCGTGTTTTCAAAATTGGAGGGCCCATTGCCGGCATCGTCTCGTTGGTTGTCGAGTGTGTCATTGTCCAGCCCTGGCGCGGGGTCGCCTGGTTGCGTGCCACCGGGTTCACGGGAACTTGCACGGCTTTGCGTATCGAAGTCGTCGAGAGCCGGCGCTTCCTCCTGGCCTGGCCCGAAATTGGCGCCAGGGATGTTCAATGGCGACTCGCCGGTATCGGGTTGGTTCATGACGGGTGCGGGTACCCCAGGATCCAGGCCTGAAGCATCGTTCGGCAGAGTCGGGATTAGGAGAAGTGCTTCCGGGATGGAGGGCGAGATTGGTTCGGGGAGTTAGATTGGATTGGAGTGTAGTGACCGAGACAGCGGATGGAGTCGGAGTTGAGTGCAAAGGTGAATTTGTTCGGAATATGGGGAAAGGTTCAGCGGCGAATGGCGGCTTGGCAATGGCGTCCACTGGCAGCTTCCAAATTACGAAGACTCCACAATCTACTATAAAATTGTGAGAGCGGTTGGTGAGAGCATACTCCTGAAGGGACATGTGCAAGTGGCTACGCAATCGACTTGGTAGTTACATGTTCGATCTGAAGGTGAGTTTCCACCAATCATTTCCCTTGGGCTTCTGATCGATCTGGGTGCCTGGGAAGATCCTACTGCGTATCTACAGATGCATTTTTTTCTCATATTATGATCAGAAACCTGGGAAGCTGCTCTGGATATTAACCAAAGCCTGTCAAATGCTACCCTGGAGTATACTCGTATACCCGTCTTGCTCGGAACGGGCCCGAACGTGTCGGACAACCGGATTGGAATCTGGACTGGTGCATTCGAAGCTTGATAGAAGACTAAGACTAGCATGGAGTCATGTGTCAGGGGAACCTTGCCGATTGGAAAATATAATAGAATATTCGTTATTCACCTTGGGTGCATGGAACACTCATTTCCTTATACTATCTTTAGATGCCAATGGGCTGAATTCTTGCGACTTTTGCGCAAGTATCGCTATCGTCATCGTATCACATAGCTGTCGCAAGCTTTTCGCTCATTCGATTGATTGGATCTAGGTAGATCTCGGGCGACCGACCTTCATACGTGGTGTCGCGAGCTCAAGCGAGTTGAGAATCTCACCTCCAAGAGTATAGATGTTGTAGCTGGGGAATACAATCCACAAGCCACTAGATAGGATTAGTCTCTATGTCTCATAAATACATGTTATGGACAGTACTCACTTGGGAATGATCCAGTAGAGAATAAGAGCAAATGGCTTGTTATGGCCGACGTTCTCGAACCCAGAGCAGATCTCATTGAGCCCTATTTTCCGTTGTGTTAAAGCGCGACACACAGAGCTTAGCCAGTGGATGCAGCTTACAGTAGAGAATAGTCTTGCTCAAAGTCATGACAGACACAGTGTAGGCGACCAGAAGCGCAATCGCACCAATGCGACCAGCAACCACCTTGTCGCCTGTCAGCAGCCACATGAATCCCTTCGAGATCTTTCGTGACCCGCCACTTCTCACAACCGTCGACCCATGGCGATACACGACCCAGAGGTAGTAGAGATATCCACTGGTCTCCGCGAGGTTGAGAATGGTCTGCGCAGCCGTGAAGCCATTGTGTGCATTGAAGGCGGGCCAGCCGTAGATATAGTCAATGGTTCCGTACAGCGCATACGGCGTCCAAATTGGGGAGTGCAGTCTTCCACCAGGCATACTATACGGTCGCAACAATACATAACCTGCGTCCCAAAGGACTAGGGGAACTGATATTATGAGCCAGATTGTCAGCGCGGCGGCAGGCGTATGAGTCCATTTGCGTGAATTGGCGCTGGTGGTAGCTGGAGGCGACTTGACAAGCTCTTTCCCCGGGCGATCAGGTGTGGAAAATTCCTGGGGATGGTGTCGTGTAGAGACCATGATGAGAAAATTGGGTGATGCGGTGATCAATGCTAAGATGGAAGTTCGATAATGATATTTACTCCAAGAGAGGAAGTAGAAAGCGCGAATGAGGCGCAACTAAAGAATGTTGGGGTTTCGCCCAGCTCAGGCGCGACTGACGGCCAATGACGTCGTGATCGTTTGCGGCCATTTGCCTCTCTCTCTCGCTTCTCCTGTGGAGCTGGATTGATTGGAAACCCGACCAGATTCTCGTTAGCCAGCTAAGCGTGGAATAATCGAAGGTTCTTGTGAAAGTCATTACAGCTACTGCTGGTTGACCTGTGTACTAGGACTTGTCCAATCGGAACACACTTCCCACGGCCTTGGAATATTTACCTTGGCGAATTATTTAGAGCCTATGATCCGATCAACTTACATGTAGGGATAATCACTCGAAGAGTCGTGCGACATGACATGCATGGTTTCTGCTTAAACGCCGTTGCTCAACCGCCAAAGGTCATGAAGTGAGACACGCCCCTCTCAAGGTGTGCTGTGATGTTTCTTGCCTCGACCACAGCTTACTATTTTATTCGCTTGTAGCACTCCATTTCTTGAGAAACCACGGCATTACCTCCCAACTCTTCTGCTCCCACGGATGACAGGCTACCTCAGCGCGAGAATGCCGACAGACAAGTCCATGTCTTGTGTAAATATCCAACTTCAAATCCCAGAGGTCAAATGTATCGGGCATAGCAAATGACATCATAATAGCACGCTCACGAAGGAGCGGCAATGGTATTAGATCCAGACTGGCGTGATGAGGGACAAGAATCTGGGCCATAGTGGGTTGAAGATGGATTGGAATTGATGTGTTGAACACCGAGGCAACTAATTCTTGCGGACGGTCATGGGCTTGAATGGACTTGAAAAATGGTGACATGTATGACCCTCCACATTTGGCCAGTCTTTCAAGATCAAACCCTAGGCAGCGAGCATTGTTGAGCACTGCCATCCGAATGGTGTCTTGAGGAGTCTGGATGGCGTTCATTACTGGATCGGCGGGTAACAGAGACGATGGGTTAATCATACGGCTGTCGGCTGATAGTTGCACTGCAGGTGGTAGAGCATCTTCTCCTGTCCTGTCCCCAGAGCTAGTGTCAAGCGAGCTGTCTGATAACGGGCTTGATGGTTGAGGCGCAAGTCTTCTTGCCGACCCGCCATGAGCAATGCCACGCTTTCGGAGTTCTCTCTGTCTTTGCCCTTCAAGGAATGAATATTAGCTGGAGATAATGACGAAGGCAAGAACTTACGATATGCTCGTTGTGCGACTCTGTTCTGTTCCTGACGGGCTGGGGTAACGATTCGTCTTTTGGGGCAGTTGGAGACGGTGTGTTGATCACCCCGACATACAGAAACATCCATTCTCAACCACGCGAGTTAGGTGAGGTCTAGAATCTCCAAGAACGAGACAAATCAAGACTGCAAAACACCGCACAGGGGGCAGTTGGGTCTTAACCCCGCTATCCCCGAACCCCAAAAAACAAGAAGCCGTAAGCCACAGCATAAGCCAGTTGGCTTATGGTTATCGACCAATCAAATCATCCGAACTATAGCTAAGGATCGGAATGATTCTTTCGATAGAGGAGACGTTTGGGATATAAATTGGCAGTCTTCATGGGGGTTTTTTTCTTCTTTTCCTGGATACCATACAAATCAAAAACCCTGAAGCTCATTAACTTCTTTTACAAAGTGATGTCCGAATCCAAGAAGATCATTGCAATCGTCGGTGCAACCGGCACCCAAGGCTCATCAGTTGCCCGAACATTCCTCGCTCTGCCAAATTGGAAGGTCCGATGCCTCACCAGAAACCCTTCTTCTGAGAATGCACAAGAGCTCGCCAAATTGGGTAGCGAGCTAGTCGAAGCCGACCTCGACGACAAAGACTCACTGCACCGAGCATTCACTGGCGCACATGCCATTTTTGTCAACACCGATTTCTGGCAACCCTATCGCGCAGCACTGGCTTTGGGAACCGATTCCCTGAGCAGCGCCCGACAGGGCTACGAGGTAGAGATCACACACGGGAAGAATGCAGCCGATGTCGCCGCGACTATCCCAACCCTGGAGAGATTCATCTACTCAGCCCTGGGCCCGATGAAAAAGGCATCTGGGGGAAAGTACTCGATGTCTTATCACTGGGATACCAAGGCTGATATTGTGGATTACATTGAGACGCAGAAGCCTGAACTGGCGGGGAAGACATCTTTCATCTATCTCGGCGCCTATATTACCAATCCATTCCTCTATCCCAGATACGAGCCCGATACCGATGAATTTGCTTCTGTTTTGCCAACAAAAAAACAGATGAGGCTGCCTATCATCGATACCGCTCGGTCAACGGGTCTTTTTGTCAGGGCTTTGGTGGAGGATGAAGCTCCTGGCATGAAGCTTTTGGCTTATGATGGCTATCCTTCAATGGAGCAGATCATGACTGTGTGGTCCAATGCCCTTGGGAAGGAAGTGAAGATAATCGAAATGAGCGTTGAAGATATGCATGGAAAGATGGGTATACCGCTCGAGGTTCTTGGTGGTCCTGCATTTATCGATGAGTTCGGTTACTGCGCTGGGCTTCAGAATGTTGTCGAGCCTACCCAGTTAAAATCTTGCACGCAAGGTCCGAGTTTTGAAAAGTGGCTGGAAGGTCAGGACCCTATGAACTTGCTTGGTTTGAAGAAGTCGAATAAGTGGGACGGTCTTGTTCAGTAGACAAAGGCGTATGACAAGAATCAAGAAATATCTTTTCACAAAATTGATCACAGCAGTCAAATATACATAGGTTGTACTTGGTCTTCAGATATATAATAAGGCCGGCATTCGAAAACAGATCGAGTGGCATCCTCAGGCGAGGCCTGGCTCTTCTGAGATTGAAGCCACTGCTTGATCAAGACCTGACATGGCCCTAATATATTTATGCCCGGACGAATGACTGTGCAATGCAGATCATGAACCGAATGACTTTGAATGTGACAAGTGCCTGCGACATGCGGCCTTAAGAAGCATCCCAGCCAGGGATGCGATTCTCCAACAGTTTCTTTTTTTTTTGCGTTTTTTACCTTGTGCTTTCTGCTTTTGTTCGGCATCCTGATACTACGGTAATGGGGATAGTGTAGTTGTGAAGTTGTTATTTTACCCCCTCTCATAATGGCCCAATTGCAGCTTTAAGAATTCTATAATATGCAAAGCGTTCCTATACACATGGATAACAGGCAAAGAAATCGACAGAAAAGAAGCATCATGGATGTCTCGAATACCTCATTTGGAAAGCAATCGACACGTGACCTATGAATATGTGCCACAAAATCCAGGCAAAACGAGGCATCAAACTCGAAACTTCCAAGGAGGCGACCTCAAACCGCCTGCCATTCACCGTACTTACTATACCATCAAATCCACTCCAATGAATGCTTTACTGGAAGATCTCGCCTGGTAGAGACTTAGCCATGCTCCAGATCCCTGAGTCAGCAACCGATGGATTCAACAAGGCCCCAAGACCAGAAGGTCAGTGACACCCGATATATCAATTACAACCAATACATGAAACCTGACTAGCATGGAAGAACGTGGAACGACTCGCGCGGGTGCGTGAAAACCAACGCAAAAGTCGAGCCCGGAAGCAGGAGTACGTGAAGGAGCTAGAGCAGCGTCTAGCGGTGTGCAAAGAACAAGCCCAGCAAAAAGACATCGAGCACCGACTAGCGACGCAGAAAGTTGATGCCGAAAATCGTCACTTGAAAGCTCTTTTGGGATCGCTGGGTGTTTCTGTTGCTTCTGTCCAGCAGTATCTACAAGAAGCGGAGGCGGGGACGGATACCAACAGGAAAGTTGCTATCCCCGCTATTCAACGATTAGATGGGACGAAGGCTCTGTATCTAGCACATCCCGATACTGCCAGTTCAAATTTGTCGATTGGACCACCCCGTGCCCGTAAGGAGGAACCGAAGACAGCTGAACCGCAGATAACTGGCAATACTACCTGTTCCTCGACGGCTGTGAAGTCAATGGATCAGCCATCCAAGGAACCACCGCAAGAGAAAGATCCGGCCCTGTGTGGATGTTCTGCTGAAAGACAGGATCCGGAAACGGCATCCGATGAAGATGTGCTCAATTCGACGCTCTGTGCCATCGCCGAAGAAATGATTAACCAGTACAATACCAAAGGAATTGATGTTGATGAAATCCGGCGAAGAATTTGGTCTGGGTTCCGAGCAGGTGCAAATGGCACTGGTTGCAGAGTTCAGAACCATATCCTGTTCCAGGTGCTGGACGAGATCAGCGGTGATGTTTGACCTACGTGGGTTGGGTTTCAAGGGCTTGAGCCCTTTCATTTCTTCGAGCTTGCTTGTTCTAGTAGCCCCTAGGTTCTGGACACGAAGACAAAGACTACGATTATCACCAACGATCGCTCCCAGCGCCGGATAATGCCTTGGTTTTGGACATCTAGCTTGCAGCTTGTCATGTTGTCATTCGCAGAAGTGACCCCGAGCTCGAGCTTCAGCCTAGCCTAGTCCTTGCCAAGGATCGCTGGAATTCCTCTTCGTTCTGCAGCATGACCTCACTGTCGAAGTGCGGATCTAACAGCATTACAACTGAAGGTGTCACCCAAACTCCCAACATTGTCACCCAAACTCCCAACATTGGACAATGTAAGAACAATGTTCTCCACAAATAATGTGCCAGTACTCCCGCCGATGACATTCCACACTGAGATCGAGATTACAAAAATGGGAACAAGAATGCAGGCCTCCAGGTTGTCCTGAGATTGAGACTAACGTTCTGCAAGCAAGAGCGCGTCTTATATCCATGAAATCAGCCTCACAATGTAAAGATTTCACACTCTCCCGTAGCTAGATAAGTAATTCTAATGGTTCAGTTCACACTGTATCAACGGAAAACGGAAACAAGGTCCAACCCATGATCATCCCGCCCGAGCCCTCGCAAGCCAAACTACCCGCCGGGGAATTCTTGAAGATCCGGCAATATCAAGCCGCGCTGCCGATGTTTAGCCACAAAGAGGGAAAATAATCGCCACGAAGCGGTGCATTCCGATAGGGATCAGCGTGTCCATCGGGCTTGAGCAAAAGGTCAAGAATGGACGTCAGCCACCCAGATGGCCATGGGTGCTTAGACCTTGATTGGTAATTTGACTTCAGCTGAGCTCAAAGTCTGGGATACGGGAGCTTCGTCGAATGCTGGTGCATATATATGGGGGCGCCATTTTCTGTGATGGCTGAGTCGAGCGGGGAGCATTGGGAGGTATTCCCTTACATACTTCCATGGATTGCTCTAGGCACTGCAATGTACACCGTGAGCATGCAGTAGGATTGATGTAGACGTATTGACCAGGTTACCACTGCGCCAAGCAAGTAAGCTAGGAGTTTTATCAGCGTGATATTTGGTTGCCGTGGCCTGTAACGTAGTAGTTGATTGTCTTGGCAACCGATCAGCAGGAAGTTTCACGATCCCACAAAGTGCAATATGATGGGAGTAGCGTGGGGGCTTCTAATCGGAAGAACGGTACACCGGCTAATTAATCGTGTAGTCTGGCGTCTGAAGTCTGGAGTATTGTATGTTGTACATCGGCCTCTCTGGAGCCCCGCACTCTTGGCTGCGGATGGCGTAGGCTAAGGGCCATGGATTGATTGATGATAGTGTACTCCGTAGACAGTAGAAACAGCAGAGCCATGGTAGAGCAATTCGGGCCGGTCGCGAATCCATGGAACCCATCTGAGTGTATTGAAAGAGTCTTGGGCTCGGGAATAACTCTCTTATGCCCAGGTGGATACAGTGATGAAAGAGATGTCCCCATTCGGCAGGACACGAGGTGATCGCTGTGTTGGCCAAGCCATCCGCCTGCGAGAAATAGTCAGATCATCAGATCAGATCAGAAGTTGTTGTCTTATGTTCGGGGCCGTGCAACGTCCAGGGAGTATGTAGGGGGTTCAAGATAGGGTGGCTCAAGTGGTTCCAGTTGAGTCGATGTCAGCGTTTCTGCCCAGGAGCAGGGAGTTCTGAATATTCTGTTGAAGGGTCAAATGGGGTTTTAGGAGAATAACCCTAAAGATCCTGAGCTGTCAGTCCAAATGGAGGAATGGAATAGAGGCATGAGCGCAGTGGTACGACACCAGTGGATGTGAGATGCCGAAGTTTAGCCCTTTTTGTTCTCGGAAGCAAGGTGATTGGAGCCAAGGAGCACTGCACACTGGATATGTTTGCCCAGACGTGGCTGGGACGAGGTTGACAGTCGTGGACAGGGGGTTCTCACCCTGTCCTGGGGAATCCCTGCCTAACCTCGTTAACATCGTGTACCAGCCACAATTGTGCCTCCCTTTTCAAGGATCAATTCAGTTGTCTCCAGTGAACTCCAGTGGCGATTAGCTAGAGCCAATAAAAGAACACAGCGTAAAACAAATTAGTGGGATAGTGCATATTTGTGATGTCGATCCCTGATTTCTCCACCTTTTCTTGTTATTCGACGCCATGCACCCTATTTGCAGAACCCCCCTGTTCCTGAGGAAACATCTGATATTTAAGAAACCACGACCCCCGCCATTGGAGCTGCTACAAGCCCTCTTGACGCCAACCTTGCCGAACCAGCAATTGTGTTCTTGCTGTTCAGGTGGAACTTGCAACCCGACATTGTTTAGAGCTCTCTCACAATGAAGTTCGGGTGGCTTGAGGCCAGCTTGACGGCTGCCTCAGTGGCAAATGCCAATGTAAGTTGTTCAAGTCAAGAGCTCCAGCAAAATGAATGCTAACTGAGTCGGGCAGTCACTTGCCTATTCACCTCCCTACTATCCCTCTCCATGGATGACTGGCGCTGGCGAATGGTCCGACGCATATGAACGTGCCGTTGAATTTGTCTCAAGCCTGACACTAGCTGAGAAGGTCAATTTGACGACCGGTACTGGCTGGCAGCAGGAGCGATGTGTCGGTGAGACCGGTGGGATTCCGCGACTTGGCATGTGGGGATTGTGTATGCAGGACTCACCGTTGGGTTTACGTTTCAGTAAGATTGTCCATTTTGAATAGGTTTGATACTGCAGTCGGCTAACACAACCTCAACAGGCGACTACAACTCCGCTTTCGCCTCGGGTGTCAATGTTGCCGCAACATGGGACAAGGAACTTGCCTACCAGCGTGGTTTGGCAATGGGAGAGGAACACCGTGACAAGGGTGTCGATGTGCAATTAGGTCCTGTTGCTGGCCCTCTGGGCAAGTACCCCGAAGGTGGTCGCAACTGGGAGGGATTCTCGCCTGACCCCGTTTTGACCGGTGTGATGATGGCCGAGACCATCAAGGGCATTCAAGATGCCGGTGTCATTGCCTGCGCTAAGCATTTCATTGGTAACGAACAAGAGCAGTTCCGTCAGTCCGGCGAGGCTCAAGGATACGGTTACAACATCACACAGAGTTCGAGCTCCAACATTGACGACAAGACTTTACACGAGTTGTATCTCTGGCCATTCGTGGATTCTATCCGTGCAGGCGTTGGCTCTGTCATGTGCTCCTACAACCAGATTAACAACAGCTATGGTTGCGCAAACAGCTATACTCTCAACAAAGTGCTCAAGGGCGAGCTCGGATTCCAGGGCTTTATTATGAGTGACTGGGGCGCCCACCACAGCGGTGTCAGCTCGACTCTGGCCGGGTTGGATATGTCCATGCCCGGTGATGTCTATCTTGGCAGTCCTTACACCTACTGGGGAACCAACTTGACTATCTCCGTTCTGAACGGCACTGTCCCCGAATGGCGTGTTGACGATATGGCCGTTCGAATCATGGCTGCTTACTACAAGGTTGGACGTGACCAAATCCGTACTCCCCCCAACTTCAGCTCATGGACTCGCGATGAGTACAACTTCGAGCACTTCATCGTCAGCGAGAACTGGAGCAAGCTCAACGAGCGCGTCAACGTTCAGCGAGACCACGCCAAGGGCATCCGCAAGCTTGGCTCCGACAGCACCGTGTTGCTCAAGAACAAGGGTGCATTGCCTCTTACCCATGACGAGAAATTCATTGCCATCTTGGGAGAGGATGCAGGCTCCAACCCCCGTGGTGCCAATGGCTGCGCCGACCGCGGCTGTGATGACGGTACATTAGCCATGGGCTGGGGCAGTGGAACTGCCAACTTCCCTTACCTGATCACCCCGGAGCAAGCCATCCTGAGTGAAGCCTTAGATTACGGTGATGGGCGCACTAACGTCTTCAGCGTGACTGATAATTGGGCCCTCAAGGAGATGGCCTCCACTGCCTCTCAGGCCGACGTTGCTCTGGTCTTCGTGAACGCCGACTCTGGTGAAGGTTTTATCAGTGTCGACGGCAATGAGGGTGATCGCAAGAACATGACTCTCTGGAAGAATGGCGAGGAGGTGATCCAGACCGCTGCCCAGAACTGTAACAACACTATTGTCGTTATCCACAGCTCAGCTGCTGTTCTTATCGGCGACTGGTACGACCATGAGAATATTACTGCCATCGTCTGGGCTGGTCTGCCTGGTCAGGAGAGTGGTCGCAGCTTGACAGATGTCTTGTACGGTCGCGTCAATCCTGGAGCTAAGACACCTTTCACCTGGGGCAGAACCCGCGAGGACTACGGACCCCCTCTTCTCACTGTAACCAACAATGGCGCCGATGCGCCCCAAGATAACTTTGAGGATGGTGTGTTCATCGACTACCGCCGCTTTGACAAGGATAACACGGAGCCCATCTATGAGTTTGGCTACGGTCTGAGCTACACCACTTTCGCCTTCTCTGACCTCAAGGTCACCCCACTTGCCTCATCCGAATACAAACCGACCACTGGAAAGAGCAAGCAGGCTCCCGTATTTGGTGAGCCTGGTGATGTTTCGGAGAACTTGTTCCCCGAGGGTATCACTCGCGTCCGCCAATACCTCTATCCGTGGTTGAACTCCACCGACCTACGCGCCTCCTCTGGCGATCCAGACTACGGTATGGACTCCAAAGATTACCTTCCCGAAGGCGCAGTCGATGGTTCTCCCCAGGACCTTCTTCCCTCTAGCGGCAACTCCGGTGGCAACCCCGGCCTGTTTGAAGACCTCTACCAGGTGACCGCTACCATCACCAACACGGGTTCTGTGACCGGTGATGAGGTTCCCCAGCTGTATGTCTCACTCGGCGGCGACTGCGAACCCGTCAAGGTCTTGCGCCAGTTTGACCGAGTCACCATTGCCGCTGGCGAGACAGTCCAATGGACTACCACTTTGACCCGTCGCGATGTCTCCAACTGGGATGTTGTGTCACAGAACTGGGTCATCTCTGACGCCCCGAAGAAGATCTATGTGGGTAACTCATCGCGCAAGCTGCCTCTCCACGCCGAGTTACCCTCGGTTCAGTAGATGCATCGCTCTTTTGAGAACAGGAGGATAGACATGTCCACACCAGTCATTTCCTAAAGGGTGTACAGCCAGCATTGCGTTTTTGCACATATTTATTTTTTAAAAAAAAGGCATGCCTCCTGGGACCCTTACATTGATAGTTAATGAAACTCCCTCTCAATTTGTACAATTTCCAGAAAATCCATCTACAGATGTCGTGATCGGCGAGTATAGGCCTTGGCTGCACATGAGATCCAGGTAGCCTATCAACCGAATTCACCCCGATCTACTCAACATCCTACACCAACTCATACAAAAACCACCTATCCATTAAATCTCTTAAACTCATTCAAAAAGCTCTGAAAACTCCATCAAAATGGAAGCCATTCGCGTCCACCCAGCACCACCCTCAGAGGAACCATACTCCCCAACCAACCCCGCCCCATCATCAGCCCTACACAAAGACAAAATCCCCATTCCAACTCCAACAGCCGCAAACCAGCTCCTCGTCCGCATAAAAGCAACAACCATAATCCGCGACATGCTCACATGGCCAGAGACATACCACGGTCCCTACGCAATCCCGGGCCACGACTTCTCCGGCACAGTGGAATCCACATCCCCAACCTCCCCATTCAAACCCGGCGACGCCATATTCGGCATGGCGCACGCAGATCGCGCCTCAACATGGGCCGAGTACGCCCTCGTCCTAACCAGCGAAGTAGCCCCCAAACCCCCGAATCTCGGGTGGGAAGAAGCAGCCGCCCTACCGCTGAGCGCGCAGACGGCGTACGAGGCGCTTTTTGTGCATGCGGGCCTGGCGCTTCCGCTTGCTTTGGGAGCTGCGGAAGCGGAGCCAGAGAAGGAGGACCAGGAGGATGGTCGCGGTGCTGAGAAGTTGGAAAAGAGGGTTTTGATCACTGGTGCTGCGGGTGGGGTGGGGATTTATCTTGTTCAGCTTGCTGCGCGGGCTGGTGTGCATGTTGTTGCGGCTAGTGGGTCGGTTCGACGGAATGGGGAGTTTTTGAAATCGTTGGGGGCGGATGAGGTCGTTGAGTATGCGGGTTTGGGAGAGATTGGAGAGAAGCGGTTTGATGTTATTGTTGATTGTGTTGGTGGGGATTTGCTTGCAAGTTGTTGGGGGTTTGTGAAGGATGAGGGGACTTTGATTTCGGTTGATTCGGCGAGTTTTGATTTCGTCGCTGTGCATGAGGAGTTGGGGTTGAAGAAGGATGGAGTGAAAGCGTTGTTTTTTATTATTCAGGGGAGTGGTGAGACTTTGCGTGTGCTGGGCGATTTGGCTGCGAGAGGAGAGTTGCGGTCGTTTGTTGCTGCCAGTTTTGGGATTGATCGGGTTAGGGAGGCGTATGATTATGCCAATGGGAGGTTTGAGGGTCGAGGGAAGGTTGTGCTCACTGTTTGACTGAGATGATGTCTTGGGATGGCATTGTCTTGTTTGATCTCTACGTCAGTGATGCGAATCAGAGTAGTTATTGAATGACCTGGGGGCGAATGATGAAGTATATCATTCCTCTTCAAGCTGTGAATCTACAGGAAACCAGAAGAAGAATCGTTGAAATGACTTTTGGTCCCGAAACTCCATTCTGTCATGCATCACTCCTCGGTCATTGCCTTATCTATTCATCGGATTTGTCTTGAAATGCCTCTAACAAACTTCTGAAAGCTGATCCTTCCTTTGCCAAAAGCGCCTTGGGTGTATCAAACTCCACGACTCTGCCATTCTCCATGAGAGCAACCTTATCAAAGTCTAGAATCGTATGCAGCTTGTGCGCAATAGCGATGATAGTTTGATTCTTGAAATGAGTCCGAATGACAGATTGCATGAGCGTGTCTGTTTCCGAATCGACGCTGCAAGATATGGTTAACACATATTTATACACCGGTTGTGTTTTGACATACCTGCTCGTAGCCTCATCCATAATAACAATATTACTGGTCTTGCAAAGTGCCCGTGCGAGGCAAAACAGCTGTTGCTGCCCATGGGATAGAAAATCATCAGACATATCAACATCCAGCCCGCCTTTGGTTTCAATATAGGACCATAGATTGACTGCCTGAAGAGAGGCAATGATTGTCTCATCAGTTGCGTGCCCTTCTGGGTTGGCGTTCAGCCGTACCGTGCCATGCAGGAAAAAGGGCTGCTGGGGAATAGTGTTGATCCTGGATCGAACGTGCGCTCTAGAGACTCTTGATATGTCTATGCCGTCAATAAGAATTTTACCGCTGTCTAGCTCAAGTATACGTAGGATTGTTGAAATGAGGGAGGATTTCCCGCTAATATAAGAATCAGTAAACCTGGATGGAAAGATATTAGTCTTGATATGGGACAACACAAACCTGCCAGTTCGTCCACAGAAAGCAACTTTTTCACCAGGATGGATCTTAAGATTGATCCCCTTCAAAACAGGTGCTGAGGAGGGACTGAAAATAGGATTAACATGTATCCAGAAATATTTGAAAAATATCCAAGTGCTCACTCGTAAGATGCCGAAAGGTCCACAATATCCACGCCACCCCACTGAGGCCAGTCCTCAGGAACATCATCTTTTTCGCAATACAAATCTTCATTTGGAGCTTGTCGTGCATATGAGCGAATTCTCGAAACAGCTCCAATCGAGCTTTCCAACCTGATCCAATAAGTCACAAGCACCTGAAGGGTGGAGCTGAAATTGACAATGTTGAATAACGCAATGCCCAGCAAATTTGTAGAAGGACGGCCTCTCATCGATATTGCAATCGCAATGACAATAATGGCAATGCAGGCTACTACCGAGTCCAACACAAGACTCATCCAGCGCTGGATGCAATAAAGCAGATAGAAAGGACGCTGAGAAAGATCCAGGGCGATTTGATTGCGGCGCTGGTAATCTTCTGTCCAGCCATACGCTCGAATGCTGGAGAGACCGTTGAGGGCCTCCAAGAACTGGGAGAATAGAGGTGCTTTGGCCTCAATGTTCAGTAGACGCAACTGACGGGAGGTCTTGACGTAGAACTTTGCCACGTAGTAAACCACCAGGATGCAGAAGGGGATCACTGCTGCTGTGACGTAGGAAGAACCAATGAAGATTAGGAGACCCTCTACAACACAACTTATAGCACAATTGACTGTTAGCTCTAAGGCTGAGGGAAGCTCATCATCAATGAGCTCGAGATCTTGGCTGAATCTGCAAAGAATAAATGAGATTAGTGAAACGCAAATTCTCATACGTAACTAAATAACTGACCTGTTTGTAGTGTTTCCAATATCTGTAGAAGTCAAAAAGGAGGTTGTGGCTCTGTATCAAGGGTCAGAACCAGTCAAAACTCGACACTACACAACCAATCTTACCCCATTGTGCTACGCAGAAGAATCTCATGGAACCGACGGGCTGTTTTGGGCTGTATATACATGGCGAGTATCCTGTATATTATTAGCGATAGCAAACAGCCTTGTCAAGGGATGTTGTACCAAGTGCCAAGGAATGTGGTTAGAAGTGAGAAGAAACCAAGTCCAGCATATACACCCAGCCAATACCCAACATGTTCATTTGGATGCTGCTCATTGGCACGAGTCCACCAATGCAGCCAGATCTCTGTGCAATATGTTAGTAACGAGTAAAACTACCAGATACTTGGGTAGTTTGAAAAACTGACGAGGAAAGCTTAGACCGAGGACAAAGAGAACACAGCATGCGAGGAAGATCGACAAAAGAGGCCAGCCAATGTTCTCGAAATAAAAGCGATAGACAGTCCAGTCGCCGGTTCGCCGAGCTGAATCTTCGGTATTTTGTTCGTCCAAATTCAATGCCTGCAATGTTTCGTCATCTAGTACAATCTCCGAGGCCCAAGCAGTATCAGTTGAATGGGAACCTCCACAAAGCATATTGATATGGCCATTGGCACCCATGAGGTCGTAATACGACCCTTGTTGGGTAATTCTCCCATCTCCATTCAATACGACAACATTATCGGCATAGAGAAGATGATGTGCTGTCATAATTTCAGTTAATTAAAATTCACGTACAGATAGAGGATATACGCAGACCTGAGTTTGTCGTCATGATTACAGTTTGTCGTAAACGCTTGATGCAACCGTGCTCAGCGAAGACGTTATCTAGGATCATCTTCTCTGTTTCTCGGTCAAGACCCGTTAGGGCATCATCCAAAACAAGGACCGGCTCTTTTGAATAAAGAGCTCGTGCAAGCGCCTAAAAGATGTTTTCTCAACGTGAGTTCTCTCATACACAAAGTTCAAGTATCATACCACGCGCATTTGCTGCCCACCACTGAGTCGAGAGCCACGGACACCAACTTTGGTTTGGTCCCCAGCAGGAAGTTGCTGCAAATCAGCTTGTAGAGCACATGCATAAGTTACCTGGTCATACCAAGGTTGATCCCACCGCGAGGAACCAATGATATTTTCTTGGACTGTCCCGAATGTAATCCATGGCGACTGATTGCAATATGCGGCATGGGCGAAGCTAGTAGAAATCGAGCCAGAGCATTCTGGAACTTCCCCTATTAACATCTTCAAGAAAGTAGACTTGCCACTGCCAACTGGCCCAACAATCATTGTAATCTTGAATGCTGGGATTTCAAGCTTCAGGTCTTTGAGCACAGGCTCGCTATCAATCGACCAAGCTGCAGAAACGTTTCTCAGGACAGCACAAGATTCGGTATATTGATCCGAGGCCGAGGAATCTGTTTCAAATAGGGGCGCCGTTTGAGTCTCAGAGACATCGTGCTTCAGCCGATAATCGACTCTTTCGGTTTCCATCATGTGTTTCTGGATTCGCTGGAAGCAGTTCATCACCGCCACCAGATCCTCTGAACCACGCAAAAGAGAAACCATCGGTTGATCCAACAAGGAAAATAGTGTTAAAGCAGAAAACGCCATGCTGTTGGTCAGTGTGGCTGTATCATTTGCCCGGGCAAGAATAATATAAACACCAAATCCGAACACCGGCGCTAATGCAGAAGAAGCAAAACCTGAAGAATTAGTAAAATCTCTCATCAGGTAAATATAGACATACTCAATGTGATTACCAATGCTTCGTAGAGTCTAAACCAAAAAGAAGCATTGATTTCCGTAGATCGTAGATCGCGAAGACTGCCCGATATGGCTTCCGTCAAACCTGTCATCTTGATGTTTTTCATCACTCCGAGAACTTTCGAGGTAACAGCCACCCGTTCCTCAACGGCTTCAAGCCATGTGTCTTGTGCCTTACCAGAACCGATCGCAAGAGGAATCCCTGCTACCAAACACGCTGTTTCAGGGTCGAATCAATCAGGAGTTGTTCAGAATAAGCAGCAAATTGTATAGACGTACCAACCACGAAAACGGTAGATGCGATTGTCGCTACATTAATAAGTCGGGCAAGAAGCCACAATGCCAGACCAATCTCGATAAAGTTTGAGTATGTCTCGTGCATATCTGCAAGACCGACACTAATGCGCTCGATGTCGGTACTCATCAGCGTGATAGCGGCGGTGTCCGACACGGCAGTAGTGCTCATACGTAGTGTTTTGTTGAAGATGAGTGTGACCAAGCTTCCTCGAACCATAGTGATGATGCGGTATGTATTGTGCTCGTAAGCAGCGTATGATACCTAAATTCAGAATCAGTCAGATTCTCACCAAGGCACGGAAAGTCACATACAGCGATGCCAAGATACACAATAGCATATGCACCTATAAGTCCGTAGGCGTAGTTGTTTGAGTTGACATGTTCTGGTTCAGTCATAAAATCAAGAACGCGCTCCACAAGAAATGGCTGCACAAAGAGAAACCCTGTGTATACAAGTCTAGGTAAAACACCCTGGAGAAAGACCCATTTGTAGTGCGACACGAATATCCATAGAAGGGAGTTTTTTTGATATTTGTTGGCTAGGATATTGATTAATCACCTTTCCGGTAAGAGAGGTTGGATCTCGTAAGCTCACCATTGTCCCATTTTTCAAAAAGAGACTGAGGATTGGAAGCAGCCCTGATGTCGTTGGCGAGAACAGGCAGACTTTCCACTGTCAGGATATCTTTGGATCCGCGCCAAAGTAGTTCGTTCAGCCACCAAAAGAGCGCACGGTTTAGGATACCACTGGTGGACTCGATTGGGCTATTTTCATAATTCTTTCTGAGCGAGGATCGCTTTTCGGTCGCCTCTAGGACAAGGATTGTTGCTTTGATAACCCATGATATAGCAAACAAGGTAGTCACAGTCTGGCTGGCAGGGATGAAATACAGAGTCCGCAGTCGTGGAAGGTCGAAAAGCAGCGTGAATCCGAGGAAAACATTGATGACTGTGGAAGGACGTATCGAGCGGAGGTGCTCAAGATGAGACAGGTATGATAGAAAGAGAGAAGTGACTACGGTCACAAAGCTTGTTGTGACAGTTGCCCTCGTCCTAGGAGTAACTGGTTGGCTCCAGACAATTAGCAGCACCATATGGCATCCTATGTACAGCACCCAAAAGAACTGTGCGATGTCAGTTAGAGGAATGTGGGGATATACAAGAACTCGGTGAACCACGCACCTCCTTCGTCGCGTATAACCATGACCGATTGACCCTTTCAGAAGTATGAAGAAGTTTCCAAATGCGAATCAGCGCTGGCAAACAAACGCAGCCAATTGGCGCGAGGGTGAGAATGCTCTCTTCGAACAAGAGCGTAAAATCAAAGCCTTGTAGACAAGAAGGGGCGACTATTGGGCCAAAGATGTCCTCGACATCCACAGAGCATCCTGAGTCCCCCATGTTTAGGCGCTAATTGTTGGAGATCGTTTTGTGCGGAGATGCGGCTTAAGAGGAAAAATGGGGAAAGGGCCCAGAGCGGGGAGATCGCTGCCTAAACGATGAGCATTTGACTCCGACTGACTCAACGGCAACCCTCAATGTCAGAGATTACACAAGGTACATCCTCGATTTGAGCTATCACAGAGACTTTCAGCCCTGCGAATCCGGATGCTCCAATGTTATAGGGGCCCTCAACTCAGCGGGACCGACGCCTGGAAAGGTTGGTGGCGTTGATCGACGCAGAATGCCGTTCCCATTTGGGCGCTATTTGCGAAAATATAAGAGCCTCTATTTGGTTCTAGTATTTCCCATAAGCTCGATACGCGAAAGAAATTGCCTCCTGCAGTGCTAAGACAGAAACAGGCATGGAACGCCTGAGAGCGAACTTGTACGAGCAGTACCTCCTCGCACGAGTTTCCCGGAGAACATGACATGCAAGGGCTAAATCATGACCCTTTTCGCTCAGAAATGGTGCTTTTTATCTCAATTGCCCTCCGCTCTGCAATCCTGTGTGGCCACCATATGGTGTCGGATACTTTATTCGATGCGAGACTATAGGCAAAACATCAGTAGGGCTCGAACCCGCCTCTTGAAATGAAACCAAGGTTCACTCTTTTGCACGACAATATAAAGCCCCCCTCTTTGACTACTCTGAGAATCCAGCCATGCATCCGACCGTTCTCTGGGCGGCAATAGAACAGGAACCGCACAGTGTTTTGCTCACCGTGTCCAATCTGGGATCTTCCATATCACCAACTGGCTAATAGCAAGGGACATAGTCGCGAATTGTTGACAATTAATTGGAAGATCCGTATGCCATGGGCGAAGCATAGCCCTATCAACAGCGGGTCATATAGCTCAGCTGGATGTTCCGACCGAAGGAGTAGGGCCTATAGTAAAAGCACCATTGTAAGGGATAATCCCGGCCTGCAGTCATCCATGGATGAGGCAATGTTGTCAGATCGCAGAGTCATTGTATCCATGACCGACCGGGGCATTTCAATTGTATTTCTTGGAGCAGGAGTGTCGCCCAGTAAGTTGCTCCCATTGGTGGTGGAGTGTGCAAAAGCGACTCGTATACGGGCGACATACCGGTATTGACGCACCCCATAACTGCCCAGGGGCCAGGTGGTGAGTCGATGGACATGCGCTGAACTTATTTTATCGCATGGTTCGATAACCCATGGGGTTATATCTCGACCCAGGCTTGGAAAGGCAGGCTGCAATGGCCTCCCGAGATATGCTTTAGCGACATCGCATATGCTAGTGATCGTTTTGGCCCCCACAAGGCTTGTGTTAGTTCAACTTAAGCACTGGGTTGAGGCGCAGTTTGATATAATGTCACCGTCAAGGAATCCACTGTTGGGGAGCTGTTCCTGCTTAGCACAGCCTTGCGATGGAAGGAATGGGCAACCACCTCCCTACCACCAGGGGATGCCGTACAATATGCACAGAGGGGATGGACCAAACTCTTTTGATCAATCTCAACAATATCCCCAACCGGGCGTGAAGCGATAGATGTAGTGGACAAATGATAGTCTCATATATTAGAGTGCTCTCTTTGCTCCTTATTTCTGGATCTAGACTGTTGACAAAGCTCAAGCTGTCGTATAATCTCCCAGGATAGAGAGAGTATACCTACCTAGGTAGCTGCAATGACACTACACCTTTCCAACAGTACCGCTACGAACTATAGCGACTCTTTTAGATCCATCACACTTACCGAAACCCGATTATCTGTTCCAGACAGTACTCCAGCAGAATGCACGACCAGGTACCGGCCTCCCTCCTCCGACAACACCCGGAGAGACCGTGTGTATCCATGCTCTTCAGGCGAAGCAATCTCCGTCCACTCTCCTTCGCCAAGAGCCTTATTGATAAACAAAGTACTCTGTGTACCAGAGCTTGCGATGATGGTACCATTCTTTCCGCCGTACGGTGTCCACACCACATACGGCGATGATGTCGGCTGAGTACCACTAGAGACAACCAGACGCTGGCCCGGGGCGGAAGCCATCTTTTCTGGGTCGGACGAGATGCGATAGTATAGAGGGAAGGAGTAGCTTGAGGTATCGAAGAAGGAGCCGAACTCATAGATATAGAAATATTTGCCGTTTGGGAGCTAGATATGTCAGTATCTTTTGGTCATGTCTCGGGATAGTCTTAGGGTCTCTGCGGGGCAGCTTACTTTTGTCACAACTGGCATTCCGGGTCGGTCGGTGTATGTTGGATAGGTGACATCCTCTATGACAGGGCCCCAGCTCTTCAGATCGGTTGAGACTTGGTGGACCATTGTCTGCCCGTAGGTTGCGTTGTCACGCTGGTCCGAGTAATAACAGATCAGCTTTCCCTTACTATGGGTATATCAGCAGGTTATTTCACGGTACATTGGAATAAACAAAGAGAGAGAGAGAGCGACAGAATATTACGTACTGCGCAAGAAGGAAAGGCTCCCACACGGGAGTCAGTCCATTGATCGGCTGCGCCTCTCCTCCAGCAGCGATATGGCTAACAAACTTCCAAGTCACGCCATGATCCTGTGATGCATAAAGATCGATGTTGGTGGAAGACAGGTCGGTTGGAATGCTACTTCCGGCGAGAAGCAAAGTGCCTTTCTTGAATGAACCAATGCGCTCGGGCAGGTGATACAGGAACGGCTGGTAACGCAGGCCATAGCCGTTGGCGGTGTCATGGACTTTTGAGATCTCCTTCCATGTCTTGCCATGATCTTTGGAGCGGTAGATAGGGAAGTAGACCATTGGTAGCTCTGGAGAGTAATTTTCCCATGTTGCGAGCAGGTCTCCATTGGGAAGCTGTTCGTTGCGTGGGTAAAGTGTCCGCGGAATATTGTAGTCGGGGGGTGGTGAGAAGATAGTCACATTTGTGAGTGAGCTAGGAGAAGATTGCTTAGAGCGTGAAATTGTCACTGCAGTGACAGTCGCAGCAAAAGCCAGCAACTGGAGGATTTTCATGATCACTATACTGGAGCCAGAGCTAATTGTTGCTTGTATTCTACTTAGATATCAGCGATTTAGTCCTCCTTTTATAACTCACATTTATCATATATCTGAAGATAGCCTGGCTAATACTCTATGATATTCCGCGACTATCCCGCCGGAATTGACCTTATTCTGGACAAATCTGAGGTTATTTCACCGGCCAACGCCCTGGGGAATATTTCCATCAATCGCGCACGGCCATTAAGCATCCGGGGAAATGAGCATATGTCGGAGCCAGTACGGAGAACTTGCCCGGGAGATATCACGTCAAATCTGGAGGACTGATTTCCAAGGCGTTTTTCATGATGTAAGAGACGGGTGTAAGCACGTTTCCCTGTGGGCTGTGAGGCACAAAAGGAAGACAACTCCCGACCCTGCACGGAGCGCGTGGAATACGAGGTATCACCCTAACAACCCTTTGACTTTGGTCTGACCATTTCGTAAATCAAATGCCAGGGTTCGATCTTCGTCGGTGGCGCAGTGGAGGTCTAAATAGACCCTGAATCTAAGGTTCTGCCAACGTCAAGGGACATATTCTGCGCCAACTCTTCTGGATTAACTCCAACCCTATCACCTGCGACCTGATCGTTGATGTGCAATCTAAAAGAAGTGCGCAGCAACAAGGCTCCACGAAAGTAATTTGGCCCCCGTGTCAGCCAAATTTAGGGCCCCAAAACTGCGGAGCGGCCAATGAAATGCGCGGACGACGTTGGGGCCTCGCAACACACAGCCTGCCAACAGCCAACACAGCGAATATGGCGATGATCTGCTGGCGACTAGCAAAAAATAGTAATCTGCCAAGCTCAGCCCTCGAGACTATTTTGGCTTATATCGTAGTTGCAGGATGGGAGCTTATATACCTTGGTTAGGCAACGTTTTCTAGGTTCATAACTCAGCTGCACTCTATCGGGTTTGACACTCCAGTAGGGGCGTTTCTCACATATACCCAAAGCAAACTTCTTTTCTCTAAGTCAGATACTGTACCTGTCTCAAAATGACACCCACCGACCTCGTTAGTCGGCCAAAAGGCCAATGGAAACAGTCGACAGGGAAATGGCGGCGATCGACCAAGGACCTGGTCGGTCGTTCAACAGCCGTCTGGGATAATTCGAAGTATAACTACCATCAATCAACGATGGAAATGTGGCACAAATCAGCAGATACCTGGAATAATTCCAAGGATCGGTGCCAACAGTCAGCTAAATCGGTGCTTTATCGATCGGTGTTAAGATGGAACCAAACCGCGGATCAGTTACATCAAGTCGCGCGGATTGAAGACTCAAATGAACGAACGACCCAAGAGCCAACCGAGCTTCAGGTATCTCCGCCATCATCACGGCTATCACAATCATCACAATCACGATTCTACTCGCAGCTCTCCAACTCTCCGCAATCAACAAACCAATCGCCCAATACCGCAGCCGAGTTGCCCGCACCACCCAAGTCAATCAGTCCCTCCATCAAGCGATCCTCGCTATCTCCAGAGCAACAGATTATAGAGTTTTACGAGGCACTCATCCCAGTCAAATCACTGGTGGCGCAGACAAAAAAGACACGGGATGACAAGCAGAAATCTCTAGCCGAGATCGAGCTGGAATGGGTCAACTCAACCATCTCCGAGACCGAGCACGCTGTCGACAATTTATTTGCATTCATAGGGCCATTTTGGATCAATCAATGCAAGGAAACCCAAGTCAGCTCGCAAGACTGCAAAAGCTGGAGCCGCCGCAACTATCAGCGTGCCATGGAAAGGAAATCCCACATGCTCCTTTGCTACAGCAAAGTCGAGACGGTGTTGGGTCATCTCAAATCATTACAAGCGGTCTCAAGTCCTAAAGATGGCATAATTGTCGCTTCGTCTAGGAGTTTGTCGGTCGCTTCTATTACCACGGAGCTCTCATGTGATACGAAGGCCGTACCGGTGTTCGAGCTTCGATCTTTGCCCCCTGTGCCGACAATTATCGTGACACAATATGATGGAGATCGGGTCGATGGAACTTCCCCTGTTGCTGGAACTCCTCCTCCGAGCTATGAAGCAAGTAGAATGGATAACACAGAACAGTTACGTTGACCGATCGCATCACCGGGATGCCCAGAGAACTGGTTTCTAGGCTATGTGGCAACCTTTTTGTTTAGCAAATTATGACAGACTCGATACCCTCATGAATTATGAAGTCAGCATTTTTTTATATATGATGGATCGTGTGGTTTCCACCTTTCTTTGTTTGTACATATCCAAGCACTCTATTTTTCTATCTTGGCTCTAAATGCCCCTCAAAACTTACTTGAGAACAAAAGACACTACCGTGACTTCTTAAACTATTCGTCGAATTATTCAATCCTGGACGGTCTTTGTCTAAAGACGCGATTGCGTATCAAGACGTTTGATCTCGTCCGCCACAGTGTCGACTGCCTCAGCCGCCATTCCATATCCAGCCTGGAAGCCGGTTCCACCAGCACCGTAGTTATGGACAAGGATTCCCCGGCGTCCCTCAGCACCAACTTGCACACTTTCCTTGGCAACACGAGCACCTCCCTCGCGAGATGGACGTAGTCCAGCAAATGCGCCCAGGACCTCAGTCTCGTTGGAATCAAGAGCAGGAAGCAAAGCCTTCGTCCGCGACAGGATTGATTCTGTTTCTTCTCCAAAGGTATCCGGGGTGCTGTTGATAGCAATCAGTCACTGTCATATGTCATACCAATGAATAGCAGCAATGGACTATTAAAGGTTTGGACGTTGTGAAGATTCCACTTACGAGACATTCTTTTGCATGTATCCACCCAAGACCACATTTCCATTCGAGTACGGTCGAGGAATCACATAAGTCTCATAGTCCTTGCCGTGTCTCATAATATTCTGTTGAACGTGAGATGCTTTTACGAGCAGAATCTGGCCTCTGGTGGGGAAACATTTCGAGTCCTGAACTCCCTTCAACTCTCTCGCTGCGTTTCCGATGCAGTTAAATACCATCTTCGTATCCTTGCTGAGATAACCAGCCGAGACATGAGATATCTTTTTGCGAACGACGCGCACTCCATATTCTTGAGTGAGTTTTTGGTATAGATAGCGAATGTGCATTGGGGCATTGATCGTTACTGTGGTGAATTCAATTCCAAATTCAACACCCGCTGGCAGGTCCTGTGTGGGGATCTCCTTGAACTGCACCAGGTTAATATCAGTATACATATATATTTGACATTGAGGATAGAGATCATCCATTACTCACGTTTTTTAGGTACTCTGCCATGGATTCAATCTTTGAACGGGGTGGTAACTCATCCCAGTACTCGGTGGAAGAGGTCTCCTTGACAAACGCATTTTTACCATCCCTCGCTGCAAGATCGAGAAGATACGTGTATCCAAGCTTGTCCCATCGCAAGGCATTTGGATCACTTGCAGAAATCGCAGAGAAATTGGCGCCGGCCCTGCACTTTGGTCAGTCTTGGAGAATCTATATCGGCAAGTAAGTTTCCAACGGACCACGGTGAAGTATAATTCACAGACGTGTCTCCTGGAAGATGCTCTGCAATGACGGTCGTGTATTGGGCGTAACCCTTTTCGGCAAGAACGAGGGCTACATTCAACCCAATCACACCGGCTCTTGAAAAAAGCAGTCAATATCAGTATCAACAATGAAGTCTGAAGCAGTGGCGTGTTTCGTTCTTACCCGATAACCACTATAGACTCGTTTTTCATCTCGAATATTTCTCTTGACCTTGACTGACCTCTAGCTTCTTGCTTTTCTCTCTTTCTGTGATCTATTACATTTGAAATTCTTAAATATAGCTGCAAGCAAGGGCAGTCGATCAAAATGGTACGATATCAGCCCTATACCGCGGTAAAGTCCGCGGCCCACGGACCCATTGACAAGCTCCGATTGGCCGCATGGCCCGGAGGGGATAGGCGGTATCGCCAATAATTGGCCAATAAGCACAACGGCCAAAGAGCCCCTTCGCCAGCAGATTATCGTCGCGCAAGTTCACAGAGATTTTTCATTTGAGTAAAGATTGAGCTATTTGTTTTTGTTCCAGCAAATTGAAACAAATAAAATAGATAAGGACAAGAAATGATGGCCGTATTTGAACATTCGTTCAAAAGGGATCTCGTCTTATCTTTCAAGGAATGCTTCAGGGCGTAAGTGAGAAAATGAGATCAACTACTCATAGATTGCAAAGATAACATATTTAATGTTTTATATGCCATCCTGCTACAATATTCACAGCGAACCCGGTTTTCTATCATATGCTCTGGACGATAGGTAATGGGCCGGCGTGTGGACCATCGTTCCGAGATCGATCCACTCTGATATCAAGTTGCTGGGACCAAGACACGCCACATCGAATGCGTCAACCACTTGCTACGGACATGATACTTCGTACTTCGTACTCCGTATGCTGTGTTGACATGTTTATTCTCCGTAGCGAAGTCAACGCAGACAGCATAGCTTACCTGAATCGGTAGTCCGGTATTCGCAATATTGACGCTCAGAGGAAATTGGGATCTTCCCTTATTGCCACCCTCCATAGGGTTGAGAGAACAATTCCTCGCAGCTCAGCGATAAAACCAAAAACAAAGAGCGCATCGGGACCACATAGATTCTTGAGCCTAGATTGGAATGCGTCTAGAAGACGTGGCAAGCTAGTCGACTATTTGACGTAAAGTCTCGAATGCAAATTCTTCATCGACGAAAATAGCGCGTGGGGGCTGGGCCGCAAACGCGACGACCCGATGTCGAGTAAGGCGTCACCGCGATACGGGTTTCTTTGGTTTGTTTAAAATGGATCTTCCACATGTTATACGGAGTCCGCAGGGCTCCGTAGAGCGTCAGCATGATTGAAACAATAGCCCATTGACTCATTACCTGACAATGGTGTATGAGCGGGAAAAAAAGGAGCTGGTGTTTCATCGCCATAGTTGATACCGTTAGTGCCCGAGAGGCCCACAGGTCCACTTTGTATAGTTGCGACATAATTGTCTCCCCCTTCCCCTTTCCTTGCCTTCTCCTTTATCGCCCTGTCCGCTTGATCCGGAATGTGTGGTATGGAAGTATCGGAGTATGGTAATGCTTCTCTCAGTACTGCATGTCTCCGTATATCCCTCAATGTCTCATGAAGTAAATACCTCCAAATTCCCAATTTGCAAGAAAGACGGTAATTCGATATGGGGCACGAAAAGAAAAGTGGTCTAGACCTCCAAGACGCTAGACCGCGAACAGTGGGTAATCTCGATCATATACCTAATGTGGCAAGAATCAAACCAGATTTTTCATATTCGATACGCGATGAGCCAAAAAATGGCGCAGTGCAGTACTTTGTATGTCGGCGGACATATCTCGGCGGTGATTTTTCGGTGACCCATCGGTTCACAGTCGGTTCACAGTTTTAAAATAACCTTGACGCCATATCATCGTTTCTAGCTATTTGGATATAAAGCCCACACGATCGCCGTGCCAGAATCAAATCAGAAATCATAATTTTCACAAATCATTAATCCATTATGGCGGGTTTTATCCATTCACAAGAATCGTCACCTAAAACGAGCATTTCTCAATCTTCCTCTGTCGAGGACTTCCATTCTCACCATGAGTCACACGCTTCGCCTCTCCAGCGTCTGAAGAAACGGTGGAAGCACATTCAAAAGAAGTGGGGGCCTCTCATGGCTGCCAAAGAGAACTGGGATGACGAGTACACTTTCCCGTCGGGCCGATATGCTGGACAAGGGATATAACTTTCATCTTTAACTTCGACAATGGTGAGTCCACTATCTCGTGCTTTACATGGCGATCGCATCATGTTCTAACGTGAAGAATAGTACACGTTGTCCAGAACCTCCGGATGTTGTCATCCAAAACTAAGGAACGCCACTTGCCAATCATTCGATCTTTTGCGATCGTCCTACTATCAGATCGGACTGCCTTCAACACATCTTAGCTTTTTCTCACGATACCAACGAACACAACGAAAAACAGCGCTTTCTTCGGGGAAGCTCAGGCGGGGACTATTTTGCATCATGGCGTTATCCTTCTTTCGAGAGCCACAGTCTGGCAGTTTGGTGGACATCCTGGAGTATTGAAGATCGATGTACTTCCTCGAAGACCTATACTTCCTTTCTGTCTCCTCATCTCACTTTTGATATCCATATATCATATTAATATAATAGATAATAAATTCAGCTTCCTTGGATATTGGTCCAATCATCGATTTGCCCTTCATTTTGCTTGACAGGAGGGTATGTAAAGAGATGTAAATAAGTAGGAGGTGCAAATAGTACATTAGAAGTAGAAGTAGATGCAGGAAGTTGATCAATTTGATCTTTCTGGCCCAGCCCAAAATCTGACCGTCGCTTTCAAAGGATCGTATACCTAGACTGCATGTGTACTTCACATGTTGACACGATTCAAACCTAGTCACAGCGTAAACGAGAGGCAACAGAACAGAGAAATCAAGCTGAATTCCCAAACATATTCAAGTTCAAGCGCAAAGTTCTCTGTTCGTGTACCAACCTAACGCCTTGAAAGTGGAGTGCAACCTGATTATAATTTCCGAGGTCCGTGTCAGATGCTTAGCTCTAAATTTAGAACAAGGGTCAGGGAAGGTGACTTTAGGACATGAGTACCGTTTGCAGGTATTCACTTCGGTTCCTAATCCACAGAAGCTTCGGGCTTCTGTCCATAAACAACCCTCACTTTCGTGTACAGATGGTACGATGTATCCCGCAACTCTGTGCGAATTCCAGCCAACAGTCCCTCGATCTCAGCTCGGGTCCACCCAAGCACTCTCGTGAATAGTGCATATGTGTAGATAGGCATAGCCTCGAGCATGTTAAGCTGGTGATACCGTCCAAGCTCCTTGAGTTTGGGATCTTTTGGCCACGGACTTTGGGGCAGCTACTCGATAGTAAGCATGGGTGTGCTGTTGAGAAAGGAGTTGGGCGAAAAATACCTTGTAAACATCTTCTCTGACGTTGACGAAGCCGGCTTTTTTCATCCGATCCTTCCATGACGGTGCAGAGGCCATGTCTTTGCCGAAAACCTTGGCTGACTCGTGCATGTGTTTGATGGAAAGCATAAAATTCGTTGCGGCGAGGTGAGTACCGTCGTCTGAATAGGTGTTGGCCTCGAAGCTCGCCATTTCGAACCATCCATTGGGATTGAGGTTTTCGAGTGCCTGGTGAAAGAGACGATCGTGGTCGCGAATAGAGCCTTCTAATTCGCGCCCGTGGATGTAGTCAAACGGTTTGCTGTATGACCATGGTTCTTCAAAATCGTCAATCTCAAAACGGCAGTTCGGGGGTACCCTGAACGTATATCAGCGAGTGATCGTTATTTGACACAGCCACGGATTAGCAGCGGCTCTTACCATGATGGTTGGATAGCGCTCAGGTCAATTCCTGCTTTACTTAGTCGATATTGAGATTGAAAGGTAGATTTGTGCCCATACCAATCACTTCCGATTCTGGATTTAGACTATATTGCCCGTTAGGTGCTGGATCGAACCAAAGATTTAGGGAATACTTACTCGGCGTATTCAATTGCCCATAACCCGGTTCCTGTTCCGAGATCCAGTACTCTCTTTGGATTTTTGACTGGAGCCTGAAGCAATTCTCCTTTGAGGAGCATGAGATAGATGTGATGGCCCTGAAGTACGTTAGCGACATATCACGTTGCAATTAACATGTGAAAACTGACTAGATCAAGACGATCTTGTTCTCGTTCATCATTTGGCTGTTCGATCATTAGTCTCAGACAAAAATTACATATTGGCAGCAAGACATACCAGAACATATTCTCCTTCATGATATGAATGATATCGACGGCCATTCTTTGTCTGATTAGCACAATATGGCCATCAATTGCCGGTGCAACATACTTCATATCTGAATCTATTAGTAATCTTCGGGTACATAATCAGGCGCATTTAGTACATACTGGTAGTTCAACGCGCTTGATGTCAGACTTGTGGTGTAACTAGCATCGTCAAGGCTAAGTATCATTGTCAGCGGGATCGACTGGAGAACATCAAAATCACTGAAACTCACGAGTTAGTGTATGACGAGCTCCCATCGGAGTTGTACTATTAATATTAGTAAATTGATCAGATGTCACACCCCAAATGGAAGAGAAAATATATTAGACAAACAAAGATGATCTTTGGGGGCACTTACATCAGGCTCAATAGGCGTCGATTCGCTGCACGCGCTGGGAGACATGTTGAATAGTTCGGGCTGAGCCTATGAGGCCTAAACACGACCGCAGAGACGAGCCGTGTTCAGAGCAAAAGTTCAGAAGAAAAACAAAAAGCGAAAAGTGCAATAAGCACATGGAGTCTTGACCCCCTTATGACCCCTCTGGCTTCAAGGCAGTTATTAGCGTTCCAAATTGTCGGGTCCACCGCTACAACGTGGTTTGAAGACGGTTATTGCGCCGTCCTCCCGTTATAGCTGAAAGGATACCGCGGCAGGTATCTTTTACCCGGGCATGTTTTGCCCGGGCTTGGGGGGCTTTCAGGCATTATGCCAATGCCAGTGGCTAGGCAATTGTTAGCGTATTGATCGGTCTAGGATTAGCCCACTGTTGTGTGATGATCCGCAGAATCAGAAAGGGGCTGGTTGGTGTCCAATCAAGGGGGCGTATGGCAGTGAGAAACGGCGACACGAGCGGGCCAACTCCGTCTGGGCACACGCCCCATCTCCCCGCGAGCTTTTTTGGGGCCGTGACGAAGCCCCATTTAACCCAATACCTACCCCAGTTTGCAGCTGCATTTCTTTTTCCCTGGGAGATCTCACACTAGTGGGGTGAGAGGCTCCCCAGAACTCTGACCCAAATCAGGTTGGTCTGCAATAATCCTCCTTAAAGCGGGGCGTGCAAATGAATACCAAGTACTTTTTTTTTCACCCAGCCCTCTGGGCGCTCCATAATCCGTATTCATATCAGACAACTTGTGCAATTCGCTGCTAGTCGCACAACTATTTGTACCGTCGATCCCGACAGTCTGGTCGTTCGCCACTAAGTGGAGGTGAAGACTCCCTCTGTCAGGAATGTCGGGTCAGCCCGATTCTCAATCTTTTGGGAAGTTTGCTGGTGTGATCCAGCTTGCAGCCAGGCAGTTTGGCATTTATCACAAACAGCCCTGGAAGCACGGTTAACATTGTGTATCTTATTGAGCAAGGATGTATGTTGTAGGCTTCGGAGTTGGATTTCAACATGTCACGTGGTGAGGTCGACTCTATTCGCAAGTGAGGATGATCTATCCAAGTGAGAGCTGAACATTGAACACATACTATGTGGATACACTATGCATTGGTCACTCTACGTTAGATTTCCGATGAGATACTGTGAATCGGGTGCATATCAACGAGCCACCTTCTTCCCAGCTAGATTATTACCCACAACTGGATTTACACTCTTCTTTGCCATTGGAGATCATAGCCAAATCACCTTCTTTGCATCGAATCCTTTGGGCTCATCGGTCCATGGGAGTACATAACCTCGTTGATTACTCACAATTCGGATTCCACCCTCCTTGAATTCTGTTGAGTAATGCGTATGTCCAAACTCCCAGGTACGCACACCATTCCAGGGTTGAGACAAAAGATCGGTGCCAAATGCAGCGCTCCAAGGATTTTGCGCATGACCTGGGCTCGATGTACGGTGCATAGAGGGCGCATGGTGCGTCGCAATCAGGATTGACCGTTTAGAGTCTTTCGAAGGACTGGCTTTGTGCTGGTTTTGTATTGATTGGATCTCATCGCGTAACCAAGACCAATTGGATTGATGTGCCGCGTTGTGTTTATCAACAGTCCAGTCCTCGATTTTCTGGAAGCCTTGGATTTTGCAATGGACGATATCTTTGGATGATTCTGGGATGTGAGACCAAAGGGTACATCCTAGTACGGTGACGTTGGAGTCCGGGATATCATATCGTCGCTTGTGGAGCAAAATGAGTCGCCCGTTCAAGCATGGCTCCCGTTCAAGACATCTTGCAGTCTCGAGTACTGACTCGAAAGATCCTCCGTAGAACTCGTGGTTACCAAGGATAAGTAAAACTAACTCAAAGTGCCCCGTTTGTTAGTGCCCCGTTTGTTTTTGGAGAAAATCAAGGCATTGATCGTATTCTTCTATACGACCAATATCCCCAGCTAGTAACAGGTATTTTGAGGCGACAGGCACTTCGAACGTGAGGTACTGCTGGTTGACCTCCAAATGCAGGTCAGAGAGAGTCTGGAAGGAGACAGATGGCCGACTGGATAGACTCCGAATGACCTGAGCCATTGCTCTGTCCGATATTTTCTGGTGGTTGTTTATTCTTGGGGGGATCCGTCAACTTTTCCTTCTGTAATATCGACAAGGCCCTCGACAGTCTGAGTGTCCGCCAACACCGGCTCCGGTCAAGACATGATTGTAGAGACAAATGGGACGAAATATAGCCGTTGCACTATTGGTATCTCTCAGTATAACTTTCAGTGCAGTGCGAGCAAAGTATAGTTCCTGGTCGCTACCTAAATACCTGAGAGAATCGAATGCTGGCACCCCAAACGGACAAGGATCCAGTTCATAGCCTGGTTACTTGGAAGGAGCAGATAGTCATGGTCGGTGATAGAGCATAACTTTCATAAACAGACAACAGCATCCGATGTAGTGTAGGGGTTATCACTGCGCTCTTTCACAGCGCGAACCGGGGTTCGAATCCCCGCATCGGAGTTTCTTTTTTTGGTTTCTTTTTCTCTTTTTGGTCAACTGTATTGCAAGCTGCACGCGGTAACATTTTTTAATGGAAGATATTATTAGAAGGGGATGCGTGTTCAAATTTTGAAGAAGGTATGTATATTTCCAGCTACGTCTTCAGCAAAACTATATGTTGTACTTCCGCCTCAACTTCCGATCTATATTCACACGAGTCCATCAACAACACTTTAAACTCCACGCTATTAACGATTTGTAATTTATTGGTCTTGAGTCTTGACAGTTAGAAGATGATAACTCACTAAGCCTTACTTTTGAATATCACGTTAGTGACACATCTATTCTAGGTACGTACCTCTACCTCCTACCTGTACTCCGTACGGTAATCGAAAAAGAAAGCCCTTAGAATCTTAGAACTTCAGCGCTAAAAGCTACGATGAATATTTGAAATGCTCATAGTTATGAATACCGCAACTTTTAACAACAACATCCGATGTAGTGTAGGGGTTATCACTGCGCTCTTTCACAGCGCGAACCGGGGTTCGAATCCCCGCATCGGAGTTCTCTTTTTGCATGTTTCAGATAGCTTGCCATAACAATCTTTATTTTTTTGCACCCTTCATTTCATATCCGAAATAGTTCGGATCAAAGGGAAATCCCGAGGGACAGGAAGACATTCGACCGTTGACATGTTATACACACTATATACCTACAGTTGAATGATCTAGGGTCATTCTTGCCCCAGAGGTGGAACTACGGGAAACTGCAACTCGAGCTATTCGATACGTACATAGATAAACAAAAGGGCAAACGGAGAAACCGGAAGATGGGGGGTTGAGAGTCTTAAACTGAGATGCCTGCCTTGTTTGCATATTTCCTGGTCGAGCATTCAGAACATTAAAAGGTCGAGACGCCCAGATGACCTCAGTCTCGCTGAAGCAAACTATAGGTGAAGACATTATCTAGAATGCAGATACATGAACTGTACAAGAAAATAAAGGGGGTGGAAAGAAAAAGAAAAAGAGAAAGGGAACTACAAGTATACCAGTTTAGATGAATTGAGATATTGCTGAAAGAACTTTAATTCAAGGTAATGATGACAGGCTATTATAGTTGCGTGGTAGTAATTGCGACCCCAGAATCCACAGATCCTGACTTTCCAGCCACCTGCTGTTTCATAAAGCCAGCAAAGAATCGTGACATCTGCTCGTAATCATCCACCTCACCAATCCAACTGATGTACTGATCAGGGCGAATGATGACACTGCAACCGCGACCCGTATCAATGCCATAGTTGGCATAAGCCTGGCCATGTCCCTCATGGTAAGACTCCTCGTCGACGTGGACCTTCCAATAATCCCATCCCTGGTCACCGTGGAGGGGGTGGAACGCATCCGGAAGATCAAGAAGCTCAATGTCCCTTCGTGGACCGGAGTGAACAGTCAGGACCTCAATCACGCTATCGATGGGCTTGCCTGGTGGTGTGAATCGGCGAATGAAAGAGTCGGGTGCTCCCAAATCTGCACCCAACTTCTCGTAGCGCTGCATATTAATAGTTTCGGTGAGTTTTCCAGGGAAAACAATCACGCGCCAGCGCCCGTTGCTCTTCAATAGTTCTTGCAGGTGCCATGGACGTGCATCAGCGTGGTTCAAGACCTTGAAACTAGGAATGCGCTTGCCGATGTCAAGCTTTGTGGCCAGCTGTGGGTTGCTGATGGCTTGCTTCGATGTGTTGCTCTTCTCTGTGATATCATTTGCCTTTGCAACAATGACACTAGCATCGTAGTTGACAGCTATAGAGTTTGAGGTCAGTTCTGAGAGTATTTCTAAAATAAATGGAAAAAAAACTTACCGGTGCCACTTGCAAACTCATTTCCTTTTTCGAATGCCTTCTTGAACTCACCCATGCTGACTCCCTCTTCATCCATGATATCCTTGGCTGGACGTCCAGAGAAGAGCCGAGAGAATTTTTGATCGAAAGCAATCAGTTGCTGTGCGATCAACTTTCTCTCCGACTCGTATGTCTGGAGAATTGAGGGATCGCTGACGCCGTTGACCACATGTGCGATCTTCCATCCTAGGTTATATGCTATTCAAATGGTGAGGATAAATCCAAGGCACATCAAAGCTCGGAGAACTTACTATCTTGCATACTGACGTTCATACCCTGTCCGGCCTTGGGAGAGTGTGTGTGGACAGCATCGCCTGCCAGGAAGACACGATCGCGCAGCGAGAAGTTATCGCCCACTCGCTGGCCAATCTGGTAGGCGGTCCACCAGTCACAGTAGGCATAATCAAGTTTATATGGGTGCAAGATGCGCTGGGCAGATTGCAGGATGATCTCCGGGGTGATCCAAGATCGGTCAGCCTTGGCACCACTCTTCTGATAACTTGTTGACTGGAGCTGGATATATAGTCGGACAAGTTTGTTCTCGCGAGGAATGACCATCACACTACCCGCATTAGCGGAGTGGATAGCGCATCGGTGGCGGATATCGGGGAAGTCTGTGATGGGAATAATATCGAGCACACCCCAGATGTAATCCGTGGAGTCACCTTCTAAGCTGGAGCCAATCTGACGACGCACCCAAGAATGGGCGCCATCACAGCCCACCATGAATTTAGCCTTGACGATCTCCATTTCATTGGCGTGATTAGTGGCCTCTGCCCGCCGAATAAGCTCATCGGTGTCATCGGCAGCCAAGTTGCTCCTGAATAATCCATCCTCGATCTCTGTCTGTTGACCATCAGAGGTCTTCTGGTGCTCATGTCGTTGTTGGGGTGTGGCTTCCTCCTCAGATAGGGTGCGAAGCATAACACTGATAGGGTAGTCTTCGAAGTCGGCTGCTTTGGCCTCGTCGAAGTCAAAAGATGTGGGCAATATACCACGCTCAACGCGGATATCACTGTGTGCCTTGATTGAATCGAGGAAGAACTGCTCGATGCGACCCTGGTGAAGTACAACCTGCTGGAAGCGACTGATTCCAGGAATGGTGTCGGGAATCCGGTCGGATCGCTGGATTCTGCCACTCTCGTCGGGATTCCAAAGGCAGATCTCGAGCATATGGTTTGCCTCGCTCCAAGCACGCTGGGCGAAACCGAAGGAATCCAAGATCTCGAGAGTACGACATTGCAGGCCGTCCGCCTGGCCATTGTAAACCTGCATCAGAGTCAGTTTGTATCGTGGTGCTGATCTCCGCACCAGAATTTACCTTTGAGCCACGCTTATCCACGATGCGAGTCTTGACTCCGCAGCGACTTAGCCAGTTGGCCAGCATCAGCCCAGCGGGCCCAGCACCGACAATGAGGACATCCACATAGTCCTCTTTAGTTGGGATTGTACCTGGCATATTGAGATTTGTTTTGCACGTATGACTTTGAGATGGGAAACACAAGTATCATGTTCGAGAATATCGTGGCTTCTTATATACTTTAGTTCAACATTTTTAGGTCCAAGTCTGGACCGAGGACATCGGAGATTGTGGGGTAGGTGTTTCTCCAGATTACCCCAGAAGAAGGGATGTGCAGCGAGGCTTCACATGATAGGTTGACTGGCGTTCCGAAATGGAAGGCTTCGGACCCGAAGGCTTTGGGGCTGCCAACTTGATCGAGCTTCCGATCGGAAGATTGTTTACTCCGGACGCCTCTCTTTCATTTGCTCTGTTTTTTCTCCCTGCTGGGATTGAATAGAATACCCTTTTTGCGGGGATTCACCAATTCCACTGCAGACTCATTCCTACTGTCGCGTATTCAACATCCAAATGTCTTCCTCGCCAAGGCTAAGGTTTGATTCAGGGCTACGGGGGTTCGGATTCGGATGACCATTTCGGAAGTTGTTTGTACGGTCAACCACGGTCCACACGTGTACGGAGTACGGAGTACACGTAAGTCACCGGACTAGTGGACCTAGGTATGTACCTTATCTAGGTACATGGTACCTCTCGCCGTGGATATGATCGGCCCGTCAAGTAAGCAGGTCTTGATAGAATACGTACTTTTCTCACCCCATCCTCGATCTGATGTCGGATGCTACTGAAGATTCCAACTAAGCATTCTTTCTTCTGGCAACACGGGAGTGCCAGAAAATTGAAGCGTTCCTGACGATTCTCTTCTCGGAGTTAGCTGCACATATATCTTGTCTGTGCGCCAAATCCATGGCTTGAGGGTTTCGCTCCTGGCCTGTCCTGTCCTCGCATTGTCTTCTACCACGCTGTTCTCGTGTGAATTCCTGAACCCTCTCAAAATCCTGGACTTACAAATAGAATCTGTATTAAGAAAAGATAGATTACCCGAAAATCATCTCATTGGGTCTAATAGTAACAAATCGGCCTAAAATTGTCCAATGTAGATGACTGCTACGTTCATGAAACGACATTGGCAACGGGCTCCTTCGAATTTGCAAAGGCGTCGATGCTCTACTTGGAACCCCATCATACCTCACACTGTCGGACATCTGAGATTGTGACTCATTTCTATAGAATGTCACTAGTTCAATCTTTCTCGCCTTATATTTTCCGGTCCCTTTCTTCGCTTCCATCCTTTTCGTTCTATCGTTTCCCTTGTGACGTTGCGATAATAGCGATTTCGAAGGTATAACTTTCATGGTGATTGTGTAGCATCTTTATATATGCATATGCTGGAGAACATAATATCTCTTGGGGCGGTACCTCAGTTGGGAGAGGGCTCGACTGAAGTTCGAGAGGTCGCCGGTTCGATCCCGGCTCGCCCCATTACTTTTTTGTTTTTGTTTTATTCTTCTTTGACACGAACACAATTCCTACTTTTTTTATATTAAGACCTAGGTGGCCGGCCGACATACACGTACGTTCTTTTCGAGCTATCAGCTGAACTAGGTTGTTAGTAATAATGGGGAACCTTAAGGAGAGAACCAAAACTAGGTACATGTATATACGTGTATGTATATTTATATCATATCTACCCTTTTATACATGTATGTACCGGATTGGTGTCACTCGATTACCATATATATATTTGGAAATGGCATGTGTCCCCAGCGTTGGGACTTGTCAACGCTACCCCCGTTTTGACTATTCGGCAGAATGCTGCTCTTAGGTACATACATGTAGCCTGCCGGAAGCCCGGAACGCCGGCACAAAAATCATAATTAGTACCATAGCTGCAGATATCATTGAGATCTCTAGACAATTCTATACCACCCAGAGAGATCCCTCCTTCCATGCAAACTCAGTATTATAGAGATTTATCGATCGAGTTATTGTTGAAACTACACATGCTATATCCACACATGCTATATCATATACCTTGTATCGTCAACACGAGCCATACGGACACCTTATTTCCAGGCCTCGAAACACACCCGATCCCCCATAGCCTCCGGGCCAGGCAACTGCAACACACGGGGATACATACAGATATTCATACGAAGTGCGTACACAAAAAGCAGGTGCAATTTTACTTTTTTTTTTTTTCTCACCGGAGGATCGTATTTCATCTCGAATTGAACTGCATTCCCATCTAGACGGCCTTGGATTGTGACTAGAGCCGAGTAGCTAGATTCCATGATTTCATACGTAGTCGAAGGAGGGACCTGGAGATGAATATGCACTCGATACCAATGCTCCGAAGATTAGACATCATCTCAATGGATCCTAACACACTGCATTCGTAGCAATTCCCAGCCAGAACTTTGGCTAACCACTTCTCACATGCTCCCACACAGACCAAATTATATATTTTATAATAAGCACTGTGCTCCCTAGGCACTAACTCTCTCTCTCTTTTTGTTTGGACTGCCTGGAGAAACCCCTAAAACCGAGACAAAGTTGATTGGAGGGAGCCTAGAGGCTTCACGATGCAAGTATCTTGGAATATTCATTTGAAAAAGTGTTATAGGCTTATATAGCCATATGTTGCAAACAAAACATATACCATGGGGCGGTACCTCAGTTGGGAGAGGGCTCGACTGAAGTTCGAGAGGTCGCCGGTTCGATCCCGGCTCGCCCCATTACTTTTTGTTTTTATCTTCTTCGCCCCTCCACGTTGTAAGAAATTAGAAAACCAATCTTTTTTTTATATCACTGTCACGACCCTGGCATGCGGTGTGCACTGAAGCCATTGGCTACGGAATACATGTATCCCAACAAAATAGATACTCACCAAAGCCGAATAGACTGCAGCTCACGTTCCATCGAAGAGCTAGGTCATTTTCTACCTAGCTATCTGCTGAGCTGGTGTCAACATTTTGTAAGTTACTTACTTCTGATGAAAATTTTCCGAACACACCAGATGACCCGGTGTTGGAAGCTTGCCAGTGAAATTTTTGGACTTTATCTTATGTGCCGCCTCGTTGGAGCTGCCCAACTCGACAAGAGAGGCCTCGAAGTTGATGTCATATACCTCCCTGCTAGAGTTGTCATTTTTAATCTCTGTACATGTATGTGGTACCGCTTTCTCTCCTATCTCCCTATACCCTCGAGCGTCATATCCAAGGGGTTGTTCTATATACCGGATTAATGATCTTGTCGGACTAGACGAGGTTGGGTTTGTAGAAGGTGCATTCGTGTATACAAAGCACGTCAAGTCAGCAGATGTATAGGCGTATATCGCTCAAGCTGGGGCTGAGACTTCTGTACAAAAGATCGAAAAGGACCAGTCACCCTCAACCACCGATGGTCTTATAGTGACCTGCTGGCTGCTATGACGGATGGTCTTAAAGGTCGGTTTATCGCTTGAATGACACCCTATCATACCAGAAAATGACATTTCCGAGATAAAAATAGCTTTCATATTCGACAACGCGAAGTAATTATGATTTAAACGAAAAATTAGGGCCAACGTGCCAATTCCGACAATCATGAATCATGAGAAAAATTCCAGGTGATTTTTCTGGGCATCGCTTAGAGCAGATCGTTAATCGTTACCATCTGCATATAAAAACGATATTTGATTTACAAAGGATCGGTGTTGAGCATAGAAGCGGGCGAGTCGCGGAGATGGGGCTAGATATTTAAGGTAGTCTCCAACTTTAGCAAGTGAGGAACTGCATAACTTGAGCTGGTAGGCTCGATAGTCGAGAATGTGATGGCTTGTCTTGAATTGAAACCTCAAATGACTATGAGTGAGCCATGTTTCTTCTCATGCTAAATATATGCCCAGTGTAGTTTTCATTCAGAGCATTGTCGGTATTGTTTCAATGATAGACAGATCAAATTCCCTCCTCGTCATCTCCCCCGTTGGCCCCTGCTGCTGGTGCCAACCTGATATTCCAGCCTGGTAAAATTCATGTAGTAGATCTTTCTCCTCCACCATAGATGACTGGTCGATCCGTGAGTTAGCGCGAACCCCACGGCATGCCCTGCTCATCTATTTGAACACATCTATACGAGTGAGTAACAGTATATGACCTATTAATGAAATCTTTGTTTTTCTATGGGCGACACATCTCGCAGGGGTATAAATCGGCAGGCGATCATCTTCCTTTGCAGTGCTCGCTCGCTTCACACAGAATCATCATCTAACCCGGTGAAGGAGGAATACGAGAGCAGGAGAGATATCTCATTACGATATCGAATGTGCTGCCGAGATTGCGGGCTTAGAAATAACTGGACTGTATGCTTAAACTTGGATACGGTCAGTATCTTTACGGGATCATACACCTGTATAGTCCGGATTACCTAAAGAAAGGCCTGTTGAAGTTTGTCATATGGCCCTCCTGTGTAAGGTTGGTCTATATTCCTTCTTTCTTGGCCAAAAGAGTGTGATTTCCCAAGTCAGCCATTGGAGTGTAAATCTCCGTCGAACTTCTCTTTTTTCCGTTGATTGTTTCACAATATTCCGAAGGTTATTTATCTTAAAGGACAAATTTCTAATCGATACAGAGTGTTGTTTATGTGCACAGTGAATACAGTGGTGGGGGGATCTGCATTTGTACCTCTAGTATACGAACAGATCACTTCCACGCTTCAACTCACCATCAAATACCAAAAAAAACAAAAAGATAAGAGACCAATGGGGCGAGCCGGGATCGAACCGGCGACCTCTCGAACTTCAGTCGAGCCCTCTCCCAACTGAGGTACCGCCCCACTTGTATGTTCGAGTTGCTCTATATGGCTAAATGAGTGAGCCGAAAGTTGTAGAGCCCGTAGCCCGGGAGACACCGCCCGGGAGGATAGCCAGTGTAATCAATAGCAAACAATAACTTCCACGGTTCAAGACCTGTTCCTCTTATTGGAATAGTATGGGAGAAAGAGAACTGAGTTGCTTTTTATAGATAAGAGTACCTTCATATGCTGCCACTAAAAAAGGCTGGATACAGCTACAAATGGAGACGGATACACAGTTGATAATCACCTCAGTAACCTGGTTTACCAAAACCAGACCCAACGAATGAAAACATTAAATACAGGAGATGAATGGGGAGGACAGAAAAGAAAGAACAGGCTGTTTTTGGGAAAAAAGAAATCGAAAGTAGTAGATATTCAGAGCCCAAAAGGATAGGTCTCGCCCTGTCCAAGTGGAGTGTCGGGCTGAATGACTTCCAAGGGTTTGACAGCCTGAGTCTTATCAAACCAAATATAACCATCAAATTGCTTGTGAATGAATGCTTGTGAGTAATGAGAAGCGCGCTCGGTATCAGGCCGGTAGATAACACCAATGAAGCGCTGGAGCCGTTGTTCATCAGCGAGAGCAGAGCGTAGAGTGGGATCTATATGTTCTTTGCGCAAGTCAAGAATGAAACTTGGCACTCCAGTGTTATGAGCGACAATTTCCCAACTATCATCTCTGGATGGACGAACGGACATGACCTCCATGTCATCGTCCCACTCGTGGGCAGCTGCGACAGTGCCAGTGTGAGTTCCACAACCGAGAATCGTCACATTCTCGCGGCCTAGTCGCTCACGACATAGTTGACCGATGTTGAGTTCCTTGCGGCGATAGCCCATGCTCGTATAGCGAGCATCTCCGACGTGAGAATTGTGTGCCCACACGATGGCTTTCTGTCCCTCCTTGTGCTTCAACATGCGTTCCAAAGTTTCAAACATGTGCATGTCGCGCAGATTCCATGAACTTGCTGAGCTGTAGTACATGGCTTTGTAATACTTCTCAGCATCACGAACCAAGTGGGCATTTTGCTCGCTACTGTGGATATCCTCGCCATCTTGCAAGTTGCGTTCTGCATACTCGAGCCGTCGCTCCAAGAGATCTCCGAGCATCTTTATTACTGGGCGTTCGCAATCTTCCATGCCGCGGAGAGATGCCAGCCCATATGATGTGGGATCATCCACCCAGGGCTCCAGGCATCCATACCGCTGGCGCGCCTGCTTGCCTGCCTGTGGGTCTACACGATCCAGGTAGTCGATCACAGCACGGATCGAAGCGCCCATGCTGTATAGATCCAGTCCATAGAACCCGGCTCTTTGCTCTAGTGGGAGCTGTTGGTTTCGATCCCGCATCCACTCAACTAGCTGTTGCATTTCGGCATTTCTCCACATCCAGGTAGGAAATCGCTTGAAGGGCTCGTATCCTTTCGCGGTTCCTCCAATCTGTGCCTTGGGGCCTGGTCGCAAGCGCACGTATCGGTCAATGGCCTCTGCATCCGGCCAATCTGCCTCAACAGCGACCATGGTATATCCATGTCGCTCGATGAGTCGCTTCGTAATCTCTGCGCGTGCGGAATAGAATTCAGATGTTCCGTGACTACCATCACCCAGAAGAATCACTTGTTTACCCGCAAAGGCATCGAAGTGGGACGCGAAAGCTTTGTCTTTGATCGCAGGCAGTGGGTGCACCGCCCTGTTGAAGAGTTCTTGTAGATGAGACATCCTGTTTGTTCGGAAAAGAGACGCCAAGCGCATTGAATGGATAAGTTGGGGTTGGGGATATCTTCACGAAGTATATCTCCCACAGGTGAATACTTTGAGCATCAAGAAGCCGAGGATTACACACGGAGTTTTTCATCTTCCTTCCTCAACACATTTCGCCTCTCTTTTGACGGGAATATTCCTAGCGAATTATTTACATTCCGAAAACTGAACAGTCATTATGACTTCATTTTTGGAGGCAACATCACAACGCCCGGATCCTGATAACATTCGAATAAATGACATTTGAAGATAAAAGTCAATATCAAATGCAAGTGTCCAAGTCGCTATTGTTCAAACCCACGACTAGACAAATAGTGATTCCAATCACTAATTATACATATGCTCCATTTGTCTTCAAACGACACACATCGAAAATGGCTCTCCCAATCAGCAGCCCATCACCCCGTCTAGATCGCTTCGGACAAGCCATGCAATCTGTTTACGGAAGTTTCACCAGCATCGAGAATCCAAAAGACTGGACCCCACCGCCAAGATCGGGCGGCCATCGGGGACGTTACCTATGGACAGATGCATTTGGGGTTATCAACTTTCTCACAATGCATAACGAGTATAAAAGATCGGGCAACGAGGATTTTGGCGATGACCGGTACCTAGTGCTGGCCAGCCGTTTGGTCGAGACCGTCCATGAAATTCTTGGTAAAACGCGAGACGGCCGCTCAAGGCTACGAGGAGCAACAGACGCGAACCCATTAGCCGGTGGATTGAGGATCGGCAAGACAGATGCTCGCGGTCCAGACGCTGATGGGCAATATCATCATTACCTAACGGTGTGGATGTTTGCATTGAACAGGATGACCAGAGCATCTGGGGATATGAAGTACAATAGGCAAGCTATAGAGCTGGCAAAAGCGATCCATCCGAGGTTTTTCATTGATCGTGCGGCACCTCGGCCGAGAATGATTTGGAAGATGAGCATGGATCTCTCGGAACCAATGGTCAAATCCGAGGGCAATCTTGATCCGATTGATGGTTATGTTGTTTTCCGACTCCTACAGGCTACAGCCATCGAAGCAGGCGATGGCGCAGTCTTGACCGAGGAAATTGACGACTACAAACGCACAATGGAGCGCAAAGGAGAGCATTTTGTTTCAAGTGATCCTCTGGATTTAGGGATGACTTTGTGGACAGCACATTGGTTTTCCGAGCGAGAGAACTGGGCTGCTGAGCTAGCTGGGAAATGTTTCGAGCAAATATGTGAGTGATCTTGTAGCGATGGAGATGGGGTAAAGAATCAAGCTGACCGATGAGCTTAGACAATCTGTTTGAGATCAATCGATATTTGGAGCGTAATATTAGGTACCGATTGGCCTTTCGTGAGTTCGGTACTTCCATGGGCATTCAATGCCAATCCGAAGTGAGCGTGGAAAAAGAGCGCTCAGTGGATTTGAAATGCTATTCTGATGCCATCATTGCTGCTTGGGACCCGTATATGCACCTGGCCATATCTGATGATTTGACACCAGAGGATTTGAGGCCTATAACGCGAGTGATGTATGCATCGGCGTTGATCCCAGGGGGTAAGTCAAGTTGACATGATTCTGCGATATTCTCAGGATGTTAACATTGAAATCTTCGATTCCAGCATTTCGAGCCGGGTTTTTGGGCCAGGAACCAGCGGTATCGCTCGAAGGATGAACTTCTTTCAGATATCTGGCGCAGCATCGTTGCGCATCGTTTCTGAACAGGGACATTTGTTCGTAGTTTCAAGATTAGAATGAAGACGAGAAGCGCGCTTCCTTTTTGTCTAAAACAACGCAATCTATCATTATAAACTAGCTCACTCACAGATACCAAGAAATTGGTCTCAAGTAATAAAACAAGTGTCTACACCCCTGGAAGTCCAATCACGTCCCTCAATGATGTCACCCATCTTGGAAGTATATAGATGGCATACAGAGCACTCAAAGCGATGCATAGGCCAGACCACTGAAAATATAAGGTTAGCCTAAACATATTTACCTTGACAGGATTGGGCGCAGGAAAACACATACCTTTTCGAGCCATGTATGGAACCAAATCGCGGTCATGAAGAGCATCCACCAATCCAAGCCCACCACAGCCCAAACAAGACGGAGTGACCACGTCTTTGCGAATCCATTAGGTTCTGCCAGCCCGACTGCTGGTGTACTATCGGCATCACTAGCCTTGCGCTCACGTCCAGCGTCTCCAGGAGGACTAAAATGAGACAAAAATGCGGGTGCGCTAGCTCCAACAGCCTCGAATGTCAGAAGTCCCGTGGCTAGAACTAGCATGAGGACATGCCCGCTAATATCATGTCCGCCTTGCCAAGCACCACCGGCAGCCTTGCATGTCGTAGCTGTGAACAGTGTTTCCAGATCGCTGGGGTCGCCGTGTCCAGCGGCCATTCTCCCGACTTCCTCAAAAGCCTGTTCGCATTTTCCGCCCGTCGCCACAAAACCGCGATCGATTATCGCCGGGCCAAAGAACCATTGTGTTGCAAGATACCATACTGTTGTCACGAGTGCGTAGCGCAGGATGGCTTGAAGCGTGCGCCGGAAGCGTGTTGCTTGGTGCGAGGAGGATGTCTGACTTGGGGCGTATAGGGGTTGGAAAATAAGAAGAGACACAAAGGCAGCTGTTGTCCATAGCCATCCAATTTTCACGAAGTAGATGTTGAAGACATTATTCTTCCGAGCGAAGTAGTTGACAGGGCTTTCGGATAGATGTAGGTCTGCGGCCAGTGAGGGGGCGAGAGGGCTGGTTGAGTGTATGGAAGGGCCGGACAAATCTCTAGAAGAGCGCGCTGTGGGTGAGATAATTGAGAACAGGGATCCGAGTAATAATGTTGCTGGGTATATGAGGAGAACAGCCGCAGGGGGGACGGCAGGTCGCGACGTGGCTGCGGCCATGGTCGCAAGCACAGGTTAGGATTTGAGCAGAGGAAAAAAAGGTGATAACTTGTAAGATAGGCAGAGCAGGTTCACCCAGAGATTCAAACAGGAGCATAGAGCATATTAGTTGCAATTGAGGAAGTCAAAGCAGGTTCAGTTTACGACAGGTGACCTGGACAGATGACATCAGGGTTTGCCGAGGCTGCTCCGTTGATGCCTCAGGCGCAAATTATCTACAGGCAACACTACATGCATGTTGTATGTACATGTACATACTCACTCAACCCTGAACCATTGGATATAAGACACAGGCAAAGTAATGATAAGATGCTTGTTGAATATGGGCTTTTTTTTTTTGCAATCTATTTTACAGTTCACATGCGGTTTTGAGTCTATTCAGCAAGACCTTCCGGGAGGTGAATCACAGTCCTTGGCGATGATTTTAAGATTAGGGACTCAGAGTCAGCAAAATGCTTTTATGGGAACAAACTAGCACTGGAAGCAAGACTAGATCTGAACTGCCAAGAGACCTATTCAAATCTGTATGACGTAGTCTTGATTCATTCCAGTAGGAACGTCATGTTTAATACAAAAAGGCTAGACGCGCAGTATTACAGATATCTTAGAGCTTGGTAGTAGAAGTAGGACTCTGCGGAATACCAAACTTCGAAATATCCTCAGTACTCTTCCCATCAATGGCCAACTCCGCGAGAACACGGCCGAAGGCCGGTGCGAATTTGAATGCATGGGCAGCCCCCAGACCAACAATGATATCTTGATGGTTCTCCAATGGGCTGATAATAAATTGCCGATCTGGAGTAATGGTATATTGGCAGGTAATAGTGCGAAGCGGCTGGCGACCCCTGTCGGGCATGAACTTGCCCATGAACGAACAAAGCTCCTCCAGCAACTCAGGTGAGTGTACATAAGTACGTTGCTCGGGCGTCATGAAGTTGTTTGAGGTATCGCGAGCAACCTTGATAGTTGGCTCACCATAAGTTGGAAATCCATAGAAAGTCTCATTCTGTCTGCCACCCCAGATCCACACAGGGGAACGGCTGGGTTCCCAATCTTGGGGGTGTGTCGGTTTGAAGTATGTCACTTGCTCTTGCATGACGGTCAGGGGAATATGTTCGCCAAGTGGAGCAAGAAGCTTGTTCGTCCAGGCATCTGTGGCGAGGATAACTTTGGATGCGTGGAAGCGTCCCTTGGATGTCTCGATCACGACACCTGTGCCAGATCTCTTTGGCGTCACGCAGTCCACCCGCGTGTTCTCCTTCAACACTGCACCGTGCGTCCTTGCCAGAGCTTGCATAGCGAGGACTGATTTGGCGGCATGAGCCATGCCGGTATCGGCTGTATATACCGTTTCAACCGTGTCCGCGATGTCGAATTGCGGCCAACGTTTTTTGACCTCCTTGGAATCCAGAAGCTCATAAGGCACATTTTTGGCAGCCAAGCTGTTCGTGAAATCGATTCTTGGAGTGGTTGTGTCCTTGGGGAAAAACATCACCCCGCCGGTTATCGTCAAGAGCTTCTGGTCTGTAGCCCTTTCCAGATCGGCCCAGTCCTTGTATGCAGATTGGGCCAGAGAGACGTATTCGGGTGTCGCATTTGCTGTTCTGACAATTCGAGAGGTATCGTGCGAGGCTCCGTGCACATGGCCCAGCTCGAATTGCTCAAATGCGACGACTTTCTTGCCTCTCAGCGCGGCCTGGTACGCAGCTGCGCTTCCAATCACACCAAGTCCAACAACTGCAACGTCAAAGTGTTCCGTCATTTTTGAGGAATGTGTTGTGTATCCCAGGTGAGTTTCTTGTGATATATTTCTTGATTTTTGAGGTCGTGAGATCGTCTCTATTTATGCTCTCGGTGGATGGTGATCTATAACCGGGGAGGACGGGGTACAGTCCGCTCACGTGGCATCTCCCCTCTTCAACTGAAGACGTGCAACATAAACAATCCACCTGGGCAGTCAGCTCGAATGGAAGTGGGCCCGGGGAGTAACGGTCTCAACGTTTAGTCGAGTGCTGGTGTGTCGAAGCGGTATCTTCTCCACTCATCTTTCATCACGCAATCGAGTCCTTCGAGAGGCTTTCATTTCGGCCTGCAGTTTTATATTGTATACAACCGATCTGAGATGCCAGCCATTTGCAATATGTGGTGTTGATCAGCTTTAATACAGCCTCATCTGACTAGGTGCAAGTCGCATTACCTAGATGATATATTTGGACTCTCTGGTCTGTTGTGAACAACATACAAAAACCAAAGTGGGGGTTCGATCAGAGAAACCAAACCGAGTTTGCCCGGACAAACAGAAAGATACAAGAAAGACAAAGAGAACCATTACAGAGGATCCACAAAAATGATGAGCCACTTGAAGACGGGAACGGGTTCATTGTGAACAGTGACCGACATAATATTGGGGGCGTCGAGATTTTTTGATCAAAATCAGCACCGCTTCTTTGGAAGAAAGCGGAATGCTACCAGTTTGACGACCTTGGTGCCATCCACCTCATCAAACTCACGAAATTGCTCGAATCCGCATTTCAGCAGCACATTCTGGCTTGCGGCATTGCTTGCTTCGGTGAGGGCGATAAGGTGCTCGTCTACTGCGTTTTCCCCGATGACCATTTCTTTCTGAACTCTGACTTCCCGCTCTGTTCGAGGCAAATCCGACCAAAACTTCAGCCACGCGGTCAAAAATTCTGTCGCGATACCTTTCCCCCAAGCGTCCGTGCGAAGCATATAGCCAACTTCAGGCCACCCATGGCTTCCAGGATAAAGGTGGCAGCCACCAATACCGATGAGTTCCCCCGTGTTCTTTAGACAGATGGCGCAGTTGGCAGTCCGCACATCGTTTGGTGCTAGGAATGGATCCAGTTTGGATTTAGTCTGCTCAATGCTGTCATCAATACAGCCAGCACTAGTCCACTTCATGACTTCTTCTTGGGTTCGCAAGACGTGTAACGCTTCTAGGTCGCTTGCTCGGAGAGCGCGAAGGAGCAAGCGATCGGTTATTATTGGCGAACGGTTGTCATTTGTAGGAAGCGGTATCGTGGGCAAGAACGCCTTCACGATTGTTGATTCGCCCTCCATAGTCATGTTAATTCCGGTCACAATTCTGCCGTCCTAGGAATTTGTGTGGACCTTCAGGGCTATCTAGGTAGGTAGATTGTGGATATGGTTGAGTCACTCGTATGGAAATCGAGTACGCTAGCGAGAATAGCCGCCTCAGTCTAAAATTAGTCGACCCCGATCAACTTCAGGATACCTAAGATAGAGGGAGAGAGGGGCAAGCCCCAACATGGAAAGAGAGGAGAAAGGAACGCTGAACCCTATATGAATGTTTTTGTACCTAGAGGAAGAAGAATTGGGTGTAAATTAGTATTCCAGTCACCTACGGTGTAGGTAGAGTTCCCAGGTTTAGGTACCTGCACATAGCTTAGATCTATGTATTCATATGGCCCATATCTAACATATACCATGGGGCGGTACCTCAGTTGGGAGAGGGCTCGACTGAAGTTCGAGAGGTCGCCGGTTCGATCCCGGCTCGCCCCATTACTTTTTGTTTTTGTCTTCTTCATCTCAGAAGACTTATGTTTAGGTAGAAAATTGATGAGTTAACCAGACGATGGACTACTCTGCCATGCACGTCCGCATGAAAACGGCCCACCATCTCTATCTGCACGATGCACTAAGGAGTGCGGAGTACATAGCGTATGATCATATTATCTTGAAGCAAATTGAACCTGACGGGTCTAATGAACATACCTGGTGTGGTACCTATTCTCTTGAATTAGATGTAATCACGATAATACTGTATCCCGTAACCATATATATAGCCTAAGTACGTACCTGCTATGAAGCCCGCGTCAACATTTATCGCCACTTTGAATGATATATACCATCCATCAATACATATGCTTAGATACAATATGTACTTCTGGGTAGCCAGCCGTGTCCAGTGAGCTCTATGTCCCCGGATTTCGCTGGCCTTTAGCTACTAAGCCTACGGCCTGCAGTCTGATAGTATAAACCGCAACCCCAGCTACATGGAGATTAGACGAATACAATTCCCAGGTCGTAGCTTGCTTTACCATAGACACCAGGGTGCAATTATCTTGCACGGTATTAAATCCCACGTCTTCAATCAACGAATTGGATGAATTTAATTTTCAAACTTAACTACCAAAATCATAGAGCAGTACTCCGTAGATGGGGTTGCATCTCACCAGTACATATATAATTCCTTTACCTATTTTTATAAATTCAGTCTCCGAATGATGATTTATTATTGACTATCCCTTATGTGGATCAAACAAGGTTCGGATTTAGTGAACATGGAGGCTATCATCGAGGTAAAATCCGTGTTATATGACATTCCCACTCAGTTTGTGTGTGATCATTCAGATACAATACGTCCACGGGTTATATATGGTATTATTGAATCCCTTCACAACACAGGGGGCGGTACCTCAGTTGGGAGAGGGCTCGACTGAAGTTCGAGAGGTCGCCGGTTCGATCCCGGCTCGCCCCATTATCTTTTTGTCTTTATTTTTTTGGGCCTCCTTACCATCCATCTAGGAAGATTAGAGGGAGTAGTACGCCGTTACAACATGGACTGCTCAGGTGAAACACTGACAACAAAGCCAGCAAAACAAAGTTCGAACATTTGAATTCTCCCGATGATAAATAGGCGTAGGGGAGGGGATACACACATTATTGATTCCACGCAAGCTAATAGGTTTGAAAACTGACAGAGTCGTATGCTTCGGGATCGATAGTAAATTTCGCAAAGTATAACTACGAAGTGAAGCAGACGAGTTGAAACCACACTAATGCGGTCTACTAAGTCCAGCCAGTGTCTTCCCGCATATTAGAATCTCCTACGGGTTTGTACTCGGAAGCCCTCACCTTCCTTATTATCCCAAGGTCTCACTCCCACTCACTAATTTCACTATAGGTACCCCGTAATAGATAAACATAAATGAATCTATAAACTTCCACAACAGATGAAAGAACCTTTTTTACAAGAGACCGACTACGGGCACACTGTTTTTACTACGGGCACACTATTGACTAAACTCTTTTTGGATATTTCCCGCTGGCCATAATTTATTCATAGGCTGTCGTATTTAATATGGTACTCCCTTAGTATTTCGGACAGTACCCGAATCTTATCTGGGCACCCTATCGCGAATGTAGAATCTTGCACGCCATCTACACTATCATGCAAAAATGAGGCTATTCCTAGATGCTGATTTGATCGAGTTCCAGTGCAAAAATGTAGTTTTTTCTTACTAAAAAAGGGGGTTTTGTGATCACGTGATTAGTCAAACCCTATATTACCGAACCCCCTTTTTCGGTAGGAAAAAACTCGATTAAATCAGTATCTGGGAATAGCTTCATTTTTGCACCAAACCCCTTTTTAGTAGGAAAAAACTCCATTTTTGCACTGGAACTCGATCAAATCAGCATCTGGGAATAGCTTCATTTTTGCATCAAACCCCTTTTTAGTAGGAAAAAACTCCATTTTTGCACTGGAACTCGATCAAATGAACATCTGGGAATAGCTTCATTTTTGCATCAAACCCCTTTTTAGTAGGAAAAAACTCCATTTTTGCACTGGAACTCGATCAAATGAACATCTGGGAATAGCTTCATTTTTGTATGATAGTGTAGATGGCGTGCAAGATTCTACATTCGCGATAGGGTGCCTAGATAAGATTCGGGTACTGTCCGAAATACTAAGGGAGTACCATATTAAATACGACAGCCTATGAATAAATTATGGCCAGCGGGAAATATCCAAAAAGAGTTTAGTCAATAGTGTGCCCGTAGTAAAAACAGTGTGCCCGTAGTCGGTCTCTTTTTACAAAGATGACCCTTGATACGATATGGTATTTGTATGTATGCTAGACTTCTTGCTCATTCCATGGCCCATGGCTCTCGGCTTCAACAACAGCTTTATGTTTGATGAGATTTGTCGCCGAGAGAGTGCCGGAGAATGTTTTTTTTATACGGAGGCTCTTCGGCGCCCCCACAGAGAGTTTTCCCGAAAGGTCCGAGACAACATGTCAGCTTCAGTCGAGATCTGCGTTGGGGAACCGGTCTTCGACAAGATATCTAAGAACAATTGCCTGGTTCGTTTCCACTGTAGGGGACCTGCAAGTCCGTGAGACTTTGGCTCAGACTCGATGGCTCGAATTCAAACGCCATGAGCAGATTGGTTAACCAAGCTTATCATCCCCAATTCTTCTCGAGACGTGGATGTTTCAACAAGACTAGCTCTGAGTTTTTCCAGACTTACGGGAGAGCATGGGATTTAGCAATTCTAATGTCTACTCAACTTTCAGGGCTACGTCAAACAAAACCTGTCTTTAAGTTCGAGTCAGATTTCGTTCGCAGAGTATACTTCGTCTAAGTTCCGAACAGAATGTACAGAGATATACGCTTATAGGAGAGACCCTCCGTGCTCTCCGAGTAGTATTCCTGGATAATTTTGCTATCTACGAGCTTAGCAAAATTTCGAAAGATCTATGTACGAAGAAATCAAAAAACCTCCGATTCACTAGTGTAGGAAGACAAAGCCTGATCATATCTCCGATAAGGATCGGGTAAGTTATGAGCTTCAAATTTATCTAAAATGAAACAGAAACAACATATCTAGGTAACCAAGAAGCTATATACGAGCCGCTGGACTATGCGAAACGAGGAACTGCGTTTTATCATTGTATCATACGAGGCAATGATCGCAGAGATAGATGCTCACATTGACGAAGAGAGTAACAATGACGATGGCATCGAGTTTGAAGCTGTCAGTTTTGAGGACCTGCTCCTCCCTCTCCAGGCTTGGCTTCAGTCCCAGGCCAGCCTGGAAATTCATGGTGCAACCTGCAAAAACAGAAAGACGCTCGAGTTGGTATTTTCTCTGCTTTAAAAGGGCAGGTCAGGGCATCAGGGCCTTAGTCAATATTCGATTGAATATCTCGCCCGTACAGTAGGATATCTTTATATTGAAAATATACTTCAACCGGTATCCACGCTGAGGCAAGCAGAAACCATCTCTGGGAGCCTGGGCCATGTCATTCATCGAAAATGTGCCCGCTGCGATAAACCCGTCCTGGACGATGCTCTTCCTTCTTTCTTTGCAGAGTTCCCAGATCATTACGTCCTTGAAATTGCTCGAGGTTCCCGGAAAAAATAGTCCTCGCTGTGGGCAAGGTGGATGTAAGGGAAAGCCAAGCCTGCTTCCGATTGAGAAGGTGGCAGTACACTCGCCTGGAAACGGGGCGATAACTCGAACCTAAAGCGGCAAGGACAGTTGGTAAAACCCCCTATGCCGTGTGGGCAAGGACTTAAAAGGCCTTCCCATGACAATCCGTGCCCGGCGTAAAAGGTTCTAGCCAAGGGGACCAAAATAAGCTACATATGTGTGGGCGCGATTGAGACTACCAGACCCCACGGTGGGCAATCCACTCCCCTCCTCGCCTTGTTCAGCCTCGGCTGAAGTGTGGACATGACCATTATGCGAAGGACTACTACTTTGAGCCCCTGGATGGGACTACCTTTCGAAAGGTGACTGGTGCATGGCTAGAGAAAGTACAAAAGGGATTTCAAAGAGTTGGCTGCGAAGTGGCAAAGCACCCCAAGGTCTCTGAGATAATTTCCAGCATAGAGAGTGGAAAAACTGCCAAAGAGAAACTCGGGATATACAAACCAAGATTTGAAGTTCTGAAGCAACTGCCTCGTAAACAAATTGAAAATCTCGAGTGTCGTCAGGCGATTGTTGGTGCTGAGTCATCTGACGTCAAACCGCGGGCCGTGTTGTTTACATTTTGGACCTCCGACTTGCATGCTTCCCCACACCACGATCATCTAACCCTGCAATATCTCTCGAGACCATTGAAATCTTCTGAGATATCTCTGCTTATTCCTTACATTTAACTCTCCAACTATGGCGGTTCGCCGTTCTGCGCGCCTTCGTCGCGCCCAGGGATCTTCGGAGGTGAGTTGCATAGCAACAGACGTTTGTTGTGGGAAATTGAGGTAGCAACTGTTGAAATGGACGCCAGCTAATATCTGTTGTTTATTTTCGATTTCTTAGGTTGAAGAATTTACTCCTCAGCCAGTCGCAGCTTCCACACTGCCCTCTGTTGCCGAAAGCGAGGAGACTCACGACTCCGATATCCCACACGTCCAGACCCCCCTTGCGAAAACCCCTCAAAAAGGCTCCCACGTGTCTGCTCAGCACAAGGCTGCCAGCATGAAGACGCCCACTAGTGTGACTGCACCTCGTCCATCTCGTGAAGAAATGCATCCTAGCAAGACACACCAGAGCACAACCAAACGCGCGGACTCAGGCCTCCTCCTTGGATTCAATCCCATCAAGAAAGATGCCGATGGCAATGTTATCAAGCAAACCTTCGGTGACAATACTCCGACAAAATCCAAGCCATCTCCTGCGATGAGCCACTTTGGAACCCCAGGATTCGAATACAAGTTCCAGTCCCAAGAGACTGAGCTAAGCGAGGGGGCTAAACTACTTATGGAAAGTGTCCGGGGCGATGTTGCTCGAATCAAGGCTCAGATGGTCCAGCAGAAGTCAAAGCAAGAAGATGAAGATGAAAAGGCTGCGGAAGTCCATGGAGGCCGGAAGATCGCCATGCCGAAGGGCAAAGCCAACCGCTTCAACGACATTCACATGGCTGAGTTCAAAAAGATGGACTCCATTGCCGGGCACGCTTCATCTTTCCGCGCTACTCCTGGTCGATTCCAGCCTGTGACCAAGTCTCTTAAGCGGACTAAGTCAAAGGCGCAGCTTGACGAACCAGAGAACCAGAAGTCATCGCCCTCTCGTTCTGCCGCTCAAAGCTCAAGCCTATCTACGCCCACAGCTGCTAGCAATGCCAAGCGCGTCAAGCACAACCCAACTGAGGACATATCTACTCGCCGTGAACCCCAGAAGGATCAGCCACAGAAGATTGAAACCCCTCGCCGACCCGCGGGCCCTCGTCCTCGGCCTCGCACGAGCGTCCGAAGCTCCCTCATGACCCCAACCCACGCTTCCCTCTCTCGTGGGGCCTCCGCCAGCGTCAAGGCCCCAAGGACCTCGTTGATTCCATCTTTGAAATTCTCTCCGGCCAAAACGATTGCCTCCCCTCGAACTCCTCGCACTGATTTCAACCCACGGATCAAGAGCAAGCTGCCTACGCTTGGTAACCTGAGATCCATTCTTCGTCGGCGCCAGCCGCTCTTTTCCCGCGACCCAGCGAAGATTGCATCTGGAACTCACGTTGCGGCTCCTGACTTCAATCCTAATTCGATTTTTGGAGGAGCTGCTGATATGAGTGACTCTGCTCCAACGCCTTCGCCAAAGAAGCACGTTGAATTTACTCCGAGTGTCAAGTCTCGCCATGAACTTGCTATCGCCTCGCCTTCTCCTTCCAAGGCCCCTTCTTCTCAGCGTCGTTCTACAGCCGGGGATGTGGTCTATCCAACTCTTCCAACCCTGACTCCGGAGAAGAAGTCGCTTGCTCCAACTTCTACTACTCCTACTTCCGAATTGAAATCCATCCGCCATGTTCGGAACTCAGATGCTGGCGAGCAGGTCGCTCCATATCCCGAGCTTCCCGTGGTTACGCATGGCATCGCTCATGGCATTGGTAACAAAAAGAGGCACCGTGATCAAGTGAATGACGAGGATGCCCCAAGCACTGAAAACAGTGAGAATGTGCCGCCTACCGATGCGCAGTCCGATGAGCGCAGCACCAAGAGATTCAAGTCCAACCCGCCTACTCCGAGCCCGACGAAGAAACGTCTCATCAAGACTCCCGTGCGTCCTTCTTCGGGCAAAGTGGGCACCCCCGCAAGCAGGCAGAAAAGCCGCAGTGTTCTCAGCATGAGCCGTCTCAATATGCTTTCAAAGCCAAAGGGCCAGGCCTAAACACGCCAAACTTAATGGGCACACGCTTGGCGCTTTAGGCCGCGTTCTCTTATGAATTGCTCTTCAGCTTTATGATCTACCTGGCACCTGGTTTTTGATTCTAACTCTTTCTTTTTTTGTCACATATTCTGGAATGAATCTTTCATTCCAACACACGCTGCAGTGACGCTCTTCTGCAGTGTCAACGAACCAACATTTCCATTCTTGATTTGTATCTACAATTACTTTTTTGAGGGTCTTCGGACCGTCCCGATCATGTGGAATCTGGCAGCACCTTTTCCATTTATCGGTGGTCCTTTTTCTTGTCTTTTGTTTGCTCTAAGGGGCTTTCTGTGGGAAAGCTGGCGTTCAGGATTATGCTTTCGGGCTATTGCCATTGGAAAGGCGCCACAGTGTTTCTATTTCTGTGTATGTACTTATTGACAACAACGTTCTTTAAATCACCTGCGATACCATTGTAGGCACATTGAACTAGCACATTTAGACGCTTTGGGAATTTGACAGCGGTCTCCCGAACCCGCGTAGAACGTATCGACTACGCTACGGCATCTTCGATTTGGTAAATTTGAAAGCAGGGGGTAGTGAATCAAATAAGTTTGCTATGTACAACATACAGGTATTAGATCTATCCATCCATCGCAGGAAGAGATCAAAAAAGCTAGCAATACATGAAGGGTTCGAAGAAAAAAAAGGCAGAGCGAGCAGAAATCAAAGGGCCTTCCCAGCTGTAGAACGAATACCGAATAAGCGAATATGCTCCAGTCTGCCGTGCAGACAAGAGCCTCCATGACATAGGAGGGAGAATGGTACAGTGACATTAAGCATGACAATCGTTTGTGAGGTTGTGAGGGTATGAGGAAATTTTCGGAAAGAATTGAGTAGAAGAGGCGTAGAAGCGTGCATACCGCAAAGGGACGGGGTGTTTAGGTGGATGTGAGATGGACGCAATGTGAAAAAGGGAATGAGTCTGAGTCAAGTATCTCAATGATGGACCGCGCGGTATGCATCAGTTTTTCATGGTCTCCAGGAATGAATCCAGGTTGTATTCTTCCTGGTACTGGCGGTCATCCCAGAGCTCGCCCAGGTCGTCCAGCCAGCCCTTCTTGCCCTTCTCCTTGACTTCGCCGTCAATGTCGACCATGTCGACTTCGTTGCCGGCGGAGTCGCTTGGTTTCTCGGCTGTATCGGCGGTTTCGCCGAGATTGAAGAGGTCTAGCAGTTGATCTGTGTCCATTGTGCCAAGACCGGCGTTCTGTTGATTGACTACTGTGGAGGCGACGTCGATCTTGAATCGTTGCAGACTGTGGGTTTCATGTGTTAGTTTCCATGGGCACGTTTGCGGTTCGTCTGGGTATCAAAAACTTACTTCAAGATCTTCTCCTCCAAAGTACCTCGCGTGATTAGGCGGTACACATTGACAACCTTCTTTTGGCCGATACGATGAGCGCGATCCATAGCCTGGATATCCTTTTGCGGGTTCCAGTCGTGCTCCACGAAGATGACAGTGTCTGCGCCCGTGAGGTTAAGACCCAATCCACCAACACTGGTGGTCAAGAGTAAGACATCATAACTCGGGTCGGTGTTGAACCGGTTGACGATGTCCTGGCGCTTTGTCGCTTCCACGCCTCCATCCAGGCGAAGGTATTGAACAGATGGGAGCAATTTCTTTAGGACATCATTCTGCACAATGTCCAACATCTCCTTCATCTGACAGAACACGAGGGCTCGGTGGGGACTGACATAGCTTGCGCCTGTGTCGAGCTCACCCTCTGCTGTGTGGTCAAGGCCAATGCCGCAATCCACCAGCAAGTCTTTCAGGGCGTTCAACTTGGGCGCGTGAGAAACATCTCGGATGTTTGACCGCTTGGCAGCTAGGAAGTTCTGCACCTCATTGTACTGCTTGTGGCCTTCCTTGACCACCAATGCAGGGGAGTTACACAGACGTCGCATGTACTGAAGTGCCTGGAAGATGTGCTCCTTGTCGCCACGATCTGCGCTGCCTACCTTATCTGCCAATTCCTTCTGCTCCTTCTTAGAGAAATCCTCGAACAGTTTCTTCTGCAGTTCACTTGGGTCGCAGTAATAGTTCTGGATGATCTTGGGAGGAAGATCATTCAAGACTTCCTCCTTCAGACGGCGCAGCAAGAATGGCAAGACCTGTTTGTGTAGAGCTTCAATTGCTAAAGCACCTGCCTCTTGTTCCTTGGAAGAGGATTTGCTGAAACGACTCGCTGCAATGGGCTTGGCAAAGCGGTCCAAGAAGACCTTCTCTGTTCCCAAGAATCCGGGCATTAAGAAGTCAAACAGGGACCACAGCTCAAGCACATTGTTCTGAATCGGGGTACCAGACAGAATCAGACGATGGTTACTGGCCAACTTCTTGACTGAAGACGTGATCTTGGCTTTGGGGTTCTTGATAAGATGACCCTCGTCAAGCACGCAGTAGTTGAAGTTGATGGCGCTGAGGATATCGTTGTCATTCCTGCAAACATCGTAGGAAGTGACAATCACATCTGAGGTAGACAGCATGGGTTGGAGTCTTGACCGTTCTGCGGGAGGGCCGACATATGCAATACAACTAAGGAATGGAGCATATTGCTTGATCTCTTGCTGCCAGTGTCCAGATAGAGACGGCGGGCAGACGATCAAAGAGGGCAGTTTTCGAGAGTCCGTGGATTGACTCTTGGCGAACTCTTCCGCTCGCATATGGTGGTCACTTGCCACCATACAAATGGTCTGCAAAGTCTTTCCGAGACCCATGTCATCGCAAAGAATACCGTGGAGATTGTATCGATTGAGGAAAGCAAGCCAATTGACACCATCTTGCTGGTAAGGTCGAAGCTCTGCCTTGATCCCGACCGGGATTTCAAATGCCTCGACCTTGCGCACATCCAGCATCTGAGACATGAACTTCCTCTCTCGGTCTCGGCCCTTGAGCAACTCTTCCGAGAAACCAGGGGGGTCGGGAATACCGGCTTCCAGAGGAACCAACTTGACAAGAGTCGCGAATGAGGTTGTTGCCAGAAGACGCACATCATTGTCGGAATCGCTCATGCGGCCAAGGACAGGAACCACCAGGAAGATAACATAGGGCAGAATTCCATCTTCCATGACATGGATGAGATGGTAGATACACTCAATCGCACCTTGGCGATGGTTCACATCCAATCCATTGTTGATGATTGGCAGGACCTTCTCTACCAGCATGGTCATGCCCTTGACGGTGATGACACTGCAGATCGTAGCGAAGCATTTGGCCGCTGCATAGCGGATCACGGAAAGTCGGCACTGTAGCCCCTTGGCAATAATGGGCATAAGATCGATAACCCATGGGTAAAGACCAGCATCGAATTTGGGCAGCAGAGCTCGTAGTGTAGAGAGACCATCCACAATTTCTTGGCCAAGTTCATTATCCGGATCAGTGATGTTTTCGGGGAGTTCATCCTTTGCCAGAGCATCTCTCAGAGGTCGTTCGACCAGTTTCGCGAGATTCGGAACCTTCTCCAGGAGCTCAGCACCGAACTTGACTGCCAGCTGCTCTAGCGCATCCTTGGCGCCGCGGCGCATAATCCGTGCTTCCTTGGCTTCTCTTTCGAATTTGGCCGCATCTGGATGGTCGCGTCGATCCTCCTCTTTGCGCAGTGACAGAATTGTTTTCTCCAACTTTGCATTGTGGGGGAATTCGGGTGTTTCGGAGGTGTCCACACAGCAGTACTTGACCAGGTTTCCAATAATCTTATCCACCGGTCCACGCTTGGTGGCGGCTGTGTAATGTTCGATAAGACCTGCCACTGCAGTCGCAGAGCGCTGCTGTAGTTCCACATTCTCCTCTTTCTTGACACTGTCCATCATACCCTTGATTATGTGACCAGGCTTCTTGGGAATATCTCGCAACGCAACCAAGGCACCGGCAGTGGCTGCTAGAACACGCATATCCCGCTGCTCTCTCATCAATCGGGCCTCATCAACGGCGGTTTGGGCAGTAATGCGAGTATCAGTCAGGACTTGAGTAGCGGTGATTCGTTGAGCGGGTGTCAAGTTCTTCTTCAGTCGATCAAAGTCGGGACCAACGATCTTCTCGGCATCCGCCAACGAGAATGCATTAGGCCCGGCTTCCGAGTCGCCCTGAACAACGACAGCCAAGGTTGGCAGCCGGGAAGGTGCAACATGCGCGTGATCCCGGAAAGTGTTCAACAACGAATGGCACTGAGCGCGCGCGACATGGAGGTAGCAAGCAATATCCGCATACCAGGATGGGCGGTCCCCTTCGAGAATCGGTCGAAGACGGTCACACAAGTACGATCGGTATTTGCTCTCTGATCCAGATCGGCGAGCATACTCTTCCATAACCATTGCCGAAGCGAGTTGTGTCGTGGAGGCAGAGACATTGAGACCATCCATAATTGCAGGCCATAGACTTGGTAGATCATTCTTATCCCAGAAAGATATCAACTCACCCAGCGCCTTTGCGGCGTAGATCTTGGATCTTAGCATGGTATCTGAACCAACAAGATCAATGTCACCGGAGAGCATGTGTCCATCAACGTTATGAGCTGACGCTGGGGGTGCTTCTTTCTCCTTCTTTTCCGATTTGCGTCTTCGGCCTACCTTGGTCTCAGTGCCGCCTAAAGCAGAAGCAGGAGGTGAGGTCTTGGAAGGAGTAGGAGCGGAGGCAGCAATAGAGAATGGCAGGCCAGACGGTTTGATAAAGAGAGAGGAGTTCATAGGGATTGGGTACCGGGGAACACCGAAAGCGCCCAAGGTTAGTGTGACAAGAGGTTGAATAGAGTCTGACAATTCCACTTCGGTTTTGAATGAACCACGTAGCTCGACGGCATTGAGGAGCTCGGACCAAACTTGACCAGATAGTTTCAATACACCCTCATTGCGCTCCACGAGAAGGTTTTGGAAAATCAAGCGCAATGCCTTGCCATCTACCCAATCGGTGGTGCCCTCGCCCTCCAGCTTCAAGAATGTCATGAGAGCCCGAAGGACGGCTGAACGAACGCTGGTGATGGTATGACGGAGGAATGGGTAGAGGCGGGGGACGAGCTTGCCAAATGATGCTTCCATGTCATCAGCGGCGTTGGCCTTCATTGCATCCAAAACTTGCGAGAAAGTGCACAGCTTGGCCAAAAGGTCCATCACAGAGCCTGTGCTGGCACTGAGATCGTCTTGCAGATTGGAAAGACAGTCCCAGACGATGTTCATCAGAGGGCCAAGAGTGCCAGTCCGTGAACAAACAAACTCCTCCGCAATAGGAACAAGTGTAGCCGCGCTAACGGCCCGGACATCGTCATCATAATCAGCAAGGCCTTTCATGACAGCCTCCAAGACCCCGTCCATCATGTTGGAATCCTTGATGAGCAGATCCTTTCGGACAGCGACAAGATATCGCAGTCCAATCATACCACCATGGCAAACTTCCCATACAGGGCGATCCAGCCCCAAATCGGTCTGCATTATGATCCGGTATAGGCATCGATAGACCGATCGGACTGAGTTAGGGTGTAAGTGTGAGAGAAGAGCACCAAGAGTCTGACCCACGGTCTCACGAATTGGGGCGACCACATTGTCCGAAATATAATCGCCGAATCGGTCAAGCATCAGAACGCATAGCAGTCGGCATGAAAGGTCGTCCAACCACCGGCGGTTGAGTGCATCGTTTTCTAACCGACTTTTCCCATCCAGGCGGCCAGCTGCCACACCCTGAACCCTGATAACTTCACGCAAGGCCATTGCTGCACCATGTCGGACTTCCCAGTTCGAGTCGAAGATGTCCATGGTCAGGAATTCACACATGTGTTCAAGAGGCCATCCTGCGCCCTGATCTACAATCTCCGGTTCGATATGAGATCGCTCTGGGACAGCGGCCCCTTTGAATTCAGAGACGAGCTTTGAGTCATCGTCTTCCTCTGTACGTTCGAAGGAGAAATAATCGGGTTTTGTCTCGCCATTCTGATCCTCTCCATTCTCAGCCTTGATGGGATGTGGAGTTGTAGTGACAGGAGTTGTGACAGCCTCGGATTGTCGGCGGGAAGACAGATCCACGACACGCACTTTGTTAGCTCCCATTTTAGCATTCTGTTTGTTCTTTCGTTTCAGCTGGTTGAGCTGTCGCTTGCTCAGCCCTCCGTCTTCCTTGATCGCATTTTCGTTAGGCGAAGAAGGTCGACGAGAGGCCGCATCTTGCAAAGTGTTTTGACGAGAGACAGGCGGGATAATCGGTTCATGCTTGGGAGCAGGCGTTACCACTTTGGGTGCCATCTCGATGTCTTCAACCAAGTCTTCTTCGAGATACTCGCCTTCGAGTCCCAGACGCGAAGTCAATGTCTTCTTTTGATGCTGCAAGCGTGCAGCCGGTTCCATTGATGCGAGCGAATATTCATACTCCTTTCCTGCACCCCCAAGCAGCCGCTTGCCGTATTTTAATACAGCAGGGATGTCTAGGGTGTCGAGCTTGAGGAAATCATCGGCCGGAACAGGCTCCTCTGATTTTACCTCGGACTTGATCTCCACATCATCTTCATCTGCTGCAGACTTAATCTGAAGCCCATCGTCCTCATTTGGATCATAGAGATCTGCGTTAGCGACGATCAATCCAATAGCTTTGGCAGAAGCCGTCCTTGTGTCCCAGGACTTGGATCTGAGATATGGCAGGATGCGCCCGAGCAAATTAAACAGCTCATCTGGATGTTGTTTCTGCACATCTGCAAGCTGCTGAGCAGCAGTATTACGAATCAATTGAGTACTGCCCGTCTCGAGTAGCCTGTATTGTCATCGGTCAGTGGTCAAGCATGTCACGTGATTGGTCGTATTGGGATACTCACGTAACGAGACGGTCAAGTCTAAAAAGGGTTAGCTTCACGTGACGGACGCGTGGTGATTGGCTCAAGGAACTTACCGGGAAGCCATCGCGGGTCTTCAGTTTTCTCCCGACTATGCGGCACAATTGAACAAGAAAAAAAAAGATACCGGAAAGAGAAGAGCAAATTGCGCGCGACAAAGCGCGCAATTAGGGTGGAAAGACCTCGATATGAAAAACAAAGACCAAACGCCCAACACCTCAAGCCGCGATGCTGAGTCAGCGGGAGAATTTAGATTTAGTACACAAGAGCGAGGGTCGAGGTCACGCAGCCGGGTTTATATCATTGGGGGTGCTTCTGCCCGGCGCGCTGGTCCATGTTTGGGTAACTCCGCCTAGGCCGCTTGTGGTTTAGTGCGGGCGGTGGGCTTCCACTCACAGCGCGCCGATTTTTTTTTCTGCTGAAATGATCACGTGCAGCCGGGAAGCGCGTTGGATGACATAATTTTCGAAGGGATTTAGATCGCAAGTACATCTGATATTCAATATCTCGAGGTAGTTCCGATGGTGAGAACTTCTATGATCAACGTGAGTGGCGAAAGTTTGACCACTTTGATCAAGTCTGCGAAGGAGGGAGCAATGCCAAGACATGCCAGATCGCCTCTTCAAGGTCCAAGGTATCATGAATGATCAACAATGCACGTAGGTAGATACATTCATCATATTTGGAAAAAAAAAAGATTGAGAGGATGCTGGGCGAGAAGCGAGTACTTTTCTGGGCTTGACTAGCTTAATCGATCCATCATCAATCTTATTTTGTTGCATCCAGATGCGTTGACGGGCCGTCGAACTATATATCCGTTACATAGATCATCATATTCGACATGCTATTTCCTCGACCCATGATTTTCTTTATTTAGTTCTCGGAACGAGCATATAATTAGGCAGACATGTCAAGCTAAAGAACCTAGAGTTTCACTCCATTGACAAACATAGTCCTATGGTGTTTTGCAATCTTGAGAATTCAACTCTTCGCACCGCTGGGAGTACTCCGTACAAAGAACCACTCAACGATACAAAGAAGTCCGGGATTAGCGGCTAGACACGTAGAGTTGTTCATTTGGCAAGCTTTTCCTGTACACAATGAAACATATGCTCGTCGGTCAATTAGACTTCTGGGGTCGAATATGTTTTGGAATACATGGAGGTACTATCTGCCATTCCATTCCATACCAAATCCACCATAAGCATTGAATGCATCAAGATATGGGGAAAGCACTCTTTGTCATTGAATTGGAGTATCATTTTGCACAAACAGGTCTTGACCTGAAAGCTAACCAGTTGAGCGTTTCTATACAGTCACAGGCTTCGGGTAAAAGTCCCGGAGCGGAAACACGGAATCACACGCATTGAAAAAGAACAAGCACATCCTTCCCATTCACCGTTGGCTCAGCACATTAGCTGCCTCCTCTTCCTTCCCAAGTAGACCCAGGCTCCGGATTTGCTCGGCCTTGGGGGCGTTCTCTCGCGGGTGTGCGGCCTCGGCCTTACGGTAGGCAGCTTGCATCTTCATTGTGCGGAGAGCCTGTTGTACCGAATTCCCAGAATTAGACCCAAATCCACGATTCCAAGTTTCATAAGTCTCGATCCAACGGGGGTTGCCCTTACCTCTTTCCGGTGGTGAAGGCACTCGTAGTAGTCGTCCAGGGCGGGCATGCACTTCTTCTTGCCGGTCGCACCATCACCCGAGTTCACAACGTAGCAACCAAGGACCTCTTGCCAGAAGGGGGTAGCAGCGGCCGGGGCCTAGAGAAAGTCATAGTGGGTTAGCCAGTTTCATTCGCGGGGGGAGGGAACTGCCTGCGCAAGCTGTGATCCAAGAGCACGTCGGTGCGGACTCGAGCAGGTTCCCCCGGAATGGGACAAAAGAGTACATACCACCATTGTTACCATAACCGGAAGCCATTGTGATATGTAATAGAGAGTAATTGAGCAAGTGGTAGGCACAGAGACCGCGAAAAAGGTGGTGATGAAGTGCCGGCGGATGCGACTCTTCCCTTTCGTTTCCGACTTGGTCTGTGCGCCCCGCCGTATCCAACATGGTCCATCACCAACTATGAGGCCACATCACTTGCCCCGTCCCTTTAGATTTATCATGGCTCTCGAAGAGTTGTCAGATGCGCATGCCATCTTGCTAGCTACATATTTTTGTGCAGATGGTAATGTGGCGGACTTGCCTATTCTACAGGCCCGGTTTCCCCATTGTTTCCCATTGAAGCGCCTCCTACGTATCATCTTGACCTTTCTCCCAGAGAGCACAGAGCCCTCCCACTACGTCTCAGTACTACAAGAGCTAGTCAATAGCTCAAGTCCACCGATAGATCGAACGATCGACACCTCTGCTGTCCAGGACTTGTCCGAATCGACTGCCAGAAAGCGTGTGCGACAGCTTAATTTACGGCCATTGCAACGCCCCGGCGAGGAAGACGAGATCGCAGCAGCAGATATTCTGACTCAGTTCCTTATTCATCGAGCACATTTGATTGATTCGGAAACAGCGCTTCAACCCCTTATACTCGGCCTTATCATACCATTCTACGAGCACTCTCCCATCATTCGAACATGGCTGATCTCGAGTCTACTACCTTTGCTTCGACTGAACTATGAATTTTACGCCAATCGTGACGAAACTATATCTCTAGAAGTTTTGGAGTCTATGGACGATCAAACGGCGGTCAACATTCTTCTGTCTTTGATGAGCTCCGAAGAAAGCAAGATGGATTTGGTGAACAACTTGAGGGGTCTGATTGGACCGTGGCTCTATGGTGGCAATCGGTCTAAACGGCGAAGACTTAACGAAGCAGCCAAGCAAAACTCTGTTTCTTTTATCCAAGGTTCTGAGAAATCCCAGGCAACTGAATTGGCTGGATGGGAACACGTGAATGAATGGCTACTTTCGCGGAGTCTGGTCGACCGCGACAGTGTCGTGAGTGCCTTCACAAACTGGGATGGACCATCAGATGTGGACTTTGGTGGGTATGACAATGCTAGCCGGCAGTTATCGGAAGAACAGAGGAGAGACTTACGGGTTCGATACGGACAATCTGGTCTTGCAGTGGTTTATGCCCATGCAGATTCATCGACAGCTGTGCTAGATGGCTCCTTGCAGGTTTTGACGAGGGTCTCCAAGCTTCTCGAGCTTGAAGAAAGTTCGTACCTAGCTCCTGGTACAGATTTACCATCTGTGCACTATGATGCCGAGTCGATTTCCTCGACATCTCGCGCATCACTATTACAGAATTCCCTTCTGAGACCGACGAATCCTCTTACAAAACCTTCGCCTGCATCAGTCTCGTTTCTCAGCGCTTTACTTCTCTCTCTTCGTATATTGGCCGACCTGGGTCATCTGATTCCTTGCCGAGTTGCAGCAAATATGTGTCTTCATAGCACGGAAGAGATGCAGTTGGCTGAACTCAAAAATGTGGTGGACTCTACTGTGAAGCAGCCAAAAGCAAGCCGAGACTGGTCCGTGGTTCGGCAACAATTGCTCTGGCTTCGAGATTGGCAAGCAGAACAGTCAGACAATGCCTGGGATCAACCTTCACCCTACCATGGGCTTTTCTGGCGGGTCCCACGCGACACGGTTGAGACTGAGATCTTAAAGGCGCTGCTGGCAGCTAAAGGTAATTTGGTTGATGATAATTTGCAGCTGTCAATACTGATGTTGTTCACAGAATTTCAACTGGCTATCGATAAATATACCGACTTTAAAATAGCGCCACTCAATTCTGTCCAAGTGGAAGCGGCGGTCCAAGAAGCTATATTCGCGGCGTATGACAATGCAAGCAATGGGAACCGAACCCGGGGCGGGATGAAGAGAGCTTACGACATGTAGGTGTGATGAAAGAAAAGCTTATGGGCATTAACGCTGACAAAATCTAGTTTACAATCGTTCCAACCACACTTCCCAGAGTCTTCTACATTCAAACAGATTCATGCCCTCATCGCCGCAACACATGCACTCTCATACTATTCGCTGACCCTGGAACACGGTGTCCCATTCCAACCTGTCAGCATTCGTGTCCACCACGATCCCATCCTCTTGATCGAGAAAGTACTCGAGCAAAACCCCAAGAGCTACACCAAACTAGATGATCTTCTATCCATCGGCCGAAATCTAGTTTCCGCAGGTGTTCCCACTAAAGCGGCAACACATGAAGCCGAAGACGAGCCATCTCACCACAAACCCTCAAAGGAGGATGCCCTTCTCACCGCAGAACGCCGCATCACCTCCTTAGCAATTGCTTCCGCTCTATCCTTCAACGACTTCGGCACAGCCTACTCTTACATCCTGACCCGGCTAACGCCACCATCCCTCCTCTCCACCTCCTCCCCACTTCTAAAGACCCCAACCGTCCCAGACGACATCACCTGGCGCGCTGTCTACAACGCCGGCCGTTATCGCGCAGCAACACCCACCCATCCACCCCCAACCCTCCAATCCCAAATCTCCCACCTTTCCCAAAGAATGGAACTTCTTTCCCTCTCCCTCGTCCTCGTTCCATCCCCGGACCCCCTCCCAGAAATCCTCGGCGCCTGGCGCCGCTGCGACGAAGAACTTTCCTCTCTCCGGGCACGCGAACAGCAGGAAGAAGATCTCTGGGACCGAAAGGGCGACAAATTGGCCTCCGTGCCAGGCGGGTTCGGCCCCTCAGACTCCGAGCGTGACGCCTTCGACACAGAACAGCAGCGCGCGGCGCGGCATGCCCGTGCCCGCGCCGCAATGCCGAACTCCCATCGCCACGAGGCACCCATGGGACTTTTCGACGTTGCTCGCGGGGCGGCTCTGGCGCTGCATAAGAACGCGTTCCCACTGAGGAGCGCTGCTGATGAGTCGACGAAACGTGCTGCTCCGGTTGAGGATCGGCCGTTGTCGCCGGATAGTGAGGGGCGTGTTCGGAAGAGGGACATGGTCAGCAATATGGTGACTGGGGGCTTGGTTAGTGGAATCGGGTGGGTTCTCGGAGCTGATCCAGTGAATAATAAGTAATGCGCGGAAGATGGAATGGTTTTACTAAGATGCAAAGTTGGATACAGCTTTCTGGCTATTCCTTCAGTGGATGGCTCAAGACTTCGGGCTGTATGTAGCTTTTATGACGACAATGAGATATAAGTTTCCTTTTTCTACCTTCGAAATATTAGACATGCCTATCGGGTTTACACGGGTTCTCTTTTACTCCGTATATATAAGATGAGAGACAGAATGGTATGGTATTAAGTACCTAAATATGTCCCAAAAGGTTTCCAAAGCATTGCAATACTTCCGCATCCAGTGCAAAGCGACCGGAAGATCACCGAAAAATCCCCTGAAAACAGACTAAGAAAGAGGGCTATACACTGGGAAAGAAAACACGATATAGCGGATGGAGGATATGTCCAGGCTCGAGATATGACGGCAAAACAAACATCGAAGCAAAATGTAAGAAGAGACCAGTCCACTATTGAGATGAGAGGAAAAAAAAATTGACAAGGGAAATGAGAAGGAGAAAAGGATCGGAGGATGTGCGATGTATGTGGAATGTCAGGCCATCAAGGATCGTTGGAAATGAAGCGTAGCCGATGAGATTCGTGTCGCTGCTGGAAGAAAATGAAGAGGGAGAAAAAAGGTGCATTTGCTGATGATAGATGATAGGGGGTATGAGAGTAATGTCGAGCCTCGCGAGTTCCGGCCTGGGAGGTGAGACAGCGGAAAGCACAAAACGCAGATGGATCGAGTCGTGATTTGGGTCGTTTGAGTTGTTGACAGCCAGGTCAAGTCGTGGGGTCCAGCCACTCATACTCAAAGAAACAATGTAATTCAGGATACCAGACGCAAACAGGGTCGTTGGGACACGTTTAATCTTTCCAGTCCCACACCTGCTTTATGAAGTTTGACATGTTGACCTTCTTGTTTCTCATATCCTGCACCCATGGATGTTCCAGCATCCGCCAGGGTGTTGCACGTCGAGGAGGTTCTTTTTCCAAGCTAATGTTCAAGTTAATATGGCAAAACAGGGAACAATGTGGTAAGATTCTACATACCAGCATTCGATGAAATATTTGAAGTTGTCCGACCAGCGAATACCATTTTCTGGTTCATCCTTCAACTTGGGAATGGGTTGGCGGACGATGTAAGTGAGGAGATCGATGAGCCCTGCACGGGGTTGCATCTCAGTCCCGTCGGCAGGGAAGGGGAATCGGTGCTGCGCGACTTCGAGCAAAGTTACACCGAGAGACCAAACGTCGGAGGTGATGGTGTATGATTGACCAGTAATGCGCTCTGGAGCCATATAATAGGAAGTGCCAATGAAAGTGTTGGCATCGCCCTTGGTGCCGAATTCACCACTGACACCGAAGTCACAAAGTTTGACCTTGCCATCACGGCACAAAAGAATGTTGGATGGTTTGATATCTGAGGACTGTTAGCCAATCTTTGTCAATAGGTACTAGAAGTTCATGGTTCGTACCTCGATGGATGATCTTCCGGCTGTGGAGATAGGTCAATCCATTCAAGACACCTTCTGCAACCTTGCCAAGGACCTTCTCTCCGGTTCGCCCTCCAAGCTTCTTGACCTCTTTGTAAATACTGTCTAGACTTCCACCTTCACAAAATTCCATAGCGATGGAGATTGTGCCAGTGGACTTGTCCATGAAAGCACCGTAATAGCGACAGATATGGTGCGAAGCGCAGTCTTTGTTGAAGTTGAGCTCACGGACAATTTGTTTCTTGACGTCCGGGTTGGGATCCGTGGTGATGATCTAATTGAAGATGTCAGCCTATGGGTCACTGAGAGCAAGTATGGGAAAAGCGACTACCCAAGATGACTCACTTTCAATGCGAACACAGTCTTTCCTTCCTTCAGTTTACAACGGGTGACAGCGCCGCCAGCACCCTCTCCTAGGCTTCCCAGCTCAACGATTTTGTTCTGTTCACTGGCTGCGTGCCAGCCTTCATCATCGAGATCGTCGACATCGAGAGGACGACCCTTTTCCAAACTTAATTTGTCCAAATCGGGAAGAAGGCCATTCACGCCATTTTCGCGATCTCCATTCTCGCGGTCCGAGTACACTGAACTGATCGCCGACGACGGGTCTGACGAGCCGTCCGGTTGTCGGAGACCCTTGACGAAATTGGCGGTCGAATATGAAGGGTTTGCGGATGGTGCTCCGTTGGTTTGGATTTGGAGACTGGGCGTACTGCCCAGGCCATTTGTACTCAGTGGGGGCGGGGCTGGTCGACCGTTCGGCATGAGAGTTGGCTGGGATATATTCTGCTGACTACCCATAGGAGTCGCGAGATGCAGTCGTGGGGGTGCTGGTCGACCTGATGGGCGCTGGGGTTGAGGTTGAGTTTGAATTTGAGGTACTGAGGCGGGGACGCCAGTGCCATTGACGGGTTTGGCGCTGGGTGAGGGGGGAATGCCTAATGTGAGTTTCGGGGCTCGCGGGCTGCCGTTGGTGTTGCGAGCGCCAGGGACTGGAGGCCGAAGAAGGGGAACAGGGGACGACATGGCGAGATTGTTTTGCCTTTCGCCAGGCAAGAACAACTCGTTCGGATCTGCAAGAGTAGCCACAGTGTCGTTGTTGGACCCGTCCGCCTTGATGAGTCCTGAGGGGCAAAAGAAAGACGGATTGGGATAGACAAAGATAGTAGGTAGAAATGGATGCAACACAGGAGCAAGAGCAAAAGCAAAGCAAAAGCAAAAGCAGAGACCGAAGAGATAAGACAGAGAACAAACGAGTGGAGTTGCAAATGGGAAGTTGCCGAGAGGAGACGATGCGGGCAGGTGACCTGTTACTCCACCATAGCAGAAATACTTCGGTACCTAAATACAATAGGGATCTTAAGAATCTCTTTCTAGGTACACGCTTTGAAAATAAAGTGTGCTTACAGGTGGTAGAGGGTCCTAATCTCTCATTTTGTGAATATTAATAGAGCGACACAGCCGACAGTTGGTGGGGGCCCCTATGTTTCAGAAAGCGCCTGAGCTGAAACACCTACACATTCAAGTTTCTCGACTTTCTCTCTATTACCATTGTCATTGTCTGGAGTGTCCAGGCGAAAAAGGCAAAGACAGAAAATCCTCTAAGAACCATGGTGCGAAGTTTGTTACTGATTCCCCTTTTTCCCCTGGACATGGACCTGAATAGTCCCTACATGTACTCCGTACCTAGGTACGTGCTATAGAGGTACGAAACGCAGAAAACCATCGATGATCTACGACCTCCAAACGATGAACCAAATATTGTTGCCTTGGAGCCGCACTTGGGCCTGTGGCGTCGACATCATTGCCAGCACATCCATGGCTCTTCCCCACCGGGCCTATCAGAAGTCATCTCGATGGCTTTGCCCAGAACAGCCTTATAACGTATTCCGTACGGAAGTAACACTTTTTTCCTTTCTTCTTCGTAGACCAAGGACCTAATCTCCAGTGATATTGCGAAGGGAGTACGGAGTACGGAGTATGCCAGGGCCATTTGACCAAGAAAACCACCCCCTCTTCTATATTAACCGGAGTAGATATGTCATTGGCCCTTTCCAAGGCCAAGGCGTGGTCCCTTGGAAAGGGTGTGGCTTAGCCCATCTCTGCCACGCAACCCGATGATGACATGGGGCCTTCGGAAGCCCTATGTGATCCGCACTCACCTCGCGATATGGAGATTTTCCGAAATTGGAAGCGTCTAATTTGATCTGATCCCGGAACAGCCGGGTGCCAAGTTCCAAATGCCAATCGTAGGGCTATCACAAAAGTGCGCTCATCTGAGAGCGCCTGCCAACCTTTTCAATTCTGAGATGAGGGAAGGTCGAGAGTACAGGTACAGAGACTGACCTGACTACTGAATGCACGACCCCTCTGTACTCCGTACTCCGTACTCCATACTCCGTACATGTAGGACAATTAGGCGATCCTGCCTCTGAGATGCCTAGAATGGAAAGGATGCCATAAATGTGTGACGAAATCGCATGGTTTTTATTTTTTTGTTTTTCTTATATTTTCCTATAAAAAAAGCTTGTTTTCTGCTCCTTACGCCATATGTAATATTGTCGTTTTGGGGGTGATCGATCACAAGCAAGTTGAGAGTTGAAGAATGTTTCTGTGAGATCGCCCCGTTTTCACTGGCTCTCGGAGCCATTCAAATGGAGATCAATGAGGCAACCAATTGAAGGCAATGGCAATCGCCACAGCTTGGGTATCCCGATCTCGATCGCTATCGTGGTAGGACAGCGCGTCGAGCCGACCGATTTTTCCCGTTCAGAGAGGACCGTAGTCTGATCTTATCCGTACGGACTACTCCGTACACTAATTACAACATAGACTGCACCTCGAATCAATTGTGATGGACTGGAATCTCTGCGTGTACCTCGCACATACTTGGTCTGTATTGCAAGAAACCAGATCCCAAGGCTCCATCAATCTCGCTTGGGCCGTCAGCGCTAAACGTGACGTGTCGCTGCTGATCCGGCGTCTGGTTTGGTGGCGAGTGATGTGTGGAGGACAATCAGATGTGATCAAGTTCTGCGGATTCGTCTTGTTCACCGGGATGCTGTTGCATTAGCGCTGAATGGATATTTTGTACTCCGTGTTGCCGGGCGTCTTTGTTGGAATAGGATGTCCATGAGCTCCCAGCGCTTGAGGCAAAAGACGTCATTTTGACTTGTCACATCCCAGCTCTCAAGGTCTGACGAATAGCAAATCGAGCTTACCTACTGTAGGTAGTTAAATCATGAATCTTTTGACTGAACAAATACGATACCTCACTCTTGCTCGTGGTGCTGTGCGACCACTGGAAAGTGGAAAAATATGTGAAAAAAGTAGGATATTTCCACAATTGCACCGGTGTACGGAGTACTCCGTACAACATATGTCGTATGTCGTAGGCTGAATGCCCGACCCCTGAATATCACTCCGGGGGTTCAAATGAAAGGGTTTGTAAAAATATCTCACGCGATAGGGAACATTGAAGGATGAACTCCGGTAAAAGACACTCTACTCCACTGTTACTGTCTCACGAACACCCCTATATCATCAGACATCCAACGTTGTGCTATATATCAAACACACCCCACCATTAATTCCCATACATATCCCACAAGGCTAAACTGAGCTAAAGATAGTACGTACCAGAGACGAAGATGGGGGTGATAAGAATGCAATCATACGGAGAGCTCCGTACGCCATACAACATACGGAGTACGTTGAAATAGAATATACTTTGCAGGCCCGATCCATTGAAAAAGGGGCCATGAAACGCGAGAAATCAATAGCGGCGTGTGGGGTCTGGGGCCGCCACGAGGACTACCGACGTCGTCTGCTTTGTCTGAACGTCTATCCTGTAAACTCTATCATGGAGACGACAAAGTGGCCCAAAGTTACGACAAGCCGCACAAGCGAGCTAAATAATCTTTGCCTATACAACATACATCAGATCGAGGATTAGGACGCATCACGGCTTGCTCTGAGTGGCGGTCGAACCGCTTTGAGAGTTTGATCCGGGGTCTCGACTCAGGAACAGGATGAAGATCGACACGCTTTGACGCTGGCACCTCCAATCATAATGCGCGATGTGCATTATACTAAATCTCAGTACGGAGCACAAAGTGCAGAGTACAAAGGGTATGAACAGTACTCTGTACGAAGTCCAGTAATATCAAGCGTACATCGATGTAAGGCTCGAATTGTCGTAACGAAATCAAAATTACGGCATATGCGCCATGTCAGGGACGCCCAATCAGACGGCCAGACCTCCGATTTTTCTCTTTTTCCCAAATTGCGCCTGGGCAGTCTCCCCCATAGCCTAGCCCAGGGGCCTCGCCACGAGTAAGCATCGTCAAGCACTACGGAGTAGGCCTATCCGGAAGTGAAATAATGCGGACTAGCCGTTACGGCTTGAAGCGCGCTCGACCTTCCCGTTGCGGGGGCAATTGGGTTGCAGGGCTTGAAGTGTGGCGGCGATCTAGGTCTCGGATTTGTCGGATGGTTTTGATTAAGCTGAGGTGAGGATATTAAGTCGTTTACGATGGCGATAGTACAATATAAGCGTAAAGGACTCCGTATGGCGGACTCCGTACTCCGTACCATTACTATCAATATCAACATACAACATACAACATACAACATAGAACCAAGTTCCGGACGACAATGTACTCAGGACCCCGGAGGACGCAGCACAGTCCCATAAATGTGCTCCACAGAAATCGGACTTAATTGTAGTGTACAAATTATACGGAGTAGTGGGAGGGGAATGTGAAAGCTGTAGTTACAATACCATGTTTCAGCGATTCGCCTCGGGGTGCACCGACAGTTCAGTTCCTTAACAAGATGAACGTCCGGAGTAAGGATCAACCTCATTTCGCAAGTAAAGTGCACATCACGGTAGTTTCGCCCTTGCACAATACACTGTACGTTCTCTTGGCGAAATAAATGGCGGGCTGTTCAGGGGTAAGTGGAGATGGTCAAAGACCCACGGAGGTAATACTACACAAGAACGGGTAGTGGATCAGCAACGCTGTCTGAAACAGCAAGCACAAAGAGAGAAAGAAAGATGACAAAAGAAGAGAGGATGCTGCATGCACAGCATCGAGTCGCATTGCATTTCGAGTGGGATTACTATATTTGTCTCTGAAGTATAGAGGATCTGTAGATATCAAGATCTGTAAGGGCCCTTGGTGTTCCGATTTAAGCGATCAGCGTCATCAGTCAACGCTAGGAAGACCAGCGGGTCAAAATTACCAACTGTGTAAATGAAAAACAACCCCTGGGCTAAGTGATCCAATCAGAGAAATCAGTAAATGAAGGCTGTGCGAGGGTTCGAAGTCCCGAGTACCAGGCAGGTTGCGGTGTGGATGGGGAGTGGACCAAGTACCCAATACTCCGTACAAGATACACAATTCTAACCACTCGGTCTTTGTTCAATGGAGTTTCGGGCAGTTCCCCTTTTTTTTTTTAATTATTTTCGGGGGAAATGGGCCAAATCAGCCAGCAGGTGGCTGCTGATCGCGAAACCGCTAATCTCCCCGTTCATACAAAGGGCCCCGACCTCCCCCGTGCTGTTCTTGTTTCTTTCTTCTCTCCAAGTACATTCTTCGTTGCATAGCATCCAGTCACTCTCTCTCGACTTCGGTCATCCACTCTTTAAAAACACACACTCTCTTTTCCAAAAAAAAGCTACGCTTTTTATACATACCTTTTTGAACAATACACCTTGACGGTTACAGTACATATTCAAAATGCGTTTCACTACTGCCACTATCGCCTTCTTCGCTGGCCTTGCCATTGCCGCCCCCGGTGCCGACCAGACCGTCTACGAGACTGCAGAGGTGACCATCACCTCCTGCGCTCCCAGCGTCACCGACTGCCCCGGCAACAGCCCCTCCGGCGTTGACGCCACTGGCATCCCCAGCGCTCCCGTTGGTACCACCACCCCCGCCGCTCCCGGTGCTGGCGAGACCCCTGTCCAGTCCGTTGAGGTTCCTGCCGAGACCCCTGTCCAGTCTGTTGAGGTTCCTGCCGAGACTCCTGCCTGGTCCGCTGAGACCCCTGCCTGGTCCTCCGTCCCCACCTGGGCTCCCTCCAACCCCGCCGGCGGCTCTGTCCCCAGCGCCAGCGCCCCCGCCCCCGCTCCCCCCGCCGGCACCCCTGCTTCTTCCTACACCGTGATTCCCGTCACCACCTGCGTGCCCACCGTCATCTACTCGACCGTGCCCATTTCCTCCAGCACCCAGCCTGCTGGCGGTAACGTCCCCCACATTCCCGGCACTGGTGTCCCCCACGTCCCCACCGGCAGCAAGGCCGTCCCCTCCGGAACTGCCTCCGCCCCTCCTTCCATCTCCTCCCCTGCCTTCAACGGCGCTGGTGCTCTCAGCGGCTCCCTCGGCCTTGCCGGTGCTGCCGCCGCCGCTGCCTTCTTCCTGGCATAAATGACTTCTTCCGGGTCGATGATGCATTTCTGCACCTAGTTGGACCCCGTGGGTTTAACCCTGGCGTAGTCAGTGTGTCAGCCGGAGTGGTTGCTTGGAGGTAAAGTGAGATGAGGATTGTGTTATTTAGGATTTCTGGTGATTTACTTTTAACAATTGTTGCTTTCGACTGGATATGTCCATCCTTTTTCTGCTTTTTTTGATATACATATTTCTTTTTATTTCTTGGGCTCTCCTGGATAGCTTCGGAGTTGTGCGAAGCTCGCTTGGTGGCTTGAGCATGACCTTAATGTAAACCATGACAGCTTTTCACATTCTCCTCTTTCCAGCGCCTGTAACCTATTTGGAATGTATCCATTTTACCGTCTATGATTTTGATGAAATTTAGAATATTGTAATGGAGTCTTGTGTTCACTAGCATTCCTTATTTGTAGATCAGAAGTATACATCTTGTTTGGCTCGTCCCCGGTCGATGTACGGAATACCCCCTGTCGGAGATATAGGGCTATTTGGTATTATCCCAAGGTTCTCTGCCCCTGACTCCCACGTGTCACGTCAGATTTTAAATCTCCTAGGGCGATATGCACCGAGTTGCGCAACCAGCTGTGTGTGTTGACTTGTCATTCAATCCAGACTGCCTAATTTAAGCAGCTACACCCGATGCTGACCGTAATTTGGAGGCTCGACCGATTGTCAGGTCTCACGCTTAAACCCTGATATCCCTATCTCTACTGAATGAATCGGGGTCTTGCTACTTTGCTAAACTTTATGGTCTCTAGACCGCCTTCGTCTGCTTTTATGTGTGTTTTTTGAGTCCAACAATCACAACACATGATGTTTTGAGGGAAGCTGACCTAGTAGTCGACCATGCTGGGTATATTTCGGGAACAATTACCAACGTCATTTTGAAAGCATGCAATGTATGAATAAATTGTTCCAGTCTCCGTATTTTTCCGAAATGTTGGGTATCTACTCCGGAGGTACCTATCATTCAGGTATTGTGGTATGCCCTGTGTTCTGTGGCCCATGCCAAATCCCCGATGTTACGAGCTCAGTGTTCACGATATACAACACACAACCAACCGGCATACTGAGTTTCCACAATAGTAACGATTGGCAAGCAAAAATAGGGTTCTCCACCATCATTACCTCAGTGGCTGAACCAACTGTCGGCGATCGAGTTACCAGCTATTTACAAGGATCGACCACACGATCTCACGACCCCTCGAACCGGGAATAGGGTCATATACTTCCAAGATTTGAACAAAGAAAAGAATCAAAGCACCCCATGTGCACTATCTGCAGGTATTCACTCCCGGTCTGAACACGTCTCCCGCGAGCGAGCATCGTATCTGATTTGTATGCGGACACCCAGGACCACGGTCCCATCTAATTACTCGTATAGCCCTGTTATCTGTGACTTTCCCCCGAGGAAACATCCGAGCCCGGTGATAGTCCCTTGATAGCAATGTTAAGCGACTGCCGCCATGATGGGATGATTCGAACTCTTTGTTATGTGCTAAATTTGGACCCCAATTTGTATGCCGAACAACTACAGCCCCTGGGTAGGGTTGGTGCGCGGGCATGATTCGTCGCTTTTGGTGTGCTGGTAGGTTATTATTGACATCCTTTATTCTGCTTTGTGGGACTCGACGGCTATTGTTCTAAAGATGAGCGCCACGCTTTCACTTTCGGGCAATCGATTTTCAGTAATGATGCCCAATGCACAGCTAAGGGCAATGAAAGATCATCGGGATTTTGAGGTCCTAGTGGCGTCTTGCCACTACACTGCCCATGACACTGCCCATGAAGCTCCCTTTATCTAACATTCTTTGTTTATGACCCGCACAGTTCATGTTGTCTGGCCTTGTTCAGGCAAGAGCTGATGCTCTTTTAGACCTATCTCCTCTAGGAAACAGTGTTTTGTTCCGAGTTCTATTCTGGCTTTCGATACGAGTCCTCCGTGACGGCCCACTATCAACCCCTCAAAGCGCATATGGTTCGTGTCTTGTCTAAAGATAGTATATATGGAGTCAGATGGTATACTAGCTGAGACCTTGCAACAATTTTCACTACACAATGCTTTTCTCTTCATCTCAACGACAAACCTCTGCGGAACCTCCCAAACTACCCTCCGACCTTGGACCTCCTCTCATGGACCTCTCATCCCTCGAGGGACCACCAATGGTTGGTTCAACATTCTTTGTCTCATCAGACATACCAAGCCCGCGTATCCATACATACACACGTTCTCCGACACGCGTCTTGCGTCCAAAATCGCTGACATCAATTCCCGCTTCAACAAATATTCTCTCGCCACAAGAGCACCGAAACAGACGACCTATATGGCCGTCTAGCCATTCAATAGCCAACGGGCACCTCGGGCAAAAACCGGGCCATACGAATAGGACCGATCCGCGCGGGCCGTCGCCCGACTGCGGACCACGATATGTACGTGAGCTGTCCTCATCTACACAATCCCAAGATCGCAGACAATCACAGAGGTGTTTGCCCCTTACTTGGCTCGAAGATGAAAAGAAATGGGTCGTTGGAGAGATATACCCGTCGAATACCCATGATTCTCAACCTCAGCATGACCCATATCCTTCTCGACCGCCGATTTCACCCGCTTCACCTATCTCACCGTATCGGGACATGATCCAACGCCTTGACGAGCATATCGCTTATAATAATCGCCTCGAACGGGAGGGTCTATTGGACCAGTCCCCGCTCTACGGTGGCCACGGATTCACTTCAGCACATCGCGCAGCGCTGAATGACCGTGTGGCTAGGTGGGTTGCAATGACTCAGGGAATGCACCAGGATCAGGAGTGGGTGTGATTGCTGTTATACTTTTTTAGCGTTACAGGATTTCTGACATGTCATGGAACATATTGAATCAGCGCTTGGCTTACAGTGGACAAAAATTGGGCGATGCGATATGAACATTTTCTTTGGAAGATATCATTTTGTGCAAGAGATTTAATACTCAGTAGTGACCAGAATACCCAGGAATTGGCTGGTCTCTGCCAATGATTTGAGTATATGCTGCTATTTTCCACTTTTCTTTCCTTGCTTTTTTTTCCGGGTTATCATGACAATGCAGTCTCGAAGCGGAGTCTTGATGTCTGTTTTGGATACTCTCTTGGTGGAATATAAATAGATAGATCACAAAATATATCCCACTACGGAGTACGGAATAGACGGATCGATAATGCATTCAGTAGGTGGCGAAGCTTTAGGGCACGAAGTACGGTCAAGCGGCCGTGCCTTGTGATTGAATGCATTTTTACAGTGCCATCCTGACATACCAGGTGATGAGCTAGGTCTTCTCAAAGGCCAGATTTTCAGACTGTGTACCTTATACTCCGCACGGAGTACGGAGTAGGGGGATTCATGTTAAAGGAGCTGTGCCGTCGTGGTGGCCCCTATATGCACCTACCTAGGCATATTACAGTCTCTACTCCTTCTCAAGAATATCCAGGCATAATTAGTCTTACAGCATTGCATTTGGCAACCACTACAAATGTGATTTTTCGCTCCGCACGCTCCGGTCACGCTGCATTCGGTGCTGGATAAGGGCAGCCCATCCCGTGCATGCCATTGGCTTGATACCACCGATTGTTCCATTTTCTGCCGCAGGTGGGGAGGCAGATATATCAAGATTCGCATATCTTCGATCTGAGTTGATGTCTTACTAAGATATAAATCTGATGCTACGGAATACTCCGTACTGGGTTTTCACTCTATGCCCCCAATGACAGGCGATGGTTTCATCCGACATCGCCCAGCTCAGCGGTCATTGGGCGGGTGACGGGCTTTAAATTCAACGTTAGCAGAAACGGAACAGCGGCTCCACCACCTCCAAGTCCTGTCAATTTCATTTTGACGTGAGACTACCCGCTAGTGCGCTATCTATGGTGATCCTATTTACAGCTCACAATATAAAAAGCAAGGTGATTGTTGGCGAGGATTTCGCTTCGAGGAGCTAGCCGTCATCACAATGATGGCCTGGTAGCCCTCAGGACATAGTCATCCCGTTGAAGTCTTTATCAGAAGATATTCCGGATTGACATCTTCGATGCTTCCAACTCTGCACTTATTTCACCCTCGTTTCGCATTTATTTCACTTCGCACTCACTGTTTCTCGCGCTTTGACCGCTCTTTCAACATTTTTAGTATATCAGATTCGGACCCCATAATGCTTTGTTTTTTTCCCACTTGTTTCAGGTCGCTCATTCACGCCTATGTGATGATCCATATATACCCAGGGAGAAACCCCAGTGATCTCGAGACCCATGGACGGTTGAAGGTGTTCCAGGAGACACTCGTATATCAGCCGAATCCTACCGGAGCCAAGACTTTGATATAAGTATACCCCCGCATGGAGACTTCATCGTCCAGATTGATCAAATCCCAGATGGAGAGTAATAATAGCCGGATGCAGGGGATCGCCTCTCTGAGACGCCAGTCACGACACTGCTGTATGCCTGTCACCCGTCAGCTTTGGAAACTAGCAAACCGCAGTTTGGATCCACCGCTCCACCGCGAGTTATCGACAACCTCGCTAACTATCCCTGCCGACCCCATTGAGGGGGCCGATGGGGATGTCAGAAGGTGAATCATAAGAGGACGGAAGATTCTCGAATCACTTGGGGATTTTTTTTTCCCTTCCCCTCGCGGCTGGGAATCCTCTTAGTCGAGCAATGAGTGACTCCATTGCTCCAATTCTTTTGTGCGCTAACACAGACCAGCAGCTCTCCAGCCTCTGGATTATTTGCCAACCAGTAGCAGAGATGGGACGTATGATAGAATAGGAAAATAATAATAATATTATATATAAATATATATATTATGAGAGGACAGACCCGACGGGATTCCTCGTTCTCACCCTATCGAGAGACGACCTCAGACCACCGGCATTTCCAGTACCATGAAGTGAATGGAATGAGTTGACCGGATCTACCAGGACAGCATTGCACATATAACATATAACATACACCATATAACATACCTGACAAGAGACATATAAGAGGACGCGGGACTCACGTAACCGTGGTTCATCTGGAAATCTCCCCGATTCTACCGCCTTCGATCAGAAAAAAAAAATCCCCACCAATGGTCCAACTCGCCCACATCTTCAAAAAAGACAAGGACAAGGAGAAGGAGAAAAACGAAGACTTACGTTCCCGAAATTCCTTTTCCCGCAGTGCTTCATCGCCGACACCCTCCAGATCTCCGACTAAATCCCAGTCTTCTTCCAAGTCACCCTCCAAGTCCAAGTCCGCCAAGTCATCCTATTTCTCCCACAGTCGGACTTCCTCCACCTCCAAACCGTCCAATTTCAAGTTTTCCCGGTCTTCGCGTGACCAGGATACACACCCACTTAATCTCCCACCCGACGAGCTACGTCGTCGATTATCCGCCATGGCATCCAAGGAAGAGCAGCGAAGCTCGATGGATATCGATTCCCAGGAACCTCAGAAGAACGGTGTGAACGGCACTGAAGAGCGCAGTCCGACCCCGCCACCGCACCAGCCGAACTCAGCATCTGCCGACGAGGCGGATTCTTTCAAGCTGGCCGGAAACAAGTTCTTCAAGGATGGAAACTACCACCGAGCAATCCAAGAATATAACAAGGGTATGCATTTCTTTCTTCTCTTGCAGAAACTCAATATTTCTGAACTCAGCCCTTAATGAGCGGGGTTGCTGATGATTCTTTTTTTGTCTATTGCAGCCATCGAGATCAACCCCAACTCATCCGCCTATCTTTCTAACCGAGCGGCGGCCTACATGTCCGCTAGACAATATGTGAATGCGCTCGAGGATGTCCAACGCTCCAACGAGCTTGATCCCAATAACCCAAAGATCATGCACCGATGGGCCAAGATTCTGACGAGTCTGGGGCGCCCCACAGAAGCCCTGGATGTGTTGTCCCGCATCCAGCCACCCGCGACTGCGACCGACCGGGCGGCCGCAGAGAAGATGCTGCGTTTCGTTACACAAGCCGAGGAGACACTGGCCGACGACCGCGGAGTATCAATGGTGATCTTCTGTTTGGATCAGGCGCGGCAAGGCCTTGGAAAAGGGGTCCGGGAGCCCCGCAAGTGGTCCCTTCTGGCCGCGGAGGCCCAGCTGAGGCTGAACAACAGCAACTCACTGGGCAAGGCCCAGGATATCGCCATCTCTATGCTGCGTGAGAACAGTCAGGATCCGGATGCGATGATGATTCGTGCCCGCGCCTTCTATGCCCTCGGTGAGTCCGAGCAGGCGCTGAAGCTTCTTAAGATGTGCATCGGGCTGGACCCGGATATGAAGCCAGCTATCAAGCTGTTGCGCATTGTGCAGAAGCTGGCTCGCACAAAGGAGGAAGGAAACTCCGCCTTCAAGGCCAAGGACTACCGCCGTGCCATTGACCTCTGGGCCCAGGCTCTCGAAGTTGATCCCTCCAACAAGGATATGAATGCCAAGATCCTTGGTAACCGTGCCCAGGCTTACATTAACCTGAAGGAGTACGATTCTGCCGTCCAGGACTGCACTGAGGCTCTCCGTCTCGATCCTGGATATGTGAAGGCCCTGAAGCTTCGTGCCAAGGCTCACGGTGGTGCCGATAATTGGGAGGAGGCCGTTCGTGACTACAAGAGCGTTGCCGAGAACAGCCCTGGCGAGAGGGGCATTGCGGAGGAGATTCGCCGTGCTGAGTTTGAACTGAAGAAGTCGCAGCGCAAGGACTACTATAAGATCCTGGGAGTCGGCAAGGATGCCAGCGATCAGGAGATCAAGAAAGCCTACCGCAGGTTGGCCATTCAATATCACCCTGATAAGAACCGTGACGGGGAAGCGGGCGACGAAAAGTTCAAGGAAATTGGTGAAGCTTATGAGACTTTGATCGATTCTCAGTAAGTTTGGCTACAATCTTCAAACCCCTTTGACGCAAAACTAACCTCATATCTAGGAAACGTGCCGCTTACGATAATGGAGACGACCTGATGGACCCGGCCGACATGTTCGGCGGCGGCGGTGGCTTCGGCGGCGGTGGTTTCGGTGGTTTCGGTATGGGAGGAATGGGCGGCGGCGCAAGCCACGTCAACATCGACCCCAACATCCTCTTCAACATGATGAACGGCGGCGGTGGAGGCTTTGCTTCCGCCGGCGGCAACCCCTTCGGTGGCCACTCCCACGGCGGCGGTTTCCCATTCTAGATGAAGACAACCCTCATATTAACTTGATACCACCATCGATATTTCCATCTTTCGTCCTGAGAGGATGAACCCCCCAAACAGGAATCCGCATTCCTCGACCGGAGTTGGAGTTACACCTCGATATCCTACACATTGATCCATAGGAAATTGGGGCTTTATTTCTTTTTTTATGTTCTTTTTTCGCCTGCCATATCACGATTTTTTCTCCATGTTTCTGCGGAGACGCCATATGATTCCCGATATGATAGATTTGACGTTTTTTTTTTTTTTTTTTTTTTGCCCCTTTGCTCTTTTTTATCACAATTGTTTTTTCATTCCCTTTGACCTCTTTCGGAGAATTTTGTATGTGATTACTGCAAACTGGAATGAATCTACGAGAACTGTGCTTCCAGGACGTGTTTTGAAGTTTATCTGTACAGAAGATCTACACGTTATAAATCCGACAGACCATTTCTGGCGTTCACATATGATTTCGTTTCTTCTGTGTTTCAATTTCGACTTCTTTTGCTAATTTCAAAATGGTCGCTTTCCATCTCTTGGCTTTCTGTTCGCCGCGTGGGATTATCGATCCTTTTCCCACGTGGTCAAGCAAATAGTATCCTAGTATGCGACATCCAACAGCTACATGGCATCCTTAACAGTATGGTTCAGACATTGTGTATTTGGCTTTTCTTGTAGCTTGTGTGTCTATTCATATCTCATCTCACATGGAGCCTTCCAACCTCGCAAGGTGAGAATATCGAACAGGCAACCTGACTCATACGGCCTCCCATCTAGTTCTTGCGGCACTATTCGAAACAATTAGCCGATGTCAACGAGAGCAATAGCTATGGTAAACATACCCATCCCTGGGTCTCTCCTTCGGGGATATAGCAATCAGCGAGACAGCACTCGACCGGAGGGGAGCCATTGGGGTTGCAGCGTTCAGCAACCTGAGCACACTGGAGGGCATCGTTGGAAGCGGCCATGACGGCAGTGACAGCGAGGAAGAGGGCAGCGATGAACTTCATGATGAATTATGTAAAGGTGATGAAGGATATACAATGGAATGAATTGTTTGCGATTTGGAACACTCCGCAACGATAGAGGGAGGACCTTTTTATATTCCAGGAAAAGTCTCCCTCAGCTATCATCGCTGTTTACGTCAAGGGGGGACTATCGATATCACACCCGACTTCATACACATCTATAGGTCTGCGGAGTATCTGCTTCGTTCTTGTGGAGCTGAACCCCACATACTCCGTATTCTAGTGCGCACATCCACGGATCTGCCTTCGGCGACCCCGAAATGTCCTTGCAGGGTTGTTGGTTGAGATCATCGATGACGCGCTGTGTAGAAGTCGGCCCAGTATATTCGGCATTGGGGTTACTCCCCATCGCCACATGCGTTAGGAAACTGTCTTGATGGTTCAGTTAAACCGAATCGGCCCCGAAATTGGATCATATGAAGCAGCTGGTCTCATGTTGGCTACATAGCCAACAAGGGGGTTTCCTAATAGGCAATCGCGAATACTGGTTCATTTGAATGTGATATGTCTTCGATGATCTTGGGCCCACGTATATTTACTGCTAGGGGCATTCCAATCCCACATACGGAGTATGGAGTGTGAAGATGTGATCTTGGTCGACCCTTGCAGCTTTCTTGGTGGGACTTGCTGGTAACGATGTGATATGGTAGTTCCTTATGGGAAGATGTAGGATTACATTATTTTTGAGAGAGGATGTGCCTAACGTCAGCAGTGAAGGAAAACTTGCAATGCTGTGCGTGAAAATCGGAGTGATCATTAGACACCTTTTGTAAGATCGTTCTTGGTACGGAGCAAATTGCGTTGTACATTCATATGTTCTCGAGCACTCCATCCGGGATGATGGATTCGAAGAATATAACTAATAGCCTAGGGACCTCTTTGTCTGAGAAAAATTATAATAATGCTCAGTCGCCATGTGTTCATAATAGACAATATAACTAATTCACTGCCGTGATGTTCCGTGCTATGTATGTACTTCTCAACGTGCTAAACAACTATACTAACCAATATAAAACAAAAACCAGGGGAATCTCAGGGGGGTTGGGGGTGATGGTGGGCATGAATGGGGGTAAACAAGACAGAAATTAGCGAATGAATATACCGGACAGAAGAGCATAAGCAAACTCCGCCGCTGATGAGAGATGTCCAAGTCAAATCAAACACAAGATGGGGCATATGGAGTAAATGTAAGAAACAGGGAAAGAAAAGTAACAAGAGACGCTGGCATAAAGAGTATTCAATCAAACATAGCCCAGAGTACTGAGCATAGTCTTGCACTCAGGGACCGGCAGAGAGGAGACACCCAGTGCGCGAACCAAAGCACCGCCTCGGAGCCGTTGGAGACCGATGGCCACCTTCCAGGCCTCGGTATCCTGCAACACAAACACATACTTTTTGCCTTCCTGGTCACGAACACTGGCGCGGAGTATGTGCAGACCACGAGACTCCGTCCCAGGCGGGTGCACAGGGCCGCCGTCGCGGCTGGCAGTAGAGCTGCGTGAAAAGCACCCACTGGGCGAGGCCAGGCGGCAAGTGTTCTTGCAGACTTTGAGCAGGTTGCCGAGAAAAGCCTCGGATTCTTCGTTGGTGGGGACATTGTTCCCACGGCGGAAAGAGAATGGGTTGCCGGATGCGGACTTGGCAGACGCGGTGACATTGAGTTGGGGACACCATACCTCTGCTAGCTTGAGGGTCCATGCCTTGACATCCCACTCGCGCTGGCCAATGCCTCGCAGGTCGTCGTCGACAAATAGACCTTCGGTTGTAATTCGTAGCACCAACCCGTCAGTGATCATGCCCTGCCCCGAGACAAGCTGCGCCACCGGAGTTTTCATGAAGGCATTATTGAAAGCGTATACACCCTGGATCACGATCTTGTCAGGATCCTTGGTAGAGTATGCACTGCGGTATGAAGGAGGAGGCGTTGTACGCGCAGTCGAGTGAGACGCCGCATATGACGACTCAGAGGATACTGAGGTTCCAGCTGCATATGGCCGCCGTGGTCGGTCATAGGGGCGAAACGAGTATGCATCATCATCGTTAGCAGTTTTGGCAGCTGATGAAGGGGGTGGTTTCTTAGGAGAAGGCGTGCGAGGCATGTTGCTAGTACTAGCTGGCTTGGGAGGCGGTGATTTGGCAGCAGCCTCTTTCGCTTCCTGGGCCTTCTTCTCGGCGTACTTCTTGCTCGCTGCTTCCTTGAGCGCCGCAAATTTAGCCATGGCCTCTTTCTGGGCGGCGGCCTTTGCGGCGGCTTCTTTCTCGGCCGCCTCCTTGGCAGCACGCTCTTTGGCTTCTGCTTCAAGCTTTTCTGCCCTGGCTTTTGCCTCTGCTTCAGCTTTTGCTAGCCTTGCGCGGACCTCTGCAGCTTCCTTCTCTATCTTTTCGCGTGCTTCCTTTTCTGCGGCAGCCCTTGCAGCAGCTATCTCTTTTTCGAGTTGCTCGCGTCGCTCCTGGAGTTCTTTCTCCATTGCTTCACGCTCGCGCTTTTTCTCTTTCTCTTTGGCTTCTGCGTCTCGCTTGCGCTTATACTCCTCCATCTTTCGGCGTAAATCTTCTTTGCGCCTCGTTTCCTCTCTCACTCGCTCCTGTTCGGCTTCCTCTCTAGCTCGCTCTCGGGCACGCTCTTCTCTGGCACGCTCCTCCTTGGCACGCTCCTCCTTAGCGCGTTCTTCTCTAGCCCGTTCCTCTCTGGCTCGCTCTTGCTTGGCCCGTTCTTCTCTGGCCCGTTCTTCTCTAACCCGTTCCTCTCTGGCTCGCTCTTGCTTGGCCCGTTCCTCTCTAGCACGTGCTTCTCTAGCACGTTCCTCCCGAGCTCGCTCCTCTTTGGCTCGCTCTTCCCTAGTGCGCTCTTCCCTGGCGCGCTCCTCTTTGGCACGCTGCTCTTTAGCACGCTGCTCTTGGGCACGTTGCTCTTGGGCACGCTGCCCTTGGGCACGCTGCTCTTGGGCGCGTTGTTCTTTGGCACGCTTTTCAGCCTCCTCCTTTTCACGTTTGTTATCATCAGAGTTCGGAGGAGGACCGGAGCCATATTGATTACCGGAATATTGATTGCCGTGGTTTTGGCCACCACCAGAATTTCCTCCATGTTGCTGTCGTTGCCGACTTTCTCTATTGTTGCTATGGTTTGCACCGGAAGATTGTTGGTTGGTGTTTGAGCCGGCGTTGCTTGAGCCGCCTGGACCTCCAGAGCCGCCACCAAATCTACCAAATCCACCAAATCCGAATCGTCCACCTCCAGAGCCGCCGCTGCCTCTGTTATCTCCAGAGCTGGCGTATTGGACGGCACCAAAAAGCCACCCAGCCAAGCCAACCACAGTCGTAAAAACCGTCATACCTGTACCACTGCCGCTAGCGACAGTAGCTAGGTACCACGCCTTCACAATTGGGGAAATGCAAGACCACACAAAACACGCAAACAGCGTGCTTGCGACGCCTGCTAGGAAACTGTTTCGGTTGCATTGTAAAGATGGAAGGTAAAGGAAACCTGCGCCAGCGGAGTGGGGTGGGACGATAAAGATGTCGTAGTCGCCGTCCGGAAGGTCTGAAGACTTGCGATATTCGCCCTCCGTGGTTTTGGGATTCTCGCCATGAGGCGGCGGTGGTGGAGGAGGACCATCCATGTCGGATCAGCTCGGAGTGACTTTGGGACGTTCGGGTCGTGCAATATATATGCGACGCAATGCAGCAAAGCGCAGCGTCTGTCGAAGGGCTAGGTATGACCTGGGTTGATATCCTAGGACGAGTTCTCACGATTGATAATCAATTGCCAGGTCATATTAGTCCGACGAGGGTTGCACTGAGGCCGCAGGCGCTCAGTGCTGTGGAGGGTAATCAGATGCCTATTTCTAGGATATAACACGAACAGAGACCAAAACTCCAAACAAAATTCGAATAAAATCTAAGCCGCAAAGCCAAAAGGTGAAGGCGGGGGAAAACGAGAGTCTGAACTGGGGGAGTTTGTTTGGAAGACAAGTGTGGGAGCTAAGGATCGGCGCCAACGCTTTCTGCATCACTCGACCTGTCCATCGCACCACCACAAAAATTGCCAATACGAACGGAACAATATTTCTTAGTGAATCTCTCGATCAAACTCTAGCATCTATCTCCCGAGGAATGCTGGATTCCTCGGAGGCCACGCGATTCTACATAGCTCGGAAACGGCCCTAAGGGATAGTTGGAATGTATGGAGTACAAATGGGACAATGAGCCGTATTAACGTATCCTGCCCGGAGCAATGTAGTTTTTCAAAGCTATGACTAGACTAGTTCTCAAAAGCATCTTCTTTAGCCTCTTCTCAACCTGCAAAGACATCATTGTTTCCAGTTCTTTCAATTGCGACAAAGGTACCCTGTTTTGTTTTGATTTTACTCTTTTGGGAAAGCGCCGATTACATCGGCCCGGATTATTCTTCATCCGATGCTTTTACCGCCCTGCTCTCCGCTTTTCGGATGCGTGCTGACTTCGGGTGATGAGACGGGAAACAGAAAGGTATTGACGTTGGATTTCCGTCCAAGTATCAATATTTTCTCATAAGTTGCTGCATCGATTATACCCCACAGCAATCTGTGGGCATTCCCGTCATGGGTGTACCTGCATTCGCATTCGGGCCATTTAAGTCGCTGTTCAGCACATTCTAGAAAGAGCCGGGGGTCCTTCATATGTGGAGATCAGCTGGAAAAATCCCAACCATCTCTCTCACCTGGATAACATGAATCATACCAGTGGACATAACTCATGCTTTCCTTTCTTTCTTTGTGTATCGCGAGCCATAGACCAGCAACAGGTATTCGGTCTGAGCGTATCACTCAAAGATATGGCCCCGAGTATGTACTCTGTATCTCGCGCTGGGAGCGGCGCGCTAGAAAAATCTTGTTGATCTTGCGGTCAAGCGGTTGGGGGAGATAGTTCGAACGTAGTGGGTCCGAGAGAGGAGGTATTTCGGGGGGAATATGATCATCGGCGCCTGTTCACTAGATTAGAGCCGAGAGAATTAGGAGCATGATAAAGATTTATGCTCATCTCGGCGTCGGGTTAAGAGCTCGTTTCTGAACGAGTGAAAAGCGGAAGTGGTTATTCCATGGTCATCATGCCGCGACAGAACCTCCGTGTAGAATATACACGTCCCATGATCGGGCCATGAGGTGCGGGACCATGACCAGGCAGGAGAGACCTTAAGACCTCACGAGAGGCACCCCCAAGTCATCTTGGCCCACTTAGACCAGGTCTAACACTTTATATTAGTCCGGTAGCGACGCGAAGCGTAGGGGAAGTGATCGTGGATGAGAAATCCCCGATGAGGATCAAGACTCGGCAGAACGTGATCTGCAGCCGATGATTGGGTGGCTTTCCACCTGAGATTCCAATACCCTTTCCCTGTCCATCGGGATGTTGATCGTCTGCTTCTATCTCACCTCAGCTTCAAATCGTTTTGCATCTCTCCTGCGATAGTCTGGTAGTCAGGTACTACCCCGTGTTTCCGCCTCCCCGCCAACCCCTGTCCCCTTAGCCCCCTCCCAGGCACCTATCTCCGCCAACTTTGCCCCCCCATTCTACCTCTCACACTCTATGCCGTGTCGCTAGCCACCGAGATTCAATTTACGACCTGCCCTTGAAGGGCATCCCGGCATCATGTCCTCCCAGGCCAACCACGGCCATCCCGCGACGTCACGTCAATTCCCCGCCTATAACCCCGTCGCCGCAGTGGCAGCTCCTCCGGGGACCTTGCTTCCGGGCACCAAGATCCAGGTCGGCAGCCATCGCGTGGTGGTAGAGAAGTATCTCTCTGAAGGTGGTTTCGCTCACGTCTACGTGGTGCGATTGCCCCAGCCAGTCAATGGTTCGGATACCGCGGTCCTCAAGCGGGTCGCCGTTCCCGACAAGGCGGCCTTGGCCAACATGCGCACCGAGGTAGAAACTATGAAGAAACTCAAGGGTCACCGTCATATCGTAAAGTACATTGATTCGCATGCCTCGCAGCTGCGTGGAGGCGGATATGAGGTGTTCTTGGTCATGGAATACTGCGCGGGCGGTGGTCTTATCGATTTCATGAACACCCGGCTTCAACACCGGTTGACAGAGCCGGAGATCGTAAAGATCTTCTCCGATGTTGCTGAAGGTGTTGCATGTATGCACTATTTGAAACCGCCTCTTCTCCATCGTGATCTAAAGGTCGAGAATGTGTTGATCTCGGGCAAGAGCAGCTCCGTTACTTACAAACTGTGTGATTTTGGATCATCAGCACCTCCTCGCCCCGCTGCTACTTCTGCTGCAGAGGGCCGTTTGATTGAAGATGATGTGCAACGCCACACAACATTGCAATACCGAAGCCCAGAAATGATTGATGTCTATCGGAAGCAGCCGATTGACGAAAAGAGTGATATTTGGGCACTTGGTGTGTTTTTATACAAACTATGCTACTATACGACTCCCTTCGAAGAGGTCGGTCAAATGGCTATTTTGAACGCGAGTTTCAAATACCCCTCCTACCCCTCATTCTCGAGTCGGCTGAAGCTGTTCATAGGTGAGTTAGGTACATGGCTCATTGTAGATCATTGGTTACTGACGATTCCACATAGGCTCCATGTTGAAGGAAGACCCGCGCAATCGTCCCAACATTTATGAGGTCGTGCGCGAGGTATGCAGCATGCAAGGAAAGGAAGTCCCTATCAAAGATGTATGTCTCTCTGTACCTTCTTAGGTCCCAACCTCATGCTGATTGCCGCTTAGATCTATTCCAACCGCTCTGTTTCGGAAGCGCGCAAATACCAGGAACTGCCTCCTACACCCACAGATGGCCCTGCGGTAGGCGCAATATTCTCGCCTCCTATGCAGGAGACTGAGATCATCCCCGATATTGCGCCTATGCGCCGCGGTCGACCAGGGAAATCTTCGTCATCCCAACCCAGTTCCGCAAGGCCAAGTCCTTCGCCCTACCGGGCTAACGCAGGAAGCTCGTCAACTGATCCATTTGCAGCTTTGGATGGAGGGGCAGGACGAAAGAAGGCTGCAGACGAAATGGCAAAGCGCTTCCCATCCTTGGATCAATTTGACATTTTGCATGAGAAAGGAGACAAGTTTGAATTTGAGCCCACGGTAGAAGCCAAGACCGAGGAAGAGGATCTCTCACAGAGACTTACCAATGCCTTGGCCGATGATGCGTTTGCCCGACGTGAATCGCCTGAACGTGCACCGAACCCAGCCTACCAGCGACCATCACAGCCCTCTCCTGTGCGAGTACCTACTTTGCAAGAAGTTCCTGCAAAGCAGGCTGCTCCCTTGTACCAGCCGACTCCTCAGCGGCCCATAATGGTCTCGACGGGTACTATGACCTCGCCTATCCAGTCGCCTCGCTTGCCGGATCCAAATGTGTCCACGCGCCCAATTTATCGATTCCCTTCATCCGATAATGAACAGCGGTCTTTCTCAAGCCAGCCGTGGACAAGTGAGGAAGAAAAAGAGCGACACGGCCCCACAAGGCGCCGTCGCCTCCAATGTCGAGCCTGAATGCAGAAGCAAGCCCACGGGTCTCATCGGACCGCCTCTCTGTCCAGTCCACCTCTACACGTGTGTCAATGGAAACATTGAGACGGCCGTCAGCATTGGAGATTGATGAAGCCGTGGGGCGCTCCAAATCTGCTATGGGAAAGACTCGGCCGATGTCAGTACAGCCAGGAGCGAGATATGACCTGCCGCGTGACTCTGATAGCCCGCGGTCTTCGCTTGATATGTCCCGCACGCCATATGAAGGCGGGGCACCACTGCGACCTGTGCGTACTGATGTGGACCGTGAATCAGATCGGGCCAATATCTCGTCTGATGTCGATTACTTACGCGCGATGGAGGAACAGGAGAGCACCCGGAAGCGTGAAAAACGCTCTAGTGGTAGCCACAAACACAACAAGCGTGGTAGTCTGTCCAGCTTGTCACTCTCAGGCGGTAAGAACCTATTCGCCGGGCGATTTGGCGATGCATTCCGCCGATTTGAGGCAGGCAACCAAGATAAAACCCCATCACCTTCGGGAGAGGAGATACCTCGGCAGGGTCTGGGAGGGATTTCGGATTCGACAGATGAGAGCTCGTCTCCTGATGACGACATTGCTTTGGAAGATGTTGATCGAGATGACATCTCCCCAGAGATGCGCCGCGAGCTGGAGCGCCGCCGACTCTCCCAAGAGGAGAAACGAGTTGCTAGTGCCGCCGCCGAGTACCGCCGCCGAGTTGCCGAATCGGGTGACGGAGGTGGAAGAGCGATCGGCGATGGTACTCGTTCTCGCACGATTCAGAACAAGGTGAAGTCGTTGCTCGGGGAATCTGACAAACCGTCCATTCCCAAGACCGCGACTGGGTATGGCCGGTTTACGGAGACTTCCTCTTCTTTGCAGGCAAAGCAGAGTGAGTTCAAGCCCGCCACCTCCGAACAGTCGGGCGCTTCTCGCACCTCCGGCCCTGCCTATACTCCTCGTGACGGTTCAATGGCACCTCCAGTTCGCCGAGACGGAGCTAGTGTTCCGGCGGGCCTTCCGCAAGCTGCCACCCCTACCAGCCACCTATCTATGCAACGAACTGCAACCCGTCCAACTGCGCCACCCAAGCCGAAGAATCTACGAGCTGGTACAGCTAATTCACGCCCAGGCAGTGGTCATGGCCATGGTTCCTCTCAAGCGACCCCAGTAAGCCCTGCAGAGGACTGGGAGGCCAACTTCAGCCGGCGTTTCCCAAGTCTGTCCGGTATTGAAATGGAGACAGAGATTGAACTCCCGAAATTTCCCAGCTTGAGGACACGGGAAGTGTAGAATACAGGATATGAGTCTTGTTTGTTTCACATGATGCGGTTTCAGCGTGTGTTAGTATGTTCGCCATACCGGCGCAACTCGGGGAATGGCATGGGTTCCCATGAGCTATACATATATAGACAGTGACATATTGGACATGAAATAAGGTTTTACTAAATACAACTTAAGAATACATGTACTCCGTACTGTGAGTTCCTCTAATCGTAGCGCAGAGTCCAGCCGTCTACTGTCTCAACTGATAATCGGCTTTCCCCACACCGCCTTTGTTTCTCCCCGCAAAGAGAATCTCCGTTCAAGCTCGCGGCCTAGGACTGCACTTCTCTCAATACTCCACGCCATGGCGCCCGTGACCCTGAAAACAGTTGATGGTGATTTATAATCAATAGCCTATTCCAAGGATTAATAAACTAATGTGCCACGCAGATGACCTCAAAGATGTGATTCAACACCTATTCGAGATCCAATCTGCCGTTCATGGCTATCTAGGCCCTGAGACGCAGCAGGAACTTGTGCGCAAAATGTATGACAGCTGCAATGGCACCTCCTATCCAATCCATCATCTGCCTTCGCATCGTTTTTTCCATTACGAGAGCTAAAGCCGCTGCTCGTCATTCAACATTCCCGCCCAATCTATAAGTAACAAAGACTGACTTGATCACCAATCTAGCAAGAACCTAACTCTCGCGCTCTCGACTCTATCAACACATACTCAGCTGCCGCAAACACAGGAAACCCAACCAGATACAAACACCGATCCTTCCAATCCCACCCTCGCCAGTGTCCAGCTCCCACCAGAAATTATCGACTACGTTGACTCGGCACGCAACCCGGACATTTACACGCGTGAATTCGTTGAGCTTGTGCAGCGTGGAAATCAAGATCTGCGCGGAAAGCGCGAGGCCTTTGCAAGCTTCCGTGATGTTCTAGCTCGCGAGATGCGCAGTGCTATGCCCGAGTGCCGCGGTGAGGTTGATCGCGCAGTCTCCGCGACTGGTGGCGCTGTTGATGGGCCTGATGGTGTTGCTGGGACTGGACCTGCGTCTGGTGGGAATTGAAATGGATTTGAGGGCAGGGGAGCGATTATCGGGTCCAGTCTAGCATTCCTGGCGACTGGCTACTGGCAACAATTTCACTAGTGGTTGGACCTGGCCTTGAAATTCGCTTCTAATATCAGGGCGCTTTCTTGAAGATGGCTCAACCGGTGCATTCATTGGAGTTTTCATGGTGATTCGCATTCAGCGTGGCGCTTGCAGGGCTAGTTTATTTTATTGGGATTGTCGTTTGCAAATTTCTTTTCTATTTTGCCTTTAAACAATATGTCCTTGGCTATTGGTTGTCTATCTTCTACACATGGGTCTACACAAATCTTCCTTCTGAATGGCAATGCCGATATGCTCTACATGGCCAGTGTCAGATAGAAGGAAGCTTTGATCTTGGCGCACAGAAAGAAAAAAATCCGACAAGTCGTCTGAATACGGCGTCTAAATATTCATCCACCATATATTATCCATCTACCTCTGGGTACATGTCAATTGCTATACAAAACATGTATGTATTTTATGAAGCCTGAGAAACAAGGCCAACGAGCCTCATGCACTGTGGCTGACATCATCGGCGCCGGAGCAACCTTATCTCGGAAAGAGAGTTTCCGGGCTTCACTGAGGCATCAAACACGATGCCAACCCGAAGGAGCCGATCAGCAGCGGCATGTATGCATTGTCGCCAGAAAAAAGTGCGTATCGTATGTTCGTATGTTCTTCAATAGGGACTCTGAGCTGATCATTCCATCACACTAGTAGTTGAAGTGCGATGCCCAAAGGCCCCAATGTGGGAATTGTCTAGCCAAGGGTATCGACTGCCAGCTAGGCGTCGTGCAAAATAAACCAAGGTATGAATGAGATTCGTGTAGCCGCAGTTCGAATTACAAACTTCTTTTTAGACCGACCAACCAGCGTATTGCGGAACTAGAGCGGGAAAATCAAGTCCTTCGCCAGAGATGCTCCCAACTTCCGACCAACAATGCCGCTCCTGCTGGTAGAGCTCAACTACAGCCGGACAATGTTATTGCGTCGGCAAGCACTCCAGCAACTCCTTTGCCACTTTCGAGATCAGGAGGAGGAATTGGGCTCTCGCGAAATGACGCTTCTTCCAATTCAATTAGAGATGCTTCGCATCCCGAAGTACCAGAAAACGACCGCAGAAACACGTCGTTGTACCATGGTCCAACTAGTACGGTATATGATGATACAAGTCCGCAGAACAGCGAGCAAAATATATTGAGACAGTTCAACGAAGAGGGAACACGACACCTTCTCTTTTCACAGACAGCAAGACAAAGCAAGTCGGATCTCATGCAGTATAGAGCGAGTTCATCGTACTGACTGGGCACTTGCAGGACAACTGGAACCCCTTAATCTTGCTGCCGGAAAACTTGACTTTGATGGCAATGATCCTGAGATTAGCATGCACCTGCTTTCGATATACTGGAGTCGGCAGCTTTACACAGCACAGATCATTTATCGACCGGCTTTCATGCGAGACATGGCCTGTGAGGGGCCATATTTTTCCAAACTATTATTGAACGCGATCTTCTTCGTAGTTTCGAAGCATTGTGATCGGCCAGAGCTCCGTTCCAACCCAAGCGACATTACCACTGCAGGATGGAGGTTCCGTCAACGCTTTACTCAGCTTTTACGAGATTGCTTTGACAAAAGCGAAATCACTACCCTTCAAGCTTTGTTGATAATGTCCAATGCTCTTTTCTCAAGATGTGACGAACGCAGTTTATCATGGCTCCACGCTGGAAATGCATTCAATATGTTCATTGATCTTGGTTTGCATGTGCTTCCTGCTGTGGATAGCATCCCTGCCGAGGAACTTGAAATTCGGAAGCGAGTACTCTGGGGAGCATACTGTGAGCAATCAACCTTCTATGGCATTTATTGCTCTAGGCATCATCTCTAACCTGTTTGATAGTGATTGATAAAATCCAGTGTCTATTTCAAGGAAGACCACCGCTTCTCAATCGTGTCAACATGAGAGCTTCACTCGACTTTCTCGATGACTATGACGAGCTCGAGCCTTTTCAGCACATCACATACATGAGACACAAACCTCAAGCGGTGGTTCCGTCGTTGAATTTGTCTTTGCTCACCAAGTTATGTGAACTGACGACAATTGTGGAACGTATTCTCCGCGAGATATATTCGGAATCGCGAGAATCGAACCATATTCACAGAGCGAATATATTAGAGGAAATAAAGTCACAGCTAAAAGGATGGCGGGAAAGTTTACCACTTCAACTTGACTATCTATCATTCCCAGACCAAGCGGTTCTCCTACCTCAGTCCGCGTGCCTCTTGTATGTTTTTTTGTCCAATATCAAGACTCAGTGTGGTTGCTAACTATCAGAAAGAGCCCTATTCAACGTGCTTATAATTCTCGTGCACCGTCCTCTAATAATTGGCCCCGATGGAGTCATCAATTCAACAACCGCCCATGAGTCAGTGAATGCATGTACAACAGCCGCAAACCAGATCGTCCAGATTCTCCGCGATTATTCTCAGCATTTCACTCTGAGCAGTGCACCCTACATGCTCTCCTATGCCACATATATCAGTGCAACGATCCACGCACGGATTGTGGCACAGAAGGGAAGCAACACGTCGGTGTTTCAATCGTTGATCCTTTGTCGCAACATTCTCGTTGAACACACACGGCTCTATTCTGCCGCAGAAAAAGCCAAGGAAAACCTGGACAAGTTGATATTGCACTTAGGGATCAGTGGCCCGGATGATCCTCAGCGCGTTGGAAACTCTATGGCCTTTCCCGGAGAAAATGTGATCATGGAGGAGTCGACTAATCCGGCCAAAGAAACAGGGGCTGTAGACCGTGTAGTTGAGTTTGGATCTCCTATGTTGAACTTAGAACTGTCGGACTTGGATCTCGAGGCAATTGCTCAAGGCTTCCAGGTCGATGTAGAGTCACATTCGTTCTGGCATTCTTTAGGAGTATGATTAGCCATGCATTCATAATATTCATGATTTCTTATGATCTATGTGATGTAGAAGAACTAGATATACTGAATTCAAACGTAGACTACAGTGAATATGTAGCTACCGTAGGTAAGACTTGGGTGGTGGTCTCGTCCGTTGTTTGACCATCTCTATCTTAGTCGTTGGCGAGCTAGTTGCAGCACCAAGTCGGCTACAACATTCAGGTATAAATCTGCTTTTCCTCGAACGGTTCTCATTCCATATACTCTCTATATATTGATCTATCTCCACCCACCTTGTATCTCGCCTCGCTAGAAGTGAGATATACAAAAAAAAAGGGCAAAAACATACAACAGTGAGGATTCGCTGGTGGTCACCCACCCAACTACTAACTCACCGGCGTGTGGCTTGAGTACGGCTGAGCGGACGGGAAGCCCTATTTTCCACACCCTATGGTCGTATGTACTAGATGTTACACTAGCTGAGATCATATTGTAAAAGTATAGAAGAAGTTATAGGGTGCAAATCCTAAGGTTAGGGTGAGGTTTATCCGGAAACCATATCACGGCACTAGCCACCTACTAGGGCTACGATTGGCCACCTAATCCAGCTGGATAGACTGACTAACTACACCATAGAATTTTACACACTTCCCGAGGTCCTTTCATAACAAATTCGAGACATAACAAATTCGAGACGGTCAAAAAAAAACAAAAACATACAACAGTGAGGATTCGCTGGTGGTCACCCACCCAACTACTAACTCACCGGCGTGTGGCTTAAGTACGGCTGAGCGGACGGGAAGCCCTGTTTTCCACACCCTATGGTCGTATGTACTATCTTTATCATGAGAGAGGGTAATGAATTGCATAGTCTGCGAACTACTTTGGCTTTGCACGACCGGGTGATTAAGTTGAGTGCAATAGACAGGGTGAGAAGCCAGGTGAGAAATCACCTAAGTCGCGCGACTGCCGCACTGACAAAATACTTAAATAGACGCAGCTTATGAAATGTTGTCAACCAGTGATGAGTAGCCTGTCTAGCTGTATTCAAAAGGCATGACATACGATAAAATATTGTTGAACGGCTAGTGTGCCCCGTGGATGGGGAGGCAAAGAATCCATGTCATTCATGATGAAGAAAGTCTAGGAGGCTTAGAGGGAAGGAGAGATAGGGAGTAGATGCGGGCAGGGAGGAGCTTACATATTATATAGACCGTGGTTGAAAGGGAAAAATCATTTATTTACGTCCACAGAGCCTCAATTTGTCTAATTTTGCGACCTTTCCTAATCGGGATGTATAATGTTACTTTATCATCTTTTGAAGAAACCTCTGTTACATACATGCACATATAGTGCTCTATAGCAGCTATATAATGGTAACTGTGAGTTCGAGGGTAGCTTCGCTCAAGCGTTATAATCTATCACGATCTTTCCAGCAACCTCTCCCCTGCGGAGCCGCTCCACCCCTTCAGGTAGCTTCTCAAAAGGTAATACCTCACAAACCTCTCGGAGGAGACCCCTCTCAACAAGTTGCAACACTGCATCCGTATCTTCCATCGTACCCACCAAAGTTCCTCTGATTGATAGGTTTTTCAATATCATGATGGTGGGATTGACATGCATGATGTGATCAGAAGATGCTGGAGGTAGTCCAATGCACATGATAACTCCTCCTACTCTCGCTCCAATATAATTGATAGCCGTTGGATATGCAGCCGGTGCCGTAACAAATACACCATGTGATCCAATACCTCCCGTGAGGCGCACAACCTCTGCAACAGGATCCGTTACTTCCTTGAAATCCACGAAAGCCTCTGCACCCATCTTCAATGATATATCACGCTTCGCATTTCCAGTGTCCACGACAATGGGTCGCAGACCAAACGCTTTTGCAATCTGCACAGCTTGGATCCCAACACCACCACCTCCACCAATAAAGGTGGCCCAGGACCCAACGCTGAGTTTAGATTCTTTGATTGAGCGATATGCCGTGGCTGCGCTGCACATAACGGGGGCGGCAACGTGGTCGGGAATGCCCTTGGGAATCACCGTGGTGTATCGTTCGGGGGAGACAATATAATGCTGGAAGGTTCCTGGGATGCAGAATCAGAGAGTGAAAATTGGTAGGTGTAAAAGGTCTTACCAGTGGTGCCCACCCCAGTGAGAACTTTCTTTTGGCAATGCACCTCCTTCCCTCCCCAGCAAAGATTGCAAGATCCACAGGTATTCCAGATGGGTTTTACCCCGGCACGGTCCCCAACCTTGAAAGTCGTCACATTTCTGCCGACCTGGACAACCACACCCGACCCTTCATGGCCTGCGGAGTAAATACCCCCTTCCGACATTTTTTTGCCGCCAGTGTCATTTAGCATGTAATGTACGTCTGAGTAGCAGATGCCTGTAGCATTGAGTCTGATCAAAACTTCATCAGGGCCTTTACATCATTAGTTTGAATTGTTTCAATATAAGTTGAGAAGCAGAATTGGGATTTATCACCTGGGGTCGGAGTCTTCACCATTTGAGTCTTCATGGTAAAGTTTGGGCCTTCATTGACAACCACAGCAGCACGACACTCTGCTGGTATGACTTGATTGCCGGTCATTTTGTCGAGGTGAGCTGTCAGTTCTGTGGAGTGAGATGGCAATGATTGTGAAAGAACTATAGTGTGTTGTACGACAACAAAGCATAAATGGGAGTGGACAAAGAAGCTTTATGTATTCCAATGTAATTATGAGGGATTTGACTTGGCAATGCGGCATCCGGCTTCGCTCTCCGTCTGTAGTTCGGACTCCGCTCTCGTGGGTCATCCCTGGCTGTCGAGACTGAGGTGCCCCAGGAAAAGAGCATCAGTCCCCCCCCCCCCCCCCCCCCGCCGCTCTCATTCTCTCTGTCTTTTTTTTTCCTCTTTCTCTTTAGGTCCACATTCAAAATAACTTCCCCTCTACATAGCTTATGTGTACATATATCCTTGAATTTTTGCTTTAAAGTATTAGATGCTTCATGCAATGGCAATTGATATCTCTTATTCAATTGTTTAAGGGTTCGAATTGACCATTCCAGTGTTGGCTTTGAAATGTAGCTATGCTTGAATATATTCTCACACTTTCTCCCTGTATGCTACATCTTCCTCTTGTTTTTTATTATCATGATATTTTAATTAAAGGAGAAGCACTCATATTTGAAGTTTGGCATATGTGGTTGGAATATAAAGAAGTTACTTCCTTATGTCGGTATCGGAGTTAATGACGCCTCTTATAGATTGATTCAAGGTGCCTAGGTGTCTATGTTGGGTACACAGTATGACTTGTGATATCAAAATAACCGTTGGAGTTCTGACACACATTGTGCTTATTCTAACTTTTGGAACAAGGGCTTAAACAAGATAGAATCATCGAATTCAAGATATAATTGTCAAACAAGAACTGTCATTGATACGCAAGGGCGAGTTTGTAGCGAGACCTTGAGGTTTTGAAATTGGAAGATCCCCTTTTCATCACTCAAGCATCCAAGGACGCTGTTTCATATTTAAAACTCTGGAAAGGTGACTTTGTTGTTACCAAATTCCTGGCGAATTTTCTCAGTGACACCAGACATGTCGCAGAGGTCCACCTGGGGATCCAGCTCCGCCGCCGGGACCCAACTTCCATGAATCCCGTTTCTGAGGCGGAATGGAAGCTCGATTACTGCAACGGGGCCTTCAGAAAGTTTCTCCGAGTCCAGTATCAGGATGCAAGAAAGACCAGTATCCCGCCTGTTGGCGAGAGTGATTAGGTATCCGTCTGCCTCCGGCGCTGCAATCTTGTTAGCAAGAAATGGACCTTTTGAGTCTGAAGTTGAAGATGGATCACATACAGTCAGATTTCCGAGGAATGAACGCCACCTCGTGGATAGCAGTATGGTCTCCAGCGGACCAATGAGTCAATTCCCCAGTACCCACGTTGCATCTGGCAATAGCATTGTACACGCCACCGACGGGGCCATTCTCCTTGGTAGGGTCATGCATGGCCAAGAAGAGGGTATTGTAAGGCTTGCCAGCATAACGATCATCAACCTTCGGCATTTCGCCGTCGGCATTGACCAATTCAACAGGTTCGACATGGAAATCGGTAGCATTTGGGTCAAACTTCCATCGCACGTAATGACTGACCACTCCGCCTTGGGCAGGAGGCTTTCCACTCGCTGCCTCCATCGGGTCTTGACCGCGTGGGGGGAAGAACCAAAACTAAATCAAAGCGAGTTAGCGGGTGAGATCAGATGGTGCAACGGAGTAGATTGAATCAAACCTTGTTGAAATAGGTAAGTGGTGCGTCTAGATAAACACAACCATCATCACCGTCAAATGCATTTCCCGTGTGTCCGTAGAACGCGTTCTTGTAAGTGAACCATTTGATGTCTTCTGGCTTGGGGTTGCGACGGGGCAAGATTCCAAAGGTCAACGGTCTGTCCTCGGACCAGGCAAAGTGCTTTGCTCCTTTCTTGAGCTCATCCAGGGGCTGGGCCTCCAGGGGAGGAACGATGAAAATCACCCATTTATCGGTAGCTGCCATATCATGCATCATTCCAACGTAGGGGGCGTTGAACCAACATTCTTCCAACTTCTTGCCCTCCTTGCTGAAGAGATAATACACAACGTCAGTCGTGCCATCTCCCTTAGCCTCATACCCCATTGTCATCATTTCGCCGTTGCTAGCGTCAACCTTTGGGTGAGCAGTAAAGGTTGGTGCAGTGTACTGCCCGTGGAAGTCATACGGTCCTATGCCCGATTAGCCAAGAAACCAACAATATCGAATCAACCTCATTGAGCTCACCCTTAGTCTCCAAAGTGTTCGGGTCCATCGCGTAAGGCGGGGAGTCTTCTTTCAAAGCCAGCAGTTGTTTCTCGAAGTAGATGATATGAGTGTTCGCGGTGGAGTGAATCTCGTGCTTCACGCGAGGGTCATCGGTATAGCGGTTACGGTACTTCCCGAATACTGCCTGGCGAGCCGCTCGTTCGATCACGAACTTGGAGGTCCGGACATACTTTTGCTTGAAGTCGGCATGTCCATCCTTGATTCGGATCGCATCGATTGCACCATCGCCATTGATGAAGACATCGTCGTCATATTTTGGCGCCCAAAGAGCGTCCGGCATGCAACGATAGTAGGTACCCTGAACTTCTTGCGGGATCGTTCCGCGGACGACGCAGTTGTACACCTCAGCCTCAAATCGACATGGTGCTTCCGATCCCTGAAAGAAGGGAACATCTGGGAAAGCAGATTCTGGCTGAAGCGGAAGCTTCTCAGTAACTGCTGCGATATCCGACATCTTGGTTGAAAGCTAGTGAGGCACAGATCAAAGACTTTGTATACAATAAAGACCACGAAGGAATGAAACACAAGGTTGAAGATGAGACTTTCGTTTGGTTATATAGACAAACCTGGCATTGATCGGGGCCCGCGAACCGTCACCGTCTATATCGGCCCATGACCGTTCTATTCAGCTAGTGCGGTACTTTGCGGAAACCGTTAATTGATTCCAGATTCATTCAATGGAAGGCATGTCTGGGCCAACCCCGCGCGGAGTATATTGATAGTGTCGACCGGGGTAGAGTGGAGTGACCTCGAGGACTGCGCGGACACCGCGACAACTGTTTCCGTCAAGACGGACACCGAGATCCATCTGACTATTTACCTAGGTACCTTATTTGATGTTTTCCAGGTATTTAATGAAAACTTTTATCGTCAATCACAATCATCTGATAATTTCGCGTCAAACATTTCGAGAATATTTCCAAATCATGGATTCACGCAACTATGCATTCAAGGCTTTTGGTGATGGAGACCACATTTACGCCAGTGTTCATTGGCCTAAGCAACGAAAGAATCAACCATACGGCATAGGTAAATAAAACTATTCCTTGAAATCCAGAGCGCACCACTAACTGAGAAATTTACATAGCGCTCGCCTTCCACGGTGGTGGCTTTGTTGTCGGTTCCAGAAACATGTTACCCATGGAGCAGATAGAATATTTGGCCAACTCTGGGTTGGTCGTTGTTTCAGCCGACTATCGACTGTGTCCCCAGGTCTCATTGTACGAAGGGCCCATACAAGATGCCAAGGATGCCTACACATGGTGCAAAAGGGATCTTCCAGCGCTGTTGAAAAATGACGAGAGTGTTGATGTGGATCCTTCCCGCATTGTCGTATTTGGGCATTCAGCTGGTGGTTGTTTAGCTTTGCACACGGTAAACTCTTCATTCGCTTTTTTTGCGATGCACTACATGTACTAGAGTCGACAGCATTGCTAATCCAGTACCATGTGCATGCAGGGTGCCCTCCCAGATCCACCGCGTGCAATTCTCGATTTCTACGGCGTCAAGTGCACGACAGATCGTTTCTGGTTTGCGCCCCTCCCAGCCCTCGCAATGATACCGTCACTTGAGGATGCATTCCTCAACCAGATCCACAGCGAGCCAGTCCTCTCCAACACGATGCTTTCCCTAGAGCGCGCGGCAAATACAAACACGCAACCAAAAACAAAGGGTTTACCTCGACCTGACCTTTCTATCCCGAGAAACGCATGGCTTTTTGTTAAACTGAAGGAGGGCACGCACCTCCCGGGCATAGTCCAGGATGGGGATTATGAACGTATTGATCCCGTTAGATCCTTCTCGGCTAACTTCCCGCCGACATTTTTCGTCCACGGCAATGCAGATGCTATGGTCCTCCCAGAATTTAGTGTTAAGGCCCATGAGAAGCTTCAAAGTCTTGGGGTTGAGACTAGAATTCTGCTACCTGAGGGAAAGTCTCATGGGTTTGATGTTGGAGTCGAGCCTGAAGATGAAGACTTTGCTAGTATCCGTGCAGGACTTGATTTCTTGGTCCAACACGTGTAAATACTTACTCTGAGCTTTGCCTCATAATGTCTTCCGGAAGAGGAGCAACCCGAATATAAATTAGAACTGGATAGAAGAAGAAACATGCAATGCTGGGAGATGCAGCTCATGCTTTATGTCCATCTCAAGCTATATGTAACCTAAGATTAGTAACTCTGTGGTTTGGATCGCATAATAGTTGGCCTAAATTGTATTCCATAGGAGCAAAAGCCGGCCATACAACCTAGGGTTTCTCATCTGTGATTTCACCAAAGGCGGCACGAAGAAGCTTTTCTCATGGAGACTTGACCTGTCGTTCCATACTTATTTAAAGTAAAGTTGTTGACAACAATTCAGATGATAAAAGAAAGGGAAACAGTACGTAGCAAACGTCTACGTAAACATAAAGACCCAGCCTTGAATTGTTATTCCAAAACAATATGTAATATAATCCAGTGACTCTATTATCTTCCAAGGCTTCCGGTCACTGGTTGAGCTTGAGCAGCTTTCTGGCATTTCCAAACGCAATTTGTTCCTTCTGTTGTTCAGTCAGCTCTGTTATGCTATCAAACCACTTTGCACCTTCGTCAATTGTTTCGTATGGATAGTCAATTGAAAACATAATTCTGCAGGGAAAATCAGCAAAGGATAAACCGTTACTTTGAGCTTCGAGGCTGCTTACCGGTCAATTCCCAGTTCTTGGATCGCAAACAGTAATGCCGGTGTTCCATAGTGTCCACTGGTGGTAATTGATATGTTCTATATCACGCATTAGCTTAATATGCTATTGTTTTGCTGTTTTGATTCAAGGGGCACGATACGGTCTTCATGGTATCCCGGAGAGACCTCTTTGCTTTAGGTAGAGAGCCTTCCGTATACAGACTCATGCGATGGTCGAAACGCCATATCTGATATGGGATGTGTTCACCCATGTGCCCAATGATGATTTGAAGGCGTGGGAAACGATCAAAGACACCATTGGCATAGAGTCCTAGAACGTGGAGTGATACACCTCCAAGTTGGGTTACTGTCAGCACAAATTATCCGGTCATAGATATATTTGATGTTGATCTCAACTTACCAACACTAAAGAAAAAGGTGCTGCCTCGTAGCCACGGCCTTCCGGTCAGGAATAACTCGGTGGCAGCGGGGGTAGTCAGTCTAGGGTGGATGTATAGAGGCACATCAAGCTCCTCAATCTCCTTCCAAAACACATCCCATTCGGGCTGGTCATAGAAAATAGCACCTTCTCCGTCGGCTCCAGTTGTTTGGAAATCGTTGACCAGAAGTCCGTGAAATCCCAATTCTTTGATCGCACGTCTGGCCTCCAAAGCTGCAGACTGGGGATCATGCATGCTCAGAGCCCCAAAGCCCCCGAACCGCGATGGGTTTTGACGTATTCTCTCTGCGAGGTAATTGTTCGCTCGCTCGGCTAGGGCTTGAGCTGCAGCGGGATCTCGTTGATCCTGAGGGCCAGCGGATGTAAGGGACAGTACCATGTAGGATATTTCATTCTCATCCATCCCTCTCAATCGTTGCTCGTGAATGTCCACCAAATTCGCTGTTAGGTCCGAAGCGCCATTGGGGGCGGTAAAGTTGTTGTTGTTTGTCGCGAGGTCGGGTAGCTGGAATGCCTCCTCCAAAGCTATCTTGCGGATTTTCTTGGTGGCCATTTTGAAAAAGATTGGGAATCTTCGTAGAATTATTTGGAGCTCGAAATGAGAGGAAATTGAAAAGAAGCGGGTCTTGCACAGCAGAAAACCACCAGATTGGTGCGTCATATATATAGACATGCTTTCGCAAAGACGTGTGGCATCTGCCCCTCACGAAGCTGTGCTGGCGTATACAAATGCGGTCTCCGAGGGGGTAAAAGCCCATCAAGCCCAGAAAAAACAAGGGAAAACGTTGTTTTGGTATTTCAATGTTCATTTGTTACGACTGTGGAGGATCAGCAACGCGGAGCTGGCGGAGTCCGCGAAGCACCTACCCGTGGACCGTTCTCTCCTCACTAGTCATTCGCCGAACCCACTGATAAATTGTTCGATGCGGAGACCGAGATTATATGAAACTTTGCTCAAGATCCTGTTATATAGTTTTGCGTTTGTCTATACAGCCGCTCTCATCTTGTTACTACCCGTGTTCGATCGATACACGACTTGATATACCGCTTACTGCCAACATGATGTCTACACAAACAACTACTCTGCTTCATGACAAGAAAGCCAAAATTGAGACTCGACTATTTATTAATGGCGAGGTATGTGACATAAGATTAAATAGCTGACGGCTTTTCGCTTATACCATCTAGTTTGTTGAATCGTCGGATAAGAAGAAATTCAGCATCCATTCGCCCGCAACGCATGAGCTAGTTGCTGAAGGTGACGTGTTTTTCCTCCCGAATTTCTCGTAAAGAAGCATTCTGACAGAATAGGACAGTCTACGAAGCCAGCGCAGATGATACCAACAGAGCCGTAGCTGCGGCCAAAAAGTCGCAGCCGGCATGGGCCAAATTATCTCCGGAAGAGCGAGGAATCCCCATGATGAAGCTTGCTGCGTTGCTTCGTGAGGATGGAAAGCAGCTTGCGTATCTGGAGGCAATCTGCATGGGTAGACCTGTCAGTGGCTACGTTGACAATCTGTTGGCTGCAAAGAGGTTTGAATCCTTTGCCGGCGCTGGATATACTGCCAAGGGAGTTTCAAGCCTAAATACTCCCGGTTTTGTAAACATGACTCTCCGGCAGCCATATGGTGTAGTTGCGGCAATTATTCCATGGAATGTGCCACTGGTCGCATTTTCGGGGAAGGTTGCTCCGGCTCTCATAGCTGGCAACACAGTTGTCCTCAAAAGTAGCGAAAAGGCTCCTTTGACGGTAAGTTTTATATGACGAACTATACCTGCCCCTCGTACCAGCAAATGATTGAGCCAAAGTCTAACACTTTATAGTCACTGCGACTGGCAGAGCTCGCGATCAAAGCAGGCTTCCCTCCTGGTGTACTCAACGTACTTTCCGGACATGGCCCAGTTGCTGGTGGAGTCCTATCCTCCCATATGGACGTCCGCGCAATATCCTTCACTGGTTCCACTCAAACAGGACGCTTGATACAAACAGCAGCAGCCCAGTCGAACTTGAAGAATGTGATCTTGGAGCTAGGTGGAAAGTCTCCGGCGGTTATATTCGAGGATGCCGATTTAGAATCGGCGGTCCCAATGGTTGCGAATAGTATTCAGTGGAATAGTGGGCAGGTTTGCATGGCAAATTCGCGTGTTTACGTCCAAGATACTATTGCAGACAGATTCCTGGAGCTTTTTACTCACAAGTTTGGCGCTGTTCAACAGGGAAGCCCACTTGACCCGACTACAAACCATGGACCACTAGCAGATAATGCTCAGTTCAAAATGGTTAGTAACTACATTGCTTCCGGCAAGGAATCTGGGAATCTCCTTTTGGGTGGAAGCGCAAAGGATGGGTTCGTCGAGCCCACAGTCTTCACAGAAACACCGGAAGATGCCAAAATCATGGTTGAGGAAGTCTTCGGGCCCGTGGTGAACATTACCATCTTCCATACCGAGGAAGAGGCACTCGCAAAAGCCAACAACACGGAATATGGTCTTTACGCTGCAGTATTCACGACCAATATTAACCGGGCAATGCGGTTCGCGAAAGGGCTGGAAGCCGGGACCGTTGGCGTCAACTGCACGTCGCCAGTGACGGCCCACGACTTATCTTTTGGTGGATGGAAATCCAGTGGAGTGGGACGGGAAGGCTTGCTTGATAGTATAAACGCTTTCCTAGAGACGAAGTCGGTGTTGGTCAAGATAGAATAGTCGCTGAGATTGCCTCAAGCTAGGCTCTGCCTGCATATACACTACTTGGAAGTCCGTTTACATAGTCCAATCTGCTTTATTGCTTCTTATATAACTTCCAAACTCCAGGGTCTTGTCTATTCTACCAATACTTTGACCATAGAACATATGAGCCAGATAGGATATTGAGATAGCCTCATGATAGGTTCGTAGTTAGATTGCTTGTAGAAGCGGATCATTTACCGGTCCGAATTACTCAGTCAATAAATTCCTGGGTATTGAGCGAGAGTTACCATCCGTTCTTTGAGAATAATGACAAATCTAGCTGGAATGTCTGCGGATACCGCTCATTTGGACGCCACTCACTCGGATGCCGCTTACCTGGCATACCGAGCGCCTACCTAGGCACCTAGGTACCTAGCCGTAGCAAATTCGACACAGCTCCCAAAGGATCGGCACCTATACTTTTATATTTGCCGGTCAAGCAGTCCAAGTATGTATTCGTAATAGAAAGCCACTGGCAGTTAGCATGAATGGATAACCGAAGTCCCTTCATTGGAACGCCACTGTCTTAGTACAGATATCTATACGAGTGGATATGACAATAGTGGTACATGAAGGTGGAACTTGGTTCATTTGCCATATAGAACAACAGCAAATTCAGATCTAAGAAAGTGACGAGAGATAATATGCAATATCAATGCTCAACCCATCAAATCAAGCTTCTGTTTTGTTGGTGTTCTGAATTTGGTGGCCTCAAAAAGGTAGCCAGCAGGTATGTAAATCCATGAGAGCACATCTTAGTGTTATAATTGTAATTCTTTTTGGTTTTGTATCCAAATTCAAAGTCAAAGCTCTGGGCATTGATTTCCCCGCATTATTCCCCGGATCGCTTTCCTATATAAAAGAGTGTTATTCCAGACTATCGGCAGCAAACCCAACACTTCTCATTCCTACAATTAAAAAATTCACTACCCAGAAGTCAATATCGGCTTTCCTCCTGTGGTATCATACCAAATGCCTCTAGGTATCATTGAAGCGAAAGGGTACGATGTACCGGGGACAGTTTTGTTATTTGATGGATCATCTGAGCATACCTCTACCCAGATGAAGCATGGGACTGGAAAGGTAATTTCAGAATTCCACGATTGTTCAAGCAAAGAAAAACTGCTAACAGGAGTAGTATGCAAATGTTGTCCTGTATCCCCAGCCTTCTGATAGTCCAAACGACCCCCTGGTAAGCGCTTATATATACATGAAAGGTGGAAAAAAGCATGTCTGACTCCCTACAGAATTGGCCCCTGTGGAAAAAGAACCTGACATATATTGTCGTGTTTTTCAATGCTATTATTTTCTCTTCAATTCCGCCCCCGGTGATAGCTCCATCTACTATCCTTCTGTCCCACACCCTGGGGCATTCTGTGAAGGATGTGACAATGCTAACTGCATATCAACTGCTTCTAACTGCTTGTTATGGGTATGATTTTATATACATTCCATAATATAGAGAGATGGTGCGCTAATTATATACAGACCAATTGCCTCCGCTTTGGCACACAAATACGGGAAACGACCACAATTTCTCTTCGCCTCTCTCATGGGGTTTATTGGGACACTCATTTGCTGCACCACCAGAGATAGCTATACTGTTTTGCTAGCTGGAAGGGTCATCCAGGGCTTTGGTGCAGCCGTATTTGAAAGTCTGTCTGTGCCTGTCATTGGCGACATGTGTGTCCATTTACCCTCCTATACGATATCTGTGTTCCGCCGCTGACTGAATAACCAAAGGTTCTTTGTCCACCAGAGGTCTCTTCGAACTGGCTTTCTGGTGATGACCTGGACCTGCATTATATCTCTTGTTTCGATCTTTGGGGGCACAATAGCCGAGGATATTGGCTGGAGATATGTGTTCATCGTCCATCTGCCTTTTACCGTAATTGGCTTGATATCGATTATCCTCTTTCTTCCAGAGACCCAGTACCAGGGTTCTCGAGACAATAGACCATCTCCCGAGGCAAGGATGCAAGTGGAAGATAAAGGTGGCATAGAGAGCAGCCACCAACATGACGAAAGACCAAATGAGGAAGTTTTGGCGGCTTCATCGTTGAGGGAGACAAAAAAGTCATTTGTGCAGGGACTTGCGATCTATAGCGGGACATACAGCGACACTAACCTGATAAAACTGGTTTTCGCTCCATTTGCCATGCTTCTCAACCCTGCGGTGGTCTGGGTGAGTAAATTCTACTCTCTTCATATTTGGCTTGCTAACTAGAGTGACTAGGCAATCGCTGTGGGTGCTGTATGCATTGTGCGTTTTCTCCCTTCTCACTGCTACCAAGAATCTAGGTTAACAAACAGGTTCAGTCCTTTTTTGTGACAATTTCCTACATTCTCGCACAGATATGGTCACCTCCCCCTTATAACTTAAATGCTAAGCAGAATGGTACTTTCTATGTTGGGGGTAAGTTTTATCTTGGTTTCTCTTTTTCTTTTTCCTTCTTCTTTTATCAGGGCAATTCAGCTAAACTGGACTTGCAGCCTTGATTGGAGGGATACTCAGCAGCACATTGAGCCCATTTGTGGGGGATTGGATTATCAAGAGGCTAGCAAAATGGAACAAAGGGATCTATGAGCCCGAATTCCGCATTCCGATGATGATCTTTGCCGCTCTTTTCTGTGGCATTGGATGGTTCGTCTTCATGTGGGATCTTGATAACCCAACGCCAAATGGTTATTACCTGGGTGCATTCTGTCATGGTTGTCTATGTTGTGGTACAACCATTGGTATGACCTTTTCCAATCTTTATATACTGTGAGTTATCTTTAACTGCCATCACCACCATTTCCTCTCATATATATGCTGGTTTGCCTAATTTTTGTTGATATTTATGTCTTACTAACGAGCTTTGGGAGCGACAGTGACGCCTGCCACGAAAATGCTACAGAGATATTTATCCTCTCGATGACAGCTAAAAACTTCCTTTTCTATGGTTTCTCTCAGTTTATGAACGACTGGGCAGAGGAAAAGGGCCCAAGTGAAGTTTTAAGAACCTTTGGAATTGCAACAATGTGTATCATGGCTACATCGCCTCTCTTGTGTGAGTTTGACCAGACTTCCTTTATCTGCCACAAAAGGCTCATTATTATTCTTTCTAGACACCTTCGGAAAGCTCAACCGCTATTTCATGTTCAAGACCGGGTTGATCAAGAAGTTGACCGGGTAGAAATGATAGGGACGAAGGATTGGCCTACTCATAACATTTGACGACAGAATCACTGAGTCCAATGTATATAAACTCGTATGCATTTCTGCAGTGTGGTAAACGACTAGCTTCTATCTACATAGGAACTATTTTTGCTCAGATGAGGAATGGAAAAATTGCGTGGAGAAAGAACGATTGCGAGAAATATAGTTTTGTGCTAATGATATCCATATTTCTTTTATGAAAATGACCAGTAAGGGTAGTTGTTTAGCAATTGACAGCTTTATTTAGAAGCAAAAAGGTCATACTTTTGCGCCTCTTTGCGTTCTCAAAAGGTTGGATTGTATTATATCTTTGAAAATTGATGAGACAACAGGTGCAGGAAAGCTAGTGAAGTGGGAAAGGGAAGAAATTAGCTAGGAAAACCTGCTACGTCTACAAGCATCTAATACCCTGAGCTTTGAGGTTCTCTCATCAACAATGACTTGCTATTACTTACATGTCTTAGTCCATGCTCGTTCATCTCTCCCAATATACGTGAAATAGGGAAGCGCAAGTTCTGGACGTAGTCACAAACCTGATCAGGCTCAGATATCTCTTTTCGATCTTGCTCCTAATCATGGGTAATACTAGAATACTAAATAATTCAATCCTCCGCCCTCCAACCTTGACCTTCTTTCCGAGTTGGTCGGATACCGCGCTCCGCTCAGGTCCTTGGCTTGGCATCTTGACGACGGAGCAACAAGGGACTCGCGGTCACCGAAAAACTCGCGAACTCCGTCCCCACTTCCGTTATTCTATGAAGTGAATTCATTTAATATAATTTATTCAAATGTGCTGTATTAATCCTTCTTATCCCATGACTTCCTCGTTGTACTCGCTGTTTGCACCATTTCCGACCTTTTTGCTGCGTCCTGAACAACTGGATGATCAGTCTTAATATCATCTTTCCATCCTCAAGCATGGATTCTCTTACGAAAGAGGCTGTCCAGAGCTTCCTTTCTCTGTCTGTGCTGTTGTACGCTTTACTTGGGTTGATAATCAGCAAAATCATTTGGTTGATCCTATTTCACCCACTTCGTCAGATTCCAGGCCCATTGTTCGCCAAAGTAACCGATCTCTGGCACCTATATCATTGCTGGGGTGGGAAACGACACCATAAGTTGGTGGAGCTACACAAAAAATATGGTAACGTGTGATACTAAATCTACTTGGAATGTCCAGTAACTGACACAGAGGGAAAGGGCCGTTTGTTCGAATTGGACCTAATATGGTTTCAACCAACACATCGCAGGCAATACCCGCTATCTATTCTGCTCATGCACCGGTCCTGAAGTCGGGATTTTACCAGGCCTTTGCACCGGGAATGCCTAGTAGTTTTACGACCAATGATAAGATTTACAAGCAGAAGAAGCAAATATTATCTTCTTCGTTTGCGCCCCGCAAGCTTGAAGCCATGGAGCCGTTGATTCGTCTCCATATTGACAAGTTTTGTGAAATTATTGCAGCAGCTGGAAACGTCGACATTGCCGTGATGTTTGGTGCTCTATCTATGGACGTTCTGTCTGATCTGTGCTTCGGCCAAAGCTTCGACACTCTGGCGGATGAGCCAGAAAGAGATCACATTTTGGAGGCTATGGAAAAATCTGTTCAATTGGTCATTAGAGTAAGCAAGCCCCTGCTTTGCTCACAAGCTCGCAGAATTGACTTTTTTGAAGGAAGGAACTATGCATAAATGGCCACGCGCTATCTGGAAGTTCCTTCACGCAAAGGAAGATGTGAAAAAGCGGGGATACGTCTATCAGGTGTGTCTATTGATTTACTATTGACCGTTCTATGATATTAATCAAAGCCAAACAATAGAGAGCAGCAGAAGCAATGATGCGCCAAATGAATACTCAATGCGACCGAGAGGACTTCTTCAGCAATATACTTCAGGCCCGAAGGCCGGAAACCGGAGAGCCGTATGATCAGCGCGAACTGATGGGTGAAGCAATCCTTCTCCTGTTCGTTCACACCCTCCAGCCATTGTGCATATTCCCACTTCTGCTCGACCAAAGCTAATTCAATGCCGTATATAGTGTAGCAGGATCCGATACCACGTCTACAGCGTTGACCGTGATTATCTGGCATTTACTGGCAAACCCCAAGACGATGCAGAAATTGACAGACGAAATATGTGAGAAGTTTGACTCCGCGGAGGAAATACAGTATAAGGAGCTCAAAGGGCTCTCATATCTGCATGCGGTAATAGAGGAAGGCCTCAGAATATGTCCACCAAATCCAGGTTTGATTCCACGGGTCGTTGTCGACAGAAACCCAGGCCATTTAGCGATTGGGGACCATGTCTTCCCTCCTGGTGTAAGGAAACCCCCGACTTCATATACAAGCACATATCCTTCTCTGCTCCTCCCTCCCCTTTCTATCCCTTTCTTAACATAAACAGCACATGATGCTAACATCTTGCTTTTGCGTCTAGACTGAAATTGGAGTCTGCAATCTTTCACTTCATCGTAATCCCGAATATTTTGATGATCCGGATGCCTTCCTTCCGGAACGCTGGTTGGAGAACTCTTCTCTCAAATGTGACAAAGGTGCATTTTCTCCATTCTCCTACGGCCCCAGATCGTGTCTGGGTCGAAAGTAAGTTTTTCTCCAAGCCCCCTGATCCCGCTTCTCTTATGCTTTCATCCTAACGAGATACTTAAATTCTAGCATGGCATACATGGAGATGAGTCTGACGCTGGCTCTCCTTGTCTACCAACTCAAACTATCATTTGTCAATCATGACAGAGAAATGCTGGCTGGATTTGACGTTGAGGATGCCTTTGTCGCTATAAAGCCGTCAGTTCAAGTAAAAGTGACAAAAGCCGAGAGCACAAAGGCCCTGTGATATGTCACTGTGGACAAATGGTCCCTAAAAGAGGAGTTACGCCAACCCTATAACTTGAATGGATCTATCGTTTTGTTTTGCCGTTTCTCTTTTTGCCCAATCCCAGTGTATTAATTGACATCAAATCACGTACTATCTGTCGTCCTCGCTCGGGGATCCATCTGTGCTTCATGGTCTCCCTCCATTGATCAATGATGTCGATGTCGATAACGATCTGCCTCATGACTGTCATCTGCATGATTTAGAAGCCACTGAGCTCTCTCGTCCGCTCCCTGGAGCAAGAACTGCCGTATTTGCTTTTCTGCAATATGTCACTCTTGGCAAAAAGCTCTCGCGAATCCTCAATCTCCTATATACCACAACACAACGACGTGATGGGGCAAGAAAAGTCACAGACCTAGATCGTGATCTTCGAGTGTGGAATCAAAATCTGAAAGTAAACCGCATTTTCTTCGATATTGGAGATCCTACAACCCAACATTCAGCTGGCGATTGCAGGGATCCTAGTACGAGCACAGCGACTTGGCTCGAGCTCATGGCAAATGTCACCTTGATTTTGATAAAGCGACCGGGTCTGTCTTTTGATGACTCAACTCCAGAGTTTGGATCCTGTCTTCGATCATGTCTTGATCCAAGTAGCGCCACCTTTTCGCTACTCGAGGGCTCTCATATTCCAGGGTGGCTTCGAAATATGAGTCTAATAGGCCCCGGAACAATATTCCAATCTGCGCTCGTGCAAATGTTTAAACCTAGACCCTAAAACGTATAGGTTTTCGGTAGAATAACCCCCTACCCTTTTCGTAGTCTAAAAACCACACCTTTTTAGTGCAAAGACTATATCTTTGGCAGCTCAAAAACTATATATTTTGACTGAGAAACCTCATTTATCTTAGTCCCTCACCACACGATCTCATAGTATTCAACGGCTGCGCGTTAAGGAGGCGTGTTGAGAACCATGCCTAAGGCATGATTCTCTCATCCACAGGATTAGCAACGCTACGCCTCTTTTGTCTTTTCCGCCGAAAAGCTCACTTTGTGGACCAAATAAAGACTCCGATCCTCGGTACACAAAGGGGCATAAATAGCAGGAAAAGGCAGATATTATCTAGATCTTTAGACAACTTTACACCTTCCATGAGAGATCCTATTTCTAATATCATTTGAACCCATTGTTAAAACCTTACATACTGTATCATGCCTCTGTATCATCAACATATGAAATGTCAAAAGCTTGTGGATTTTTATAGTACAACACATTTTTCAAAATCTGAAACTCGAGATAAATAATGACCAAAATTGCGTTATACTATAATCTTTCTCGGTGTAAAAATGGTCTTGAAGTTCTGCTGCCGTACGAACCATGCATTCCACAGTTTCCACTCTTGCTCGGGATATGCCAGTTGTATCTACCGAAGGAATTAGCACTATTTTGGGGACAAGCAATAGGAAGAGAACATACCTCGAATCTCCGCAGGAAACTGGGTATCAATTTATAAATCTCCATCAGAGAGATGTTCTTCCCAATGCAGGTGCGTGACCCGGCTCCAAACTGGAGCATCGTTCCATCCATAACCTTCAGTTGATCCGCTGAAGTTGTAAGCCATCTATCCGGGTTGTACATGTCGACATTTGGACCGAATATATCTTCGCGACGGTGAATAACCCAGGGGCTACAACCAACGATTGTTCCGCCGCGAATGAAATGTCCGGAGATTTCTATTCCTGAATCAGGAACAACGCGTTCCAGCGCAAGACCCGCAGCAGGATGCATACGGAAAGCTTCCTTTACGCAGGCATCAAGATAGGGTAGTTGCCGGGACTCCGTCCACGAGACAAGTCCAGTTGGGCGGTTCATGATCGTACCATTCTCCACAGCATCATCCAGCTCTTTCCTGACCCGTCTCATGCACTCTGGGTTTTTGAGTAAATAGTAAAACACGGCTGCAATGCTGATGGCGGTTGTTTCAGAGCCGGCAAAGGCCATAGAGACGGCCATGGTCAGGATTCGTTTGCTTGTCATGAAATCTGGGCGCGTTTCACCCGCCTTCAGGAACATAGTGAGAAGATCATCCTTTGATCCTGTACCCGCTGCAGCAAATTTGTCTGTCATACGTTCTTGCATGCGCTGATTGGCGAAGACGGCCACAGGATGGGAATTATCCGATAATCCTAATTTTTGAAGGAGATCGAAAATTGGGTTTTTCCAAAATAGCTTATCTAGCCAAGGCATCTGACCAACGGGAGCCGCATAGTCAAATATCTTTGCCAAGGAATTGACGATACCATCGATATCTTCGTTTTTCTCGATAAACCCGTGGCGTTTGCTATACGTGATGCTTCCAATAACATCAAAAGCGAAGAATTGAAGCCATCGTGCGAAATCGCACACTGTGGTCCCATCAGCAAACAGCCGGTCCGTTTGATCGAGAAAGATTTCCGTTGTCTCATCGACCATCGGTTCATACTGTACCAATGAGCTCATTGAGAAAGCATGGTTGACAGAACGACGGAGCTGCGCATGGAATTTCTCATCTAGTGTTGAGAATAGCGAGGGCAATGGCTCGCCTTTGGAAACAGTCATTTGCACTGGGTAAAACTCGGACTATTTTCTCAATAAGAAGTTGTAGACCTTTTGGGGCTCGGGATATCCATACCTTAGTGAATCCTTTATTCAGACCGTAGATCACCTTCGCTGCCTTCGGGTCCGCGAAGGACAAACTGCGTGGTCCAAGACGCACGATATCACCATACTTGCGATGCAACGCTATATGAGTGAGCTCAGGGCGTCGGCCCTTCACATCCATAAATCGCCAGATGTCAGTCAGGTGGGCCCAAAATGGGCCTGGAAAGATGTTCAGCGAATTGTAGAAATAGTTGAAGGAAAGATGAAGTAAGAGGAGAGCAGGAATTGCATAGAAGACATAGTGAAGTGCGGAATCCGGGATAATTGTTTTAATGATAGTCATCCTCGCGTTCGATCGCTTAAGGTCTATATGAAAGCAGGAGCTACCCAGGAGATGGGAGCACATTAAATACACGACCACCCAGGCACATCACATCAACCTATCCATACTCTTCTTCGACAAAGGAAAAGACAGAATAAGCCACACATGATGCTCTGACGCACACCAAGGGATGGTGTCGGCAGTTGTACAGAGTAGTTGCCGAGCGATGGATTTACGTAGGTTCGAGGTCCCTATAACATAGCGCAGACAGCATGACAAGTCACTCTTCTGACCGAGGCTCGTGTGCCCAATTTCTAAGGCCAATTCCATCGTGTATTTATGTATTTCGTATGTTTCCAGAACGGGGTGTTCAGTTGCCGTTCACAGGGAGCGGTGTCCGAGTTGTGGGGTGCGGGAGCCGCGCAAGTACTACATGCGCGAATCACATGAGTTGTAGATCGTCAAAATAGTGCATCAGTAAGGGATACTGACGGCAGTTGTGAGAGTCGTGAAAAAAATACATGGAGAGAGAGGCCTTTATGGGCCAATGAGTACTGGCAAACCCGGACCAACTCGATACAGTGAGCCTATATTGTATATTAATCCCGCCTGCCTAGATATCCGTCTATGTATGTACTCTATATAGTTAGGTACATGTGCATGTTACATACATGTATGTTGTATAAACTGGTTAGTATAAGCTTACTATAATTGGTGAAGCGCACCTTTTCATAATACCTGGGGTCATTGGAAAATCAAAGGTTAACCACAAAGTACCTCTACATTCCCCCGCTTTTCAAGATTCTGATTGGTGGGGCAGCGTCATCTTGTACGCAGCGCTGGGATAGGCTGCCTACATTATGTATGTTGTATGTTATATGTTGTAGGCACCTTCGGGGCTATGTCCACTAGTTTGCATGCTTCCAAGGTTCTACATTCCGCTTACTACAACATAGCTACCGCGGGCGGTTTATTTCATGAGCCTTTGGGAGAATATTTTGAGAACTTTTTGTGGCATAAAGTAAAGTCGTCCTGTAACATTTGTAAATCAAGTCAAAGCTAGAAACAAGATAATTCACGTAGCAGAACTGTCATTTTCAGGCATAGAAATTAGGTTATGTGCCCAGGTGCCGGCAATGATCGCTCACATTTTGTTCCCCGCATCCGGGCTCCACACCAACGTGTTGCGGAGGTAGAACCATAAATCCTGCGTCTAATCGCGTTTTGTCCATTGGTGTAAGAGTCCAACTTTACCATCTCTCTCTCATTATGACCGGAGTTATGACTGATGATCGGCGACGCAAGAACGCCATCAGTTGCGACGGATGCAGACAACGAAAGGTGAAGGTAGGAAAAGAGTGCCCAGTTCTTTCATATACGTGTCAACTTGCTGATGTGACATAGTGTGAAAAGCCATCTTCTGGTCCCTGCCAGCGATGTATCAGGCTGGGCAAGGAATGCCAATTAGGAGGCTCGACCCTGCGGCCGTACTATCACACGTCAAAAGAACGATACGAGCTCCTGGTGTCTGTAGTTAGACATTTTGTCCCTTCGGCTTCTTTCGGTACTGAAGACCTACGACAGCTTATGCGCACCTTAAGCCTTCCAGATGAAGGCTCACCGCCTACGGTCGGGCACCCTGACATGGACAGCTCGAATGGTGCACCAGGCTCATGGTTGTTGGAGACAACGGCCCAACTTAATACCCCTCCAGCATCTTCTGCATCACCTCCCAGCCAGGAATGTGGAGTTGAAGACTTAGAGAACACGTTAATGGTGGATGCTATGAACATTCCTCGTAAGTGCATCATCTATCCTGCTGTTCCTTATTCAGGCTCGGTATGGCATCATGCGCAGACGCAGGCTCAAGCTAAATTGTGTGGTCTTACAGGTTTTAGTGGCCCATCTAGCTGCACTACTCTCAATGCCAAGATAATCACACACCTGTCTCAAGGTGTCAGGGATCTGTCAGTCTTTCAGGAGAATGAGCAACCAGCATTATTTGATGGACAAGTGATTTCTTATCGAAATGCAGACTATCTTCCAAATCGCAAGGCCCTCGATCAAGCAGCCGTGAAGTTCTTCAAAGAGATTAATAGCGTCATATATATCCTTGATCAGGAGAGATTTTACCTTTGGGTTGATGATGTCTATGGCGGGCAGGGGGTACGCGCACCCGTGCTGGTCATATTGTATCTGGTCATGGCCCTCTGTGGGGAGCAAGATCCCAGTTTTGAAATCGCCCGCTCCTACATGGATAATGTGATAAAGGAATCAAGCCTAGAGAGCGTGAGAGCAATCATGCTGATGGTACGATTGATGCTACTTGTTTTCAACACCCTTTTCTCGGTTACAATTGCTGACCTGCTATTGCTAGAGCTTGTATCGCCAGAGAGAAGATGAGCGCAGTGTTTCCTGGGCCATGCTGGGCGTGGCTACTAGAATTGCACAGTCACTTGGCCTTCACCAACGCATAGGCTATGTGCATGATAATTCTATGTACGGATCAGAAGTCAAGCGACGCCTTTGGTGGTCTCTATGCGAGTTTGACAACTGGAGCTCTTGCATGCTAGGCCGACCGCCTGGTCTTGGTTGCACCGATCATGATGTCTCCCCCCTTCACAGGTCAGAAACCTTCCCGTGTCCATAGATCCTGGCGCCGACTAACTTTAGCAGGAATTCAACACACTTAACACCCCACCTGGATACGCCACAAGCTCGGCATCTCTCGGCATTCTAATTGGTCAAATATCCCAGCAACTCTACATCCAAAACGGCGACTTGAGGAGTAAAGAACAGTTGACTGGTGAACTCATCAAAAAGGTTGAAAAATGGAACAACGAACTCCCCGACCACCTTCGTGCAAATGCGGCATTTCCCCCCTGCTTTGCACGCGCGACCTTATATCTGAACCTCAAGTACAATTACGCTCGTATGCTTATCGGTCGGCCTTACATGACACATTCAATACTCTGCACCAACACCCATGATCCGGTTTTCAGATCACGAGCGGAGACCTGTGAACGTGCGAATCGTGACTCTATCGAAATCCTAATGGAATTCTATCGCCAAGGCCTTTTTTCGACATCTCTTTGGCTTGATACATACTTGATCTTGGCGACAGCAATAGTCTTATTCCTCCGTGCTGTTGAAAAACCGAGTATGCAGAAAGAATTGAAGTTATTTCTGCCTGTTTTGAAACTGTGCGACCGAAGCAAGATTGGAAAGTATGCTGCTGCAAGATTCGAAAAGTTTCTCCATAATTTGGAGAATGGTATGACGGAAAGGGATCCTACGAATCTCGCAGATCCTCTTGCTCAGTCGTCCAGGGTTGGCAATGCAAGCGGGCTCTATCATGAGATAGACTTCAATGATCTGGGAGATCTCAATGTCATTGCCTCTAGCTGCTTTAGCTTTGGGCAGGATTTCGACTTGGACTTATGCTGAGTTGGGAACACCTTGTAATAAGAGTTAAAAGTTCATAGCACGATGCTTTTGTACATTTAATACAAACATGTTTCGAAAGGAAATATCCTAATATCAAGCATCAACCTTGCACCTCCTCCATTTGGTATACATGCGACACAAGGTTCTTCGTTTCCTCTATTGATAAAGGTGTGCAAGTTCCTGTTCTATCACCGATACAGTTCCCTCCCCTAACTCTGCACTGGCCCCATACCTCTCTCTCTCTCTCCGACAGTAGAGCCTTCAAGAAATTCGTTGATATCCATCCACGTGCCAATCACATAGAAAAAATCGTCAATAATAATGATCGCGTCACAAGAACAAGAAAAAAAAACAGAAACATACAACAGTGAGGATTCGCTGGTGGTCACCCACCCAACTACTAACTCACCGGCGTGTGGCTTAAGTACGGCTGAGCGGACGGGAAGCCCTGTTTTCCACACCCTATGGTCGTATGTACTGGTCAACTAATTAAATAGAGATATGATGGGAATGAACATGAGGGTGGCTAATGGGTGTGGGATTGGTAACGGCCTATTCCGTAGATGCTGCGTGAATCCCTGCTAAAAAAAAAAAAAAAAAAACAATCACGTTGTCTACATTTCATTAGACAACTTGGAATAGTAATCACTATCTCATGTCAACGTAGCGTCCTTCTAAAAGATATAACTAGGTATCTTCCTAATAAGACCGACTCCGACGGAATCCAGTGTGTTGGGAGAGAAACCTTGCAATTGATTCATTGGAAAATATCTGTTCAAATGACTTTGAAAAAGGACTTTGAAAAACACGGTGTAAAAGCTAATCAAAAGACTACTCAACAGATACCGCGAGCCTGCAAACGCCGCCGACTATATGCGTAGGCAAAGTGGCCTAAGTAGGGAGGTATAACAGCCCGGAACTGATAGTCAGCTCAACAATATTAGCTGATAATCAACTAAAAGGACACAGTTGAACGATGTTCTACGAATCCAACCTTGTCTCATTGCGCCCGAAGGTCTTTTATACGACAAAAATAATAGGGGATTGGAAACTCCAATGAAACTCCTATCTACACGGCCCGAAAAGGGAACACGAAAACCCGAGTGTCGGGTTGTTACCTCCCGAGAGGGCAAAATCTCGGCTCATCTCCACGACGACGCGGGGCATTTCAACGATGCGCATGATTCGATGCCAGATGATTCGGAAAGTGTCAGCCGACTGCACTCCGCAATTTTCAGGGAAAGCACAAATGGGAAGCTTTCCATATAAAACCTATTGCCCCCAGCGGGAGAATGTGATTGCTACACTACCCCAACATATCGAGGTTGCACTCGAAACGCCATGGCATGTTCCGATAAGAAGTCCTGCGAGGGCTGCTCATGCAGCAATGATACTCAACCCCAATCAATCAATATCGAGGACTGTTTAAACGAGCTGCAGGCTCTGCGCCGACGTAACCAGGAACTGGAAACTCGCATGGGCGTCAAAATCGAGGCTGAGAATGCCCAAGTCCCTGTCAAACAGCCGGGACGAACACTTCGTTCATCGGCATGGTTCGACTGCCGCAGCAATCCCGGTATGACAGCTGTCTATATGGAGCGATATTTCAACTACGGTATTACAAGAGAGGAACTCATGTCCGGAAAGCCAATGATTGGAATTGCTCAGACGGGATCGGACATTGCGCCGTGCAACCGGCATCACATCGAACTTTCTAAGCGTGTTCGGGAGGGTATCCGGACCGCTGGAGGTATTCCATTTGAGTTTCCTACACATCCTATCCAGGAGACATCAAGACGACCTACTGCTACCCTCGATCGTAATCTGGCGTATCTTGGCTTAGTAGAAATTTTGAGCGGCTATTTCCTTGACGGGGTTGTCTTGCTTACCGGGTGCGATAAAACCACACCGGCGTGTTTGATGGCCGCGGCCACAATGGTGCGTGTTGAGAAGGAGCTATTCGTGGATCGATGCTGATTTCCCTAGAATATTCCTGCTCTCTGCATGAACGTGGGACCTATGCTAAACGGGTACTCCAAGGGAGCTTTGACTGGAGCAGGCACCGTATTATGGCATGGACGAGAGCTCTATGCCACCGGCGACATTGACGAAAATGAGTTTATGGATTACATCGCACGGGGGTAAGCTATTTCGAAAGCCCTGATTAATGGTTCATAATCGCTAATCGGAATTAAAGAACCCCATCAGTCGGCCATTGCAATACAATGGGAACCGCCTCTACGATGAATGCCCTCGCAGAGTCTTTGGGCATGGCATTACCCGGATCAGCCGCTATCCCCGCTGCCTATCGCCACAGAGCACAATGCGCCTATGAAACAGGCAAGCGGATCGTGGAAATGGTAGAAGCAGATCGGAAACCTTGCGATATCATGACACGAGAGGCATTTGAGAATGCCATTGTGGCCAACGCGGCCATCGGCGGTAGCACCAATGCTCCTATCCACATCAATGCTATTGCCCAGCATGCGGGTGTAGAAGTATCCATGGACGATTGGGATACTATTGGATCTACTATTCCTCTACTTTTGAATATGCAACCTTCGGGAGAATATCTCGGGGAAGAATACTACCGCGCTGGAGGGCTCCCGGCTATTATGGCCGAGCTCCTGGATCAGGGCAAACTGCATGGCAATGTGCTCACTTGCAACGGGAAAACTATTGCCGAGAATGTACGCGGCAAACATACATGGGATCGCCGTGTCATCAAATCATACGATGATCCGTTGATGAAAGATGCTGGGTTTGCTCACTTGAAGGGAAACCTCTTTGATTCTGCAATTATGAAGACCTGCGTCATTTCACCCGCTTTCCGAGAGCGATACCTTTCGAATCCCGACGATCCAGAGGCCTTTGAAGGATCGGTAGTGGTTTTTGATGGACCCGAAGACTACGAAAACCGCCTGGAGAACACACCATACATTGATGAGAAGACAATTCTTGTTATGCGCGGTGTTGGTCCGATTGGATATCCTGGAGCAGCGGAGGTTGTGAATATGCATCCACCAGGCCGGCTCTTGAAAGAAGGAATTGATGGACTGTTTTGTATTGGTGACGGCAGACAGTCGGGAACTTCTGGCACACCTTCTATCTTGAATGCTAGCCCCGAGGCTGCAGCAGGAGGTAATCTTGCCATTCTGAAGGATGGGGATAGGCTTCGCATTGATTTGCGGAAACGGCGAGTGAATCTTCTCATTTCCGATGATGAGATCCAACAGCGGAGGCAGGAATTAGGTATTAAGGGGTATCCCATTGCTCCAAGTGGCACTCCATGGCAGGAAATCTTCCGCCAAGAAACCGACCAACTGAGCAATGGTATGGTGCTACGAAAGGCCGTCAAATTTCAGAGACTAGCCCAGCAAGGCCAGCCGCTGCGTCATAATCATTGATATAATGGATATAGAAATATCAACTTCTTGATCGTGAGTTCCTTATAATTGGTGCGAGCCACCTGAGATCTGGCAACCCTCGAAAAATGATAAGACACGACCAGATCGATCCTTCATATGTGCTCAAGCAAGGCTGTTCATAGCAAAAAGAAGAGAATCATCCTGCAAAAAAAGAAAATGGACCTAGGCGGGCTCGAACCGCCAACCTTCCAGGAACGTTCATGATAACCTCCGGTTAGGGATGACTACATAAGCTGGATGCTCTGAACCAATTGAGCTACAGGTCCATACAGTGGCAAATTGGTCCTTAACTCTTCCAGGGCTGGCCTTGGATTGTTTTCTCAATCTTCATTGCAAAATAAGGTGTTCATCTCAATAGAGGTGGCCGGGGAAAGATGCAGCGCCTGCTACCAATCTCGATCAGATCTCGATCGGACATAACTGGGACTGATACCAAAGTGGATCTATTGAAGAAGTGGAATTGCATTTGAGAAAAAATTAAGAAAAAAAGTATCAAGTGGATCACATGTGGGGCTTAAGCCCTACTTCTTCAGGAAGGGTCAGGGTCTTCAAACAATGTATGTGAATAGTATGCTACTGATAATCAGTAATTAAGGTGTAGCTTTGGCAACTCCGAATCTCTGCGAGAGTACTACTAGCTGACAAACACTGAACGCTATTCGCAAAGACCAAGCATCCGAATCCTGGAATGCCTTCCGAACATGATCTCGTGTTTCGTCCCATTTTATAAACCCAAGAGCCTCCACATTCTCCTGGGAAGTGAGACGGAGGACTAATTGATGCAGCGGCCCATTTTCTTGGAACACTGTAGGTCCAAGATACGGCTTCTTCCTCCGCTTATAGATCTCATCAGTGACGAAGGGACGCACCGCCTCTCGCAGAACATACTTCTCTGTCAAACCCCCATCTGGCAAGGAGGCTTTAATTTTCAAACTGGGTGGCAGGCTGTTGGCATATTCCGTAAGATGGTGATCCAGAAAGGGAGGTCTGGTCTCGACATGATGGACCATATCGATATTATCACCGAGATAGCGAAGCAGCATGTTGCAGAACACCCCCTTCGTGAAGAGATATTCTGCTGTGTGCAGTGGATGCCAGCGGTTTGCAATAGCGTCACGAACCCGTCCGTCGAGACTCTCTGCGCGCGACGTTTCGGGTAACGTGGCCGCGTGTATGTCTGTCCATTTAGCGAAGGGCAGGCGACCGAATTTTATCGATTTGCTTAATATGGAGGTATCATTAAGCATTCGGCGCGTCGACGCAAGCAATTCTTTTCTATTTACGGAGGGGAAGACTGTTGCATTATCTGTAGCGAGCTTTTGTGTCACTTCTGCGAGATCTGTCTCAGATAGTGATGAGGCCCATGAGGGGTCCTTTTCAAGCAAAAGGTCCTCCGCGAGGAAGTCATACCCTGCGAAGTGCTCGTCGGATCCTTCACCTGTTGGCAAGAAGTGTTAGGATCGGAAGGATGAAGGATAATCATGGGAGGAAAAACCTGTTAGGATTACTTTGATCCCGTGGGATTTGGCGACTTCGGCCATAGCAAGTCTCCCTATGCCATTTGTGTCCGCCACGGGCAGTTCACTGTGCCAAACGGCGTCTTCAAACTTAGAGACAATAACATCCTCATCCACAGGCACCGGGTGAAAGTCAACACCGAGCCATTCGGCGGTGCGCTGTGCAATTTCTAATGACATTTAGTATTCGGATTATGGTGTTCACAAGGTATGGCGACGTTCATACCGGACTCGTCCGCTCCACTATCCTTATCAAACTGCACTGTAAAGCACTTGATTCGCGACAGCTGATGGCTATCATCACTGCCAAGTCGAGCTCCCTCTTCCTTGACGAGATGAGCTACCATCCCGGCCACCGCCGAGGAATCAATTCCACCGCTGAGGTAGATTCCCAAAGGGACATCGGCCCGAAGCCGAATCTTAATGGCATCCATGAGACGATTCCGCACACCTTCGATCATCTCGGCTTCCGATCGAATCTCGGGGGTTCTCTACATCAGACATTAGTAGCCAAAACAAACTGAGCGATAAAGGAATATTTATCATTTACCTTGTCTGGATACTCAGCATCCCAATAGACTGCCTCCTTAATTGGGCTGAAATTCCTGCTTGTGATATAATGCCCTGGAGGAACCTAGATAAATCACGTTAGTGACTCCAACAAAAAGGCCAAGGAAGGCCAACAAACCGAATGAACCCCTTTGAACATAGTGCCAGTGCCAAGCATCCAACGACACTCCCTCATACCCTGAATATCCCACTCAGGCTTCCACCCAAATGGAAGAAAGCATTTCATCTCAGTGGCGACAAGTAGTCGGTTGTTCACCACGGTGTAGTAAAGCGACTTGACACCGTACCGGTCTCGTGCGCCAATAAACAATTTTCTGCGCGCATCCCACAAGATCAAAGCAAACTCCCCTCGAAGATGAGACAGAAACGACAAACCATAATGTCTGTAGAGCGCCAGTACGACCTCGCAGTCGCTTTGACTACAGAAGTAATACTCGCCGCCTAGGAGCTTTCGGTAGTGTTCATGGTCATACAGCTCGCCGTTGACGACCGCATGAACATCATCTACATTATCATGGAAGGGCTGATTTGCATGGGGACTGAGATCAATGATAGATAGTCGAACATGTCCAAGATCTAAAGAGGAGTCAGGACTGAAGATAAAACCGATCTCCAAGAGAGATTGTAACACATACGAACGTTTCCATCTTCACTAGCCCATTCCCCGCGCGCATCTGGCCCACGGTGTTGAATCAGATCCAGACTCTGCCCGAGTTGGTCTTTGAGGGACGACGAGGAATTGTCGTTCGAGGCTTTTGGGGAGTCTCCGGTCAAAAGGACGGCACTGATACCGCACATTGTGTTGTATCTTATTGTTTGCCAGCAAAGAAACCTTTGAAGCTAACGTTGCGGTGGCGGAGTGACAATGAAAATACCCACGGATTCCGAGAAAGCCAGACTCACACGTGGTAATGTGTTGATGTGCAAATGGGAAAGCTGTGCCACTTGGCAGGGCTTGTGAGACAGAGAAGAAGGAGGGGGAATCTGCGGAGTATTGCGTACTCGGTAATCGGTTTCTAACACACCGCATGTATCCTACACATCATACCTCAATACCTGGACTCAGCAATTATCATTGGCGATGGAATGTGAGAAATGGGTCGGGTGATGGAGTTGCATACCAACGAGGCGGCCATGATGCAAGTACGGGGACACGTCCGCTGCGGACATGGCTGAATCCCCTACCCCCCGGAGATCCTTCAATGAATCAATTGGGTTCAAATCCTTATTTTCGTCCCCGATTGACCCCACACATACTTTGTGAATATGAAAATATTAACAGTTTGAGCTGAGGACGGAGCGACCCGATTTCCTTGGCAACGGGACACTCAGGGGATTCGACCCAATTCTTATAAAAGAGCCCATCAACACAACAGGGGGGATCTGCAGATGACTACCGAGTATCTAGCTCTACAGATTATATCGAGCAGACCATGCCGGTAACATAATGGCAAGAAATTCATCATCCGTACCTTGTAAGGCAGCTCACCGGTACCGCATTGTATGACCAGTCACATCTGTTCCACCTGGGTAGTGATGAATGCGAGGGTGCCTTAGGTTATCTTAGTTAGCAATTCAGCTCCTTTTCAATACGACTCTCGTTCGCAGGACTTATGAAAAACATCTTTTCTTTCGAGAACGTAGTGATAGAGCATGGTTTGGGTAAATGGCCAGGTTCAATGTTGTTTTCAATATATAAAAAAAACATATCCAATCCCATAACCGACCTTAGAATAATACCCATAGTATTGTGATTTTACCCGAGCATTTGATCTTCATATCTGATGGTTCGAGTGCTCCCCATTCATGTTCCAACTATACACATCGAATGTCTATGGATGTTGTACGTCTGGTGATTAGTGGAGCGCCAGTGCAGCCTGTTGCGGAATGTCACAGTCTCCTTACATAGAAACACGAGATATTTCCTCAATAATTATCCGTTCAAATATATTTAGATATGAAGAAGACTGGGAGACATCGAAGGCTATACAATTTGAAGAAGGCGCAGCTGAATGTTCTGTGAAAGGGTGTCGTTCGCCAGAGTGAGGTTTCATACCATGAATATGATTCGATGACGCTAATGGATAGAGAGTCCCATTCTCAGCATAATACTGAACTCATCCCATGATTGTTTCCAAATTCAAATCCAGCATAACATCCAGCCAGAATTCCCCCGAACCCGAGTCTGCACGGTCCCACGTCTCTTGCACCACATTATAGATGCGTTGCATTGGCAGCTTTGGTAAAATCAAGGTAAGCTCGGACAATCTCATTTTGACCTTTCGTCTGGCCTGGGCAATCTCGACATCAAGCGTATTCAAGCTAGGAATCGCATCTACAGTAGCGCCCAAGACAGAGCCAGACGCGAAGACAAGGTCACTAGAGATACAAGCCAAAACAATAGGTTGCATGACCTTGGTTCCAGAGGTTGAAGGTAGTTGCTCCAAGAGGGATACTATGTGCAATGCCAGCATGTGTCGTGCGTCTTCTACCGAGCGTGATGATCCGTCAACAGCAAGTGGGAACAACAACAAAAAGAGGGCCGGGATAGGGTTTTCGTCATCCGCGCTCTGATTATTGCGGAATCTTGCCTCGAATATGTCCGGGAAAACGTGGTAGATTTGCAAAAGCGCCGTACACCGGTATGCTTCGGCTAATGTGAGAAAATGAGACGGCGGCGTGTTGGTGTCACCAATATCGACAGGCCCACAGTAGAAGGAGAAGCCCGAAAAGAGAATCTTCTCTTCAAGATGCTCAGCCTTCTGTCTGAGATCCAGTTCTTCGGCCATGGAGCTCAAGTAGATCAAGGTCGGATCTAGGTTTTCAGGCCTTCGGCGGTATGCGGTTTTCGTGGCCCGAATAACTCTTGCCGTGCGATAGAAGAGGCCCAAGGAATACCGCAGAGATCCTGTCCATGGGTGTGGTAAAACCTGTCCATCAATAAGATATACTGACAAATCTGTATCACTGTTGTCTGTCGAGCGTTCCACATCGAGAATGGGTGATTCCTCCGTCACAAAAGCAGCTAACAAATTCCACCAAAGCAAACACTGCTTGAAAAGTGGATATTGCTTTGCTAAGGCAGAGTCGGGGTTTTTGCATCGGCGTTCTTGTCTTAGGAGATGGTCTTGAGCTGCTCTCAGATATGGAAGCCCCAAATCGGAAGCATCGTGCCAGCCAGTAGTAGATCCGATCATGAGAAGTGCTAGGAAATATTCATCATCCTTGGTCTGAGCTGAGCCCCTTTGAGCACTATTATTAAGGCATGCAATTGCTTGCTGCTGTGTTTGTATCCCAATCGCTCGCATGTTTGGGAAATCGTTGGCCAAAGATGCAGCCGACATACTTTGTATAGCAAAGTAAATAGCTGCATTTCGACTCCAAACCCGGCTGATGATGGTTCTAAATGGATTGAGTGGGCAGTCAAAAGATGACCACTGATTGCAAACAGTATGGAAATAATACTGCACTAGCATCACTGGCAGTTGGATGAGGAAGGAGGGAACGGATGTGTTGGTCAGTCGTTGGCGTAAAATCGACAACCCGTCTACCGCACTATCGGATTTTGCCAAAGCTGTATCCTGAAATCCCGCCTCGGGGTGAAACCAAGAATCTATTGGTTCATCAAAATCAGGCAACTGATCAAAGATGTTCGAGCAGGCTGCATCCCAGATATTCTGGGTCTCATTCTGAGAATGTTCCTGTTCATTGTGGGGTGGATTCTCCACTTCAGAAGATTCAGTTGCGATTGTTTCGGGAGATTCAGCGGGTGGCACTGGCAGGTTTGACTCGTCGCTTTCCTTGAAGACATATCGCCATTGCAAGCCCTGCTTCTGGTAGCCGGGGCAGGTATGTCCCTTTTTGGTACATTCCTGACAGCTTGGTTTTGTCTCATCACATCTGCGCTAGGTAAGATTTAGCCATGTAATCTCACTCGAGGCCCTCATCAATGAAGGAGACACTGTGCATCTTTCACCTCAACTTACTCGCCGCTGCTTGCACCTCAGGCAGCCCCCTCTAGACTTCGGTCGGCACCGGTTGGGGTTCCGCCTTTTCTTTGGTAGAGAAGGCAGATTCTTCGGGCTTTCCATTCTACTTAATGTGAGAAGATGACGAACGTTGATTGAAAGAGAAACCCCATAATGAGTGTGAAGTGGCGGGGCGTCGGATGGGAACCCGATAGATGCCCTCAGGCCACAATATTTGACAAAAATCGGCGCATGAACCGGGATCCGATCACCTGTAAACAACGACGCCTCTTTAATTCTGAGATCGCCGATTGGTTGGCAGTTGACCAAGGTGAAAAAGGAATTCTCCAAATGCTGGAGTCGGCAACACTCGTCATCTCAACCCCGCTTCCGATTTGGCGCTAGAACCAACCTGGACCAACAACACGCTCTCAGGCGGATTCGTATTCCTTTTGGGGACTAGCTTTATATAGCTGTCTCCCCGTAGCTTCGCCGATGTGCCACCAACGTGTCAAGCATCTGGCAGAAGAGCACAACTGGGGCTTGATATTCAGTCAATCGTTGGACAATTTGCTCCTTTTCCGTGAGTGACATCTCATAGACCATATGAAAATGGGCACTCATAACCAAAGTATTAGCTATACCCCCAGCGTATATTCCATGAGAAGCTAGGTCAACCTGGTGGATATGGCTGGAACGATCAATGGATTCGGTGGCGTCCACGACAGCGCAGCAATTGAAGCCAAGAGTCAATTTCTTTCACAGATCACGGGTTCCAATCATGGCGGTGAACACATCGATCAGGCCTCGTGATAAAATCCCTTACTCTCCGCGCCGTCGAGAGCATTGTCATCTTCGAGACACCCAGGTATATAACTCCAGTCTCCTTCATAGAGATTCATGGGGTCACTTTGCCGACACGAATAATACGGGAATATGATCTCAAAAGGATTTGAGACGTACGTCAATGCAGAGCGCTAGATCCTGCAGGGTATGTTGCGTCTATTAATGAATCTAGTGAGTAGTCCGCCTATATCACAGCGGTAATTTACCACTGTAGCCCGATCCACTCACAAGATCAAGGGCTCCGACCAGTGCCGCTAGCGACATCAGCAGTCTAGACCTGGCGATCTGGCCGTACAAGCCTGAGGCGTCTTGCATTCCGGGTTTCATGGTCTAGAATTGGTTCAGTGACCGCAAACACGCTTGAAGCTGTGTCGTGAAACTCATAGAAGTATAACTAATGATGCAACTCAAAGAAGATTGGAGAAGCAAATCTTAAATTTTGTTCAACTCCAGGTAACAGTGTTGTATATATATGCTTGTGGCTCGTAATTATCCACGTTTAGGAGACATATCAGCTTCTGCTATAGCCTGGCAGCCTGCAACTCACAGTAGTAGGGTCACCCATGGATGAATCGTCATTGTGATCCATATGTTGGCCTTTAGATATCCTCGCACCTGCTCGGAGATATTTTGGATATGCGGTTGATATGGTGGATTTGAGATTGTAAAGACGTATTCACTGCTTTTGGATGATACTACGTTTGGCGTTTGAGAAATATGCTGGGCCGCCGATAGTGGACAGTGGGCTTGACGCATCACGACAGTGACGAGTAGAAGGCTGGATCAAAGAAGAAAGGCCGGTGATCTGAGTTGAATTGAACAGTATCTACTTCACTGATTGAGGCTGAGGGGGCACGGTCCCTCTTTCCCGGACTACCTAGTTGTCTCCCCCGCGTAGTGAGATTTGTTCTCACAGACCTGCGTTAATTTCCTGTCCAGGATCCTCTACATATATGATCAAATCTAAAGTTGAGATGCAGGAGCTAAAAGGTCAATCTTGTGCCGATCTGCTGATATTGCAGTGGAAACAAGGGACCGGGCGCACACCCAGTTGGCAACAAACTCGATCGGTGAACTTCCACCTCGAGGACCCAAATGATCTTTCTAGTGTTCTTCCTGCCTGGTCAAAGGCGTGTATCATGTATGCCAAAACAGATCGATTGACGGAAAACCAGCTAATGTAACAAGCGTTGCCGATTCAGTTGCGATTGAGCGGTGTTCACAATGCCGACAGTCCTTCACTGATGCGTTTCGTATGCCTCGATTTTGGTGGTCATACTATTTTCGAAAAGGGAATGGGGGTTTTGGATGCGAAAGCACACGGCATGCTGGATTGACCACTGGCTTTAGTAAGTTGGTAGAGATTGTACCATTGGATATGAGCCACACTAACTTCCTTAGATACTTGGTCCAAGTTCGCGGTGAAAATGGTAGAACAAGATACTAGATTCAGATGGTATCATACTAATATCTTCACCCGATGGCTGCCCTCAACAAAACAAACCGTGGTCCTCGCCTTTGATCTCGATCCACCAGTCAAAGAACGCTTTCTGAGAGCGGCGATGAATCCAGACGAAACCTGGCTCAACGATCCATTCTGGGTCTATCCATATCTAGTCGAACAAATTGCTCTTACTCAGGAGCCCGCTGTTTGGGGTATTCGAGACCATGTCCGAGGGATGGAGACAGAAGCAAAACCAGAAGGCAGACCCCAGCCTGACTACCGACGCCTCCATGATATCGCCCGACATGCGATTCATGTGAATGAAACACTCGACGTTGCTCTTAAAAACTTGGAGCATATATTGACACATCATGAGGACTTTATGAACCTAAAGCCCGAGAATGCCTGTGTTGCTTCCGAAGATATCCACTCTCGTCTGCGATCCTGGGAGTCATTCATCAGCAATCTTCGATTTCGATCCATCTCAAACGAAAAGAGATTGCAAAATGAGATTCAGCTCGCATTCAATACCGTGGCGCAGCATGATGCCGGCGTAACACTTGAGATTGGCCGGGCAACACAAATAGACAGTGCTACCATGAAGACCATCGCCTTCGTGACACTTACATTCCTCCCTCCTACGTTCATCTGTGCAATCTTCAGCATGTCATTTTTCGATTACGGTAGTGACTCTGGCTGGACCATGTCAAGCAAATTTTGGATATACTGGGTGTTCGCCATACCAACCACGGTTTTCACAACTCTTGTATGGACTTACTGGCCCGATATACGTCGCATGCTGTTTTCGAAAGATGAATAATTCCTGTGTATATATACTTGGTATGCACTTTACCATTGTTCTATCTGCAGAAACGAGGTAAATGAAATCCTTCAATAGACTTGAATCTCTATAAAGCCGCTACAATAATATTTGCACCATAACTGTGCCAGGATAGACGGGAACAGTTGCAATGAATGTCGCATTTGTGGCCGAACAGCAAGCTCCCTACAACGATCTCCACATCTAGGATATTATCACCACAGTCCTCCCTCAAGTGAGTAGTTTGCTCTAGAATACGATCTTTCGTATGTTTGATATTGGCGTAACAGGCTACACATTAGCTTATGGGTGGGCTATGGATTGTAGGCTCTTGCATACACAGGCTAGAACAATGTAGTTTAGGAGGGAGTGCACATGAACAAGTAGTTTGTTGTACTGTCTAGGCAGTAGAGTAAATCTTCCCCTCGGGGATTAGTAGTTGTAGGGGTCATAGGAAGGTGTCGAACAAGTCCAAGCGAATATTTCAGCCCCTTGTCTATGTACTCCATACGAGGTACCTTTTGTACAAATGCAGCTTACTGCAGAGAGTAGAAGCCATAATCTTACATCGACCCCTCAAATATTTCCACGTATATGTGGCTGTTTGGGTGTGCTGGCATTGCATGCCAACTGGATATGTCTAGTTGAATTCCTAAGGAATGACCAAGCACGAAGATCACACTTAGAGACGCAATCCATTTTGCCTCGTCTCTACATGATGAGTATGAGGCTCAAATTTGAAAATATGAGGGGGTTACATAAAACGATGGCACAAAGAGTGAAAACTACTCTTCTCGACACGACAATTTATGACCCCTCGTTTCTCATTCCCCTCTGACACTATCCCTATACCCACGTTAAGGTCGAGTAATATCTTGTAAGGATTGGCGTTTTTCCCTTCTCTTTCCATCATATTGCCCTGAGTATCCTACATATAAGCAAATACTTCCCGAGATACATTTATTGACTCGGGAGTGATAGGGATATCTTCGCTCAACAAAATGCCCCCATTCCCTTCGACCCATCACTGCAACTCTTGTCGTAAGAGAACAAAAGACATGACCAAAAGGGGCCACTGTAAAAAGCATGAATGGGTTTGCAACAGAGGTCATCAAAAGTTCGTCTTTGGTATGAATCAAACTTGCACGTTTGACGGCTGTGGACGTGAATATGATGATATATGCGACGTTTGCAATCCCGAGTGAAACGGAATCATTGGTGAGTTTAGCATTGGAATACCCGGGGGCCTGGCCTGAAATAGCGAGGAAATTGGAGTTGTAGATTGGGAACATACACTACGATTGATGCTAATTCATCAAGTCTTAGGGGTTTCATGATGCTGTATCTGACGGAGCATGAGCCTGAATATGAAATACATCTGTATGATGATTTTGGAAAGTTTCAAGCTTGGTCTCTGTACTTTTCTTGATATGTCTAGTTGAACGTGCCCATGAACCTTGCTATTTGGTAACTATCGAAGCCTACTAGTAGTTGCTTGGACCGGTCGTTTGTTTTGTGTCAAGAGAAAATTGCTTTCTCTCTTTGGTTTGAGATGCTGTATCCAAATCACCACTCAATTCTCGTCACTATGTACTTCATTGTTCCGGGTCAGGTACATAATCCTGTCTTCCACTGTACGCAAGGCCAGTTCCATTCCTCAAGTTCTGAAGAAAATACCCTATCTCTGAGCTGTCGTTCGCCATCAAGGTGATCAACCGTGGGAAGTCATTAAGAATGAAATTCTTTTCGTGCATCACATCTCTCGCTGCGATCGCTTCTGGTGAACCCTCGGGGAATGACTGCTGCAAAGCCCGAACAAAGTGTGGTCGCAATATCGCATTGTCCTCATATAACTCGGGAGAAAAATCCACATCTTGAATGAAGATCGGATACTCGTATAAATAATAAAGTGGACCTGCGTAGGAATACTCAAAGTCGATCACGCCAGAGAGGACAGGTGCGTTGTCAGGAGTGTCTGAAACTTTTGTGAAAAGTAAATTTTGAGCATCGAAGTCACCGTGAATGAGGCGAAACGGTGATTTGAGATACGACGCATCAGACTTTGAAGAAAAATATTTTTCCAACTCTTGCCGTACTTGTTGGTAGAGATCTTTGTGTTTGGGGTCTTCCACGGTGTCCTCCCGGGCGAAAGCGCTCAGGTAGTCAAGAGTCGATTGGAATGGCTTCTCTTCTTGGCGAGGAAGCGAAGGGTGCACTAGAGGGCCTAGTCCGTCGTCTTGTAGACTGCCAATGCCATCGAAATGAAGCGCTGCCAACCGTGTCAGGACTGACGCGATCTGGGTGAGAACGTCCTTCTTGTGATCGAGGGATAGACCGTCCCATAGTTTATAAAGATGCCGCCCGCGCAGTCTCTCCATGAGAACAAACGGGGCGCCGACTGGATTATCAGAGCGTAGGTCCTGATGAAGAATTGTGGCAACTGGTATCGACGTATGGTCTTTGACATATCGCATGGTGGCAAGTTCACTGGTAGCTTTGGCAAGACTTTCGTCACCGCGGGTCAGTCTTGCGATGCATGAATGCTGCGCTCGTGCTACTTCCACTTTTGTTTCTGAGCCGGGTTCGAAGTCAAGCAGGAAGATCTCATGGTATCTTCCACGGGTGAGCTTCCGGATGTTGATGCAGCGGGCTGATGCAACGGTTGAGGCGCATTCTTTCAGTTCTTGGAAATTCAGATTCAACTCGGGCGGTTCGTCAGAGTCATACTCTTCGTCTGCACTAGAATGAGGAGAAGCAAAGTCTTCTTCAGGAAGGAGAGATGATTCGTTACTGCTTGAAGGAACGCGGCCTGACATGCTTGATTTACGTTATACTGGATAAGACGGGGAAACAATGCAGGAGGTCGGTAATTTCCGAGCTTGCAAAAAGTAGCAGAAGCAAGCTTGAAGAGATATTTAGGCCAACCCCTCCATAATTTATGAAGGCGGTGAATTCACCTAACCGTTTACCGCGTTGTCCAACGTGATGTCCATACGGGGCTAGACCTCTGTACGGGACTGGAAGGCCTCAGACCAGAACGGTTGGTCCTTACCTACATAAGGCAGCTATACGTACCATATTTCCTCTGCCGGGTGGGGCTGTCCTATCTTAGCTGCCGCCACTTTTATACGGCCTGGGTCAGCAAGGCTTCAACAATTAAAATGTGTCATAGGCTTTGGACCTACAGGCTACATGTATGCCCAACTTATATTCGAAAAGCCCTAGACCTTACAATTTCACGACCTAAAGAGTTGCAAAGATTAAATCACATGTTATTAAGGATAGTGTAAGTTTGCTACATACATAATCTAAGCTGCTTAACAGAATGATGCAAAAGTCAAGATTCAAAGCTCATTCGCGCCGTGAGGACCGAGAAAGAATGTGATGGATCGGAGGGGATCCGCTCGCTGAGTCATAAATGAGTGTATACATTCGAAGGGAAGATAGTGCTGGATTGAACAGCATTATTATTCTCCCTGGTAGATTTCGAGCTGTTCACTCAATCAAGCAATGATGGTGGAAGTGTAGGTCTTGTCAGGATTGACGACGTTTCCATCCTTAAGCTCATTATCATCGTAGGAGGGCCAGATAAGCTTGCCGGTTGTGTCGTCGACAACGCTCAGGACAGTGAAGCCGTTTTCAGGGTCAAACTGGCCGCTCCAGCCTGAGGAGATGCTGAATTTGCCGCACTTCTTAGGGCCTCCACTGGCGTGAGAGGCTCCAGCGCCCTTTACAACATAGGTGCAAGAGGTAATACCGATTCCACGGTTGATGCCGAAGGTCCAGGTGCATGAGGTGTCTTCGTGGTTGCAGACCCGCTTCATGTTCTCAATGGTCCAGTCGTCGTTAGGAACGGGGGCAGCAATGATCGAGGTGGTGAAAAGGCCAGTTGCAAGAAGAAGCTTAGAAAGCTGCATTTTTACGGCTTGATGGATGCTTAGATTGTTTTGTGGTGGAGGAAGTGACTTTGATAAGAGGATTGTGTGTTTCGAGCTGTGGAAGGCTTTGTAGATGAGGCTTGTATGGATGAGGATAGAAAGGAAAACATCCACGGGGGCAATGAAGGTATTTAAGTCTTTTCTCAGTCACTTGTTGACCTTGTCGTACTTCGAGGTTTCTGATGGTCAGCCCACCATTGCTGCTCAAAATAGAGACAATGTAGGTACTGAGTATGTCATGAGCTCTCGAAATAGCCTTCGGAGATACTACCCATGGATGTTCATAGATGCAACAGTACATCCGTAGGGCCCACGTTGAGTGAATACTCCACAATTTGCTCACAGGGCTGAGTGTCATGCCTTACTTTCTAGAATATAACCCGATTTCTCTATAATAGCGTCATGCATGTAGTAAGGTCCAGGGTAAAGTTCTGGGCAGTGGGCGGACATGCTTGGGGATATGCGAGACCCAGCCAATCGACTCACATGAATTCCGAAGTAGGCATTCCACATATACGCCCACAATGAGCCCCATTGTACCGTTAAATCACTTCTACCCACTTTTGATGAAGCGAAGGAGTATATTTGGGGCCTTTACCACGGAGGGAACTCAGGCGTCCCGACTTCTTGGTCATCAAATCCCTTGAGCGAATCCAAGAACTAGGATTTGGTTTAGACTGAGAATCATCACTTAGATATTTGCGAGAAAAATTTGTATCTACATAGTTATTTACAAATAGGAAATGGATCTACTCCGTACATAACTTTCCGAAGTCATGTTGGGGCTCTTTTAAGATCTATGGATATACACCCGTGGTTCGCCTGAGGCGCCTCGACCCGCTCCGGGGCTGAAGGCGGGGCCCCAATGAGCCCTGCGCCCCTTCGGCCTTCAGCTGGGCTGTGCCCCATTTCGGCCTAGCCTTTTAGGCACCCAGCCTCACGTAACCCCCGAGGTCGGCCAGGAATTCTGCCGAAGCTACTCACGCGTCAAGCTAAACCTGTCTACTCCAGAATCACGATTCTCGGTCTGCCATTTAAATCAAATTTCACCATGACGTCTCCAAAAAAGACCCTCAAGATCGCCAGTCTGGGCAGCTCCTTTGCCGCTGGCCCCGACATTCCCCCACAAGTCGAACCCTTTGCCGCAATGCGATCAGGACAGAATTACCCCCATCTTTTAGCAAAGCATTTGAACGCCGAGCTCACTGATCTGACCGTTTCTGGTGCAACATTACTCAACATAACAGTTGATCCCCAGGCCACCCCATTTAACATAACTTTCCCGCCCCAAATCTCCAATCTACCCGAGGATGCGAACATCATTACCGTGACTGCCGGAGGAAACGACATAAACTATATTGGTGGCATGATCGCGGATGCCTGCGAGGCCGAGTTGCAAGCTTCTGCGCCTTTATCACCCAGTGAATTGGCAGAACGCATGGGCGGAGTTCTTGATCAAATACACAAGCGCGCCCCGGGAGCTCGCGTCTTTTTTGTCGAATATCTTGCTGTTCTGGGACCGGGCACACAAGCTGGTCGGGATATTCCTTTGACTCAAGAGAGACTTGAGCATTATCTTGGGGTTGCATCTGTTCTACAGCATGCGTATTCTGTCGCCGCGGAAGGTCGATCAGACTGGTGCGAGACAGTCCCTATCCACCAGCTCAGCCAGGAACATGCGCTTGGTAGCAAAGAACCTTGGGTTGGAGGATTCTCTACTGGCCCAATGCTACATCCAAATCTTGATGGGATGAAGGCAGTAGCAGCGGTTCTAGCCGAGAGGATCCGAAAGAGCACATCATACAAAGCATTGCTGTGAATCAATAGTATATCTCTACCCGATATACTCAAATTTATCTCGCCCAGTAACACCGATGATGATTGACTTGTGTCTGATTTCAACTGGGCTGTATCAGCCATGGACCATATTTACTACAAGGACCCGGTGGGATATGATCGAGACCATCCATTGCCTACATAGAGATTTATCAACGGGTGCGTTAATTAGCGCGCTGGTGTTTGAACCCCATTTGTGTCAGACATTGTGTCATCAAGTGAGGCCCTGGGCTCGATGGAATATTCGAGATGCATGGATTATAGGCCTACGATTCTTCACAAATTCAATTATAGCGGAGAAAGCGACACACGCTTGTTTATAACGTGGGGTTAAATCTCCTCATGCGATGCAAGGGAAACATTGTAGGCGTCCTATCATCCCACGGTTCGGGACTTGACCGACTTACCAGGTGAGAGAGGAATTCCAATCATTCCTCTTGTTCAACACTCGCCCTATTCGTCAGTTCTTCAATTTATCAATTAGCCTGTGCTGCTCAACCTTTGGTCATCAAAAATTATATAGAAATGGTCAGCGATCCTTCTGTCATACACCGGAGCCCAGCCCTAGAGCCACCACACGATTGTCCAGTCAATCGACATCCATGTTAGGACCGGATAACAGGGTGGACTACGACTCGGAAATTAGGCGGGTGATCCTCTTGCTCCCTCGCTTCCATCAAGTTCTGGACGCGCACCCTCCAGCTTGACCATTTGACGCCTCTTTCTTGAATGTCCAGAAGCCTGACTACTCCCTGCCTCTGCTATCGGTGTGCCACAGCAGTATATTGAGGATGAGCCGTTGAAAAAGATGTTGGTAATGGAGGAGCCTCCTTTTGGCTGTGTGTTTGCTGAAATCGATTGAACCCAACGGTCAGTCTTTTCCTAGTAAATCAATTTTCGGTTATTCTAGCAGCCTATTGCAGTGCTCTGTGAATCCATCCCATGTTTTGCTTGTGCATGCTCCCCGCGATAATATATATGGTTGATGTCCAGCGTTCAGACACAGGCCGTTGTCTAAGCAGATATCGTTACTACCACAGCACCAGGTATTCGTTTCTGATCTGCATGGTACGCCCCTTGGGGCTTCTGCCCCAGAGGGAAAGTAGCATGTCCGACTATCTGTCACCATGATAGTTGTTGAGAAAGGGTTTATGGGGGATAACCTCGGAAAATCCCAAGATAGCAAGATTTCAACGAGCAAAGGTAGGAAATTAAAGACGGCTGAAGAGGACTGGGTATGGAGTAATCCGTCCGGAGTACTCCGTAGTAGTATGCTAAATTCCTCAATCATCGCCGTACTCCGTACAGCTAGACACATTGACCTAATTCCATACAAAGTCAAGATCCGCGCTACTTGCGTTTCCTGGGTTAGACCCTGCAGCAGCTTGGGGCATGTTGCTGCTGTGCGCAGCCTCGCGGTTCATCTTGGTCAGACAACTTGCCCCCCGGGGCCATCTACTCCGTACATACTCCGTATATGCTCCCATACGATTCATCATAGTGTTCAATAAGCCATGGGCCTGGCTTACCTCCATTAGCCAGAGATCCTCGAATCACTTGCTTGCTCCTAGATAAATCCTTTGATCTGGGTGCTATTTTTGGTTTATTTATTAGCCACCAGAACCCGTCCAGCTCTACATTATGAACCTTGACCCTCCAAGCTCTATTATGATATCCTTAACACTTCAGTATGTACCTATAAGATTCAAGCAATGATTTACAGGGAAAAAAGAGAAGAACCGAAAAAAAGAAAGGCCAAAACAATAACTGTAAGTACCACGATCTATAATTAGAATTTCCCTTGTTCCTTTTATAACTACATGTACTTATTTGATGAGCAACCTAAAGTTTGTGCTAATTCTGGGCTATCATGGTGTTGGCCTCCATTTACTCAAAATTTCTTTGTTTCTAGCCAGCAAATAGGATCAATAGCACATCATGTGTAGTGATGGAAATCGTTTGATCTTTTCGGGAGGTCTCATTCCATCCTTAGTTATCCGGACGCCTCGGGAACTCATTTTCCGACTTCATAGTTTGCGTGGAGCAGCAGCTGATGGGCTCTTTTCAAACGCATCCCAATCAGTTTCATTACTATTTTGTTGGAAGACAAGAACTATTCAGTGCCTAACCAAGCACCAGGCTACCGTCTACGGCTTTTCCATTGTCAACTAATCTAATTATAAGGGTCTCTTTGTCCTCTATACCCCGCATCATCCAACTGCCCCTCCTACAAACCAGACTGCACGACATGGGGAAACGCATTGTGATCACTGGTGGCTCTGGCAAAGCTGGGCAGCACATTATCAGATATCTTCTCGAAAAAGGCCATGATATCCTCAACCTTGACCTCGTTCCTCTTCCCGTTGAGCTTGGAGAGCGAGTCCACACCATGCGTGTGGACTTGACAAACAGCGGACAGGTATATAGCGCACTAGGGTCACATTTCCACTTGACAGAGCCATTTCGTGAGCCGCTCGGGTTGGTTCCCGATGCAGTAATCCACATGGCTGGGTACTCGCGCAACATGATTGTTCCAGACGAAGAAACCTTCCGGGGCAACACTTTAGCAGCATATAATATCATTGAAGGTGCCTCGCGGCTTGGCATTAAGAAGATCGTCATCGCCAGCTCCATCACTGTCTACGGGGTGACTTATGCAGAGGGAGACGTGGATTATCTCTCCTTCCCTGTCGAGGAAACCGACGATGCAAACCCAATGGATACCTACGCTATCTCGAAAGTGTGCAGCGAGCGCGTTGCGCGCGGATTCGCCCGCCGCTATGGAAGCGACATCTATATCCTGCGTATTGGACGCATTGTTGCCCCCGAAGAATACCAAGAATCCATGTTCCGCTCGTATATTGTGGAACCCGAGCAATGGGCACCGCATGGCTGGGCGTACGTCGATGCTCGAGATCTTGGGCAGATGTGTGATCTTGCAGTCCAGAAGGACGGGCTCGGGTTCCAGATCTTCAATGCGGTCAATGACGAAATTACGAATTACGAGAATACCGCTGAGTTTCTTGCGCGGGTTTGCCCCAAAGTCCCGATTACGCGAGAGTTGGGGGCCAGAGAGGCCCCAATCAGCAACCGCAAAATCAAAGATCTGCTTGGATTCCGGGAGGAGCATCACTGGATGAAGTATTGTGGATGAGGCAAATGGGATATTTAAAGATCGGACTGGGTCCATCATGTTCGCCCAGCGACTTGTCTATTGTTTTGTACTCCGTACGTCGTCATGTAAGGGGAGCTCTCCTAATAAGCCCCTATTTAGCCCCGAGTCCACTCCAGGGCTGGACCGAGAGGTTAGTCAGCACCAAGCCCTAGAGGTCACGCGCCTCGGGGCTCAAACGCAGGTGACATCGAAACAACTCCAGTCTTACCCCCTGTCTCTTCGCTTTGTTACCGAATGTGGAGACAGTATGCTTGGCTGAAGGGCTATTCTCCCCACGTTGCAGAGAGACTCGAAACTATTTCTGACCTGTCTTTGTCTCATATTCAAAGAGCATGTCATATGCGACACATAGGACGCAAGGACGTTTAATTCACCGGAGTCATAAATTGTCCCTGACGAAAGGACCAGAGTGCTGGGAAATGAAACTCCTACGATGAGACAGGCCATAACCCTGGCAATGAGGCTGGAAAGGTGCGGTACAGAAGCCTTCGCCAAAGAGACCACTCCGGGTTTTCCTTTTTAGCCCTGTTTGGATACTTTGAGCCCCTGACTCGCCATGTGAACTTTAGATCTGTGAGACATACTCCGTACTCCGTACAAGCTCACAATCACATTGTGGACTCTGGAGAGTTTGGATGGAGTGACACACAGCGGCTGTGATGGGATCCTGGGGGGTGTAGAGATGAAGCTCCAATCATGACCGCGCACCATCCCGCGCGACTGGGAAGCGAATCCTTTAGGTCGACGGACTAAATCTCACTGATTTCTTGGAATTCAAAGACATTCCGGGCTTAGACCCAGGTTACTTATTTTATTCCCTTCTCCATAATCCGTACTACCACAAACTATCGCTTATTCAAATCTCCCATCTAATCGAATCTGGGGTATCCGATCGCCGGCCCCCGCATGCAATATACGGGGTGGGCGCCCCAGCTTCGTTTTTTTTTTTGGTGTCTCTCTTTGTTTCTGCCTCTGTATTTTCCCTTTACTCGCCTCTTTATCTGTTCTGCCCAAGTCTGGCCCGAAATTCCCTATATCTCGCCTCACCCGCATCCACCAACACTCATTTGCGCCACCGTCATGCCACTATCCCCCTGATACTGAGTCAACGCCATGAGCGACTTTCACGCCGCCGGGAATGGCATCAGTGGTGGCTACCAGGGAAATGACCTGGGCATGAAGATCACAATTGCGACTCTTGCTGGCGTCACCTGGTATAATGCCTTCGAGCTAATGATCCTCCTGTTCGTTACCTTCTCTGAATACCGAGGCCTCTATTTTTGGAGTTTGTTCGTTTCGTCCTCGGCCGGTCTACTTCCATATTCGCTGGGCTTCTTGCTCAAATTCTTCAACATCACCGGCGACCAAACATGGCTGCCTGTCACTTTGCTCACAATTGGATGGTGGTGCATGGTCACGGGCCAGTCTATTGTACTATACTCGCGCCTACACTTGGTCCTTTCCAACCAACGAGTTTTGCGCCGTGTGTTGATCATGATTGTGATTGACGCGGTCATTCTCCATCTCCCGACTACCGTTCTCACCTATGGCACAAACCTAGTCGATGATGCCTCCTTGGATTCTTGGAAAAAGGGCTATAACATCATGGAAAAGATCCAGATGACAGGCTTCTGCTTACAAGAATTCATCATCTCCGGGTTATACATTTGGGAGACGGTACGTATGTTACGCTTAGACCCGGATCGCACCAAGCGCAAGATCCAATACCAACTGCTGGTCATCAATTTCATTATCATCATCTTGGACTTGGGGCTACTCGTTGCCGAGTACATGAACTTCTACATCATGGAAACCATGCTCAAGGGCGCTGTATACAGCATCAAGTTGAAACTCGAGTTTGCCGTCCTTGGTAAACTCATCCATCTGGTACACAATCATGTCTGGAAACCCGAGTCCTTCGCAACGCCCCACGACCTCCCTGATTTTGTCGACGCAACCCGCGTCACCTCCGATATGACCCATGCCGATCCCAGTGTGACTCAGCGTGGACCTTCCTGGATGGACGCCGACGACATCTCCATCGCTATGTTCGAACACTTACCGCCCGACCACATACGCCACAACTCCGATCTATCCAGCGCTCCCAGCAGTGAGGCCCGCACACATCATGTGAACCAGCTCCCAATCGACTTCACCAATCCTTTTGGTCACTATCCACGTCATCCGGATCGCGCTCCGAAAATGCCCGAGAAACCGGGATGAGAACAAACCCCGGTGCAACAATTGCGGCAACCCTTGCTCCAAACCTCTCCTTTACGAATCACGGCTTATGAGATATGAAGAATCCTCGAGACTTGCGATATGCCACTTCCTTTCCTATGGACATCTCACATCAACCGTTCTTCAAAATGGTCTCTCCTCCATCCTCAGGGACATTCAACTTCCCACGGCTAACCGAGGCGTTGCGCCCGGCTACCCCAATGACCATCGAGGCCTCACTCACAATTATTGTGCCATTCAGCCAATAAATCAGCTCCTAGTCGATCCACACTGTGCAACCCACCAATACCCACTATCGAAAGTGCAACGTCATTGCACCTTTCTTTCTGTATATAGAACGATTCCCAATAGTTATCTTCTGAGATCCTGTTCCTCAATATAATCCAAATATTTAAATTGCATACTGCTTTGTACATCACATTGAGGATTGGTAGTTCCACTCGCAGGATCATCGGCGCACTACATGCATTCTTGTCTCCACATCCCCGTGGGGAAAGCTGTGGCTCAGTCCAACGCGGAAACTTCAACCTTGAAACACTTCAAGGTCGATGTTGCTGCTTTTGAACACTTCTGTCCGAGCCTTTGAATTAGAAACTTTTTAGCTACTGATAAGCATGCTCAAGTTGCTGCGATTTCTTTTCTGTCCTATTCGGAGAAACTCCTCGCAGGGTCTGATGACGGATGCTGGCATGGTTGGTGCCAACCCCGCCTTCGGCGATGATCCGGTCTATGCGCAGAATTGGACAACAGGTGCTTGCCATGAGACTGTTCTTTGGTCTTGGCAGCTTGCCATGATGGCCAAGGGACTGGAAATGCAATTAGGGAGGTAGGGACTTGTGAGGTTGAGTTGAAATTTTCTGTTCCGACTCCCTCAGTTGGAAATATTCCGAAACCTGTGCCTTTGCCTGTTCCCTATTTTTACACTGATGATTCGGTCTCTTACAATATCAAAAAAGCGTATATTTTCCTCTGTGTTTCTATTGAGGCTAATTCGGGTCAACTATTCGGTGAGATGTGGTCTTGGGTTTATTGAGATGGGAGATTTGAGGTTACTCCTTTGGGAGTGTTGTCTGTGCCGCCAGGAGTTGCTGGCCAGACTGGTGAGTTGTGATTCTCTTGTGCTCGAGTATATGCTATGGTTCTGGCTGAGAGCTTTTTCTTCGTTCCAGAACCCGACATCAGACAGCTGTGGCCCCTAAGCCTTTTGGCTGTGAACAGGAACCATAACTTTAGGTGAGGACATTGGCTTAATGAAAAGTGACTGAGACTTTATATAGTATGGTTATTACAAATATATCTCGAGCTTACTTTGAAACTACGGGTTTAGCTTGAATTGAATTGAGTGCATGACAAGGACGACATTTCCATATTCTGTGCTCGAATGCTGATTGTACAGTATCCCCCCAACATCAGTGTAGGCCTTCAAGCTCGTTTGGTCTGAAGCCAGTTGCTAGTGGCTTTTTTTCTCCATGATATTATCAGGGTATGATCTCGAGGTATGACTCCAAACCTGGACTATATTCTAGTTGGAATACCCAGGTAGTCTGCAAATCTTTCTGACTAGTTACTTCCGTGATTGTGACGGGCATGTCCATCTACCATATACTGCCGATCAAACATCAAGGCTATTAACATAGTAAGGTACAATATCTCTATGTGTGATCAGACAGAAAGATAAGTGACGTCCTCTCCTCTTTCTGCGTTCCGAGTTTGGTCTACTCGAGACTCATGTACGGATTATCATCTGTTTATAGATAATTTTGCATGAGTACATCTCTTTGAACTCGGTACATATTATGGGATTTACTCGAATTCCCTGCCATTTCTTGAGCAAATCTGATTTCAAAATCACCATCCCATCCTCAACTAGAGCCATATCAAAGATTCATCGAAAAGAAGCAAACTAACACAATTCAAAATTCCCAAATGTACCGTCTCAGAAACCGAGAATCAGCCAAGATCCTGTGTGTATGCACCTGAATATGAAGGTTTAAACGGGAATATTGGCCAAATTCCATAAAGTGAAAGGTGGTTTCCGGACACATTGTGCATACTGAATACTGAATATACTGGTGGCCAGTAGAGGCCCCAATGTTCCGATGAAAATCAAAGATATTCGCATGTGGACAGGTCATCATAGGTGGTGGTGTTTCCGATTGCTGAGCCAGCTCATCCAAGTCAGGACACCAGATATCATGATACAGGTCAACGGAGACCGCGTCGTCTCCGAACTTCCCAAACGTCGTATGCTGCTTAATCTTTCCATTATCTCCCCCCTGAAGGCCGTTGATGGTCGTTTCATAGATGCAGCCGCGAGTGGGCGGGGGAAGGTGTGGTCTCGAAGTGGGATGACCGAACACACGACAAGGGCAGCAATATATGGAGAATTTGCTCCTTCGGTGTGTCGTCTTGCCAGCATGATTGTGCCAGATATAGCTGTTGCTGGGATAGAATTGATCCGCAGGGTATAATTTGTTGCATGAGCCGCAGTAGCTTATTTTGTCCGTCTCGAGTCGGAGAAGTAACTCGGTTCTTTCGTAGAAGCCATTTTCCGGGGTGATGATATGTTGGTCGGATGGAGGATTGAGCTCTTCTGCTCTCTTGGGACACTTGAATTCGGGTCTTGTGAGGACGGATCGGAATTGTTCGTGGTAGGTCTTGCATGTTAATGCAAGGCTGGCACCGGATAGTACTGATGAGAATGAGAAGATCATGTTCATTAACTCTGGCGGTAGTCGAAGGATCCAGGCCGGTTTGATTTCCGTGTCGTCTGTCCCATGCTCAGTGGTCTTATGTTTCTTGTTGGAGGGCACGTCGCTGTTCAACATCGCTGTTTGAAGTGTGGCTTCCATATTGCTTTGCGTCTTTGTTCAAATGGAACAATAATGTTGGTGAGAATGGGCCAAAGGTGGAATTATTAGTTTCTCTGGTTTTATGTTGGCAGTTGTGAGTAGCGGCCCTAGAATGCAAACCTTGAAAGGTATACTCCGTGATCCAAAATGGCATCGGACATTCCGTAATCCAAAATGTACTAGCTCCCGTACTTAATCTATGATGATTCCAAGGGTCAGATGGCGAGTGGCAGAAGCATAAAATGATCTCATACCAGGCCTATATATCCAATGACCTCACAATCATCATCGGGAATCTTAATCTTATTTTCACCAGTCCCGAGCGCTTTCATGGCCCTACAAACAATGAACTCTACCGGGTGACCAAACAAGCCATGACAAACGAAGAGGTAGAGGCATTGTTTGTCTGTCATGTGGCTGGGAAGTATCAACTACATGGAAGACAAACGGTTCCTATTTACTAAGTGGGCGTTTTGACCGGGGAGCTAGACACAGCCGAATACACGAATCCATTCGAGATATCCACTGCAAAGTGCTTGACTCAAAGGGTATGATGTTATAGATGCCTTGACCGAGATGAAACTCAACAAATGCCCTTGAAGAGAACGATACGCGGATGGAGCAAAATCAAAAACACAGGTAAAGAAAACAGCTCATAAATCGTACATGAAAAGGGGGATAAAGATGGCTTCCTTCCCATACCAATCGTCAAGACCCTCAAGCCTTAATGCTCGAACGCTTAATCTCGAATCTCCGAGACCCCTCGATCAACCCATCAGAGAACTTGGTCACAGCGATCCACGCTGGACTAAACTGTCTCACCTCGTCAAGGGCGGGGATAAGACCGACCCGGTTATTGTCGCTCCATAGACAGGTAATGCGGCCCTTGATAGCCTCTTCGGTCTCATCAGTCTCGGATTCTTCATGCTCTGAGAAATCGATATCCACGGTCCACTTGTTATCCCATTCACGGCTCCACAGTATGATCCGGTTGAGGCCGTCGGGGGACGGGTTAAGAAAGCGGTGATCCGGAGCAGAGGATCCAACAACATTAAAGTTCTTAATGTGGTTTCCATCGGTTGTAATGCGGCAGTTGCGTGTGTTCTGGCCTGATACTTCGAAGCGGACAGAGGAGCTATTCGGGTCAGGGTTCACACTGAAGGAGATCCAGTCTGGCGAGAGTTCAGAAGTTTCCAGCACAGCGTCGACATCCTCACTTGAAGCGGAGAGAGAATCGGCACTAGAGACAACATGTGGCATTGGTGCACTCCAGTAGCATCGCTGTAGTTTATTTGCGCCTCGGTAAACCCAACCGCAGGTCTCATTTTGACCTGCTGCGCCAGGGAGTCCATAAACAACATCATTGACAAATGGAGGCATACCAGTGAGCGAAGCAGTGGAGATACCGTTGTCTAAATCGACTTCTTGTAGGAAAAATACTTTCAGGCGATTAGAGTCTGCAAATGGGAAGGCGACAAGGTTGTAGATCATGGTTCCGATGACAACAAAGAGTAGGAAGATAGGCAGGTGATAAGTGAAGCGATGGATGAATGGCAACATAGGCGCAAAGAGGAATGCAGTAAGAATAGCAATCAGGAGGTAGACGATCAGCTGGGGGCTACCATCTTGACCCGTCTGGTTGAGAGCTCCAGTAATCAGAAGGCCCAGCGGCACAACCAGCATGAGAATCACAGGAACGGTGAGGAGTAGCTGCAACAACCATGTCCAGCGTGGCATCCCACCACTCCAAGCCTGCTCGTGTGCATACACGTTAGGGTCTTTCTCTTCTTCTTCGTCTAGCTCATGCGATGTGCGATCTGCCCCAACACGGACATAGTTGGCAAAGGTGGTGCGGTGTTGACCATGCAACAACGAAGTTGACTCGGTTGGATCTTCTTCATCATCATCCTGATGCTCATCGCCCGATGCAGCAAGCCGGCTTCCCTGAGTACTAGGTCTTCGTGATTCAACAAGCCGGCCAACGTACTCTGATTTTGTTGGCAGAGAGAACAGTTCCAGATAAGAGATCCAGGTGGCCAAAAAGGTTCCAGCAAAGTAAAAGAACATGAAATAGCTACCAGCGAGCCCTTCCTCGTGTTCATAAACGGTGGCAACCACCATGAAAGACCAAGTGAGGACAAACATCCAGGTCCAGGTATAGACACGATGAAAGGCTGATGGCCGTGCGAAATCAGCCACACGCGATACGAACCATGCTAAGAAGACCCAGGCTGAGATCATCATACTCCATACAGCGTATGAGCTGCTATGGGCAATGAGAGGATTGACCTTGGTCACCATGTAAGCTAATCCGACAGTCACTGCTGTAGGAATGGAGATCAAAAACGGAAACCGGAAGAATCCACGCCATCCACGCAACGGGATGCTATCGTCATCGATCTCGGAGTAAACAGATGAACGGAACAGATACATCTTATCGGCCTTAGATAGAATGACACTGGTCACAAGCAATGTCAATGGCGCCACGATGAGCAGAGTAACAGACAATGCAAAGAGCGTGTGCAGACGGAACACAGCAAAGGCGCTCCCGAAGAGATCGAACCAAACGGCTCGAGTCCCTGAGCCGCTGGGCACAGTTCCATCGTCGCGGAGATGTCCGTCAAACCGATCACTGGTGTCAGAAACAAGGTCCTCGGTAGTGGCAACAGCAGCAGAGACCATGTGCCAAAGAGAGTCCTTACTGGTGTGTCGGGCATCATCCTGGTCAGTATGATAACGAGCTCTGGGTTCAAAGAAAGCGACATCCAGTCCGCGCAAGCCCAGAATACCATCTAGAACAACATAATCGGTCTGACTGCTAACGAGACCCTTGTCAAAACCGTTGGCGCTCAGAACTGAGCCGAAGGGGTACGGGGACTTCGCATACGCCTGGGTGACCTCCGTATCCGAGCTACGGAACAACGTTGCGCGACCACCGGCACCCGCGCCCTCCAAGTTCAGAAATGTGTGCGCAAATTTCGCCATCGGGTGCTGACTGTATACGCGCGCGCCGTTCAAATAGTCCTCTTCGCCATTATTGAAAAGAACCACCAGTCCGCGGCGCGGCGCATGGCCGGGTGTCAGGAAGTATTTCACCAACTGCAGACATGTCACAACACCGACACCATCGTCTGTCGCTCCGTAACCAGTCGACACACTGTCATAATGCGCGTTGACCAGTACTCCTCCCTTGCCAACGGGCGCTTGGTCGGGAGTCTCCCACCAATTCTGTTTCGTATCTTCTGAACCACGGATATAGACGAGGATATTGGTGCCTTCGAAGTAGACGCCGACATTTTTATCAATTGACGTCAGATTAGACACCAAGTCATCGAAGACAAAGACATCGGGCTTCTCCTGCTTTGCGTCGCGAAATTCGTCGGCGGATGGAGCGGACTGCTTGATCGCGTCGATACGTTCGATCAGCCACGAGTGGACCTCATCGTTCTGGTGCGAGTTGTAGGGGTGGAACCCTTTTGTCAGGCTTTGGAGATCATGCCATGCTTCCGTGAGGTCCAGGCCGTTGGGACTCGTTCGGGGCGCGGATGGGACGTTGTGGTAAATCACCAATAATGGGATGATCAGAGCGAGGTACACGGCCGTGGTAATGATGGTTACTGGCCATGGCGTGAATGCCAGAGGGTTACTGGCTTTGTAGGAAGCCATCACCCTATGCTTTCGAGGCCGAGAGGGAAGGGGTGGAGTGGAGGTTGGAGTTGGAGTCAAATTTAAAGCAAATGCGGGGGTAGGTAGTTCGTGGTATCGTCATTACGGTAACTTGTGACATCTGTGGCACATGTGCAGATCCGCTTGCATGCGATGTACTGGCTACACTACCACAACGCCAGTCCTTGAATTGCATGCAAAATAGGTATACATAAAACAATAGAATGGCTTAAATTCTATGCAGTTCCTGACAAAAATAATGATCCAAGTCTGTGATCGCTAACGTACTAATGCAATTCCCACAATAACATAGAAGAATAAAGTCATATTCGCTCACATGGGTAGAAATATGGCTGCCTGTTTGGTCCAGCGAGCGATCGCAGATAGGGAAACAGGGGTTTGAATAGAAGGAGGAAATGCGATGGTTTGAGCTCACTCTCGACCGCAAAGAAAGGGGGTATCGTATCAAGTATTCAAAGGCCCAATGTCGATATAATCATCATCTCCGTCATTGATGACCGTTGCATTCATCAGCCCAGTCATCTGGCCCTCATCTTCATCCAGTTCTTCGTCGTCATCGTACATCGTGGCTTCGCCGCCTGGGAACGTGGGTTCGCTTCGGTTCAAATGGTCCCGAAGTCGATTGACACCATCACCGCTGAACACACAGAAAACATCCCGCTGTTGTTGCGTGAACTCGGGAGGGGCTTCTCGACAAAATGCAGTGAGAGTCTCGTCGAGGAATGGTTGGACACCAGTCAAACTCAAATGTGTCAGGCGTGGGCAGTTGTTCAGCAAAGCGTGTATACCCTAAGCCGTAAAGTTAGTGATTCCTATCATTCATACAAAATTCTCGACTATAACATACCTCCTTTCTCAGCTGAACGCAATAGCTCAGGTGGACTCGCTCTAAACTGCTAACCGAAGGGTGATGGCTCATCTTGGGCCGTGCCAAGGCCAGTATACTGCGATCGGTGATGGCCTGGCATTTGACTAATCCAATTCTTCGCAGCTTAGGCAGGGTTGCCAATTGTTGGACACTACGGTCCGTCAATAGGTTGCAGCAGGCCAGGTCAATATACCGTATACGGTTACAGGACTTGACCAAGCTCATCACAGCCGAATCTGAGATGTTGGAACAGTGGCCTAGGTGAACATAGTGGAGGTTCTTTCCGAGTTTGCAAATGGCCATCACAGATCGGTCTGTGATAAATCGGCATTTAGCCAATACCAGATTGCGCAGGCGAGGAGCTGCATGCACGATTTTTTCTACTGAATCATCCCTGACATTCTCACATGCCGTAAGATCGAGGATGCGAAGGCTGTCAAAGGTCATATGGGGGGAAGCAAGATGAAAGCTGAGTCGTCGATTTCAGTGCAATGTGCGAGTCGCAATTCTCGGAGGTGTTTCAATGTCGTGAGTAATGGAGTCACTGACTTGCTGGTGATAAGTTTACAGTCGTGCAAATCGATCTCCAGGATAGATGGGCAGTTCGCTGCAAAAGAGTGAATCGACCTGTCTGAGACATTGAGAACTCCATTAAGTTTCAACTGTGATGCAATTAGCACTTGATTACCATTCAAAATATGACATATGGCCCACGTACTCTCTTGATTTGGCGGCACTGTTGTGCTACCACGAGCAAAGCCTCGTCGGTGACTTTTGAACACCCTGTGATATTCAGACCTTGTAAACGAGGACAGTCTCTAGACACCGTCGCAAGGGTATGATCTGTGAGGTGTCGCAATTCTGAAACATCCAACGCCTGCAAATGCCGGTTCCCTTCCACCAGGTCCGACACACCCTTATCTGTCAGGTTCTTGCAGCCAGTTAATGTCAACCGCTCGATTCGCTTGCACTGGTTGAAAGACAAAATAGTGCCATCGCTGACTTCGTCCGAAAGGGCAGACAGATTTAGTCTCTTGATAAGGTCTGCATAGTTGAAAAGACTGTCTGGCTTTCCTAATGACGTAGTCACGCTTCCAACATTGCTCCAGGTGTTGCAAGTTGGCCGATGCCATAGTATTCCCACAGAGTTCGCAGCCCATGCACGACAAACCAGCATAGAATTGAGCATGTCGGAGGGCGCAGCCAGTTTCGAGAAGATTGCAATTAGGATCTCGGGTGGGAGGCGGCCGATCGGCGATAGTGGCATGGAGCGTACATTTGAAGGATGGGAATCGCGGAAATTGGCCACACCTATGGATGACTGCGAATCATTGGCCTGGGCCATGAAGAAATCGGTGTCATCATCGGCGGCACGTTCTGGCGAAGTTGACCCCGAGGTTTCAGAAGGGGCTGCACTTGAGCACCGACCGGCTTCTCGTGGGCGAGGCATTCTAGCCACCGAATACGATTCAATTTCTTGGGTTCGTTTTGGTATATTTTTGGGGTGTCTGTATGGTTGAAACCTCATAAGTTCATGAAGGAAATCTGCGAGAACGGTCGGTGCATGAAAGACTGGGACAGGCAAGTCCGGTCCACAGGTGCAGCCAGCCCTTGGTCAACCAACAGTCCTAATACCTTGCTTCCTCTGAGGCTGGGAGGAAAATGTATTCCTCCGAAGATATTTGCAGGCGCACGAGGTGAGGATGTAAGCGTGATTGGGCGTGACTTGGCCGTGCGTAGTTGGAAGGAAGAAAAAGAGGGCTGACGTTCAGAATATAGTCGAACCGACAATCCAGATCATGACCCTCAAGCACCCCTTAGGTCAGATGCAAATGCGTGATCAAGAAGGCAATGCAAGTGAATGTGAAGGGATAAAGGCAATGGAGGGGGAAGATGAGGCAATGGGGCCGGGTTTCACTGTCCTGCGGAGTCCGTGCCAAGCACTGCTTATCACTCGATAAGATGGAGGGTCCAGCGCAGATTGTATACACTTGAAGATATAGAAGACTTGGGATCCTTCGTCCAAAAAAAAAATAAACGATATAACGCCAAGTTGAAAGAGCCTTGAGAATGAAGTGATAACCCCACTAGAGTCACCGAGGTCGCTGGATACAACGTGTGACCTCGTGGTTGATCTACGATCGATCTACTCCGTACGGGAAACGGAAATACTGCGCATCTGACCTCATTGGAATGTAGGGAAGTTGCCTATTTTCTTCGAGTATCTCTATGAATTCAGATCTATTCATATACTTAGTTAGACATATATTTGGTCTTATAATTTTATCTAAGTTTCTTTCACGCCCTTCACCCAGTCACGCAAAACATTCTTCCGAATTTTGCCAGTGCTGGTCTTGGGAAGTTCAGGAACAACCTCGACTTCTCGAGGGATCATGAACTTGCTGATTCCGCTGGCATTCCGAGCCCAGCTGATCACATCTGATCCTTCGAGGCTCTTGCCCTCTTTCACCGTGACAAAGGCTTTGGGACGTTCGCCCCAATGAGAATCAGGAACGGAAACAACTCCAGCTTCCAAAATGTCAGGATGCGTGGCCAGCATAGCCTCAAGTGCTACAGAGGAAATATTTTCGCCACCTATGAATCATTAGCGAATAGTTCTTTGGTGTTCTAGTAGTTGAGCTCCACGCCTCACGTACCACTGATGATGATATCCTTCGCGCGATCAAGAATCTGAATTGCACCATCAGGATGCCAAACCGCCAGGTCCCCAGAGTGCAAAACTCCTCCTGCAAAGAGTTTCCGGGTTGCCTCAGGATCCTTGTAATATCCCCGGGCGCAGATGTTTCCAACGAAAGTGATCTCACCAATCTCCTTGCCATCCTTGGAAACGTTGGTAATAGTACCTTCGGGCACTTCAGTCTTGATAACTCGCGCAGGAAGACTTGTAATGAAACCGTGGCCTTGGCGGGCCATCTTCTGGTATTTTTCCTTGATGGGCAAGGCATTCCATTCTGGCAGGAGGTATCCTTTGGTGATCGGGCCGTACGATTCTGTCATTCCATAAACATGTACAGGATGCAAGTTGAGATCGGTCATTTGTTCGAAGAGATGAGGTGTAGGCGGGCTTGCTGCCACTGTGACGTGGACAGGCTGAGGTAGCTTCTCGGCCTCCTTTGCGTTGCAGAGTAAAGTGTTCACAGTTGGTGCGGCGTTGAAGTGGGTGATATGCTCCTCTTTCAGCAATCTCCAAATTTCGGGGTAATCGATCTTGCGTAGACAATAATGGGTTCCACGAACAGCTGTCACGCCCCATGGGTATGTCCAACCTGGATGTGTAGAAATATGTGTTAGTTGCGGAGATCAATACGAAGATCTTCAAATAAAGAAGGTGCACAAACCCATAGCGTGGAACATGGGTAGCGTCCACAGGTAACGGGCACGTCCGGTTTGGTAGTTTATACCAGACTCAATGATATTGCCCAATGTTGCCAGATAGCAACCCCGGTGGGTGAACTCAACACCCTTAGGACGGGCTGTAGTCCCGCTGGTATATGCCAATGCAAGGATGTTATCTTCATCGGCAACTTGACTCTCAAGTCCTCCCCAGCCTTGTGCGCCTGTTTCCAGATCTTGCCTGAGGCCTTCCAATACAGCCTCGTCAAAGGGGCCCGTCAGCTCACCCTCGGTTGCATCAGTATCGGTATCTATAATGATAGGGATGTGGGGGTGCTCGGAGCGATAGATTTCCAGAAGTGGGACGAATTCCTCATCAACGATGATCACGTCCACATCAGCATGGTCAAAAATATAAGCAATATCTTCTTGCTTCAAACGGTAGTTGACAGCTAAAGATATGTTAGGCCTGTGTGATCCCTCTCGTCGGAACATAATGGGATATCTTACCGACGTTGATGGCGCCAGCTGCGGCGATTCCAAAGATCGACTCGAGGAACCCTGGGGTATTTGGACAGAGGATGCCTACTCTGCCGAAGCCGTGTTTCTTCAGGTAATAAGCCAAGCCTCTTGCCCGGTCTGCAAGTTCACCATAACTCCTGCGGAGGATCTTGTTATTGGCAGTTACATGGTAGACAGCCTCGGCCTTGGTAATTCCATGTTAGACAATTGCAGCACAACCAATTCTTTGCAGAGGGCTTACATTGGGCTCAATTTCTGCCGCACGAGGCAGGAAGAAGGTGGGAGATAGTGTATGGTTATTGAAGCGATGTTCAAACGGCGGTGGTGAAGTATTGAAATGGCCGAGCAGGCCGGACAGCCGAGTCTTTACCCCAGACATGCTACGCGAAGGTGGATCGGTGCACCAAAGTCTGTTGTATGTTACAGCTCAAAGATCGGTCGAATTGGGAATATGAAGAGGTGCAAAGATGGGGAGATTCAAGAAGATAAAAAGGGACAGAAAAAAAGAAGAGAAAAAGCGACACCAAGTTGGAGAAAATGCGGGGATGGGATTCCGCAGGCAATGCGATTAACCTAGGCTATGCTACCGGATCCTGAGCGGGGAGCGGGGGATAGTTCGGTTAATCGCCTTGAGAGGCTCCGGACTAATGGATTGTTATGGCTTCAATTTCGGATAATGATCTGCGGCTATGTTCGCTTCAATGGATGATGGATTGGTAGCTGTGGGGACACACAGCAGTGGATAACCCCGGAAATGCCGACGACATCCAATTTGCTGGCCAAATCATGTAGTATTTATTTCAGAGAATCCTCCTGTTCCTGCAGGGGCAGTTCAACGGACGGGTAACATGCCAGATCAATTGATGGTGATCATGTACTCCGTACTCCGTCCTCCGTACCCCGAGGTACATTATGTATGAATGTGGTAGGGAAGGGCTGCCCTATGTCCCAAGGTACCTCTAGGGAGGAGTGCATCCTCCGGTATTGGTGCCGGGGCACAAAATATAAGCCTGTGCGTTACTACATATGCACATTACACTCTCTTGCCATCTCCGAGGGAAACGCCCGTCTTGCATTAACCTACGCCTCAGGTTCAGATCAAAATAACAGTAACTTATACAGTATTCTACAATAGCAATTGCTGTCCAGGTACCATCGACAAGGTACATATACCACATGGTAATTAGAGTACGAACCACTAAAATATGCGGTTCTCGGGATTTCTTTCCCTCCGAATTGACAAGAGAGTCTATGTGTACAATTGAGATGAATTACGGGATTTACGGAATTTACGGGAAAGAACCATTGAAGGTACAAGTCAAAGTATTTTTGATCATAAGAATCATGTTGAACTCTTGAAAATTGTTTCTTGGATTAAACCGCCACGGCGCGAGTCAACGGCCAGCTATTTTGAACCTTTAATCCCAATCGACTCCGTTTTTCTCGACTTTTGAAGATTCTAACCCCAGTCCCCGAGCCATCATGTGCGTCACAGACAGTGGTATTCATGAGTTAGAGGACCGGGCCGCAGAAGAAGTTCGGTCGGCTTGTCGTTCAAATTCGCTGAAAGAAAACCGTCCGCGATCCCATCCCAGAACCATCGCTCGACACAACAACCAGCCGCGCTAAAGGTATCTAGTAACCATACTGAGCAAGCTGGGTCTTGGTCTTGCTGTCCACATTCGCTCCCTGCTCGGCCTTGACAAGGTTGCGACGAGCGGCCTTCTTGCGCTCGTAGTAAGCCTTGCTCTTGACCTTCCGACGCTCCTCGAGTCTGTAAATTGAATGTTAGAATTTGTTGGCCCAGAATAATGACACTCAAATGAGAGATCAGGGCTAATACATACCGGGAAACAACATCCTGGTACTTCCAGCCAACCTCGTGGCTGAGACGGCCAACGGTGCAGTACTTGCGGCCGGGGCGCAGGCGCAGGATACGGAGAGCCTGGGGGACAACGACACGCTTCTTCTTGTCGTAGGGAGGGGGACACCCTCGAAGACCTTAAGGCGCTCCAGAGCGGCGGCACCACGGGGGGTCTTGTGGGGAATCATGCCGCGGATAGCCTTGTAGAGAATGCGGGAAGGAGCGCGGAAGTGGAAGGGACCACCACGGGTGGGGTTGAAGCGAGTCATCTTGCGAAGGTAGGCGTGGTACTTGACTGTATGGCGGAATTTCGAGTCAGCATTATGTTTCCCAGTGCATTTTCCTCCAAAACGGTCCAACTGCCACTCAAATCTGCCAACGATTTCGGTTTGCGGGGTTCGTCGATTGTTGCTTTCCTCCACATATTTGATTCACGCAGTTTCCAAACATAATGCAAAACGAGAAGAGAATATTCGAGAAGGGGTTGAACGTACGCTTCGCGCGGAAGAACTCGCCGGAGATGTTGAGGGCCTCACATCTCACAACGACGATCTTCTGACCGTTGAGCAGCTGCTTGGCGACAGTGCTGGCCAGACGACCGAGGAGGTGTCCTTTGCCGTCGATGACGACCTATTTCCAGACAGTTGAAGTCAGTCACAGATTCGGGATAGATAATTCGGCGAGAGTTGCGGCACTCAAGTTGTCGGGTATAAAAACGCACCACTGGTTCAAAAGAGGACATCCTGGTGATCTAATGTCCCGGGGGATGGTGTTGTCGGCGGTGATTGTCGTGGGTGTCAAGTCGACGCACACAACGAAGTCGGATGGCTCGATGAAACTGGGCTAAGCGAGGGTCCGTCCACTTTGTGTTAGTGGCGAGGGTCGCAGCCCTAAGCCTGACCAATCACAGGTACCCAAGATCACGTGCTTTCTCTCCCCGGCTCCGCCCGGTATCATCTTATATAATAATTTTATCTGTCTCTGTGCGACTTGGTGGCTCCCCTGTTCGTTGTGCCGTTAGGGCATTTGCTTAGGGCTGAGATACTACTCTTGTGTGTTCTAGAAGTTGAGTCTAAGATCGACTGATTATCTCCAAAGTTGAACCAAAATGGTAGGCTGAAGGCTTTGATATAATTCCAAAGTTAATGTAAGCTTGTCATATTAGGAATATATACCGCCATTTCCGACCTTTCCATGATTTTTATGTAGTCTTGTTCGTCGTAAACATCCTTATCGTTCTCTTCTCCATTCGATTGCCCAGATCATAGATCTGGGCAAATATTGGGTCCGATGACTAATAACATGGAAGGTCCCCCAGATGTCCGAGACCGGGTCCCAAGGTGATTGTTTTTCCCCCAAGTTGCAACTCACAGAATCAAGGTCGAAAGCCCCCTCTGGACTTCACTTCCAACTTGAATCCTTTGCGCGCGTTACCTGCGCCGAGCATCGATTCGAGATCCCAAATTGACTCAACTCCAGCAATATATCTTGATACATATTCGGGACATGCAACGAAAGACGCGTTTTGTCTGCGTATCCGACACACATGGGTATACGCCATCTGAAGCAGGCTTCAAGCTCCCAGCCGGGGATGTCCTGATTCATGCAGGCGATTTGACTAACAATGGGAGCCTAAAAGAGCTCCGCAGGACAATGGACTGGATATCCAAAGCCGACTTTGAAATCAAGATCATAGTTGGTGGTCAGTCTCTCCACTTACGGTCCACACGCCCATTCATACTTGGTTTAATCATGGACAATAATGAAAATGACCCATGCATATCTGCATTGCTTATCAAAAATACACCATTTCACTCGCATGAAATGGTCGATGCAAAATCCCTAACTTCTTGAACAGGCAACCACGACGTCACATTGGACCCAGCGTTCTATAGCAAGCACGGACAAAGCTTTCACGGCCAGCAACTCGAAGATCCACAGCATTGCCTAGAACTTATCAAGGAGTCCCCCTCGGTTGTTCTGCTTAACCACGAGCCCGCTCTAGTTTGTTTGACGCGAGCGGACGGACCAAATACGGTATTCAAAATCTTCGGATCCCCATACTCGCAGTTCCATGGAAACTGGGCGTTTGGATACGAGCAAAGTAATGCTGCTGAGCTTTGGAGCCAAATACCACTCGATACAGACATCATCGTTACGCATACACCACCACAATCTCACTGCGACCAGAAACCGGACGGCACGTTCGTTGGGTGTGAGGCGCTTCGCAGTGCATTGAGCCTCATCAGGCCGCATTTAGTTGTTTGCGGTCATGTGCATGAGGGACGAGGGTGCGAACGCGTTCGCTGGCGAGGCGAACTTGCCAATATAGAGACCGACGCAGAAATACAGACAAATTTTAACTCAGTTTACCGCATTACCCGAAGCACTCTGCCACCTGTGGGCAGCAAAAAACAGAGTCTGATAGATCTGACTGGCAAACGGAATGAACGATTAGACAATGAGGGATTTTCGCGCCCTGATCAAAAACAGTCTGATCTGCCAGTGACAGGACTGATGGCCTCAGCCTCGGCAGGGCTAGAGTCACCCGCAGGGGCTTCTCAAAAGACATGTCCACGAAATTTCCCGAGCACCCATCCGTCCCCGGGTGCGGGTAGCCCTGGCTTCGGTACCCGCGATTTCCATTTCGCCTCGCAAACGCTCAGAAAGGAGACCTGCATTGTCAACGCCGCTGTTGTGGCCACTAGTTGGCCGCACCAGGGGGCAAACGATTCAACTCGCCGATTGTGGTGGATCTTGAGCTTCCTGTGTGGCAGGACAGCCACGCGGTTGCGAGCGGGTGATTTCCAATGTGTCTGACCCTCGGTCATTTCCCGTGGATTTAAGCAAGTTCCTCCGTCCGGAGTAAAGAGCGTGCATTTTATTCCGACGGGCGAATCGATCGAAATGGCAATCGTCGTTTTGCTTTGGCCCTTCATCGTACATGGTGGCTTGACGCCAAATTCTACCTTCTCCTTGGGATATACATCGTGCCTTGTACAGTGACCTTGTGGGCTTTGGCCCTGTTGACGCCGGTGGTTGGGTGCCTCAATGCTTCATGACTTCAACATTGGTCGGTTAATAAGTGAATGCGCGATCCTAGTGCCGTCAGACTGTCTATCCTTACATCATCCGTTAAGCTGTGCGCTGTAGTGGATGGTGAGAATTCCATCAGACTGGCTAGGGTTCTCCGAGCGATGCAACTCGAGCATAAGCTCTTACGGGAGAGTATGCAGATACTAGGACATTCAAATCTTACGTAGATCAATAGAACGATGAAAGACGAAAGGAAGCAATTAGTCCAGAAATCGCGCTCGTCTCAAACAGACCAAACTGTTCGTCTCCGAAACCGGGACTCCCCTCCCGCTCTGTCTCGTATCTACCCCGCATGCAATGCACCATCTATCCACCCTCATCTGGGCGATCACAATCACATCGACACGCGCCTGTGATATCACAATCTTGAGTTCTTGATTCTTAAAGTTCCAACTGATTGTTTCCAGGCACTACACAAGTCATCTGCAACGGGGATCTTCCCCTCAAACTCAAAACCATCCAGAACCTGTAGCGCTTCCAAACGGCCGCTCAGTGGATAGCACAAGTCCGAGCTGCAAAGCACAGGAGCACAAGAATCTGAGCCAGCCAATGCCTAGCTCCTCCCACCCTCTTCCTGAGATCCGACGTGACCATGCGAGGCCGATCATGTACTCAATCAACGATGGGATTTCATATTTTGTTGCGTCTACGGAGTACTAATTTTTAGTTTCCTCTTGTCAGCAGGGATTTGGCGCTGGGACACACCCTCGTGGAAAACACATGTCTCTTGCAGAGTTTGCTGCTTACTCCGTAGTCTGGTATCCTCTTTTCTAGAAAGCGTTTGGTGGCTGGGCAGCAAGGCCTGGCCACGCTACGGATTACTCCGTACTACTCCGTACTCCGTACGGAGTACTTCGTACAGCATAAGTACGATGCAATAGTAAGGCCTATTATTACATGAGGTAATACTAGACATCATTACTGCAAACAACCTGCATTGCGTCTACAATTCTGTTCCCGGATAGGTAGTAAACCTGTAACCGCGTCAAGCCAGCCACGGCATATAGCGTACGCTTCATAGGTCCTACTCGACGTATCTGGACAGGGTAGCTTGCTTATTAGACTCCTTGACCTGTTTCAATTTTTGTCATTATGACTATGGCTACACTACTCCGTCCACACGCCCATGATCGTTTGGCTGCCAACGACCAATCCCGAATTCACCGGCCCTAGCGGGGTTCCGTGACAGTCCAGGAAGAGGGGTATTCCTTGATCATGGTTTAAGCGTATAAGGTTGCAATCTATGTTTCGGCATGGAAGGGCCTTGTGTGACCCCCAGGGCACTGCTGATGGGACCGGAGGATTATGGATTCGGCTGGTGCAGTCGGGTTGCAAAGATCAGCCGGTGGTCCAACGTTGCTTCTGGCGGCAAATCAATCACCCCAGAAAAGTATACTGCGATCACTATCACACACGATCCTGTCAACTGACAGGAGCGACAAACGCAAGGACTAGAGAGTCAGGCTATGTTTTGGGGCGAAAATATGAATGGCTCGTCAGCATCGTCGCCTTAATTTTGGGAATCACGGATCGCCTTAACAGTGATTCGAGGTATACATGACGTCTGATGTACAGCATGGTTCAACCGTGACTGTTTAGGCAATGGTAATAGTAAGATAAGGGTAATGCTGACACGGCGTCAAATTCTCTCGGCACTTGTACGCTTCTCATGCGTTTGTCATGATCGAGGCTGGCACACGCATCAGCTCCCGTTGAGCACCGGTCTGAATATTCCTACGCCGCGCGGACCGCAGTACTGGGTCCAGATGACATCAAAGTCACCAATGGCAGGCCCGGCCGTCGACAACAGTTTCATCCAGGGTCTACAGCACTTGTCTCATAGTCTCACCGTTAGGCAATATTGTTAGGTGGGGTGTGTTTATCAAAGACACGTAGAATGGGGCTGGTGTGGAACAAGTGCCAGTTGTTTGGCGTTGGAGAATTGGGTGTGAACCAATGCCTGAAAGGTCTAAAACGGGTAATCTTGGCCCAGGTATTTGAGTAATATTGCCGGGAGAACTGCATTCCAATACATGGAGAATCAAGGCGAGAATCCAATATTGAATATTGCAACACGATGCTATGTCGTCCAGTGTGTCCAATATAGGAATACATTCAGGCTATATATAGATCTACCCAGGTGTTCTTCAAAGAAAATAAAGAAAATAAGGCCCACGGAACCTTTCGGGAGGACGGAGGGTTTACCGTGGGTGAAGTCAGGTACATGCATACCGGTGTTCTTACATACCCTCCCTGGGGCACCTGGAATACCACCCAATTTAACGTTCCTGGGTTAATAAACGAGTTAGATCTGGGGGCGTGTACCTCGGACAGGGCGAAAAATTTGGAAAGAAATAGAAGAGAAAACAGCGAGATACCTTGTGAGGCGACCGAACTTAAAAAGAACCATACCCACCTCCGCTTGGATTGGCGGAAAGTCGGGGAGGCATATTAGCTGCAGGAGAGGACTACTGAATCGAGCATGCTACAGGAAAAAAGTAAAGATGGGCGAGATGACGATTCTGAGAGGGGGCGACCTGATCCCCTTGGAAGGGGTGTCCTCGTGTTATTGATCGCCCCACCGGGAGTAGACAAAATGCTCGAGCGAGGCATGATTGGCAGATGAGGCCAACAAATCAAAAGACGTGCTCAGGCCAATAACTATCGGTGAAAGTGATCAGTCCTGGGGAAATGGGTTTTAAATGAGAATAACCTGGGAGGGGTTATTAGGTTGGGCATATGCCTTCGAATAAGACGTTCTTTGTGTTCAGATCATTCTATGTCTCTATGTTTCTATGTCTCAATTCTATTCCATACATGTGTATTAAACTCCTACGTTGCCTTTCACGTTGTGGCGCTGTCCATTTCTCGCCCCTGGGATTATTTTCGGTTGGGTCGGGGGGTGTAGGAGAACGTCTCGACAGCTGATTCATTGTCCCATCCGTGTCCTTTTTGGGGTCTCTCTCTGGCCTCTTAGAGGTCTACTCCGTACTTTACGGTAACCCGGCCACATTGTTGACAATTCTCTTCTCTTTGCATTGCAAATCATCTCCAGTTCATTCTGGATCGGTGTGGAATCTTTGCTACGTCAACAGTTGTTTTTGACATTCCATATACGGCTCCACCGCCTCTTCCCCCTCTCACCTCCTTCTCTCTTCCTTCACCCATTCAATTCACTTTAGGGAATCCATTGAATATTTCCCGCAATGTCATCAACACCAGATATAGACCCATATGCTGCACTCGGGGTTTCCAAAGAGGCCACCATCCCTGAAATCAGAGCCGCCCATCGAAAGCGGGTTCTCAAGTGCCATCCGGACAAGATTCAAGATGAGTCGCAGCGGATTGCTGCCCAAGATGAATTCCAGAAAGTCCAACAGGCCTACGAACTGCTCTCAGACGATGCCCGACGAGCCAAATATGATGCGAAAGCCAGGATTGCCGAGTTAAAGCGCGAAATCTTAGAACGCAAACGGTCAGACCCTTCGTACGCCTCTCCGCGCGGTAGTGCATCCAGCAATCGCGAATACCGCAATGGTCATATTGTGGAAGAAAGAGTCCCCTTGGATGCCTTCTTTGAGGAAAAGATGCGATTCACAGACGAGCCACGCTCAATGTCTCGCAAATTTGACGAATTTGGCGTGCGTCCAAAGCCGAAAGCAGCGGAAGAGAAAGACAAGAAGAGGGACCGCACACCGTTAAGCACCTATCACCAAGCGAAGGAACTGCGGGAAACAGCCAAGGCGACAGCCAAGGCGTCACATTCTGACCGTGCCAAGGTGCGCGATCAGGAGCGACGACGACAAGCCGAGGCAAAGTACGACACGTTTGAATCATATGCCGAAACCGATGAGGCCTCTGATTCCAGTGTGCCCCGCGATATTTACACGAAACGAAGCGCGACACCTCGCCGAGAGCGCGATTCGCGATCTCGACCTTCGGAAGCCTCTCGTCGCCGTCACGGCCGCTACGAGGAAGAAGGCGCTTCGTCCGATCCCTTGCAGTCCAAGTTCGATAATCAGTTCTTCAAGGCAGAAGATTATATTGCGTCCAAAGCTCGGACTTCTAGGTCTCCACGCCAATACCGTGGTTACGACTCGACTGAACCAGAATCATCCAGCTCGCGATCTTCGGGTCGGTCTACCCGAACCCGGCGTCGTTCTTCGTCGCGCGACAGATCCTACGAGCACATAGAATCACCCCGGACCTATGAAGCCAAGCCTCCCAAGATGCAACCCTCCGCAACTTCCCCAGGCATCAGGGAATCTCTCCGTCCTTCTTTCCTCAGCACTCGCTCCGCAACCACCTCTGGCTTCAGCCGCCCCAAGCGGGAAAGTCGCGAGCCAACTCTCTATGAAATGACCCAAGATCCAATCCCATCGCGAACTTACAAAATGCGCGAACGCAACGACTCGGGTTACTCCAGCCCTGGCACCCCCGAAATGCTTCCCAAAAGCAGTTCCGCCAAGACATCAACGCGCTATAAGATCGTCACGGAACCCGATCATATTGTGGTCGAGCCCAAGGCATCAAAGCACCGTTCTTCAAGATCTCCTGATCGGGATCGCATCTCCTCAAGACAGCCACTCAAGAGGAGTACTACCTTCCAGAATTACACCATGGAAGCCTCACCTCGCATCGAGACTCGGTCAGCGCGCCCTTCTCGTCATCCGGACGTTGAATACATTATCCGCCCGAAGGAGAAGGACGTCACGTACTCTAAGACGTACAAGGAAGAAGATGTCAGTAGACGTCCTCATTACATATGTGAGGAGGATCTCCGTCCCCCAAGGCGCCAGTCCGCCTATGCCTATTAATTCTATCATGCAACCATGAAAACCACGAAAGATGATCAACTACGACAAATGACCCAATTTGTTTTTTTTTTCCATTTTAATTTGCACTTTCTGCTTTTTCTATTCTTTTTCTCGATCTTATGGAGTCGGGGCGTCTTCAATCATCTGCCTGTCGCATTTTCATTTTTTTTTCTTCATTACTTCTTGTTCATATATCTGCTGCCCCCAAACAGCGCCTTTACAGCGAAGAACTCGTCTCTCTCGTGAATGACAATTCATTCGAGTTGTTTGATATTCTAAGAGAGAGATCAAGCGAGTTCTTCCATTCCCAACTGGGCCATGCATGTTACACGTGCCTTCTGCATTTCCATTGCCTATTCCATTGAGCATTGGGCTTTCTTTCGGGACCTGTTTGAAATTGTGTCACCTGGCCTGAGTACGCCCACGCAGCCGGGGTGCATCTTTGTCACTACCGGCGCATCAGGGCGGATATGGGGTCCGGATGGTGTATTGCATCTGCCTTGCCTTAATCCTGCACATGTGGCGTATGAAGTTACCTGGCTCTTGCTTGTTTCCTTGCTTCATTTCTTTCAAGGTCTGTCTTTTTCCTTCTTTTTTCTTCTGTTTTTTCGCCTTTTTTTACACTTGTTCCCTCCCGGGCTATACCACTAGATACCCCGTGGACTACTTTGCTGGTCAGATCCAATTAACGACTTATGCTCTTCGGTATGACATGATAGATATTCCAATATACTGGCTCTTTGTTTCAGCTTCTTTGTTCCTTACTCCGATTCGTGCTGTAAAGCGGATCTGTTGGTTGGGCTGCGTTGGGTTGCAATTTGGGCCACAGAATGCCCACTTCAATTTGTTACGTATGGAGTATTTTGATTGGACTTGCTAAGACTAGATCGATGCATTTGATACTATGGATTTCTTTGAAACGTACTATATTTGGCATATTACGTACCTAGAGTACTGCAATGACTGAATTTGTTGTTGTTCAGATTTGCTTAGCCCTCCCTGCGGACTTTGGACCCTGAATCAGGAGTCAAGGGTTTAGGCTCAATTTGAGATAAAAATGGATGTCTTTCTTAAAGATTTCATGCAGCAGAAAAGCATTAATTCTATTTATCTCCCAGTAGCATCGACCAATAGGCTAAAGCATTCATCATAGGCTCTCATTGTTGAAGCATATCGCGCCACCATTATATCAGCGTTTCTCAGTCTCTTTGGGCCGGAAAAGTCCTGTTAATCCCAATTGCCGAGTTCCATCATCATCAAGAAATGTCTCATCTTCCACATTTAATGTGGCGCTTTGCACTCGGCTTCACATCGTCGGGATGGCCTCTTGTCTCGGCCAGCAGTTCATAAGAACTAGCGAAGGCACCCGGGAGACCTCCAGGAGTACGCGCTATTTTTGGAATTAGACAAGGAAGCAGATTGACTTTGCAGATTCTTCTTCTTTGGGTCTTTGTTCGGTGGCTATAAGCCTGTCTTTGTTGGGTCGAATCTCTATCTCTCTGTTCTCCGCATTTGATGCAGGGTTCAAAGCCACACAAGGCCTTATCAAGAGGATTCGGAGGCAGTAGACATACAAAGAGATGGATTTACTGCTTTTGATCATGAATCGATCCTTTTATTACTCTAACAAAATCTGACTCGACGGATAAAGCCCACAGATTTGGTCGGAAGTTCATGAACTTGGGCTTTGAGACTTCTCATCGAGGACTTTGTATCAGCTTCTGACTTCTTATGGGGTCTCAGGACCGGGTCTCTTGAAGAACAAGGGGAATAGTGAGGAATTAGAGCGAGATGATAGTGAATGCCAGCTGCTTTTGCACCCAGGCACATGTGTGTGTATGGAGAGTCAGGAAGACTCGAGGACGGCATGCGAAAAGGCGGCTCAATAATATAGTCCCCAGAAAATGAAGAGGGTTTGGGGCTAATCTCGAATCTCCTTGAATTCAAGTCGCCAATTGCCTGGAATGCATTATGAGCCTTGATCGTATAGCACGGTATCAAGTCAACGAAAATCAAATCGCGAAGGCAGAACAGATGGTATGCAGCCCATCAATTTGTGCACCTCTCATTTAAAATACTCGTCAAAATCGCATCTTTGATTGCTTTTGTGATCATCTAGTACGTACTCATTGCCTTGCGCGGGGTTTTTCATAGGTAAAGTTAGCGATCCCAGTCATCATGGATGTAGTCAGTGTTCGGAATAATGATAGGCCCAAAGGTTGCCAAAGATGAACAGTGTAGGTGTGTGTACCAGGAATTGCGATGGATACACATTGGTCGGGGAATAGAGCTTGACGATACCGCCGCAAAGATCGCGACAGTACAGGTCTTCCGGTCCGTAGCGTGGTCGTTAGGGTATTTCTATCTGATTGGCATGCGGTTAAGGGCATTCAAGGGGTTTCTATCGCTATCGCCTCCTGGTCCTTCTGAGTTAGACTTTTGTTTCTTGGGCACCTGGGAACGCAGCCGGTGTCTTTGGGATCGGGGTTGGGGGGAGGGGAGGTAGGAGATCGTCGTTCGTCGTTCGTCGTTCGTCGTCGTTCGTCGTCGTTCGCCGTAGTCGATTTGACTCGTCTTAGAAAGTTCAATACAAGTAGTATCTCAATGACTCAATGACTGTGTCTCTTTTTATCGAGAAAGATGGAAGATTTTGATGAGAGACACCAGAGAGACCGAATGCGAAATAAACAGTGGACGGCCCTGAGTACCCAGGCCTACCTTCCACTTTTATCCAAATCGAGGTCAGACTTCCCGAGGTCAAATCATTGCGTCTAGGCTGTTTCCACTGCATACAACCTCAACAGGGCTCGATAGGAGACTAATACTAGGCAGGTCAATATGATATCTTTCCGCTTTCGCCCTTGCTGATGTGACAGTATGTCCAAATCATCCGAACATGGGCATGCACCTTTGGCACTAGTTGTATGTCCATCCCACCAGAAGTGGCCCTCCATCGACTGACTGTTCTCATTCATTCTCGCCCGCTAGTACACCCCAAACCCTACGGAAGCGCATATACACAGTTTTTACTGAGACAATCTCTATCTTCAATGAGCCTCGAGAAACCTCCCGACGTCTACGATCTTGGGACCCAGTCGGAATGTGTACTGTGCACGGACTGTTGTACATACGCCACGATGCGCCACTGTGGGTATCATCCGCAGATCCCCCGCGATTACAGATCTACTACCCGTTAATACGACAGCGGTAAAAGCCGAGGAAGTACAAACCAACCTATGCGTTGGGACTTGGACAACTACTCACTGATGGAACATGACCCCTGGGCGAGAAAGGCGTCTACCAGGTCAGGTTTCAGACTTGTTGGGTACATGTATGTAGATGCAGGATAGGTAGGGAATATTCATAGAAAGAGATAATGAGGACTGATACAGATCTACGATGGAAAAAGAAAAATTCATTTTATTCCTCTATCTAATAATTAAATACATGCTATCAACATGCCTGTTGATGCTCGAGGAATGTCTTCCAGGTACCAAGTACGACCAGGGGGGAACCCTCCGATCATAAAGGCGATGGAATGTTTCCATCTCATCTGTTCAACGCATCGACCACAGAAAACCGACTTCTCTGGACCAAATACAGACAGACAATAAGAACTCCCCATAGAATGAAGGGAAGGTATCAAAACAGCAGAGAAATGGGATGGGGAAATAAAGAGAAGAACAAGAACAGCATCAGCCCAGAACGCCAGACCCGCCAAGCCCACAAGTTTTTGGCCATATCGCTAGTACCGAAGTACATTTTTCTGCGAGGCGGGTGCACTCTAGACTGATGTGTATTAACAAGAAGAAACAAAACAAGAGGAAACAAAACAAAGACCGTACAGTAGGGGGTGGTAGATTGGGATGGTAGATGGGGATGGTAGATGGGAATGGGGATGGGGATGGGGATGAGGAGGGGGAGGGGGAGGGGAGTTGCAGAAGAGAAGAGGAGAAAAGGAGAAAAGAGAGGAGTTGGGGGTATTTATATCCTGGTCCTCTGCCGGTTTGGGATCAGGAAGGCACGACTGTGAGCACTGCTGATGGTGACTTCCCAAAAAGGGAAAGTGCTTTCTATACAAGCCGGAGCCCATTGAGGAATCTCAATCCTTCCGGTGTTGAGAAGCTTTGTGGCCAATCCAACACTTCGGAATGAATGGAAGCCCTTGAGTTAAACTGGAACCTTCCCCATTGTCCCTATTGTTCATGGAATCAATCAAACCAAGATAAAGTCAATCCTGGCGAGTCTTCCTGATAACTCGATTTCCCTCCCATTGTCAAGTCGGAATCAATCCTGCTGTATCTTGAGTGTCCTGGTTGCTCTCCGCCCCTCCATTGAGAGCTATATTCTGGTTTTCATCCCCGCCTTTTTCTCTCCCTTTAATTTGCGTTGTGAACTTGCTGGCCATGACCATGTTTAAAGGTGGATTTTGAGAACCTTCGGGAATATCTTTACCTACATACATTGCCGGTATGATGAATAGCCGGCTACTGAACCTTGGTATTGTATTTGAGGCTTAGATCCTCACCATCGTGGCTGCATCCATGGATATAACTCGACGTCTGTAAAGTTGGTACCCGCTTGGTTACCTTCTCTTCCCGCACTCCCATCTGAGCTGGGCTCTAAGCCACCCTGGTTTGTGCTGCGACCACTTCCTGGTACAGCCACGGGGCTAAGAAGAAAGCTTCCTCGTGAGACTTCGGTCCTCCATCTACGGCCGTGTGGACGCCATTGTTGCTTCTCGTGACCATTTGTGGGTGAGGCAATTCAAACATTTGAGGCGCATACAGACATAGCGGGCTCGTTTCTGTTGATTAAAAGCGTTTACTTCTCTGGAAGCTTCATATAAATCTGCTCATATCTGAGATCATGCTGCGAAGATAGAAGTTGTGGCTCATTAGGTGATATCGTCCTTCTGTTTCAGGTCACATCTCATCTGTCAGGCTGTCCAGTTCTTTCAAATATCGGCTTCAGTGGGAACATATTGAAGGACTTCTTCTCTTTTGCCACTGAATACCTAATCCATGGATAGCTTGGGATACTCGGAATTGTGTTCGGCCCCGAAGAAAGTTGCACTTCGCGTTTTGCAGTAAAGGCTGAAGTCTCACAGACAACTACTTCCCTAACAGATCTCGAGAAAGTTCAGAAATTAAAATACTGCGTTTTCCTTCTTGCGACGAGATAATTAACTTTCTGCGAGTCGGGCGTAAGTTTTGATCTCAATGGCACGATATTTGAAGTTCCATGTGGAAAGTAAGCCAGTTTGCTAGCCGCGGACACGACTAGAGGACCCTGGAACATCCCGCCTACAAATCTCTTCCATTGTTTGCACGCAATACCATGACCCAGACTAGCCGACTTCTGGAGAGGGGAAAGCTTTGTTGGGCACTCAGCACAGGGAGCCACCTGTAAACCATCGAGTGTGCACCATGCTTCCTTTCCGGTTCACAGATAGCTGGATGCACCGAGTCCCTGTTGGTACCGGATCATACTATGCGGAATACCTATTCTGTCAAGCCAAGTACTAGGCCGGGCTTCAAAGATATCAGCTTCTCGTCGTATTAACCGAAGGTTGTGCATGATGAGAAGAAAGAACACTGTGAGATAGATGGTCGAAAGACGACCTTTTACTACATTGGATCAGCTCTGCGTAGTGGTTCACAACTGGAATCAATGTTGCTCGGTTTTTATTCCCCTACACCGAATATATTGCAGGCATGTCGAGGCTATTCATTGACGGGCTTGTGGATAAATCTCTATTTTGAAGATGGCACACAGAAATATATGCAGGAGAGAAATTTGGGCAAGCTGCAAAGAAACCCAATGATTTAGTGCTATTCCCCAAGGCCGTCTCAATGGCCAGAATGAGTTCCTACTCTGTGATAGAGGCGCATCAGCGTCAGATCCCCTTGTAGAGCGTACAGTTGATTAAGTATTGTGGCGGTCTACCTGGTCAAGATGGTATCTATGTATACTTCATTAGAGTTAGGATCATTGTCAAAACACAGTTCCGAGACTAATAATAATAATAATCGAATCTATATACAAGAGCAGAATGAACCCAATGATGGGGTCATATATTAGTAGCAGGCTCCCCGGGTCCCATTCCTTTGCCAATCTATCAAACTCCGCCAACCTCAACCGTATGAAAATGCGTGTCCAATTTAAACCAGGACATAAAGTGCACACATCTAAGCGCCAATCACGGTTAGAATTTTGCATATTGCACATATCAGATATAAACATTAAGGAACTTACCATGGATAGTCCCAAGATCATTGAGAACCAGAAGAATGCGTTCTAGTAAGAATGTCAGTGCAATCCACAATATCTCAGAGTATCCTAAAATAGCTTACATTAAGGGTTGTGCGACCCCGGAAGAAACGAGACTTCTGAATCGCAACAATAGGTAGCTGTAGCATCATAGCGAGGAAGCCGTATCCCCGGAGCTTCTTGGTGATGCAACTCATGACCAGCTCATGGAACACAGAGCTGACCAGAAATGTGATCACCATGGCCACAGGTTGGGAAAAGTTAGACCGGGCGGGGAAATAGACGTGGCGGAAAAGGAAATGGTGAACAGGTACGTTCCATTCGCGAGAGAATTCCATCCTAGATAGAGGGAAGATTGATTAACCAAAGTAACAAGTCACCTATAATTAGAATGCCAACTTACCAGTCGCATGAATTCCACCAGTCTGAATAGAAGTGGCGATCAGCGAATCGGGTTAGCTCTGCAAACGCGCCCAGCACATATTCAAAAATGACGAGGAACACGAGCAGGAAGATGATCATGAAGGGAAAAAGTAGCATGCTGATGGTTTCGGCGAGGACGAGGGCCTTATCCGTAACGTTGGAGACGGCGCGAAGCTGGGAACTGGCCTCTGACAATACAGGAACAATGAATTCCTCGCTAGTTAATGTGAGCAGAAAAATGCAACCAAAGACGGCAGCAGCCTTCCAGCCAATTTCTGACCAGCGTCGCTCTTGACGTCGTGGATACTCTAGCTCATAACAAAGGGTCGGACAAAAGAGGAAGTCGACGTAGTTTCCAACGTGGAGGTTCTGTGGATATGATATGTTGCCTAGTGGGGAGGTCAACTCCGTGGCTAGATCTTCGCGCAGCCTTTCCAATGGCTCCACAGACTGATCTTCATTAGACTGCTTCAGTGACGGTCGATGTCTGTGTATCTCCGGGTAATGAATGGCAGCCGCGGAATCGGTGGACTTGTGGTCCGGTTTGTCGAGGGAAGAAAGACGGATCTCGGTCTCGCTAAGATGGCCATTGTAGAAGGCGTATGAGTGGAGTTTCATTAAAATGGTCAAGGTGTGCAGCGTGAAGAACACCTGCGCAGTCCAAGTCCATTGCATCATGAAGGGCCAGCTTAGTTGCCATGTCAGCACTCCTAATCCCAATATCTAAACAAGCTGTCAACTTACTTGATCCACAGGACCAACCAAAAGGCTTCAGCCAGACTCTGCAGAATCATACCCCCGCGCGACCATCGCAGCCATTGTGGACCACTTCGCCAAAGCCGGTGCATAGGTAGGACGAGTCCGGAGCTCATCACCATGGCTGCATCACTGAGTCCCATCCCCCATACATTGGCTGTCAAGAGACTCCAAACACGCACTTGCAGGGGGTATCCGGTATCCTTGATATTGCGCAAAATACTGGTCCCGACCATGATGGCCAGGCCAATCCAGAAGAGAGTAAAGAATCCTCGGAAGTTATGGTAGTCACTGTCGGGATCGAAATGCGACACGCGAGGTACATAGTCTATAGTATAAAATAGTCGATTGCGGGCGCGGACTTGCTTCCTCGCGGATGAGATGGAATGCGCGGACGGGGGGTGCATCTTCGGCGACGGGGGTAGAGCGGCCACTAGGATTAATCAATTAGTCGTTATCCTTTGTCAATTTCGATTGTTATAATGGAGAACAACCTACCTTGTGTCGTGGACTAACTTGTCCACTGGGAGGGGGAGAGCAACATGGGACTTTCCGTTTGGTTGAATCGGCACGGCGCGCGGCCGTAATGTTGCGAATCCATCTTGAGACACGGCAGTAGACATCCTTTCTGGATGCACTTGCAGAAGTAGGGGGGTTGCACATTGAAAACACAAGAAGTGGAAAGATATTAAGCCCCTAGGATTATGTGGGGACAGTTCTTGGCTTTGTGTCAACTGGAAAGTTGAAACCAAAAATAACACTACATACGTCAGACTGCTTTTATATGTTATACAGTTGTCTCATTCTTCACATGCGATCTAGGCAGATAAATTTACAGAGGCAAAATGTTGTGTATATCCTGTATACTCCTTTATTTTGGCATTAGCTGAACGTCAACATGTTACCAATTACGCATTGTATACATGTCGCTGTGCCTATACTCCGTATCATACACCGTACTCCGTACTCCGAACTCCGTCCACGGGTCCCCTCGGTGCTGGTGACTTCCGGGCGGAGCATGCCACTTCCGTCATATTGATGCCTCAGGTGTCCGGCCCAAAGGCGGTGTGTCTGGATGGGGTAGCAAAAAGTCAGGTGACTGGGACTCCACGCTAGTCCGCTTTTACACTAGTGCCCCATGCCAAGAAGCCAGGTCGACTGCCATGAGGAATAATAATAAAGCAGTCCAGACCTCTAGACAGCCCCGACGCTTCTCCATTTCATTGAGTTTATGACAGTCCTTGATTGACCTTCCTGGACCTTATCTTTGGGTCTTCTTATCCATTGAATATATCTCCTCCTCGCCCCGCCGGGGGTCCTTCTAGCTGTCATGTCTTCCCGTAAGTGCTGCCCGCCGCCCCTCCTCCCCTGAGATGCACCCTAACCGCGCAATTCAATCTACCAATAGTCAAGCAATTTATTCGAAATGTCCGATCAGCCAAGACCATCGCCGATGAACGTGCGGTCATCCAAAAAGAAAGCGCCGCTATTCGCGCCTCGTTTCGAGAAGAGAGCCATGACTCCGGCATTCGGTGAGCCTCAACACTCACGTTGGTTGAACACTGGATCGAGCTCTAACAATTGATAGGAGGAATAATGTCGCCAAACTCTTGTATTTGTTCACACTCGGAGAGCGTACTCACTTCGGCCAAATCGAGTGTCTGAAACTACTGGCCTCACACCGATTTGCTGACAAGCGATTGGGGTATTTGGGGACTATGCTGTTGCTGGATGAGAATCAGGAAGTTTTGACACTTGTGACCAATTCTTTGAAAAAGTATGTATTACCGTGCTTGATCCGGTTGAAGCTGTGCTGACTTGAGATGCAGCGACCTCAACCACTCCAACCAATACATCGTCGGACTCGCCCTATGTGCCCTCGGAAACATTGCCTCGGTCGAAATGTCTCGTGATCTATTCCCCGAAGTCGAAGCCCTTATGTCAACGGCCAACCCTTATATTCGACGGAAAGCAGCGATTTGTGCCATGCGAATCTGTCGCAAGGTTCCAGACCTTTATGAACATTTCCTCGAAAAAGCCAAAAACCTTTTGTCAGACCGAAACCATGGCGTTCTGCTCTGTGGGTTGACGCTGGCGATCGATCTATGTGAGGCGGAAGAAGAGGACGAGGAAGGACCGGAGGGCGTGATCGAGGCGTTCCGCCCGCTGGCTGGAGGACTGGTGCGCGCTTTGAAGGGACTGACAACATCCGGATATGCCCCTGAGCATGATGTATCCGGTATCACGGATCCTTTCCTCCAAGTCAAGATCCTTCGATTCTTGCGTGTGTTAGGTCGGGGAGATGTCGCCACCAGCGAATTGATCAACGACATTCTGGCCCAGGTGGCCACCAACACAGATTCTTCAAAGAACGTTGGCAACTCTATCCTGTACGAGGCTGTTCTTACGATTCTGGATATTGAAGCCGATTCGGGCTTGAGGGTATTGGGTGTCAATATTTTGGGCAAATTCTTGGCCAACAAGGATAACAATATCCGCTACGTCGCGCTGAATACCCTGAACAAGGTTGTCGCAATTGAACCAAATGCAGTGCAAAGACATCGCAATACGATCTTGGAATGTCTGCGGGATCCTGATATTAGCATTCGCCGGCGAGCGCTCGATCTCAGCTTCATGTTGATCAACGAAGGTAATGTGCGGGTGCTGGTGCGCGAACTGCTGGCCTTCCTGGAGGTGGCCGACAATGAGTTCAAGTCCGTGATGACGACACAGATAGGTATTGCGGCTGATCGTTTCGCGCCCAACAAGCGCTGGCACATGGATACCATTTTGCGGGTTCTCAAGCTGGCTGGGAACTACGTCAAAGAGCAGATTTTGTCCTCATTTGTTCGTCTCATCGCGACAACCCCTGACTTGCAGACCTATGCGGTTCAGAAGCTTTACTCATCATTGAAGGAGGACATTTCACAAGAGGGTCTCACACTCGCTGCGACATGGACCATTGGCGAATACGCCGACAGCCTACTCCAGGGTGGTCAATATGAAGAGGAGGAGCTGGTCAAGGAGGTCCACGAAAATGACATCGTCGACCTCTTCAACAACATCCTCAACAGCACCTACGCCTCTCAGATTGTTGTCGAATACATCATCACTGCATCCATGAAACTTACCGTGCGCATGTCAGATTCCGCTCAGATCGAACGCTTGCGCCGTTTGCTTTCCAGCCGTACCGCAGATTTGAGTGTAGAGATCCAGCAGCGTGCCGTTGAATACACCAATCTCTTTGGCTACGATCAAATCCGCCGTGGAGTACTCGAGCGGATGCCCGCACCCGAGATTCGTGAGGAACAACGGGTACTAGGTGCCCCTGCCGCCAAAAAGCGCCAGAGCAAGGTCCTTCGCAGCAAGGCAACAACGAAGGCTGCCAAACCCGCAGAGCATGACCTACTTCTTGATCTGGTTGGCGGGTCCGATGCCCCCGTCACCAGCCCGACCTCGAACGGATCGAACACCGCCGATCTGCTGGCAGACATCCTTGGTGGAGATTCGGGCGTGTCATCGCCTTCGCCGGGACCTGCCGGCCAAAAGAACCCGCACAGTGCCATCATGGATCTGTTTGGCTCTACCGGTGCTTCACCATCCCCTCAGCCTGCACAATCAACATCCGCATCGATGGATCTGCTCGGTGCTGGAGGCATGGGCGCATCTGCTCCTTCGCCTGCTACCTCTCCCGCTCCTGTCACCGCTTCCACCCCTGCACACACCGCGCTCAACAAGGACGGTCTTATCCTCACCTTGCAGGTCCAGCGAAGTGGCACCAATGCCCAGATTCTTGCTCGCTTCCGCAACGACTCCAACTTCGACCGCTTCACTAACGTCGGCTTACAAGCCGCCGTGCCAAAGAGCCAACGCTTGCAGCTGAGCGCAATCAGCAAGGCCGATCTAGAGGCCGGTGACGAGGGCACACAATCAATGCGTGTGACCGCTCTGAATGGGGTATGTCAAGTTTCTCCCTTCGCTATATTGCACTTCTGAACCCACCAACTAACCCACTATCTCCAGGCTCTTCCTGCCAAACTCCGTCTCCGTCTCCGTGTCACTTCCGCTCGGGATGGTGGAGATCCCGTCACCGACCAGGTGGATTGGTCTGAGCCATAAATCAGACCGGTGCTTAACAACCCGAACGAATGTTTAATTTTCTCATGAACAGTCACATCCAGTTTTATACACTCTAACTCTCTGCGCCTTCGCTTTTGCTCCCATCTAGACTTTTGTTTTGCCATTCAGTTTTCTTCTCTTCTCCTGTCTCACTACAGAGAAGGTTGTTCTTATTGTACATGCTTCTAGCAGATGAAAATTTTAGAGCGTGAGCAAGTGCAGGGTACATTGCATTGAGTCTAAGTTTCCGGTGTGTAGTCTATGTAGAGCCCTGTATGTGAAGGTATAGACTTACCTACATGCGTGGATCTAAAACCATGAAATATCGGCGTCAAGCTTCTGAAAGTACCCTATCTTCATACAGCTACTGTAGACTAAAATCAGAACATGGACGCAAGATGCAACACACGACATGAATCAAGACTCTATAACTCGAGTAGGAAATCGAAATGAATTGTAGTCGCACGAAAAACGAGAAAGAAAGTCAGTATATGATCAAAAACACAAGACGATAACTCCGCCGCAAGGTAACCAAAGAAATGCAAGATCGTATGATTTATCCAAAAACCGAAAACATGAGACCAATCTATAACACCAAGCCCAGGTCTTCCATGGTCCAAAAGGGGTGTTTATATGAGATAGACTTTGACGGAGATCAAGATCCAAAACAAGCACATCGAATTAATCAAATGTGCTCAATGGGTTCCTGGGGAAGCAATACCTGTCCCTCTCTCCGGTGACGGGGTAGACAGGCTTTGAGCGGAGGCCGAACGATATCGTTGAACATGAAGGTTCCGTAGACGAGGAGCACGAAGCCGAGAACTTGAAGCCATTTGAAGGACTCCCAGCCAAGGCTCAGCGAGACAAGCCAGATAAAGAGCGTCCGACAAGTATCGATTGTGCTGCGGGAAGTGGCGGAGACCGTGCGAGTGACGGACAAACCAAAGAAGTTGAAACCACTAGGACGAACGTTAGAGAAAGGGGGACAATGATGGCTTGAGAAGCAAGAAATACATACCCAATGCTGATCATGATAAACACACTGGAAGTGGCAACAGCACGGTTGTTGAAGACCTGATGCAATCCCTCCTTGATATCAAAGTAGCCATACCGACCGGCATCGGTCCGTCCAACAGCAAGATACATGATTACCATGCCGACGACAGTAACCAAAAAGCCGAACACGCCTTCCCAACCCACAACCTGGATCGGGTCCATGGCGTAGTTCTCCAAAATCCACTCTTCCAGCACAAACTGCGAGGCTGTGAATATCTGCGCCGCAGCAATAAGGAGTACACCAATGATGGCCTGTACAGCCTCGGGGGTTCGGGCGACAGCACGCGCCTGCATCATAGCATGAGACGCTTTCTGCGTGACATCGTGGCCCGGCTCATTACTAAACAGAGCTCCGGCGAGACCAACAATTGCCACGCCGAGGACGACAATGAACAATGCACTCCACTGGTACAAGTGGAGCTTGCGGCGCAGGAAGATGACACTGAACAAACCGACGAAGAGGACGAGGGCTCCACGGGTCATCTGATAAATACTTGCTGCCACAAACAGCAGACCTACGTTCATGAGGGTTGTGCCGGCAATGTCGCAGCTTGACGGCGCTGCAAGAAGGAAGGTCCTCCACCCGCGGAGCGGGACGCGAGTGTCATCCTCTTCCAGGGGCTTGGGGCGTCTGCTATCGGAGTCGAGTCCATCCACTCCGTGATCATCGTCGTGATCGATGCCGTCATCATCGCCGTTGATCGGGTGATATCCGCCGGCTAGGAGGGGTGAAGGGCCGCTGGATAGGCGTGGTGCGACGTATCGGCGGTAAAGCAAATTGAGGCCGAGTACTAACCAACAGCCCATCTCGCCAATGAACATTGTAGCTCTGTGAGAACGCGTGGTGTTAGTGTTTTATCGCGAGTGTTGCAAAGCGGCATGATAAGCATGAAGCGAGACCTACGTTTGAATGACCGGCTGCTCGAACAGCTTCCGCTGGCTGGGGTCAGGCGAGTCGCAATTCCGCACACATTGCATATCCTGTCCGTGAGAAGGAGATTAGCCCGTAGTCCTCAGGGTGACTATCTCTGGACGAACCTGATACTTATTAAGAATGGTATTGCACACCCCGGTCACGAGCATCATCGTGACCAGGAAGGGGATAAGGGCGTTATTGGCCATCTTGATGTGTTGTAAGCAGTTAATGTCAGGACTCGGATTCGAGTCCCTGGGGTGAGGAAAGAAGGTCCCCAAGTGAGGAGAACGAAGTGTAAGCTTATCGGCTGATAACATCATTGTCACGCGGCACCTCCGCACCCCGATTCGGGAGGATCGACATCACGGGGATCGCCTATGCTATCGAAGAGGATTTGAAGGGCACATAGTTGTCCTTATATCTGAGGAAGATCTGAGGTAGGAGGTAAAAAAGAAAGTCCAGAATACAGATTGGAAATAGTACGAAATCATGATCTTGAAGGCAAATCCAGCAAGTCGTGGAGAACTTCTTATCAGGAAGGGATATGAGATATGACCATTCTGAAGGGCGAGTGCCTATATAGCCCAGGGTACTCCGTAAGCATCGACTACCTACGAGCTATCACCGTCACCATAGTCAAAATGTTCGAGTCAAAGAATAGTTTTCAATCAGAACCTAATCCCTATTTTCCCCTCAAAACGCCATCGCTGAGGCCAATGGACAGTCCAAAAAAATAATTAGAACCCCAAAAGGTTGATCTTCACAAGAAATTAACCAGGAGTTCCGCGTAGTGTACAGACGCACCGCTCCTGAATCGTATGTACGCTGGAAACGAAACCGCCGAAATAAAAAAGACATTTCATAATATCAGACCATCTTCATGTGCACAGCCTAAAATAGGACGAGCCATGTGTACATGCTTTGAATACAACCCGGAAATCCGACTTTCAAGTCATGGGGATGGATATCCCTTCCTTCTCATAGCGCGCAACGGCGTCCCAGTCAACCTCGAGCTGGCCCATAGGACCGATGCCCTTGACCTGGATCTCAGGCGGGATGCGGATGCGTGCCGCAGCCAACGCAATGGACTCATCGTCCCAAGGTTCGTAGAATTTCTCCAAGAAGGCAGCCTCCTCGGCCTCATCTGGAGGAGTCAGACTAGCAAAGGCTACCCAGTCATCTACCGGGGTAGCTTCGTTGATATCAAAGTCCTCGAGCGAATCATATCCCAGATGAGGTAGATCCTTGCTCGCGAGATTTGAAAAGGTATCGTGGAGAGTGTCTAGCGAGGTGGGACAATCCGCCCACGGGTCCTTCGTCTCGCTATCCTCCAATTTAACAACAGCATCTTTCTTTTCGTCCTTGCCAACAGGCTTGACTCCCTTAACGGATGACAACTGTGGAGTGAGCAGCTGGGCTGATGCAGCAGGAGATGCGCTCTTGACTCCGAGTTGGCTGGTAACCCGAGCCATTGGCGTAGTATTAGCAATGATAGGGGTAGAAATACTCTGTTTCGCGGGAGAGGCCGCTGCACTGAGTTTGGTGGAGGACGGTACTGGTCCAAGTGTAGCCATCTGCTGAGCTTCAAGACTATCGTTGGAATTCAGACCAAGTCCAATGGAGATACTCTCATGATAATATTTTAAGGGGTCTTCGATGAATTCTTCCTCCTCGGGTTGATGGCTTTCTTCGACGTGCTTGTCCAAGGCAGCCTGCGTAAGGAATCCTTGATAATGGTGTTGACACTCAACCGCACTGCACTTGAAAGCACCCACCATAGCTGCAGCGTTCGATGTGGCATCCGCCACCGCTTTGTTGTACTTCGTCGCAGCGCTAGGCGTTGCAGCTGCTTGGATTGGGGACGATGCTACACCGTGAGACTGCTTTCGCTTTTTAGGCGGGGGTAGCTTGAGATTCTCGGGAGCAAGTCCTCCCGAGGCATACTGAGGAACACCTCTTGGAGATGGAGCCGCAAATGGTGCAGGCGGAGCGTTCACGGATTGGCTAGAGGCGCGCCGAGCTCGTTGCAGTGCTTCTTCCTGTGCCTGCAGCTGCTGTAAATTGGTCGCGTTCAATGCTGGCATAGTACCTTGTGTTGCTGGAGCGGTGGCCCCAGGAGGTTGCGGGGCATTTGGGCGTTGGCCGTGATGAATGCGAGAGATCATAGCTGCAAACAACTTCCGCATGAAAAGGATGGCACCAGCAAGATAATCGGGTTTAATTGTGAAATGTTCGTTCACAACCCAATCCTGCGTAGGTTTGAACTGTCTCATCAATTGAATCCGCTAAATGATATCAGATCAGTGAAAAAAAAAAATATTATGATCGAATAAGAACTCACCATGGCAAGAAGATTCTTCACATTCTTCTCCTGGCCTTGTATCTTTGAGAACCACTGCACCAAAGCATCAAGGCGGCAGAGGAGATCCAAGGCTTCACGCAATTGCTTTGTCATAGCAGCCTTCTGATCTGGGGAGAGAGGTGTAGGCATTGCGGGTGGAGCGTTAGTGGCGATATCTTTATAGACTTCCATGATCTGCGGTGGCAAGTTCCTATTCCATGCCTCTTCAGCAGCAGCTCTACTGAGAATCTGGCCCCGATTTTGAGGCTGTTGCTTCCGCATGTGCGCCTCAAACTGAGCCCGCTGCTGGGGGTCATTTGTGCAAGCTGTTCCTGCGTAATTGGGAAACCTGGCCGTTGGGGGGTATTCCCTGGAGCGCCTGGAACTGTCGCTGGCTGGCTCATCTGAGGGGTAGCTGTGGCTCGAGCTTCTGTATCATCTGTACTGGGTCTCTTTTTCGAAGGCTGCTTCCCAGTAGCGCCCTTGGGCCCCTTGGTCGCGACTCCAGCTTGGGCCTTTGAATTCATCTCCGGAGAAATGGTTTGCGGTTGTTGTGAGGGGGGTTGCGGTTTGGTTTGGGGAATTGGTTGTGCTGCGGGAATGGGAGGTTGCGCGGTCCCTTGACTTTGCTGACCAGAAGCTTCGAGCTGTGATGCTCGGTTTTGGGCTGCCTGCGCTAGTTGCCTATGCCGGTTGCGATACAAAATCTCACGGATTTGTTCGTCGGTGAAATTGGACGCCTGCGGTCCGAGCTTCTGACGAGCCATTTGGACCTCTTGGGCGGAAATTGGTCGCATGGCAGACATATTGAAAGGAGCAGGTTGTTGACCAGGAGGGAAGCCCGGCGCATTCGTAAATGGAGACTGTGTGCTTTGAAATGGTGTTACCGCTGGACCATGGCCATTCTGGTCTCTAATTTGATTGGCGGAGGCAGAAATGAGTTGGCCAAGATGAAGTTTTTGTAACATCATGAGACGTGGGAGGTCGTTGGGGCTGGCAACTTGAGGGTTTGAAATTGCCCATTGCTTTAGTTGGCCCCAAGTCTTAACATGCGGAGGAACCTGCATTGAGGTGCCATGCATGTTCAGAATGGACGGTGGAAAAGCTATGCGATCCATTTGCTTGCCCTGCTCAGAAGTCATCTCCACGCCGTTATTCTGCTGGCGTAGTAATTGAAGCTTAAAGGCCTCATTCTGGCGTTGTTGACGCTGCTGCGGAGTCATCTGCTGGCCTTGTGGCAATCCCCCTGGTTCAAGTCTTGTGGGGCACCCATCGAGCCTCTCATCATAGCGTTGCCCATCTGGTTATTCATCATGGATTGTCCTTGACCTTGAGGCTGGGGCTGCTGACCGGGATTGGCCCGAGCCATGTTGTTGAGAGCGGCACGACGCTGTTGCATGATGAAGGCTTGAGCCTGTTCGGCGGGCATTCGAGCAAGTTGTTCCTGAATGTGCGGTGGAATATTCGTAGGTATTTGGGGTCGGCCTTGCATCGCAACCTGTCCGCCAACGCCAGCCGGATGCTGGCCCATAGTCGCGGGTCGTGATGGGGGACGAGCTTGGGCAGGGACTTGGACTGGAGACATCTGACCGGGAGCCATGGGTTGATTCAGCATTGGCATGACGGGGCTTTGTCCGTTGAGTTGCGCCTGTGCTTGAGGGGGGCCCTGACCGCCATGCCCCGAGATTGCCATTTGAGCCTTCTGTGCTGCTTGCGCACGCGCCTGAGCTTGAGACTGTGGTGTCTGGAACTGCATAGGGGTATTGGATCCAGTCTGCATAAGCTGCTGGGCAAGGAACTGGGCCTGAGCATTGGGGTTATTGCTGTTCATATTCGCCTGGCCATTCTGGCCCATCTGCTGCGAGAACATATTATTGTTATTGTTGGGGAACGGCGCCTGGTTCATTTGTGAGGAGCTTGCAGGAACCACGAGCTGGCCAGCCTCCTGTGAGCGTAGGCCATCGGCTTGCTGTCCTTGAATGTTTTCCACATTACCAATGAAGTTCGGAGGTTCCATCGTCTGACCGGGATTTCCAGGAAATGCGGAGTTGCGTTGAAGGTTCAACATGTTCTGAAGCATCTGGCGCTGATGTTGAGAGTTCATCGTCGGATCGCCCATCATGTTGCCATTCACATCCACCCCGGCATTTGGTCCACGTCCACCCATCTCCAGACGAGCACGACGATGGCGTCTGATCTGGGTGAGTGCCTGAGATTGGAAGAAATAGGTCATTGGATCAAGCTTCTTTCGTTGTAGATATTGGCGCTGTTCGGCAGTCATGTTTGACAGATTCATCTTGATCTTCTGAATATCCTCTGGGGTAGTTTTGTTCAACATCTCGGTGGCCAATCGAGAGACATGGTCGTGGTCTTGGGGGGAGAGTGTGCTGAGCTCGTCGACCATAGGGAAGCCATTCACAGAGCGCTGTTGGGTCCGCTGTTGCGGCTGTTGCTGCTGTGGCTGTTGGAGCATCGCCTGTGACTGCTGTTGCTGTCGCTGCTGTTGCTGCATGGCCATCTGCTGGTTTTTTCCATTCATTCCCATCGCTATCTGTGGTTGACCAGGAACTGGGGACGCCTGCATGCTCTGGTTGATGTGTTGTGGAAAAGTGCCTGGGATCTGATTTTGTGCGGCACCCGTCTGCGGCATCATACCAGTTTGGTAAGCGACCGCGGCCTGTCTCTCTCGGGTGTTTCTGATGTGCAGGAGCTTCTCGGTGCATTCTTTTTCGTACTCAATCTTCTCGTTGGCCTTGTTGAATGCTTTTGACTCGAAGCTCATGGCCGCCTGGGCTGCTTGGTGGAGGTCGATGCGAGGTTGGATCAACCGGAGGGATGTGATCCTAGGTAGCAGATAGGTTAGATCAAATCAAAAGGATCATATAGCAAATGTCAGGACAACTCACATTTGATAAACATTTGTCGCTCGGGTCTTGATTGGAACCTCTGCCTGCCAACCTGGTTGTGGACCCTGACCTTGCAAGATTTGCGCAACGTAGCTCATCATAGATTGCACATTGTCATTCTTCGGGGCCTGCATGTTTGCCTGCATCCTCATCGCGGCGTTCGGGGCTGGCCGGCCAGGCCCCGCGCCCGGGTTGGGGAACTCTCCGGGATTCATAGCAGACACCCCATCAATGGAAATAGAGTAGCAATCCGCGAAGAGATTCCTTGGAGATTAGCATTCGCCGGAACACCACACGCGACTGCGAAGACGTCACAGGGTCTGCAACAAATATGTAAGAAAGAGATTCAACACGGGTCGCTGGTTGGAAGGGAGGGAGGGAGAAAAAAAAAGGAAGGCAAAGCAGGTGCTGGTGTGGAACCGTGATTCGAGTCGATCAGGGAGGGTGGGGATGGGTAGGAAATGGACGAAACGGAGGACGGGAGGGACTAGAGGGAACCAACACCGACCAACACGACGAGGAAAGCAAGGCGTTCGGGCACCAGCGTAAGAAGGATTCAATTCGCTGGTCAACGCCTGATTGTGGCTTGGGACGAATGAGAGCAGGTGTAAGGTGGATGGGATCCGTGACAGGGATCATGCAGCTTTCAAGTTGCACCGGACCTCAGTTGCTAATCCTCTCTACTCCGTACAAGAGATTCGGGGAGAAGCAAAAGAACACACGTACCGAAAGTCAAAAGGACAAAGAGATGCACAGATATCTCGAGATGGGAAGCAATGAAGAAAGTGGATGTATTATTATCTTAAGAATTTATGGAAAAGTGACAGGAAATTCAAAGGTGTTTGATCAACCCGTTGAGGGTTGGATTGAGGAAGAATCCATGAATGGGGGGGGGGAGGAAGGGAGGTACATGGAGGTATCAATAGTCTGGTATTGACTCGTATTGCGATGTCCTGGGGTCAGCAGGCAAGCTCGGAGGTACTTGGAGGGTGGCTGGAGTTGCGCAGAGGAGTCCAAGTACCACGTTCTCCCTCGTTTCTTACGGGTACTGCAAATACCGTACTGTCACTCCCGCTGATCCCTCAAGCCGTTATCCCAAGTGAAGCCTCACCACCCATCGTCATCATAGTGTGGATCTTAAAGAATGCTGTTTTTAGACCTACCTAATATGTATATAGGGAGTCGGAGGACGGTTATATGGGAACCTCCAGGAGCGAAACGCTGAGATGAAAATGATTTTCAATTTGCATTAAGTACCTTAACCCCAACCTTACGAATCTCCAAAAGCAAAAAAAAAAAGAAAGAGAGAGAGAGAGAGAAAGCCATTCAATTCCCATCGGGATCGACAGGCGTTCTGGCCCTGACCTGATCCGGAGAGACCAATTGGTCAGAAATTCGGAGACACTGCCAGGAGGCTATGGCTGGGTACCAGGTACTCCACTTTACACCTGAGCACACGACCAAAACAAAGTCTCCAGTACTTTGATTCAGTTAGTCAGAGCTTAAGTCAGCCACTCTCCTGGAAACGTCAACCCCCCCAGAGTGGACTGTGTTCTATATATACACTTCTCTACTTTCACCTTTCGACATCCGGTCGCGTATTGCCCTCAATTTGCGCCATCCATATCTCGCCATGAACAACGCTTGAGATCGTTTCTTCACCTTTTTCTTTTTGGCTGGCTCTTCAGCATGTTTACAGTATCTGTGCCCACCATCTCGGTGGGCTCGAACGTCTTTTTCGCATTTGCCTTATTCCTCATCTCCGCACTTGTGTTACTTCTCCTGCGCCGGTTCCTCACCCTCCGGGCCACTCCGGGGTATTTAATTGTCCCTATATTCTTGGCTCTGGCTCTGCCCGCTAGTGTGGTACTGCTTGTCCCCATCGATTTGGCGTCCAGTTCGCGAGATGGATCCGGTCCTAAAGCAATCTGGCTGCCAGAGCGAATGGTTCTGGTATGCTGGCGCATTGCCTATTGGCTGATCTTCGTTCTCACCTGGTAAGTGTCCGCGCGTTCATCCAATTGAACAAGAACCGTCGCTTACTTTTGTTTGACTTGCAGGGCTATCCTCCCATTACTCGGTGAATACGTTGACTCGGGTTACCGTGAACCAAAAGGCCGCCTTATGTACTCTCTTCGCTCGAACGCTAAATACCAATTGACTGTCCTGGGATGTGCCCTGGTGGGGCTGGTCTACGTTTCAATCTCGAATGGATTCGAATTCACGTCCATCAAGGGTCTGGTGATGGCATTGGCATATGTGTGGGGTCTGGTTCTTGCCATTTACCTCATGGGCCACGGTCTTGTCTCCATCCCGCGCAACCTACTTAGAAACTCCAATGTGAGTGGTCGGTTACGCAGAATACAGGCACATGCACCCCGAGTGCACGATCGCCTAATGGACTCGGTCAATGAATTGGAGAACCTCAATTCTCAGGTCTCTCAACTTCAACGCCGTAAGACCGGAACCGCACGTGACTTCAAGGAGTGGATTGAGGAGCTTCGTGATGGGCGTGATCAATCAGATGTGCGAGCCCCGATTCTCGAGGCTCCGGATACATCCGCCACGGTGCCTTCTGTCATTACGGAACGCTATCTGGCTGATCTTACACGGCGGCTTCAACGTGCTCGTCATATGAAGGCCCGGTTTGTCGATGAGTGGGATCGTTTGGTCCAATTATCAGCCGATCTTCAAGCCATCATCAACTCTGCCGCCTCAAAAAAGCTCGAATTTGCCCCAGCTCCTCGTCGGTCGTCATGTATCCCTCGTGTGAAATTCATTACTCCGTACATGCGCTATCAAGTGTATTCGAACGTCATTCCCTCTGTTAGGCTGGTGCTTGGTGTCTTCTTCGCTGTGGCATCAGCCTGTATCGTTTGGTCGGAACTAATCAAATCCTTGGCACCCCAGCTCTCTGCCGTGAGTTTGACCGTGGTTCCCAACTGGAAAGACCACCCTGTTGGGTTTGGTGGCCAGGTTACGGCGTCTGCCTGGTTGTTGTACATGTGTTCCGCCGCTCTCGTTGGTGTCAGCGATGTCAAAGTGTGGGGAAACCGCGCGCTGGTTCGCCGTAATACCTATGGCGAGAGTGCCTGCTGGTACGCTGGTCTTGTTGCTCGGCTGACAGTTCCAATCGCGTACAACTTCTTGACATTCTTGCCAAAGGAGTTCCGCAGAAACACCACGTTCTATGAGTTCCTTGGTAAGCTCATCAACCTGACGCCACTCGGTAAAGGATTTGATTTTATCTTCCCGATACTCATCCTACTACCTATCTGTGCAACACTTTTCAATCTGTATGGGCGTATCAAGAACATCTTTGGGTTCGGTCTTGCAGAGGATGATGATATACACGACGTTGAAAACAACCCTGCCGGATATGGCATGGGTGGCTGGCGTGAAGGTCGCGATCTCATTGAACGGGAACTGAACGGTTTCGGTTCTCTGGCAGTGTCCTCCCGTGGTAGCCGTTCAACTTGGGCGTCGGACCGTGAAGATGAAGGCTCTCCTGGCTCGTCTCGACTCCGGATCCCGATCGCAGAGGGCTCCCAGTCTGCCCAAAGAACAGTAGCCGCGCCTACTATCATAGACGGCGAAGACGAGGAAGATGAAAACTTCTTCCAGTCATTCGCGCACCGCGTCAAGAACACCTTCGACACTACTAACACACCTCGATGGTTCCAAGGCGAGCCATTCCGACTTCCACGATGGATGTCGGGAGAAAATAACGCCTCAGAAGAGGGCGCTTCGTTGATTGGAGGTCGGGCTGTGCCTGGTCATTTGCGTCTGGGTTAGAGCACGGATTGTGGTGTTTTGGTCTTTTCAACTGCTGGACAGTGTAATCTGTATCGTTTTACTTGTATATAGCTCAATTCTTTTTGTCGGGATCACTTGGAACCCTTGCAGTTCGAACCAAGTATTATTATAGAACATAGCTAATATGCGGGAATGGAGAACAGGATCCAAACACAAAAAAAAAGATCTCATTGAACTACAAAAAAATGCATCCATCTCCCAACGGGCATATAACAAAAATATAAAAAGATATGCCCTCGTCCAGGATCGAACTGGAGACCTTCGGATAGCAATCTTGTTACCAAGACCATCATAGGAATATATATGAGACCAACGTCATAACCAACTAGACCACGAAGGCATTTGATGACATCAGCCACACTTTTATGATATATGACAGGGATTGGAGTTGAAGTCAAACTTGAAACGGATATCGAACACTTTTAGGCAAATGAATGCGAACAACCCAGCATTTCAAAAAAAAAAAATTTACACAGAACTAATTTCAATCGAATTTGCCCTGCTCCACCCACTGGGTCAATGCTCAGTGGGCAAAAAAAAGAAATGCCCTCGTCCAGGATCGAACTGGAGACCTTCGGATTGCAATCTTGTTACCAAGATCATCATAGGAATATATATGAGACCAACGTCATAACCAACTAGACCACGAAGGCTTGTTATGATATCCGTGCGATTTGATGACCCTATAAGCCAAGACTCAAATCAGCAGCCACACTACCTGTAGTAAATTATTGAATTATCCATTTAATTCTTGAAAATAATTCTGGCGCTTTATATTTAAGTTGTTCTCCTTATTAATATTCATCATTCTATTGGGATTAGACATGGATACGAGGAAAATCGTGGATTGTGCATCATAGCATTGTCGAAAAATATATATCGGGTGCTAGCGGGAATAACTATGGATAGGGCTACGAGGATAAACCCCGACCACCCTGAAAAGTGCCAGAAACAATGATAGAAGACGTAATTTAGCGCAAATATAGCCCGGATGTCGTCGTCAACAATATGGGTAACTCACAAGGAAAGAAAGGATCACTGGATTCTCAAACCATCATAGTGCGGACATGGAAGCATGGGCATATCTGACAACCCAATAAAAAGGTATAACCCGAAATACCACAGAGCCAATGAAGGCAAACAAGCAGCAGTCCACAATCATACAAATTGGCCATATTCTAATACATCTCGATAGATGTATAGATCTAGGATCGTGTGCTCCAAACTCTCGACACGGACTCCAATGTGTGATGCATACCCCCCGAAACAACGTATGTATACAGCAAGTCCAAGTATTCCACCAAGGCATCTGTATTCAGGGAACCATACATATTAAGTGCAGAAAATCAGTACCATCGAATGATCCATAAGCATCTTGTTCTAATGCTTTGATCACACCAAAACTACCATGTAACAACTAAGAACGACGTCGGTTCCCATGACAGACTTGATATAGAAGAGGACTGATTTAACCCAAGGCGCTAAAGTACGAGTGACTATTAGTAGCGACAATAATACGAGGAGTTGGATAAATTGCTACCCGAAGCGAGTTTTAGCTCCATCCGATCCTTGCTACTCCTATGTCCCTCCATCGCAGTTACTATGTGCATAAAACCTCATTACAGACACACAGGGCAATATGACCTGGAAGGCATGACTTGACGTGTAGCTAGATATCATGTCCATAGGCCTATCTATATAGGTATGTACCTATGGCCAATAAGAACATAACATACCCTGGACTGGAAGTATGCATATAACCGCGGATATTCTCGCTCGTCCGGATGCTTTTGATAGATCTAACGTCAGCAATCGGCACGGGTCATCCATAACTTATCATACAGTGGCGTTCAATTTCCCAGTGCATCAATTCATCACCGATACATCACCCGCATACCCAATAGTACCTTTCATCACACACCATGTCGAGCCGCCCAGCCTCGACACAAATAATCGCATCGGTTCCTAGACCTCGTCAACAGGAAGATATATGGATATTTTAGGGATGAGATATCGATATCATGCTAAGAGACAGCTTACGCCGTTTCCCTCAAACGGCAGAGGCTGGACCATGGAGGTGCGCGGGCTGCGAACACCGTCGATAGGAAGAAGACCTCAAGCGGCCACCAAAAAATGCACGACACGTGTATAGGGGGTTCATAAGGTGGACTATGGAGATCATAGTAGGTAGAAGCTGAGTGACTATAATGGTAAGATCGTGGAAAGTACCATCTGTTTTATTCTTCTACACAGAACCCAAAGGTAGGATACACCCGTGGATGTACATATACCTCAGTGAGCGAGTCCATTCAAAGCCAACGAGAGGGACAGAAGAAAAACCACTCGACTCATATCGAAAGAGAAGATAGATTTAATACATAGATGAAATGATAAGATAGCCTTGTAACCATCGTACCATGTAGGGAGTCAGCACAAAAACAGCAATAAAAAGATTCGAGACGATATAACTCATCAGTTGTATACATGACCATCTCAAAACTAGCACATTAGTCGGTAGATGCCCAGTGATCAAATCAAAGTACATTGATAACAATGATCTGATCTTTGGAAAGAAGTGAGTCTGATTCGCACACTGTACAGAAGAATACCCTGGCACAGCCAGACTGACCGTGGATTGGGGTTCATGTGTATTTATTGTATGGCGAGCTTCCAGGGGTCATTTAGATGCTAGCCGAGTATTTCCCAGCCTCATAGAATCTATGGACTACTTGACTTGAATTCTGATGCGTCGAAGCAAGTAGGCACAAGGGTGCATGTTAGTACATACCTATACCTATCTAGCTCACACCAAAGTTCGACGACACCTCTCCTTCACAGGGAAGCCTAGAGACATCAATTGGAAAAAAAGATAAAAAAAAAGAAATGCCCTCGTCCAGGATCGAACTGGAGACCTTCGGATAGCAATCTTGTTACCAAGACCATCATAGGAATATATATGAGACCAACGTCATAACCAACTAGACCACGAAGGCAGTGATGAAGTGACCGTTAGGCCACCTGATCAGATTATATTTTTGGCAGCGATATTTGGCTACATGAAGCATTACTATTTCCCGCACATAACTGTGAGACAAACCCGTAAGTCCACGGGTTAAGTTGCATGTAATGTCCACTAGCGACTTTTTTTTGACTATTTATTGCCCAGGATAGCAATATACCTAGATAACTGACCAGCAATTTATATCTATTTGTACTTATCTCTCTACCTACAACATAGGTCGGTACATACCGATTAAAAAAGGTGGGGAGCTGCTCAACCCCACGTTTTAGAGCGTGTATACATACGCCGATCAAGGTCAAATGGGGTTACTCGACGTGGCAAAAGAGCCTCTATCTTACAACAAATGAGGAATGGATCTCGCTAACGCCGGTGGCATCAAAAGTAGATCATGAAAAGAAAAGCATATGATCGTCCATAGCACAATATGTAATCTCAGGCCTCAACTGGAGACTGTAACTATCACCACATTTCCCGCTTATAGGAAAGGAAGGCATCGGTCGATGTACCCCAACCATTCTGAATGCCAAAATCCCAACATTCAAAAGGGCCGATCTGCAAGCAGACGAACCACTAGGCAGATACGCCCTGGGAGTACACAATTGTCCAATACGATGGCAAAAAAAGCACTCTCCGCCTTATCTGCCTATTTGGGACCACTGGGGGGCATGACTTCACTACCACCTGGTCCTTCTCCTCCACAGAGATCCATGACTCTACTGCCCCCGACTATCGCTCAGTCCACCTTGGGCGAGAAGTGCGCAGTCTACATAGATCACGTCACCGACATTATTCCCATTCACCTGCACTCCCTGCGCTCCCAACTGGATCCTATTCTCACCTACCTGTCCACCACACCCCTCGGTCCCCTTGCGCAAAAACTGCCACTCGCTGCCGAAGACCAACTCCCTGCCCTCCTAGCAGCTATCATAGTCTGCTTGTTTACTGTCGCTGCGATGAGTTGGCGCAACCCCTTTAGTATGCTGCGTCGCTCGCCGAGCTACGCTCCCGCCACAAACCCGCAGGTTAGCGATGAACACTTCAGCTATATCACCCCCGACGATATCGTGGACCCGCCCGTCGACGATACCGAGCCGGATATAATTGCCCTCCGCCACCGCGGCACCATCTACCCACTTCATTTCCGTGCCTACGCAATTGACGACGGCGTGCTGACCATCGGAGATCTACGAGAAGCTGCGGCCAAGAGCACGGGCGCCGGACACCCAGACTGCGTGAGACTGCTCTACAAGGGCAAGTTGTTGAAGAACAACACACGGACATGCAAAGCCGAAGGGATCAAGCAGCACTCCGAGGTGTTGTGCGTGGTTTCCGAAGTAGGAGCAGGCTCTCCAAGCGATGGCTCTGATGACAACGGACAGAACATCCCCGTCACCGCGTCAGCTCCAGTAGCTACACAGCCGTTCCACCCCAGTAGTGCAGAAGCATCATCACCTCCCACATCGAGTGGGAAGAACAAGAGCTCGAGAAAGAAGAAGAACCGCAACGGCAAGAAGTCACCCGTTAACGCAGAGCCCCCGGCCCCCCCTCGGCCGCCTCGACCTACCTCTTCTGGCCGTTCAGGCAACCCGGCACTAGCGCCTAACCTCAAGTTGTTCCATACCCCCTTGGACCAGGTCAATGCTTTAGCTGGATGGTTCAAGCAAGAGCTGGTGCCGCTTTGTGAAGAATACGTCCTGGATCCGCCTACCGACCCGAAGAAGCGGGATTATGATTACAAGAGACTGAGCGAGACGATTCTCGCACAGGTCATGCTGAAGGCAGATGGAATTGAGCCGGACCATGACATGGCACGTGCTGCGCGACGAGCCCTCATCAAAGATGCACAGGCGAGTCTCAACAAACTGGATTCAATTGCAAAGCTATAAGGGAGCTCACCGGTCGTTTCCTCTTGTTAATCTGCTCTGCATATTCTGCATAATATGGGATTCAAGTTTTGGGATATGGACATACGTTGTAGACATGTACAACAATCATTTATCTCGCACGGGGCACTGTTTTAGCGGTCAAGTTTCACTTTGCTAGGACCGGCCAACTCCTCGGGATGTTTCTTTGCATGGAGAGGATCGGCGTATATGCGATGTATCATCTTTGGGGTTGCCAAAGACTATGGAGTCAATCTGTCAAGAGTGATTTGCTGACATGTATGGAGTCCTTCCCCATACTCTGTACACATCTATTCCACCATCTATTCCCTTTTTTTATATATATTTCGTGTAAACATCAAGTGGGGGAGCTCAGCAGTCCCCCCTCGTTGCCGTTATTGTCTCGATCGTGATCAACATGTCCAGCTCAGGGGCAATGCACGGCCCAGGATTGAAAGCCGCGAGCATCCTCGGAATTTTCTTTTGCATTTTGGGTAGGATGTTGGGTACAATTATTGATTAATACAGGGAGTCAGATAGAGTCCGATAGACAGGGTCATCGGCACCGAAATCCGTCAAGAGGCCTCCATGTCCGTACGGAGTACTAAGACTGGGATCTAGGCTATTCTAGTCTTCTGGCTATTTCCAGGACTATTCCTAGTCTGGCTATCTTCCTCCTTTAGACGCTCCCTCTTTTTCTTCTAGAATTCCCATATTCCTCTTGACATTTCTGACATTCGTGCCATTTTCTATTTGAGCTTCATTTATTCGTATCCTCAATCACCCCGTGGTAATCCCCCCCTGTCTCAACCTCCGACGCTCCGAGTGGACCCCGCGAAACCTCGAGGAGTGCATTCCACCGGACCAATCCTCCAGCAGCCTTCACCTGTGGTGCTAAAGTCACCGACTGGGCTTAAGAACCCTGCAGTCGTGTACTTGCCACCGCAAGGTTCCTCGCTGTTGACAATTTTCTGCTTTCGGCTTGTGTATCCCCCTTACACACACTCTTACTCCACCTCCCGCCTCTGGATTCCAAGTGGAATGGCTTGATCCTACAAGCCAATTAACCCATTTCAATTTCGGCAAGCCCTTTTATTGAATCGGGTTTCAGCTGGACTGGCCTTTTTCCTCTCTGACAACAATCTCTGGGATGGCGGGCGTCGCTACAGCGGCATATTCTACAGATGCCTTAGCATCGCCCGTGGACGGCTCGCAATGGGAGTTTGCGGTGCCACTCGGGAATGAGGTTAGATGATCCTGTCTACCACCCCAGCTTTTAGCCTAATAGCTTGGGAATGTGAAAGAGAGAGTGTGAAAGAGAGCAACAAAGCGCTGATCCCTTTTTTCCCCCGCAGGAGCACCACCTCTCGAACTCACGCAACTCGCACGACTCGAATTCCATCCCAGCAAAATTTTCTCGACAGCATAACTCCAACGGTTCACGCAGTTCCTCGATCTCCCGCACTATCCACGCACATGAATCGCCGTATCTAACCTCCAACCGAGGCCGGAGAGAACATAGTCTCAATAGACATGGGAACGAAGTAAGCGGTATGCGAGAAGCTCCTGGAAACGATGCAGCCACTCGCAAAGAGCTCGAAGACGGTAACGACAGTCACAAGTTGCACTTGGACGGTCAGACAAGCCAGGAAAAGTGGATCCACCGAGACAAGCTAGCAAAGATCGAGAGCGAAGAGCTTCACCAGGCCGCTATTCTCTTCCAGCGACGGATGAGAGGGGAAAGCAAATCGAGTGCAGGACGCGGAAGGCACCATGATGCCCATCAGAACGCTGCTAATGGAACCGGTACGGCGACCTCACCAACTACAGAATACTCCGAACCATGGCCGGAAATGAAGGAAGAACGCGGCACTCGGGGCGTGAATAAAGAGGTAAAAGATGAAGACCGGCAGCACTGGGATCTCCGCCGACCGGAGGAGATTGCTGCGGACGATGCAGCCACTAGCCTCTACAGCAACCCAAGTCTTGGAAAAAGCGCCTCTCGTATACCCGTTTCTACAGTTAGCCCAGTTCCCGTATCCGGCGGCATGGGACGTGATTCTCGCAGTTCACGGAGCCGTGCCGCAACAGACGAAGACGACCGATCTTCCCGGAGCCGCAGAGCTAGCGAGCCTATTAATATCGAGCCCGATACTTCGACTCCTCCGCCAGGAAGTCGACCAGGTAGCCGGGGATTTAGCAACACCCCAATTACCTCAGGCAAGAAGATAGCAAAGACCGCGGGTTCTACCAGTCGAAAGACCTCTGCTCCCCCCGCAAGCAGAAAGACAAGCACTGCTCGCTCTCGTGCTGTATCCGGTAACACTACACAACGACCTACCACCCGGTCAGGCGAAAGCCGCCCTCCGACTGCGGCTAACCGACCTGAAGGAGACCCACCCTGGTTGGCAACCATGTATAAGCCCGACCCTCGCCTGCCACCAGACCAGCAAATGATCCCGACCGTCGCCAAAAAGATAATGCAGGAACAATGGGAGAAGGAAGGTCGGACACCGAACATATACGATCGCCATTTCGCGCCCCTCGCAGTAAATGCATACGATACACGACCCCCTGCTCCCACCAAGGTTGAGGATGAGAAGCTCGAACCGGAACCGGAACCGGAACCAGAATCACAGCCTGTTGAGTCTTTGCAGCTCGAAGAATTGCCACCTCGACCCCCGAAGAGCCCGGAACCGCCGCGCCCGAACACAAGTACAGGCTACAGCACTATGCCCAGGGTGCAAGATACTCCTCCAATGGGACTGATGCCTAACCCTAACCCCAATTGGAACCCCCCTGTTGTTACCGCGCAGGAGCTACCAAAGAAAGAGAAAAGCTGTGGATGCTGCATTGTGATGTGATGGGGTCGCACTCTCTCCACAACTTTCTTTCTTCAATCTCTATTCATCTCTAACATATGCTTGATAATTGCACATCTGCTTTATTCCCTTCTCTGTTTTCTTTTTTTCCAGCGTCTCCGGCGGGATGGTGTTCAGTCTGTTTTTTTTTCCCGTGGCTTTATATCCCGCAATTTAGGGCTATTTCCCCCCTTCGCCTTGAGTTCAATTTTCTGCAGACTCCCTTTTTAATCCGACGTCCTTCTTCAGCAACAGAGCATGGCTTTCTCCTTCCTTCTCCCATGCATCCATTCCTTGTCATTTCCCTTCTCTTCATCTCTGACCATCGCTCTTCCTATCGACATGATGAGAAGGAGCTTCAAAAGAACTTGTTCCAGATTGCAATGGGTAGGATGGGAACGAGGGGCTAGCCCCGAAAGGAATACGACTTGGAGGCTAATGCCTTTCGTTTCCTCTCCTATACCTGCCTCTGAATCTTCGACTCGACGCTCTCTTTTCTTGTTTCCAATCTTTTGGTTCCGCATTTCTCTCCGAAACATATTGAAGCCTCTTTTGCCATATTCCCAACCGTTCTTGCAAGCGCTTCTTTCTTCTCTCTCTTTTTTCCATCTTATCTGCCTGTCAGCAAGAGCAGCCAGGTATCTGGGTTCGCTCGCATTCCAAATGCCAGACTAGTCGTTTACAGGGCTAATCAGATATCAGGTTGAACCAATACATACCTGCACACAATTGCCACCTTTACTTGTAAGCATGTAGACAATCAAAATTCCTACATGTAGGCATTAGATTATTCCACGATCCAGAGCATTCTGCCTTGCAATCACCGGAACCTTCAAGAACCATTCTTGAAGATCGGGGCCTCAAAGGGCCCAGGGCCCCGGCCCCGGGGGAGCTCCCAAGCTGACAAATATCACCTGACATCATTGCCGCAATGTATCCCGCAATCTTGACCAAGCCAACCAATCCACGCTTCATCTTTATTTGCCTGACCCCGCCCGAATATTGCATATAAAGAGACCCTTCGCCTCGTCCCAGACCCAGCACAAACCGCCCACCATTTCGTCCATATTCACCCGTCTTTTCGGCTCCTTCGCCGGCCCTACTCCCGCCGCCATGTCCGCCGCAAAGACCCGTGCCCAGTCTCTCATCGATGAGAACGCTGTCATCGTCTTCTCCAAGTCTTACTGCCCTTACTGCAGCTCTTCCAAGAAGCTGTTGTCGAGCCTTGACGCCAAGTACACCGTCCTTGAGCTGGACCAGGAGGGTGAGTGTCTTTGTTTTGCTTCTGCGCATTGCGTGGATTCGCTATTCCTCGGATAAGAAGAGATCCTCTGGCTTCTCTTTCTTGATTTGTATACATCCCGCTGAGCAAATGCTAACGTGATTATCTTGCAGAGGAAGGATCCGCTATCCAGAACGCCCTCGCCGAGATCTCGGGACAGCGCACCGTGCCTAACATCTACATCAAGCAGCAGCACATTGGTGGTAACTCTGATCTCCAGGCCAGGAAGGACCTGAAGCAGCTGCTCCAGAATGCTGGTGCGCTCTAAGCGGTGATACCGCGGGAATTTTCCCGAGGTCCGATACTCGAACATAGTTTATTATTTTACAGCCATTTACCATCTAGAGGTCTCCTCGATTTTCTTTTTCTTTTGTCCACTTTGATCTAGTAGATCTACACAATGCAAGAGTACGTTGAACTTGGAATTTAACCACTACCATTTTCCGAGGTTAGATGCGTATTTTGAAGAGTATTGCCATGCGGTTCTGGGAGTATTTTGTAGAGCCTGGGGAGAAACGGAAAAGCGACGACCTAACGTACAGGTATGATGATACAACAAAATTAAACCTTTTAGATAACCTTCTGCACAACTGTTCCGAGCGGCCTCTCGACAATCGACATCAATCCATCAACAACGCTCTTGCGAGCTCCCTCACTCGAAACAGTCTTGCCAGCAAGATAATTCAACCAAACAAGACGACTGATCCGCTCATCCGCAACACGTCCCATCCACTTCACGGGCTTATCAGCGCCGGGTTGGAAAAGCGCATCCAAAGCGCCCTGCGCGTCCCGCATCAAAACAAGTGTCTGTCCCTTCGGCACAGCCTTGCCCTTGCCGGACCCGAACACTGCCTTGAAATCATTCATCGAGGTTCCAAAGCTCTCATCCTGGAACTCGCCATCGCCAGCGGCAGACTTCTTTGCCTGTGCGCGCGCAGTGATACCGCGCACCCATCCGTCGCGCAGATGCATGAAATCGGTGTTACGGGTGGGCACGATGCGGAATGCAGTGCGGATTCCGTTATCCTTCAGGATAGCAGACCAGGCGGCGTCACCGCGCTCGGCATCGAGGAGGAGCTCCTTGAGCTGCTGGCGTTCGAGGGAAACGAGGGAGGTTGCGGCATCAGCGCCAGCACCGGAGATGGCAGCATCGGCTTCGGAGGAGGGCGGGTGGACTGCTGTGCGGAGGAGGCGCTGCTGGAGGTCGGTGATGTCGGATTTCGCGACGTACAGGCCGACCACGTAGACTTCGATTGAGAGGAAGGAGACGGTGCGGACGCCCAGGCCGAGGAGTTGGTATTCTTCGCCTCTGGATGGGGCGAGCTCGTCGCCGGATTGCTTGCCTTCTGTTGCCTCGGAGGTGGGGAGGCGGATTGTGCTGGGGAAGTGAGGGATTGTGCTTGTTCCTGTTGGCACTTGCTCGAGTCCGTCTTGGCCTTGGATTGTTATTACGGATGGGCCGCCGTTTGTGAAGCCGACTGGTCCGTCCATGCGCAATGCGCCGCTCTTTGGGGGTGTGGGGGTGGCCTTGTCATCTTTGGTTTCGATTTCGTTGAGTCCGAAGACGTCGAGCTTGATGACGCCGTAGAGACCTGCTGCGCAGGTGATGATGCCGGCTCCGGACAGGATCATCTTCCGCTGGGCTTGAGAGGCATGCTGGAGATCCGCGGCGGCGGATCCTCGGGAGCGGAGAGGGTTGTTGGTTGCATTGGAGCGGAGTGTGGTAGTGGAGAAATGGCGGGAGGACAGGCGTGTCGTGCGTATTTGTTGCCGGCTGAGGCATTGGTAGGCCCGCCAGGGGCTTTGACGGAGTGTAGAGGCCATTTTGAGCTTGTTTCGTTTGATGAGGAATGTCAACGGCAGGATTGGCGGTTGGTGACGGAGAGTGTGGGGATGCACGTGATATGGTATGATCTACATCGCATCTTCAGTCTCGAAACGTACATCCATGTACTCTGTAGGTATACGAGTATTATTGAGTAGAAGTCTGTCCCGAGATCCGGAGAAAAATTAATAGCACTGATGGCTACGGAGCTTCAGAATACCTTCACAACCACCTATATATGAGAGGCGCCTCTCGTCATTGCCTATACATACATCCTTCGATCCCAAAATGCCTACTCTGATGACACTGGAAGAAACGCCAAAGAATATGTATACCAAAAGAGATACTCAGAACCAAATATTTAAGATGCTGTTAAGTGGGAACTTAATAAATGTACTTTATATCATCCCGAACTATATCTTTTGCAGTGTGGTCGCGGACCAAGCAAGCACGCAGAATATAGATGAATGGACAGGTTCAATGTTGAAATTGCGACCAGACAAGTAATCGAGGGCCCTCATGTCTATCTAGGTACGTAAATACATCAAGCCAGTTCATAATACAAGCATCAACCAGCACAGCGGACCTCGGCAGCCCCGCCTTCCAATTATAAATCTACCAGGCCATGCTCTTTTCCAGACTCTTGGTTTACCATCCCTATTCGTTTAGACAATATTTGATATCGTGATCTGTTATATCATGTCTGAAGAAACAGTTCGACCTGCCTTCGAAAGCCGTGAGCGCCCAATCCTTTCCTATGGCATTGCCTTCCCCGCAGCCACGGCCTCCCATGTCACGCACACCTTCAAGGCCTCCCGTGTATATGTCATCTGCTCTGGATCACTGGCCCGAAAAATAGATGTTATAAGCCAATTGGAGGATGCTTTAGGACCAGAGAAGCTGGTGGGACATTGGATTGGCATGCGAAGCCATACCTTGTGGTCGGAGGTACTGCAAATTACCGAAGAGGTTCGGACTGTGCATGCCGATCTGCTCTTGACTGTTGGAGCTGGGAGTTTGACTGATGGTGCCAAGATCATTGCATTGGTTAGTATTTTTGTTTTGCTGTGGAATCCGTTGGGTTTTGCTTTTCTTTCATTCCCTGTTCATATACTGTCTCAAGGATCATAAGTAGTTATTTATGGTCAACCTAACGTATTTTTAGGCCCTAGCAAACCAGGTCAGCACACCAGAAGAGCTTGAAACCCTTGCACAAGGTCCCAAAAAGCGATCAGACATCAAAGCACCAACTCTCCCGATCATCTCTGTGCCAACATCCCTCTCCGCGGGCGAGTATTCCAACTTTGCAGGTGGCACCGAGGACCATTCAAAGCGCAAATACAGCTTCCAATCACCGACCCGTGGACCCGAGCTTGTGATTCTAGATTCAGAGCTGGTCAAGACCACTCCTGATTCAGTCTGGCTCAGTTCTGGTGTACGCGCAATTGACCACTGTGTTGAAACTCTCTGTGCTGTAGTCGGTACAACAACAAAATCAGACGAGTTGGCCCGTCGTGCGCTGAGTTTGCTGGTCCCTGGTCTCTTGCGCTGCAAGAAGGACCGCAGAGATAGCGATGCACATCTGCAATGTCAACTTGGATCAGTAGATGCCATGGCAGCCTTTACGAGTGGATCAAGTGAGTTAGGCGCTAGTCATGGGATTGGACACCAGGTATGCATTTCTGCTCTTTCAATTGTCATTCAAGATGCACAGATCTTCCGAAACACTGATTCTGACTAACCTTCACCCAGCTGGGTCCGTTGGGTGTTGGCCACGGTGAGACTAGTTGCATCTTGCTTCCTGCTGTCTGTAAGTTCAATGCGAAATATGATGCCAACCGTGAGAAACAAGCCAGCTTGCGCCAATTCCTGATTCAAGACCCGGTTGTCTCAAGAGTGCTACGTAAACGCTTGGTTAACTTGGAAACATCCGACTTGGGCGACGTTTTGGATGCCATTGTTCGCGAATTGGGAATGCCTCGTACTCTGAGCCAGGTCCATGTAGGCCGAGACCAGTTGGATGCTCTAGCAGAAAATAGCCTACACGACCGATGCTGCAAGTCGAACCCGGTGCCACTGGAGGAAAAGTCTCAGGTACTGGAGATTCTGGAGATGGTGGTTTAAACGAAAGCGTGAAACAACAATTATATCATTTTTCACACTCGTGCCATTTCAATGACCACCTTCTCCCCAGCCTTCCTGTAGCCATCTTCAATACTATCCTCCAATCTTACCCTCTTAAACCCTCCCTCATCTTGCGCACCAAGTAAACCCTGTTCAATCCACTCACCGAGGTTTCTCAGAAGCCCGGCCGCACCCTCAATAGACAAGCTGACAGAATTGCACCCAACTAGCATCAATTCTCTCCGATAAGCCTGGAAGATATCAAAAGACAACATCTTGCTGACATCCCCTCTTGGCGCAGCAATCCACGCATAGCGACCCCTTCGAGCCAACTGCTCAATCGCCGCACCCATCAAAGCAACATTACCAACAGTATCAATGACGACATCCACACCTCTCCCCCCAGTCAACTCAGCAACTTTCAATGCAAGATCTTCAGCCGCCTTCTCCCCAGCCAAAATCACATCCGGCTTCGCCTCCACCCGCCGCGCAGCACTCAGCACCCGCTTACAGCCCATAGCTTTCGCAATCTGCACAGCAGCAGAGCCAACAGCCCCCGTCGCACCAATGACGAGAACGACATCATCATTAGTGACCTGTGCCTTCTGTAGACAGACCAATGCCGTCGTGAACGGAACACCGACAGTCGCGGCTTGCAGAAGTGATAGTGAGGTTGGTTTTTCAACCAGCGCCTCTAGCGGTATCAGGCAGTACTCCGCGTGGACTCCGTCAACAGTGAAGCCCAGAGTTGATCCACTGGTCCCGTAAACTTCTTTGCCAATCCAGGCTTTTGATGAGCTTGTCTCGTCGGCTGTGTCGACTACTACGCCTGAGAAGTCTCGCCCTGGTACGCGTGGGAGCGTGGTGGAGGGGAAGAGGCCTTGTGCATTGAGTCGGTCCGATGGATGGATGCAGGCGTAGTGGATTTTGACTAGTGCATGGCCTGGTTTGAGGGTTGGGATTGGTAGAGTGCTCAATGATAGTGTGGGGGTGGAGCTTGTGGAGGTGATTTGGAGGGCATTCATTCTGTTGGCCATTGTGGATGGCTCCTAGATTGAATAATTGGGATTGAGGGTTGGGATTGGGAGGATTTATAAGAACCGTTGAGATGTTGCAGTATAGTTGGATGCGGTATCGGCCCCCATTTGGAGTCCTTATAATGGGGGTTGTGATCCACCTGGACAAGGCCGACCTCGGAAGTTCTCCCGCGTTTGAGATGACTTCAAATGTTATGCTGGTCTGGTCGTCGTATTGATGTTTATATCATTTAGATGTTTTTTCGGACTCAGATCTGGGTTATCGCCCGATTTGAATCTGAACGCGTAGATATCAGACCCCAGAGCGTGATGAGAGGCATTGGAAGAATGTGGGCTTGAGGCCTTGTGCCTCAGCTTCCTCATCGTGAGACTGCGAGAGTTGAAGCCATTCAGAACAAGGAAGAAGAGTGACATCCTAGATGAGACAATCTGGAAGACCAAGATACTTCAAGACGAAGTTAGAGCCGATGTCAGGGAGCGGACAAAGAGCATCTATATAGTCTCAATATCCATGGATTCCTGCAATTGATCCTCTAAGCCTGTTATAAGGTCCTATCTAGATATGATCCAGAGGTAGAACACCCTGAAATAGAATACATATCGCCCTGACCTTGTGGAAGCCTTCAGAAATGGGGCATTGAATCGTATTGATAAGCAACCCCCACACCCCACATTCCACCGCGTATATAGAGCCCTCAGTCTACACTAAAACACCCCATTGCTAAACTCCACCATGTCTCTCGCCAAGAACATCCTCCTATTCGGCGCGACGGGCAACATCGGCTCGTTCATTCTGGACGCCATCCTCTCCAAGCGGTCCCAATTCGGCCGCGTCGCCATCTTCACTTCCCCACATACAGCCGAAAATAAGGCCTCACAGCTAAACAAGCTAAAGGAGCAAGGCGTCGAGGTGATCGTAGGCAATGTCGAAGATGAAAATGCCGTCAAGGCAGCATACAAGGGTAAAAACTGCCTCTACCAACATCAAATCTGCCCAGCCACAAAAAACAAAAGCTAATCACGCAATGTAGGAATCGATACTGTAATCTCAGCTCTGGGTCGTAATGCCCTGGCCCAGCAGATCCCGCTTATCCGCCTGGCAGCTGCCAGCACCAGCGTGAAATGGTTCTTGCCCTCTGAGTACGGCACAGATATCAAGTATGGGCCGGCTTCGGCGAATGAGAAGCCGCACCAGCTGAAGCTGAAGGTGCGCGCGTATATCGAGAACGAGATCTCGCGTGACGACCTTGCCTACTCGTATGTGGTTACTGGTCCGTTTGCGGAGATGTATCTCAATCTCATGCCTGGGTTGGAGGAGGCCGGTGGGTGGGATGTTAAGAAGCGGAAGGCCGTCTTGCTAGGCGAGCAGGGAGCGGGGGATATTAGTTTGACGACGATGAAAGAGTAAGATTCTTCTCGTTACCTCTTTCTTTCTCGGAGCTTTTGTTTCGTTGGAACGAGTGGATCATAGGCTGACTATTCTACTAGCGTTGGAACTCTTGTCTTGAATACTCTGCTTCATGCTTCGGTTGAGACGCGCAATGCTGCTTTGTGCGTCAATTCATTCACTACGAGCCCTGATCAGATTCAGGCGGAATTTGAGCGCCAGCTTGGTGGTCAGTCGTGGGATGTGTCTCGCGCATCGCTGGCAAAGTTGCGTGAATCGGAGGCGGCGGCGTGGGAGGCTGGGAATCCCGCGGCTACTGTGTTGACTTTGCGTCGGATCTGGGGTGAAGGTGGCACGCTGTATGCAAAGCGGGCTAATGAATTAATAGGAGAACCTAAGGTGATGGGGTTGGAGGAGGTGGTTGCGAATGAGATCCAGAGGGTATCAAAGCTGTGAATGTAGATAGTTTTCCGATTGGTTCTTCATAGCCACACTGGAAAGGCCAGTATGCGATCTACTTGGATATGGTTCACATAGTGGAATCCAACGTCTAAAGCTCATGGCATTCATACGTAGGAGATAAAAATTAACGAAACATGTCGGGGGTTCAGGTAACATCAGATTTCACATGATCGAGGGGAATGATTTGGGGAAATAATAAGAAAGAAAGGGCATGAAGCTCTACCGGATATAAAACAAAAGGTTCGAGCTTTATTGGAAGAACTTGCGCACGCGCTCCTGGCTGGCTGGGTCGACGGAAGCCAGGATCTGGTCTGCATTTGCACCGGTCACTGCCACCAGTTGCTTGGCAGATGTAGCCACCCGGGTAGCAGTCTGGCCCTGCAGGGTAGCCGCCTCAAGGGCCTGCACGATGAAACCAAAGACACGGTCAGCCTTGGCAAAGACAGCCGGGTTTTGCCTGGAAGTAGAATAATATTAGTATATGTATCAAGCAAAATGTTGGTACGGATCGAGGAAACATACTGGTCAATCAGCTGTGCGACAAAAGAATAAGCGTAGGGAGCAGCCTCTTCGTCGTAGGTAATGGGCAACGTCTCAATCCAGTTAGTCACGACATCCTGGGGAGCCTGAACCTTGGACGGGTTGTAGTGCAGAATCTTCGCGATACTGGCAGATGCATTCTCAGTTGCGAAGACATTCTCCTCTGTACGAGACTGCGCGTGCTGTGTAATCTGGAATAGGCTGGGAAGACTGGCTGCCACAAAATCGCTCCATGCGGCACCGCCCTTCTGAGCAGCCACACCCACTCCGTATGCTGCTGCCTGACGGTTGGCAGCATTCTCATCTTGCAATCCGGATGCCAAAGGCTGCATGATGTGATCCTTGAATGCCCATGACTCTTCGCCACAGAACTCAAGCACATCATCCATGATGCAAAGAGCCCATTGCCGCTGTGTGGGATCTTGGCTTGTGATGAAAGCATCATAGAATGGAACAAGTTGTTGCCAGGTTGGCAGGAACGTGTTGCCCTGATTCTTGAAAATAGTGTGGAATGCCTTGTTCATATCACTCAGCAAGTTTTGGTCATCCTCAACTGCATACTCGAAGTCAAGGTTCTCCTCGTCGCCGTCCTCGAGCTCAGCCTGCTCCTCCAACCGCTGCTTCACGCGCATCTGGTAATCTTCAAGAGTAGACTTGGCCGATTCAATGAACGCCTGCAAGTGCTGAGGCGTGAGGGAGTTTCTGCCAACGACCTCTACTGACTCGTAGAAGCACTGGTACATCTCAGCCAGCGTATCGACAGTCGGCTCAGCGCTCAGAACCTCGATGATCTTTTCAGCCACCTTGTTCCACATTTCAGCGAAGCCCTGTGATTGGCCACCGTGGGCCTTCTTGTAGGAGTTAAGCAGCTGGGGGATCAGCTTGGCAGCTGACACCCGCACAGGATCGTGGAAGAAGAAAGCAAGACCGGGAACCGCAATCTTCTCCATGGTTTCCAGAACGTAAGGCTCGAAGTTTTGCTCGAGAATCTGCGCATAAATGGTGATCAATTCAATAGCGGTGTTCTTGTCCTCCAGAGCACTAGTCTTGATGCCGATGATCTTGCCCTTAAGTGGCACCAGCTCCCAGCCGTCATCCTGCTCAACCTGTTCGATCTGATCCTCGTCATCGAGCAGCTGAATATCAGCCTTAGCAGCAGCCACAGTCAGAAGAGGAGGCATGACACCGGGGAGATAAGGCACGAAGTCTTGGCCTAGAACACGGCACATGCGGCCCCAGCAGTGAAGGAGGTACTGTGATTGTGGGTCGTCGGCGTCGACAATGTTCTGTTGAATGTTGCCGAGAATCTGGACAAGGTTCAGGGCATCCTGGCCCATCTTCTCCTTACCAACAGCCAATGCAATCAGAGTAGCACACTCCATGGCTTTAGCACGGAGAAGGCGGTACTCCTTACCCTGCTCCTCCTTAAGGACGTTGAGCAGAAGAGGCATCAAAGTGGCATAGTATTGATCGAAAGCGGTCTCAGCGGAATCGGCAATGGTTGCAATAGTGGACAGGGCCTGCTCCTGCAAATAACGCTTAGGGCTGCGCAAAAGGTCCAGCAGATGGCTGAGAAGGTTTCCGAGATAAGGCTCCAGAGTGCTGCGCTCTGCTTCCTCGCAGAAGTTGACAAGAGCGGCAGCGGCGTGTGACTGCACACGAGGCTCGGTAGAAGCGAGAACGGGAATAATGTTGGTGAGGACGATATCGTGGTACTTCTCCTGCATAGTACCAGCAAAGTCGGTACTCATCTGACCAAGGGCGTTGCAGCCTGCATAACGAACTCGTGGGTGGGGGTCTCGGAGGGCCGGAACGACCAGGGCCAGAACTTGGTCTAGCTCGCCGACCATCAGGTCACGACAGCCCTCAGAGATGGCGGAGATGGCCATCAGAGCAGCGTGGCGATCGCGCCAGTTAGTTGATGACATCATGCGAGGAATCCAAGAGAATGCGGGCTGAAGAATGGCCTGTCCACCCAATTTGTTGGCGAGACGATCCATGCACTGTTCACCAGCAATGTGGTTCAGGTCGTTCTCTTCAGGTTCGAGCTGTGGCTAGAGTCAGCGATACGTCAATTGTGACAAATAAGATATCGAACTTACATCCTCAGACGCGTTCCATTCCTCCGCATCGTCGTCATCCGCACCGACATCGGTCATCAGGCTCAGACACTGTGTGACCATCTCCTGTGCGAAATCCGACTCCTTTCTACACATATTCGGGGCGTAATCGGCAAAGGTGGCCATAAGCTCGAGTGCGTTCTGGCGCACCTGATCGCTGAGCTCCTTGTCAGCAATGACACTGATGCTGAACTTGACCAAGTTGTTGAACATGGCCCTGAACATCTTTGGGCTGATTTCAGCCAACTCAATCAGGGCGAGCAGTGCTGAGGAAAGCTCCTCGCTGTCGGAGGACTCCTTCAACGGAGGGAGGATATTGAGGAGATCGGGCATGAGGCCGAAGAATTTGGGCTGGGACTTCTTGGAAATCGACCGGAACAAAGACGCAAAGGCCTCCATAGCGGAAATTCGCACCTGGTGAAATCGTCAGCACTGACCTCAAAGTACGTAACTTAAACCCATCGTAACATACAGAAATATTATCATCCTTGAAGCCCTTGGTGAAAACACCCACGACAGCCTCTTCGTGCTGTCTCTCAATGATACCGGGGGTGGTTGTGAACACGCGATATGCGGTTTCCCGCAGGCCCGAGTCGGGGTTCTGGCTGGCCTGGAAGAGGACACCGAGGAGTTCAGGCCACTGTTCTCCTACAGATCATAGTTGAGTTCATCAGCATCCACAATCCGAATTCCATCTGGGGCAGTTCGAAGGACATACCATTGTCGGTGTATTGCCGAGCCACCTCAGCCAGTGCGTCTCCAATTTTCTTGCGTACGTCTGTAACAGTCTCGCTCGTTAAGCAGGCCACCAGCTTCTCACGAATGGCGACTCGCTGCTCAGTGGGGAGGCTCGAGAAAACCTCCTTGGCGTCGCCTGAGGCAGGGTCCTTGCGGGTCTTTGTTGCGATTCTCCGGAAAAGCACAGCGGAGAAAGCACGTGTCTGCCAGTGACAGTTTCTCGTTAGCTTCGATTTGAGAACAAAGTAAAGGCTCTTCTGGTGATTCGATCTTCTGAAACACTCCTTCCAAGCACCCCTAGAGTCGAGTGGGACTTACTATCGTGTCATCTGCACCTCCAAGCTGCTCTGCCAATCCCATCAACAAGACATCTGGTCGATTCTGAACCCAGTCGTTATTGAGCTGGTCTTCCGCCTGGGATCTAACGGCATTGTCCGGGGTGCTCAAGGCGCGGAGCAGCTGAGAAAGCGCGGTGTGGATTTCGGGGGGTAGAAGGGACATGTTGGGCGTGTCTGTTCCCAAGTTCCAGACGATCCAAGCAACCCAGTTCTTTCAACCCTCGTAGAAGTAATTTGGTGGGGGAGAGGGGTGGAACGAAGGAGAGGAGTTTTGTTTTTGGTGGGGCGGGGAGAAAGGGAAAAAAGAAGAATTTCTGATTAGGAGAGCGATAGATAGGCCCTCGAGGAAGTGAAGAAGAATGAATGTGCCACTGCAATCACCGCAACAAGTGGTGGAATTTGACAGAGGGCGCCGAGGGTTGCAGATTGGATTCCTTCTTGACAAAGACTGATCTTTCACTATCAAAATAAATTCCAAGGACACTTCAAAGAGCCCGTAGTGACGATGATGCAGTCGGGCGCTAAGCCGAATACAGTAACTTTCAGGCAACTAGGCCACAGGATCTGAACCGACATGACTATAAAACGGACTATAAAAAGGACTATAAGAAGGACTATATACATAATGGGAACATGGTCGATCGCGTCAAAGGACTGTTTCTAGAGAGACACCAGCCATAAGCACCTAGTTAACGCGGGTGGCATTCAGCCAAGGTCTATCTTGAAGAATTATTTGCATTGAAGGCTAAACTGAGGCCGCAACTGCTCACGTGAACAGCGGTATCTTGACGCGACATGAATATCGATATTAGAAAGAATGGGTATGCAACACTCCGGACAATCAAAGAAGTTTACTCCGCTCTCTCAGGAGGTGTGATAACCAAGGTGAATGAGACAAAGGGAAGTATTTGGAGACGAAAGGAGAGATTTGGGAATAGCGCCGAGGCCAAATTTATTTAGCGTCCACTGGGACGGCTGAGGATGAACACACCTGCAATGACCGCAGCTAGGGTGACAATGGCACCGGGGAGCAGCAAATCGTTGGGCACGCCAGCGATCAATTGCTCGTCTGGAGAGTGAGCGGACATAGCTTGTTGCTGCGGCCGGACCTTGCTCACAACAGATTCTTCTGGTGCAGGTTCCTCAGCGAGGGTCTGCTCCTCGACAGGAGTCACAATTTTGACATGTTGTTGGGATTCAACGGGAGCAGCAATGGGTGGCTGGGCGGGGTCGTGAACAAACAAATCGACCTTGTCGCGGTCAGCACGACGAGCCAGATCGATGGCATCTGTCATATCCTGGTCCGTAGTGATTGAGACGGTATCCCCTTCATTGTCCAGGTAGCTGAGCGCATATCCAGTATTGCTTAGGCAGCCCTCCTCAACCGTAGGCACACCTCCAACTGCCTCGACTTCCTTACCAAGCTTCGCTGTGACCTGCGACACAAGGTCGGTAACACCGCTGGTGGTGAGTACATTCACACGGTGTACTCGGCCGCCAGGAGCCTTGAACTTGAAGGGGAATGGTGTAGGAGGAGCTGGTTCTGCTGGGTGGTGCTGGGAGATAACTTCTGAGTGCTCGTCACCGTGGTGCGATGCAGAGTCGTTGGGAAGAAGACTGTTGTCGTAGCCCGAGCGAGTGAGATCGGGGCTCACCACAGAGCGGTGTGGGGTGTGAGGCTGATGGCTTTGGCTGCCAGAGATCATAGAGTCGGACTCGTGATCCATAGACAACCAGAACTTGTTCCACGCGGGACCCTCGTCGTCTTGGGTTGACATGGTATTGATCTACATGCATGAGTGAAACGAGCTTCAAAAGTGAGACCTGCCAAACATACCTGTTCAAGAGTGGCATATGTGAGCTTCAAGACATCCACCATGCCGACAATTTCACCACCCTCGTTCATCACGGGTAGATTGAGGTAGTGGCCATCTGCTGCGGAGTTAGCATCCTCTAGATTTGGTTACAGAAGGGAGGAACCGACCATGCATCTTGCGAAGCGCAGCCTGGATACTCATATCCGACGGGGCAAAATCGGGGTGGGGAGTCATAACACGGACAACACTGCAAGTGGAAGGGTCAAGGCCGGGAGCAATGACACGAAGAACAATATCCTTGCTAGTAAAGATACCGGTGATGGAGCCTTGGTCCTGAACCAGCAGAGCAGTAGTGTGGTGTTCCTTCATCAAAGCCGCAGCCTCCTTCACTGTGGTGCGAACAGAAACAGTGACGGGCGGCAAGCCATCCAAGACGGTCTCAAGGGTCGGGCCGGACATCTTCGACCGCAATGCTTCCACATATTGGATGACCTGCTGGGGTTGACTAGAGCCAAGTTCGGTCTGTACACCCTCCAGCGCGTCATAAAGTTTGCGAGAAGAACTGTACGCACGTTCCAACTTCTCCATAGCATCATAGAAACACTTGGTAATATCCAAAACACCGGAGATGTCCTGGTTCTCGTCCATGACAGGCAAATGTCTGAATCCTTTTCGCACCATAAGGTCGAGTGCGTCGGTCGCACTGGTATCCGTTCTTGCGCATAGGGGGTTTTTGGTCATGATCTCAGCAACGGAGACATCTCGCGCCTTTAGGCCCATTCCAATGACTCTGAAAGCCAAATCCTTGGCAGTGAAGATACCCGAAATTCGCTCGTTGTCGTCCGTGACCAACACACAGTCCTCTCTCTTGGCCGCCATGAGCTGTGCAGCCTCTGCAATGCTCATGGCGGGCTTGATCTGGAGAGCCTGACTTGGCTTTAGGGCGAGGACGGTACCAGGGGGAGCCTTGCGGGAGCTTCTCGATTTTGCTGGAGCATTCCTCTTTTTGCTGAGGTCGGCCTCCATTTTGCGGCGGATAGCCTTGTGTCAAAGTTAATAAAAAGTCAAAGCTCAAATTTGGCATCAGGAGATTCCCCATATAAGCTCTCATGACGTACCTCATCGCGTTTCGACTGGTTTTGTCGCTGTCTGCTACTTGCGGCGCTCATTGTGCCACTTCCAACTTCACTTGAGGGGGTTTGGGTTGTAGCAGCAGTTTCTGGTCGGGGTCGGGGGATGTGGGAAGCTGTGGGATCGTTTCCGAAGTCGGGCAGCCTTCCTCTCCCGATTGTTTGATTGGGCTTTCCCCGAAAAGTACCAGTGGCCGACATACTGATTATGCCAAAAGGGGAAAGTCTCACTGAAAAATGGACGGAGGGGAGGACACAAACAAGACAAGGATGTCAAGTTGTGAGACTGGTATGGGAGAGATAGCAAGGAGAATTCCTGGCAAGAGCAGGAAAAAATGGGCAGTTCAATAGTCGATCCTAACAGGGGTGTTCGTATGAGCAGCCGTAAACATGAATGATACGGTACGATCCGGGCACTAGTCTCAATTGGGCAGAGGTGCTGGTCGTGACTCGGACCACGTGATGCACGTGATTCCGACTTATTTTCGCCTGACCTTTGAGGCATCAGCCCCGTGACCCATCTCGCTTAAGGGCTTAGGGCTACCCGCACAACGCAATCCCAATCCATCCCGAACGAGACTGTGTGAGCGAGCTTCGACAACCCACTCCCGACAAGTCAACCGTACGCTATCTACCCCCCTTTCACCCACAGACCAATATCTGACCACCTACAGAACAAACCGTCAAAATGGTCAAGAAGAGGGCGAACAAGTAAGACCAACACCCCCATCTCGGCGAAGCAGTATCCCATTCGACATCTCCGCAATGACGCCGACGGAAGCGCACACGACATATATACACCAACAACATCGAAAACCGCGACCTACGCACATTGCCGGAAACGATGAATGGGAGACTGGATTCGATCGATTTGCAATCTCAGGGGCACGGTAACTAATGGATTTAATAGCGGTCGCAACAAGAATGGCCGCGGCCACGTCAAGCCTGTGCGCTGCTCCAACTGCGCCCGCTGCACCCCCAAGGACAAGGCCATCAAGCGCTTCACCATCCGCAACATGGTCGAGTCCGCTGCCATCCGTACGTGACAACTTTCCCGACACCTCGAATCTACGCCAAGATCCCGAATCTACCGCTGCAGATCCATTCGAGGAAGTTCCAATATCGAACCAGTCCAACTAACAATCTCCGCTCTACAGGTGATATCTCCGAGGCCTCCGTCTTCGCTGAGTACTCTGTCCCCAAGATGTACCTGAAGCTCCAGTACTGCGTGTCCTGCGCCATCCACGGAAAGATCGTCCGGTACGTTTCCACCGATTCTTCGCAATATTCAAATTCGCCTATCATATACTGATTTCTGGTCTATAGTGTTCGCTCCCGCGAAGGCCGCCGCAACCGTGCTCCCCCTCCCCGCATTCGCTTCAACAAGGACGGCAAGAAGCTCCAGCCCCCTTCTGCCGCTAAGGCTTTGTAAGGAGATGAATGTCGCATGACGAACAAAATAAAATGGAACTAGTTTGAAATGAATTCTTTTATTTTGTCTTCACTCTTCGCATTGGTGTTCTTGTCGACCGGATCGCAGGGGTGATGCTCGGTCCCGAAACTGCCGGCCATGCTCCTACACAGGATGAAAAAGACGACACCAGTTGTCCGATGAAGGCAGGTTGCGTGTCTCCTTACCATTGTGATGTTCATGGGCCCTTTGACGACGGCTTGTTATGACTGGGAGGATGGATGGTTCAAGTCCAAAGAAGGATTTAGAAAATATCAAAAATTCCTACAAAACATGATTGGATGACGTAGAAGTATAAGGAGTATAGTCCCTAAGTGATCTGTGCAACTGGATAGCTTGCCAAGTATGACCTTGGCAACCCACATGGTTCATGGGTACAGGTAACCCTTCTCGAAATAGTTCCCATACATGTCTACCATCCCGGTCCGCACCTTGGGCATTGGGTTCCGAACGATCTTCACTTCTCCCTTCCAGTATCCCTCGACATAGTGTGACAGTGAAACATGGGGTGATGATGGCACCAGAAGCCCGGAAATACCCGCCCCGGTCGTGCTCCGCCGCCCTCTCTCACGTCGAACCACCTGCTCGTATTCAGCCTTCTTGCCCCGACGAAAGGCCGCAAGCTCTGAAACAAGATCAACCATCTGCCCCGCATTATTCCTAGAGGTCAATGGGGAGCTGGGGCCTCTTGTGCTTTGCGATACATGTTGTCTGATTTGAGGAGAATCGGGTGAGTATATCGAGTCATCCTCGGAAGGCACAAGCGTAACCTTTTCGTTAAGCACAGCCATTGGAAAGTACTTGCTAGGATCGTTTTCAGGGACTCCACACTCTTCTTCGCCAAAGAAGCTGAAGTCGTCGGCAGCTGCAGACCAAAGATTTTCCGAATCGCGGTCACCTGTGCTTGATTGCCCCATGGCATTATATTGATTTCCGGGTTTCCATGATGTCAGTTTGGAGGTGTCGACAGGTGTGATTTCAAGAACTAAGCGTCGCAAGCCAAAGAGAGAGCGTGAGCGTTGCTGCTCGGCTTGCATGCGTGCTTTCCCTGGTGGAAGGGAGTAATCCGATCCCGCCTGTAGAGTTGCGAGCAATGCTTCATTGGAGCAGGCTGTGATGAATCGAGTGAGAGCAGAGACAATCGATGAGTTGGGTGCCACATGTGACGGTACATCCGTCAGTACCAATGTTTCCATGTGGGGAATATGTGATGGGTGCAGGTAAGGAAACCGGCTCTCCTTCCCTCCTTGGAGTGGAATTGATTGGTTACGGGGTCGTTTGGCCAGTAACATTTGTATCATCTGAGCGCGAAGATCGTTGGATGAATTCGGGGAACTGCCTCTTAAGGTTGTCTGGAGAGAGAAATCCGTCGCGGGAGTATCGCAGTCTGGAGACATGCAGATAGACGGTAATGTATTTCCATCATTCTGCTCTGTACCCGAAGTTTCTGTCCTAGAAACACCAAAGCTCATGCTTCCACTGGCGTGGTTGTGTACAGAGGTGGACTGTACAACTTCTGGAGCAAAAGCTGACCCACGTCGGACCGACGGCAAAGGCTCATCCTTGTAGAGGGTCAATCTATGGGAAGTTTGTAACCCTTTGGTTGTCCAAGTTGGATTGAGTGCACCGCTCATTGACGTATCTGCAAGTTCAAAGATTGGTCGTGTGTCTTCAGGCAACTCATGAACCAGCTGTGTGGCGTCTAGCTCGAATTGACTAACTTCACGGGGGCTTTCTTGTGCCGAAAGCTCTGGAAGAAACTCAATCTCAGATGCAGCGTCCTTGGCTGGTGGCTGGCCGGTAAGAACAGCATGATGCGCTCGAAAGTATATCAGATTGTCCCCTGCAACCTTGCCCAAAAGCGGGACAAGTTTCTCAGCTCCAGGATATTTCTCCTTCCCATAGTGGTGCGATTGATGTGCTTTATCTGGAATGCTGATGGTCCCGAAATCTAAAGCGTGTAACTGGGCAGAGACCAAAAGACTGGCGACAGCTTCCACTGATATCTGGTTGCCAGTAATATAAAGATGCGTGATTCCCGTGTTTGGTAAGTCTTCGACCCATGGATGATATAAAACAGGCTGGGCAAGTAGTCTGGCAAACTGCTCATCTAAGTCTGGGCGTCTGAAGAAGTCCGACCCAGATTCGTGGATTGAAAAGTGAGAGAAAGGATCTGGCGAAGCAGTAGATCTCCTTGGATATTGCTGCCGTGCTCTCTCGTTTGGCGAGAGAAAGGATGCCTGTAAAAGGGAGCGAACTGCCATGTCTGTGAGGATATTGTCTCTCAAGTCCAGACAACGGACTCGTCGTCCGATTGCATTAGCTAGAAATTCAGCGTCAGCATCTTTTAGCCCAATACCACGCAATTTTAGTACACGCAGAAACGGCATTCGAGTTATTGTAGACAACACGCCGCGGTCTCGTGCTGGGGTGGTGTACGAAAGATCCAAATAGGCCAATGCCGGAAACAAGAGGAGAGTCTCTGCGAGACTCGCGGATGTAGTGTTCGGCTCGCGCTCAGCTAATAAGAGCCGTATATTATACTGACTCAACCTTTGATGGTTCTTCAAGGCTGTCATGGCATTGTGATCGAAGAAAGGTAACTTTGAGACCATCAGACATTGCAGGCATGGCAGGCATTCGAGGATGTCTCTCAGCCAGCCTGGTCGCGGACCACCGTAGATTTCCGAAAGAGCTGGTGGAAGATGGAGGGTATGAGTCAATGCTCGCACCTCTCGGCGAGCAAATTTAAGAGTTCTTCTGAACCGAGTGAGAGCCACTATATAATCAAATCAGACGCTGCTTTTAAAACCATCCGCTATTGTTTTCATTCTTACCGTAGACTGCATCATTGTCTGTACCGAAGTGAGATGCTGGATCGCCCCAGAGGAAGGGCATGAATAAACCATGCCAACGACGACAGACTAGCGAAACAGCACATAGGTCGCTAGATGGGATGTAGCGCGCGATAATTGTCCAAGCATCTCTGTCCGTTGCGGATTCGTAAGAGGGCGGGATGAGATCCATATTGTCACTTCACTCCATGTATACCTTTAGTATATTGAGAAAATAATATCTCATTATGTCGTAGTCTACTGGCTTCCTTCGCAGATGACAGAAATCGAAGGCTTCTGGAAATTTGGCCCGATGTGTTGCCCGACTCAGCCACGCTGTTGTTTACAATTGCTTTTTTGGGGGGGCCATTAAGCGATCGTACCCGTGACGTGTATATACTTCGTTTGTGCCATACAGTTGGCTTGAGAAAGAATATGGGAGATATCTATCTTGTAAAATGCTTCACGATGTATTTTGTGTATCAAAGTCCCCTTTCGATGCCAATATCGGGAGGGGAATATGACGTCACCGGGGAAAGCAACTATATAAACACGTGGGGGGCTGGAAGGGCTGTTCAATAAATGCCCTTTGCACCATTTCCCCCAAAGCTGGGCAGCCTAGCTGTCTGTGTAAAGCATCACGGAAGATTTGGTCTTGTGGAAAACCTTTCGGCGGGCATAGGCCCTGCTCAACCAACTCCATCTTGCGCATCCTGGCTCGAAGCACCGCACACGTATCAGCCCACGCGCAAATATTGCCCGCGAGACCTTCAAACAAAGAATAAGGCTCATCGGGCGTACGGTAATCTTTATCGGAAGATGTAGGTGAGGTGTTGTATGGCTTCGTCTCACGTGCATGCAACATAAACGCGAGGGCCTTGGAGAGGAAGAAGTCACTAGTGAGCTTGGGACTCACCTCCGCATCTGGAAGTGCTGACAATTGATTGCGCCGAAGAAAGTTGGCTCTAGCCTCGTCTAGATTGCTTGAGTAGTATTCAAAGCAGTCATGAAGGAGGAGCCATGCCCATGCATTGCCGGCCACGCCGTGACACAGACTACCTCCCTTGGACAGCAGGCCTTCTTCCCATACACGCTCAGTGCCCAAGCGTATGGCTTGGTCCCAAATTGGTTCCCAATAATTACATGTCAACCATTCATTCTTCAAGGCAGCTCCCAACAGAACTAACAGCCCTGGGCTCCCGTGGCAGAGTTGAACTAGCTCCGTGCGTTTCCCAGAGCCAAATGGAGGTAGTGCCATCGGAAGATGACCGTTGGCGGCAACGGATGTCTTGCAAAATGCAGTGATAGTATCACCAATCAGAGGAAGGTAAGCAGTAAGCTCTCCAGGCTTACATGAAAGTAGGATGGTCAAAATACCGGCTGAAATCACACTTCAGGGTTAGTTGTTGTAAGCACCGAAAGATCATTTGCTAGCTTACTTATTCCATGGACGCTAATGAAACTTGTTAGTGACCCATTACGATGCTAGTGAAGTGGCCATGTACTCACGCCCCAAAACAGTAATATCCTTCTACCCACGCATACATCAATGGATGTGCGTCTTTGTGTCCGTTTTTCTCAATGTATTCCCTGGAACCTTGTTGCCCAGCATCAACAACTACTCGGATGAATTCAGGGATCGTCTCCAGCACAGGTAGAAGGAGGTTCTGGGTCTCTTGATCGAAATTATGAGCACGAATATTTAACAGGGCCCAAAGTAGTCCTGCTCGGCCAAACAACATCTCATCTCCGCCCATTCTGCGGCCATCATGGGCAACAAGAGGCTCGTTATTTAGAGCCAATTGCACGGCATCATGAAGACAAGTGATATCCTCTCTTGCGATGCTGACATCGGCATTCTTCTGCCAATGTGTCTTCGCAAGAGTAGCCAGAATGCGCAGAGAGACAGCAGTCATGGGCGAAGATGAACCAATCGGAGACAGTCGGGAGGCTAGGAGAGGAGTATCCGGGAGGCTTGACGGTATTCTTTGTAGCGCGTAATTATGGTAGTCGGGAGAGTTAACCGTGGGATCTTCTAGCACTGGCAATTGATAATCCAGACGTAGGAATGCCAACGCAATGCCTGTCATCAGCTGTTAGTTGATCATCGTTTCGAAAGGCGCGGCTCGAAGATGGAATACCAGGCAAATCTCTAAATAGGCCATTGGCGCCCCATCCCTTCGGGATCAAAGTATTCTCCTGTATCAACTTGGCCCCATTGCGAACGGCGATGCGGAGTTCTTCGAGACTCTCGGAGAGCGTGGCTGCGTTGACCGATACTGGGCTTAAGGTATTCTCGAAGTATCGTGGACGCTCTGACATGATGCAATTTTTGTATACTTCAAATTTGTATAGATTTGCGAGAGATTGCGTGGCAAAGAGGAAGCTCAGCTCTGCAGGTCTCAAACTTGGGGCTTTCTGACAGTGGGGGCCTCCCGGGGCCGCCCCCAACCTTGTACTTCTCTATAGTTACTTGGAACACACAGTCATCGGCAAATTCTCCCATCTCCTCTAGCAAGTTTAGTGATATGATCACAGAATGACTCTGTTGTACATAGATGTGTCAAATTGGACCCACCAAAACTCAGCAGCCCCATAGTCCCACAAACCGAATTAGGTACATATGCAGAACTCCGCAGTATGTACTCCGTACATACATATTACCTAGGTACATCTATGCTACCGGATGGCTCCATGTCTTGGTGCGGGTGAAGTGTCGTTTCTATCCTTCGGCCCTCAATGATGCGTAGGTGATATTGGTCGTGTCTGCCCTGAGATCCCGTCCACTGTTTATAGGTCATCGTTTCACTTCAAACCCCAGTACGGAGGACAACATCACCTGGGTAGGCCTGTACCTACCCCGGACAACGGTGTGCACCGATCCAGTTCCTTCCCCAGGACATAAGGCAGCAACAGGGCTGCCTGAACCCCTTACCTCAGCCCTGAGTCAGCACGGACCACGACTTCCCGAGTTGCGTTGTGGCCGTTCCGGACTCGAGAATACTCACGCGGTCCTCGAAGTGCGATTGAGGACATCCTTCTAGAAGCAGCCCAGAATGTCAGTGAATAGACCCCTGTTAAGTCCAACTTGATATAGCCATTGCGATTTTTTGTTACATCCATTTAGCTTTGTGGAATAGATTCAAACTAACCATGGCAAACAGTTGTGTGATTGGCAGATCCCAGAGTGCCATCTTACCATGTCTGAAGTACATGGAGATTCAGAGCTCGTCCCAGCGGGCCCTGAGCTAGATTATCCGCTTGCTCTGGCGCCGCGACAGGTGACTTTGCGAGATCGGGTTACAGTCGCAACGTTGGTCCCTTTTGCCTCAGCAGAGGAGGTACCCCGGGCCCTAATGAAGTACCTCTCTGATCAATTCAACAAAGAGATCGAAAAGGGTGATACATATGCTATGACTGAAGCCATTCCATTAGCTCAATTTGGACGCTATTGGTTCTCGAATTTTGGCGTGGTCATGCTTACTGGTGAAATCGAGAGTGCAGAACAAACACATGCAATGGACCGTGCAGGAGCCAATTGGAACAAGATCTGCCTCGGTGGCTTCCATATTCGACCCAACTACCCTGGCCGTAGTAGTCATGTCTGCAACGGTACATTTATTGTCACCGATGCTGCTCGAAATAAGGGTGTGGGTAGACTGATGGGCGAATCATATCTGGAGTGGGCGCCTCGGCTCGTGAGTGTTTCATCGCTAGATCTCTAAATGGGCACTTCATTAACATTGACTAGGGCTACACATATGCAGTCTTCAATTTGGTCTATGAGTCCAATGTTGCATCGTGTCGTCTGTGGGATTCGCTTGGCTTTAAACGCATTGGTAGAGTCCCCGGTGGAGGCAGTATCAAGTCTCAACCTGGAGAATTCGTCGATGCAATCATCTATGGAAGAGGCCTCAGTCTGGATGGGGAGGACTCTGTGTCTCAGGATCGCTTTGAGAAGATTCGTTATTACCTGAAGCACGCCAAGTATCCCCGTGGTGCGGATCGAGCTGAGAAGAGTCGACTCCGCAGTGCGGCGACACATTACAAGCTCCTTGGAGGCGAGGATGGCGAGCCTGAGAGGCTGATGCTGAAGGATAAAGAAGTGGTGTCAGACCCGCAGCATCAGTATAATATTGCCCAAGACGTTCATCTCAAACAGCATGCAGGAATCAACAAAACCACGGCAGCTATTGCAACCAAATATCACTGGGTCAGAATCAAAGAAACTGTCAATCGTGTGATTCGAGACTGCCCTCAATGCAAGGAGACTCTCAAGACGCCCCCCATTCCAGGGAGCAAAGAGGATGATCGTTCGCCATCGGAAACAATTTCTGGCATGGACATGGACAGTACACTGGAACAGCCACATAAGGAGCCTGTCAACCTTCCGCAGGCGATGGACGAAGCACCCGATGAACCTAGCTACAACCCTCTCATGCACCAACCCCTTCCTGCTGCTGGGCCCGGCACGGTCCAATCCATGGCTGGGTTCGCACCTATGCCTCTTGACCCTCAAATCATGCAAATGCAGCACCAACTACGACGCTACCAGCAACATAATGCTATGGGGCAATTCGCACCGGTCCCGCACAGTATTGGCATGTCAAGCTTTGACGATGCAATGCGCTATCATACAGCCAGCAACGCTTATCAAATGATGGTCGATGACGGCTCAGATCCTTTTCGACAAGACGTCCTTGGGCTTGTGAATCCACCGCCACACGAGTTACAGCATGATGCTGAGTTACTTGCCAAGTTCGAGTACGGAAGTCCATCGGATGGGAATTACGACTTTACGTGAACAAGCCTCCACTTTTTCTTTCGGCCTTTTTTTATCCTCTCGGGGTTTTCTCTTATAGCTTGATCCTTTCCCTAGTTATTATTATTTAATTGTCCATCGGCGTCTGAGGCGTGCATTCGTTGGTCTGGGATACTACTGATACTCCACCAGTCTTGTACTATGGGCAGTGAAGCGACGCATTTTGCTACATACACTTCTGGTTCTCTTTTTCTTTGAATGTGATAATATCATCAAGATCATAGAGCTTGGTTCTCAATGTAAATTGGGTATATTACATGTGTACATACATAGTAGGGTTGAGGAGCCCTGATTGGTCACCGCCTTGCGCGACTGGGGGGTTTTGGGGGAACAGGAGCTCTGGGAAATTTTGGCAGATCAACCCCTCCGACCTTTCACCCCAACATACCCCTTTTCTTATTTCTTTTTTTTTTTTTATTGAACCGTTTAGTATCCGAATACCGATCTAATCATGGCCTTCAACGGCCAAACCCCCACGATTGTCGTGTTGAAGGAGGGTATGTGTTGTCTCCAGCGCGGGCAGTTTTGTTGGTGGGATTCCGTCACCCATGCTAACTACTGCTGCTTTGCAATCTACAGGCACCGATGCCTCTCAGGGAAAGGGACAGGTTATTTCCAACATCAACGCATGTGTTGCAGTGCAAGCAACAGTCAAGAGCACTCTCGGCCCGTACGGTGGTGATCTCCTGCTTGTGGATGCCAATGGCAGACAGACCATTACAAACGATGGAGCCACAGTTATGAAGGTGAGTTTTTGTTTTTGATGCGAATCTGAAATCGGGATAAAGTGCTGGCTCTAACTTTTGTTTCTCTCTGACAGCTTTTGGATATTGTGCACCCCGCCGCCCGCATTCTCACGGATATCGCTCGGTCCCAAGATGCCGAAGTTGGTGACGGAACGACCTCCGTGGTTGTCCTGGCTGGTGAGATTTTGAAGGAGGTGCGAGACCTCGTTGAACAGGGTGTCAGCTCCCAGACCATCATTAAGGGTCTGCGGAGGGCGAGCGCCATGGCAGTCAACAAGGTTAAGGAGATTGCGGTCGATATGTTGCACGAGGCAGATAGCCAGGAGAAGAAGGTCGAGACACTAAGACGGTTGGCCGCCACAGCCATGAACAGCAAGCTTATCAAGCGGAATTCGGACTTCTTCACAAAGAGTGAGGAACTTCTACTTAGCGGCTGCGATTATTCAGAGGCTGACGATATGGTATCATAGTGGTTGTGGATGCGGTGCTTTCGCTCGATCAAGATGATCTTAACGAGAGATTGATCGGTATCAAGAAGATTACCGGTGGTGGTCTCCAGGATTCGCTTTTCGTTGACGGTGTCGCCTTCAAGAAGACTTTCTCCTACGCCGGTTTCGAGCAGCAGCCCAAGCACTTTAAGAACCCCGGTATCGTGTGCTTGAACGTCGAGTTGGAGTTGAAGAGCGAGAAGGACAATGCCGAAGTCCGTGTCGAGCAGGTCTCAGAGTACCAGGCTATCGTCGATGCCGAGTGGCAGATTATCTACAACAAGCTTGAGTCCATCTACAAGACAGGAGCGAAGGTTGTGCTCAGCAAGCTGCCCATTGGCGATCTTGCCACACAGTAAGTGTTCTTTATCTACTCTGTGGCATGCGTCTAGATACTGACGGTACGATTTATAGGTACTTCGCGGACCGAGACATTTTCTGTGCCGGCCGTGTCGCCTCGGACGACATGGACCGTGTTTGCCAGGCCACCGGAGCTGCAACCCAATCGACCTGCACTGACATCCAAGAGCGCCACCTGGGTACCTGTGGTGTGTTCGAGGAGCGCCAGATCGGTGGAGAGCGTTTCAACCTGTTCTCCGACTGCCCTCTCGCTAAGACTTGCACTCTTGTGCTGCGTGGTGGTGCTGAGCAGTTCATTGCGGAGGTGGAGCGCAGTCTTCACGATGCCATCATGATCGTTAAGCGTGCTCTGCGCAACACAACCATTGTCGCTGGTGGTGGTGCTACTGAGATGGAGCTGTCGAGCTACATGCACGGCTTCGCCGACCGTAACGTTCCTCACAAGCAACAGGCCGTTGTCAAGGCATTTGCCAAGGCTTTGGAGGTTATTCCCCGCCAACTGTGTGATAACGCTGGCTTCGATGCTACAGACATTCTGAACCGCTTGCGTGTGGAGCACCGCAAGGGTAACACCTGGGCCGGTGTGGACTTCGACAACGAGGGCGTCCGTGACAACATGCTCGCCTTTGTTTGGGAGCCCAGTCTGGTCAAGGTCAACGCCATTCAAGCCGCAGTGGAAGCCTCTTGCTTGATTCTGAGTGTGGACGAGACGATAAGTAAGTGACTTGCCAACCCTACATCGTATTAATTTTTATTATCTGCAGCATGGCTAACACATCCGTTCCCACAGAGAATGAGGAGTCAGCTCAACCTGGTCAACAGCGCGGTATGCCACCAGGTGCTGCCCAGCGCGCCCTTCGGGGCCGTGGCCGCGGCATGCCCCGCCGAGGATAAACGCGTTTGGCCAAGATTGGATGATGGTCGATGATATTCCCCCTAAAAAAGAAAGACATGCAAGGCCGATGGACACGCAGCAATCGGAGCGAACTCTGCTCCGGGCTTGGTGGCCTCCCAGCCAGTGTCTGTGAGATGAATATTGAATATGAAGTACAGGGCGAATAGAAGACGAGTTTGTAGACATAATCAGACTTGAACCGGTCTTCCCAAGTACATAGTTCTCATGAAAGTATTGCTTCTTCGATTTCGATCTCGTGCATGCAGGGGATGTGTCCCATCTCTCAAGACCGATCAATTCCGGATATGGCCTACCTACCTAGGTACCCTGGACATTCGCGAGACCGGGTATACTTTTAGATTAAGTGGAATGAGATTTGAGCCATACTCAATCGACTCCGTACTCCGTACTCCATATCGCGTAATTAGCCCGGTAATTAGGGAAGCCCTTGGCCGTTTTATTGGCCAGTGCAGCCTCTTTGCGCCAAGCCAGCCCTATTGAATCCCCCCTCTGTATGACGCGCAGGACGATCAATAGTCCTTGTAGGTGCTCCGTGGCAACACGGAGGATTTTGTATGAATCAGTCATGCCCAGGTCATTCAACGTACTCGGTAGTTGCAAGTGGAGCCCAATGGCTGGGGCCTTGGGCTTCAGTCTGACAGGGGCTGGTCGGAGGCGCCGATGAACGCATGTCAGATATAAATCCCCATTACGTGGGATTCTTCTTCTTCCTTTCCCCCTATTTTGCTTGATCTTTCTGGGACTTGGTGAGTTCCAATCAACTGCCTTATCGGGAAACACGGGAGTCTTCGTAAGTGATTCAGGTTGACGATCCCCTCATTCCCAGAACTGCCTCGGCGCTGTAAACCTGCGAATCCCAGCTTCAAAGTTCTTTTGATTTGTCTTTTTGATTCTTTATCTTCTTTGCTTCTGCTCTTTCCAGGATTGATTCGTTGCACTGTTCGAGGCTTGGCGGCTGCCGTGCTTCCGATCTCTTTTGCCTTCAATCTTTCCTTTCCCCACATCCAACGTCGCGTGTTGCTCTTGATCTTCATTTCGGGGCCTCGGTCGTTTTTCCACTGGTCTACATTTGATCCTATCGCGAGTGATGTCTTACTATCCACCCTACTCGGGCGCGCCGGGTTACCCCCCGCAGCAGCCATCTTATCCCCCGCAACAGCAGTACTCGTATGCTTGCTTGATCCTTTTGCCTGCAGCCTGGAGAACACCAAGAATCTGACCATAACCTGATCGCAGACAAATGAGTCATCATCAGCAGCCATCTTATGGCGGTTATCCCGGCCAGTCGTACCACCAACAGCCGCAGCAATCCAACCCCTATGGATACAGCCATTCGCCTCAACCCCAACAGTCCTACGGCGGACATGCTCCTCAGCAGAGCTACAACGTATGCGATGACGAGACTCTGGCTTAATGTATACGGATCTGACGTATCTCAATTATTTGCAGGCCCCGCCATCCGGATACAACCAGCAGCCAATGCAAGGAAGACCAGGTTCGACTGCTCCAGGCTCAGCAACACATTCACAGCACAAGCTAATGCCAAAACTCTAGCTTACGGTCAAAGTGGCGGTCCACCTCGTCCTCCCAGCAACCCCGTCGCCTTCGGTCACGGCGCTCCCCAGGGATATAACTTCCAATACTCTCGTTGCACGGGCAAGAGAAAGGCATTGTTGATTGGTATCAATTACTTTGGCCAGAAAGGACAGCTGCGCGGATGTATCAATGATGTCAAGAACATGTCGGCCTATCTGAACCAGAACTTCGGTTATGCTCGTGAAGACATGGTGCTCTTGACTGATGACCAGCAAAACCCGATGAGCCAGCCGACCAAGGCAAACATTCTGCGGGCCATGCACTGGCTGGTCAAGGATGCCCAGCCCAATGACTCGTTGTTTTTCCACTACTCCGGTGAGTAATCAAGTTCAACTGCACTCCCATGAAGATGAATTAACAAGATATGCAGGCCACGGCGGTCAGACACCTGACTTGGATGGCGATGAGGAGGATGGATATGATGAAGTAATCTACCCAGTGGACTTCCGTGCGGCAGGCCACATCGTTGATGATGAGATGCACCGTATCATGGTGCAGTCTCTACGACCCGGCGTCCGGCTCACAGCGATCTTCGACTCCTGCCACTCTGGCTCCGCTCTGGACCTCCCTTACATCTACTCCACTTCCGGTGTGCTCAAGGAGCCCAATCTGGCCAAGGAGGCTGGACAAGGGTTGCTTGGCGTGGTGTCGGCATACGCGCGTGGTGATATGGGCAGCATGGTGTCAACTGCCATGGGCTTCCTTAAGAAGGCCACCAAGGGTGACGAAGTGTATGAACGCAACAAGCAGACCAAGACCAGCCCCGCAGATGTCATCATGTGGTCCGGCAGCAAGGACGACCAGACCAGTCAAGACGCCCAGATTGCCGGCCAGGCTACGGGCGCCATGTCCTGGGCTTTCATCGCGGCCCTTCGGAAGAATCCTCAGCAGAGCTATGTCCAGCTTCTGAACAGCATTCGTGACGAACTCTCTACCAAATATACCCAAAAGCCCCAGCTGAGCTGCAGCCACCCTCTAGGTAAGTGTCCTCGGGTCACTTAACAGCCGTAAAATTCTGACCAGCTTCACAGATACCGACATTCTCTATGTAATGTAATTACAACTGGAACTGCAGATAAGGAGTGATGAGTGTTTAGCTCGCAACGAAGCATGCTTTGAGTCTAATGAATCGTTCTGTACGTAATTTCGCCCTCGGCTGCATATTTGGCCTGTGGGTTGGTGCCCTATTCGGTGCGCTATTTGTGATTTATTATCATAATCCCTTGATCACTGTCTTCTTCCTTATGCAGATTGGCTCGGTGACGAAAAGCATCGGTCTGTCTGACATCATTCGTAGACCACTTAGCCCATATGCACGACCAAATACACCACACATGTACACTTGTCGCTGTGAGGCTACTGCTAGCTAAGAGCAATCGACTACATGTTATTCGTGAATTGAACTAGTCGCCTCTCCATATGATGAGATCCTTCGTCGGTCCATCATTGGCGGGAGAGTGGACCGAGTGAAATGGCGTAGGGCTGTGCGGATTTCATATCCCCAGTGTGGGGATGTTTATATGTCATTCTTGTTCCCGAAGTATTGAAACTCCTGAACTAATATGACAGCTTGTACATTTGTCAATTGAGAGTGGCTTTGGTGCTGGCACGCAAGCTTCTCCAAGCAGCACGATGCAGTCTTTCTATCAGCACCGCAGGATCCGCAGAAAGCTCGAGCTACAATTCGTTACGAGGCATGAGAAACCCGAAGACATCTGGACCCACGAGGGCCGCTACTATTACCGTGATGGAGAAATCCAAACATGCCCTCATGAGCCAGATGACGACCTACCTGCCGATAGAAGGAGGGAGCATGGCCACCGTACTTTCATATCCGGGCCTTCGCTTTACCCTCGCCATTCAGTTCGATCCCATTTGGAGCGGGAGGGAGACTTTGAGCGAGCGGATTTCGACCCGGAGCTCCAAACAGATCCGCATACTATCAACACAGAGGAGACGCTGGGAGATACAACTGAGATGATGATAACTGGCATTGAGAGACCCCGGCCAGGCATCGGTGCAGCCGCTGGGATATCCGAAGGTGCTCCCGTTGGGGTTGACGACCGTCCTATCGAAACTGATTCTGATATTGACTCAATTAAGAAAGACAAACTCATCGCCGTCACTTTCGAGGGGGAATGTGATAAAATGGATCCTCACAACTGGAGCTTGGCATGTCGAATGTATACTACGATTCTTACTTCGCTTCTTGCGTGCGTGATCTTCTGGTCGTCTACTATCGATACCACTGCCCTTACCTCAACCAAGTTATTGTTTCATACTAGCCTCGAGGTCCAGACTTTACCAACCGGTATGTAACGAATCTCTTTTCATAACACGAAGAACACTAACCGACATTCTGTCATCAGCTATGTTTTTGATCGGCTCTGGGCTGGGGGCCTTGGTAACAGCACCTGTATCAGAACTTTTCGGCCGCAATCCCGTGTACATACCGACCATGGTAGCATTCATGCTGTTCAACATGGGTGCAGGGCTTTCCCAAACAGCGGTACAGCGAATTATTTGTCGTGGCCTCGCTGGACTCTTCGGATCTGCCCCGTCAGTTCTAGCAGCAGCAACTCTCGTAGATGTCTGGTCCCGCATTGAGCGAGTCTACGCCTTTCCAGCTTTTTCCATCATAGTCTTCACGGGTCCACTGGTCGGCCCAATACCGGGGTCTGCCGTCGTGAGTGAGACAAGCTGGCGCTGGGTGGACTGGATGACTATTATCTTCGCAGCCCTCATCCTGGTCCCGGTCATACTGTTTCTACCAGAGACATACAGTCCAATTTTACTATACTGGAAGGCAAAAGAGCTCCGTCGTCTGACAGGCGATGACCGATACCGGTCCCCACTGGAGTTCAAACGAGTCTCGTTCCTCCATCGCCTACGAACCTCACTATACCGACCAATTCTGCTCTTCACGACCGAACCAATCATCATGATCCACTCGGCCATCCTCTCCCTCCTCTTCATTATTCTGTATACTTTCGTTGCAGGCTATGTCGCCATATTCGAACATGAATACAAATTCAGCTCGGTTACCACCGCCGTCGCATTCCTGGGCATAGAGGTCGGAATCCTCCTCTCTGCAGCGGTAGTCCCACTGTCAATGTGGCTCATGCGCAGAGAGATCCACCGCAGCCGTGCAAGGGGCCAGTCACGCCCAGACCCGGAAATCACTCTATACATGGGCATGTTCGGGGCCCCGGCCGTGCCCATCTCGCTGTTCTGGATGGGCTGGACGTCCAGGCCGGAGATCTCGCACTGGAGTCCGCTAATCGCCTCCGTGCTTTTTGGCTTCGGCACATTGTGTATCTTCATTTCCGCGTATCAGTATGTCGCTGATGCGTTCGAGCTCCATGTTGCCAGTGCGCTTTCGTCTCTACAGGTGTTGAGACTTGTTTCTGCGGGTGTCATGGCTATTGTGGCGGAGATTATGTATCATGCGCTTGGGATTGGGAGGACTTTGACGCTTTTGGGTGGTCTTTCGTTGTTGTTTTTGCCTATGCCGTATTTGCTTTATTGGAAGGGGTATAAAGTGCGGAAGTGGAGTCGGTATGCGCGTAGTAATGAGTAGGGTTGAACTATATATACGTACATAGATCAGCTGTTGAGTACAGGAATATCAGCTATCTGTCAACCTGATACTGCGATACATTTTTGAAGTGCTCACCCTTTAACACAGAGTCAGCTACAGACTGGGACACTAACTATGAGGAGTAAGTGCGGACGAAGCAGATGTGGATTACGGGAGTATATTCATTGTTCCTAGCAAAGATATTAGCATATACACCGGATTTTAGGTGTTACAACCTAACGTACGCGGAGTACGAATACGGTGCGCATATATCTTGTAGCACATATCGGGTATTTAGGTTGGTAACCTGACATGACGACCAGTTGGTCGTCATAGTGGCTCTTTTGGTAAACGCTCTACCTTACCATTACTTCCTAGTTTTGCAGTGGTGTCAGGCCCACTTGCCTTAACAGAAATAGATGATAAAAGTAATATTCAAACCTAAACAGTGCTAAATAACAGTGTCTAGGGCCTAGGCGAAAAGAGAGTCGTACCAAGCTAAACAGGTCGTGAGTGACAAGCTCCCCATTTGATAATTCAGAGATGTTCATCTTACCTCGGACTTTGCTTTGCTCAGCCAGACATATACGGCCGACGACTCCATTAGCGACTTGAAAATCTTCCTCGTGGCGGGCTACATGCTTCCGCAAGTTTGCAGTGGCATAGCGATGCTAATAACAGGAAGAGCAAAGCTATCGGTTACTGATGCCTTGTAAATGCATTAATGCTTTATTTACCTTTTTTGTAATACATCCAGGGTAGCGACAGAATTGCTCCCCAACGTGGATAATCACTCGGTTCTGCTCATCCTATATGTTATTGATCAGCCACTTTACACTCGCTATATCCATCACCTCCACTCTTTGGTTTCGCAATTTTTTCGAAGTGTAGGAGCTTATACTCTCGTACTCAGGCATCACAAATTCACCAGAGGCAACTTCATAAATGTAACGGACATATGAAGGGTGCTTGGCCAGAAAGGCTGGACTAGTCATGATCAGGCAAATTGGGACCCGGAGGAATATTTTAACAAGAAGCTTCGAAGGCTGACTATCAAGAATTTGATGGCATAAAACGATCCTGCCCTCAGTGTCGAAGATCATTTATGTTTGTATGCACTCTATAAAGATGGTCACGTGCGAGCATCAAACAGTCGTACTTGAGGTTGTGTCCTCGAATTTATCTATCTGATTTTGGGAAGACATCGGGGCGTTTTCTTTTTCTTCTAATTCTATGGGGTGGGAGATAATCGGATGAACGTTTACTGATCGCCAGCGTCCGTCTGGTCTCCGTCATGATCCTGTTGCTCTCAAGATGTCCATCACCCTTGAAGACAATCAGCCCCCTGGGTTCTTGCGTTTGGGTCCCACCTGGTATCATGAAATCCCTTATTTGCCTCATGGATGGGAAACGACCAATGATAGAGGCTCTGGATCGCTCAAGCATGCAGCAATGAAAGCCCTATTGCAGGACCAGTCTGCCCTGGGACCGGAGTTGTTCGAACATATCCACTGGTATCTAGCAAAGTACCTTTGGGATTGTCTCAAAAACTGGTAAGTCAACCCTTGAATTTTTTTTTTCGGATGCCCTAGCAGGTCTGTGGATTGACTTATTCCGATCTAACTGTTCGCACAGCAACAAGCAGACCATGCACATGTGGAAAATCATGGCCGCTGTCTATCCTGCGCAGTTCTACAAAATTTCTCCCCACTATTCCCTCAATGCTGGCTGTCCCAAAAAACCACTAGAAGACTACATGGGTATCCTTAATAGCAACGACTTTCACTGGCGTGCAATCTTGACCATTGCAACTACCTTCTGTTCTACCACAGATCTCACCGCTATCCCAAATATCAAGAATTTGGTCGCACTGGATGTATACAGTGAGCCCTACGCATCGAATCTCGTCCCATTAAATCCCGTGGACGTTGGCAACGGAGGTCTTTCCCTGCAAGATGGATTTGTGCGGGGTTGGATCGAGTCCAAGGCACTGCAGCACTTGCGCATCCTCCGGTTTTACCACCAGCACGAGATGACTATTGCCACACTGAGAGCTCTGCGTGAGCTACCAGAGCTCCAGCTTGTTGTAGCATACGAGTGTAAAAAGATCAAAAAGACGATTCAGGAATACGATAAACCCGCAGATGCAATCATTCCCATCGAGGGTTGGTCGGCCTGCAGACTCGATTGGTTCTGGGAGAAACATGGGACGGCCAAAACAATTGATGATTATCTCCTGGCTCTGTTTGATGTGTACCAGTCCAGTCTGAGGACTTCCGAAGGCGAGCAACCACAGAGACCATCGTCGTTGGATACAAATCTTCCGATCTTGGAGTTCAAATTACCTACTGTCGATCACAGCAGAAGAGAGAGGGTGGTTATCCGCTCTCGTTACAATGCAAAGTCAATTGTGCTGTTTACAAGAGATCCTGCGAAGTTAAATTCTGACGCTGAGAAAAGGAAGCACCGCGACAGAGTGAAAAGGCGAGCTGAGCCACTGGAAAAAGGTGATCGTCCTGCTAAGAGGGCGGTGATGAAGGAAAGAGGAGCAACTGATATTTCCAAGACCTTGAGTGATTTCTTTTGATCGCAGACTAGTGCAATGGAATTGAAAATGCTGTGTCATTTCTCGGCGTTTCTCCGCATTTCTCGGCATTTTTGCGTATGTCGATCTCAGTGCGGAGTATAGATCAGTCTGTACATGTATGCACACACAATCCCAGTCTGTACTTTGATCCCAGGGACGCGCGAATAGAAGATGACTCATCGGGGAATGATGTCAGCGAGGTCAGCATCCACGCTGATTGGCTCGACGATCAACCCCGCTCAAGATGATCAACATCACCTGATGACCTCAGTAGAGGCATAAGGAACACTCTGCATCTCATACCATATTGATGACCCTGCTGTTTAAATAAGCATCTCCAAATTGGAGACGATTGACCTCCATGACGGACCGGATGCACTCCCGCGAAGGGTCCGAAAGTTCTCTCAACAATGCCATTGTTTCTCCACGATCAAGCGCCGAATCTCGCTCTCCCTCCGCACGAACACAACTCCGCGTTTCACACATGCCTCCATCAAATCATCAGCATAGACCCAGTTTGAGCGAGTCACTTCGGGGCCCTCCTGGCTCTCCCCGTGCACGCCGACAACCGTCTCTTCCACAGTCTGCTCTCCAGAGCCTTATCGACAACCCTCCGCCACCGAAGGCCACTGACCCTGCCTTTGTTGGACGTGATTGGAGAAAAATTTCAATTGGCGAGCTAGTCAGTCCGGATGATTTGAAGTTTGTGGAGCTCGATACGGGCGTCGAGGAGGCAACTAACGTGGGTTACATCAAAAAACAATACTGGTTCCTGGACTAACTAGGTTGTTTGTATAGATCCTCATCGACTCCGGTGCACCTGTGTTGCTGATCCGCGAGACTCCTGAATCTACCTCTGCTGTCGCCACGTTTGATTATTCCGATCTCAACTCCTATCTTTTGCTGGCAGCGGGCCTGACCTCTCCCGACGAAGCGTACCGAGCGTCGTATGACGCGCTGGCCAAGAAAGCCCATGATGGGGTGCCGATTCCCCTCCGCGATGTCAAGAAGTTTGGCATGGAAAAGGAGCCGCTGATCAATCTGCCAACCTCGGCCAATGTCTTGAATGCAGTGGAGATCTTTGGTGGTGGTGTTCACCGGGTTGTGGTGGTCAATGAGTCAAATGACAAAGAAGTCGTTGGCATCTTCAGTCAGTTCCGATTGGTGAAATTCCTCTGGGAAAATGGTCGCAGCTTCCCGATTATTGAGGAGCTCTATCCGAAAGCCCTGCGGGAGCTGGTGATTGGTTCCCATGAGGTGATCTCTATCAAGTAAGTCGTTGTCGTGTACAAGGAAGTTTTTGAAGACCAGCCTAACCACCATGATGTCATCTGTAGTGGTGACAAGCCTCTATCTGATGCCCTCCATGTGATGAACAACGAGGGAATGTCCTCAATCGTGGTCGTTGACAATTATTTGAACGTACTTGGGAATATTTCCACGGCAGACGTTAAGGTACGTGCAACGAGTGATCTTAATTGGTAAAATCGACTGACCGTTTGGTAGCTTTTGACTCGCTCATCTTCATTGCCGCTTCTTCACAACACGTGCACTAACTTCATCTCGGTCATCCTGTCCACACGGGGGTTGGTTGAGGGTAAAGACTCATTCCCGGTCTTTCATGTCAACCCAGGATCGACACTGGCTCATACCGTCGCAAAGATCGTGGCAACTCGATCACATAGGTAATGATTGCAAACTCGAGATACAAAGACGAAATATACTGACTGATATTCTAGGCTGTGGGTGACCGACCCCTCATCGCCCGCCTCGTCGGGACCGCCAACTCCATCTCATTCTTCAGTACACATTCCTATCTCTAGCGGCATCGGCCCAACTACTGGATCGCAGTCCGCGAATTCTCCACCACCATCCCCCCTTCCAGCACCTGTGACACCCTCAGCACAACCCTCTCAATACACCGCTCCTCATCTACCAGCTCCCAATCCACCTTACACATTCCCAGCCACAGGTGTGCCGGCTCCAATGCCGTCCCCAATTTCGCATTCTATCCCTTCCGCGGCCCTAGACGGAGCCAGGCTCTCCGGGCGCCTAGTTGGAGTAGTCAGCTTGACTGACATCTTGAACCTACATGCCCGAGCCAGTGGACTGAACCCAGCAGATCCCTCCGAGTCTCGGAACCGCCGCCGACGCAGTAGTTCGTCGAGCCAGAGTGTTCGTCGCAGTGGTGATATTGGCCGGGAGCTTTTCAGCCGGGGTGGTATGTAGAAGCATCACTACTCCGTACATGGGTGCACTTGGGCTCCTTCGTAGAGCATGGAGCATGTTCTCTAGCGCTTGCACATTTGGAGACAGGACACACCCACCGCCCCTGTCCTATGTGTCTGAACTTGTTACAAGCCCAATCCCACTCCCCTCCTCCAATCACCATGGATATCTGTCACGTCTTACCGATCTCGCAAGACCAGAGACAAATGAGTTGATTTTGGACAGTCATCATTATTAGCAGCGGATATGATCTCCATTGTGGAATAGCATTACCAAATTCTCCAATTGACCATGCGCCGTAATCCCTCGTTTCCATCTAGTCATCCAGATAGAAGATCGGTCTACAATTTGTCACGATGTTCTCAAATTTGAGTCTCTATCTAGCCTCCACTCTGTCAAGAGTAAACCAGATCTACGCATCGTCTCCTTGAGGTCAAGATCACCACCCACCGGACAAGCCCGATCCAATCCCATGTCGAGTCACCGATCAGCCCAGGCCAACGTCCCCACTGTATTCCACCCAAACACCGAGAAATCCCCTATCCGCACGCACAACGTGCGGATTCCCCTCTCAGCGGAACACCGACTGACCATACAGAGTACTCCGTATAACATCCACCATCGCCCATCACACATACCGGAGAAACATCTCCGGCAAGCAGTGAAGGCAAATGTCTCATTGAGTCCCACACGAGTCCAGTGGCGCAACCACCCCCATGGACGCAATTGTACCCACTTTCGCACACACCAGCGGACCAAGCCGCTCGACGTGTTGGGATTTCGTGATGGACGATGCATATCGTGGAATGGCAAAGGTTGCGTTTGGGAATTAGTCACGATGTTGTGATCAGCTGCAGGGTCCGTATATCTCTGTTTCCTGGTTCTGGGGCTCGGGGGCTTGACGCTCACTGGCCCGTCAGATTTTTCGCTGGCGCTCTGTTTGTGACACAGGCGCGGCATTACCGGATGAGGTAGGTAGGTTTTGGCTGACATAGGAGGTGGCTGTGGATGGTGGTGCGATATATGAGTGCTTTATATACAATAACATTGCATGAGAAGTGCAGTCTACTCGAATATATAGTGCGGTAATGTATTTTGATATAGTTTGACGATATCATGACAGAGATATGAAGACATACACGAACAAACAAGAGGAAAAAGGAAGTCTATGTACAAGATACATACTCGACAACAATAATGGCCGAGATCCAAAATCCGGGGAAGACCACGGACTCGTTCACAGCCACTTTGAATGCTTCTCCACCTCACCTACGTGGATGTAACCAGAGCCTGAGCCACTCCCACTGCTCCCGACTGACTGGTTAGGGTTTCTACGGAAACCCCGCCCCGGTGCTTTTGCAGGCGCAATTGGGCCTTGTTATTGGGTGTTCACGGGTATGGAGATCATCTCGATTAGGAAGGAAGTATGCAATTGATGTCATGTGGTTGGAGAAGAGCGTTTGGGAGGTTCAGGTTCAGAGGCTTCGCAATTCGTGTTTACAAGGGGAGGAACAATAGCTGTGGATCTAGTACATATATCTTGTAGTCAAACTGTACATACAACATAGATATCTAATAAACGTTATGTGTGTATATTTTATCCTGGCTACAACATATGACAATAACCTCGATTATATATAGAATACCTATTATTGTATACCCCCACATACATATTAGGTTGTTGCAGATAGTAAGATTAATTCCACTTCACCCGATCACCAGATAGACCGATCTAGCCTCTATGGCCTGGCCTCCAAAAAAGAACTTAAAAAACGCAGACACGCAAGCCTCAGGGCCAAAGGTGACGAGAAGGGAAAACCCAATAAATCAGCATTACCAACCATCATGCCTCACCTAGGCATCACCTGCACATGCCATTGTACTCATCCCAGAACCACTTCCCACGTCAATCAGACAACCCAACGGACCCCCAAGCCACACACCCAGCTAAGCGCAGATAAGCAAAAATAAAAAAAGGCCTCGCCACCAATCACCCTCCACACCCGTGCACGGGGTCAACGTTACAGCCCAATCCAGCCAGACCCAACGATCCAACTCTATCGACCCAGACTACAGTCCTCCAGCCGTGGTTGACAACTGGACCTGGCCCCGTTGGAGCTGCGGTCAGAGGAGACGGGGGCGTATGGGAAGGTCGATCCAGGAAGAAACAGAGTTTGCAGGTGGACTCTTATCCTGCAGTACGGTTTATACCCTGGGGATTTGCAAGGCCGAGAATACCCAGCTCGGAATCCATTGGTAGGCTTCGCTCGGAATGGTCTTTGGGTCCCTGGTTGAGGGGTGGACTCTATAGTTTGTCGTGGGTCAGTGCGGCTAGTGTGAATAGTTGGCCAATAGAGAAATGGACTTGGCTGCGCCGAGCTGCAACCTTAACCCCGCAATCTGGAGACTCTCTGCAGGTGGCTTGATTGGGGGGTTTTTTTTTTTTTTTTTTCTATTTTTTTCGCTTGTTTTTTCATATTTTTTCTTTGGTCTTGTCTTGTTCTTGTTACTTTTGTGGTTGGGTTGGTTTGTTTTGAATGTTGCGTATGTACCCATGTTTTTACTTACGAGTTACTTGATCCAGTTCACCGAAGCTCGTACATCATACCACCAACACTACATACCTAAAGCCTTAAGGACATCGTACATAGACAAGGGTCATTGAATCCTGCACGATCGCCGTTGATCCACGATCCCGGGAACGCCTCTTCGAGCCAAGAGGAAGAGACAGGGCACGGGGCATCCAGTTTACTTTCCATAACACCAAAACACCCAATTCATTCTCAACAAGCAATGGGACCATCCAAACCACCCTTTATTTTCTGTTTTACTTCCCCTCCCGGAGAATTGCCACCTAGCTACGAAAGTCTAACATAGCCACGAGTCGGAAACGGCCCTGGCACCTACACAAAAATCAAGGAATAGAAAAATTACAAAACAAGACGTCAGAGCTCGTAGACCTAAACACAACCAAGGCAGAATCGGAATCAGAATCTGTCCCCCCTGCAGCCAAAAAAATCCAAGTACCTGTTTCGAGCATCACGCTTGGTCTGGTTTGGGAATTGCTGGAGGCTATGACATAGCACCGTGGTCACGGTATGACTAATTAGGTGGGGGGATTCCCTGGGCTGACGATGGTCTGATCGCTGGAAATAGATTAGACTACTCCCGTGAAGATCTAGCGCAAATCCCTCATACTTTGCCCTAAGATACGTGTGGTAGGGCTGGAGATTGGTTATGCTGTAAATTGGGTGGGGGGGGTTTTCTTTTACAGTTTGCTGGATGTGCGGCATTTTGGAAGGTGAGGTTTTTTTTTGTGTAGAGCGCTCGTTAGGGTTTGGCCATTGGAGGTAAAATTCTGAGCACGAATGGGAAGTCGGGGAAGTTACTATTTGTTGCCTGTATGTAATGTCTGGTAGGGCCTGAAGGTGGGACTGGATAGGAGCTGTAGCTGTAGCTGTAGCCACAGCTAGCTGGCCCGGCCCGATGGAGCATTTTTTAATCCACAGTAAGAGGTTGAGATGCCAATCATGGTGCGGTACGTAGTGCGTGATGGGGGTCAACGTAGATCATGAGAGGGGTGGGGAGTCTTGGAGAGTTCCGGATTAGGATGAGGAGGGTTGTTTGCGGATCGATGCAACGTCAAACCGACTTGGGAAAATTTGAGGTCAAAAACAGAGTTACCTAGGTTAAAAAAGGTAAATGGGGAGGGAAAGTCAAAGTTATGGAGTTGATTCGTCTCTTCGCTGTATGCACAAGGGGAAATAAAGTAAATGAAGAAGCAAAATAAATTCACCTGCAAATATCTGCCACCCTGACTCCTGTTCAGGATATTAAAAAGAAAATATGATATGATACAAGAGCAAATGTACATAGCCAACCCGATATACAATCCCAAAATCCAAAATCCAAAATCCAATCCCAGAAGAAAGTACCTAATGTGAGGGGGAAAAAAAAACAAAAGAAGAAAAATCAGAGCCAAGAACTACCTGGGTATATCAGGTAACAGATCGTAATGGGCGTAACAAAAGGATCGAAAAGTTTAACAAGTGACGCTGGTGAAGTCGTCCACAGCGATAAAGTCGTCGAAGCCAAAAGGCTGCTCGCGATCAGACATCGGAACCGCCGAGTTACCCAAGTGCAGGGCAAATTGGCTGAAGTCTGTAAAATCGGGATCCATCCCCTCGTGCGAGACCATAATACCATCACCCCCAATCTTCCCACCCGGCGACATAGTAGCATGCATAGTAGCAGTCGGCGACAGAGGCGTATTGGGAGTGGGACAAAAGTCTGGAGTGGAGTGAGTGCCAGCCGAAAGTGCCTCGTTCTTGGGCGAGCTAGCGCTTGAAGGTGGGATCTGGGAGTGGGCGAAGTTTGTGGTCTGGGTGAGGAGATGGAGGTTGTAGTTGTTAGAAGGCTGGGACTGGCCGCGCGTGTGTCCATGGGTAGGGCCGTGGCCGGTGGGGCCCGCAACGGAGCCTGAGGGAAGCAGCGGAGCTGCGTGCTGCAGAGGCAACTCTGGTGCAGAAGCGAGGCGATCTCTGAACTGACGCATTTGGATAGCCGAGTCGGGCATCTGGGCTTGTTGCATCATTTGTTGCTGCCACATCTGCACGGCGTGTGCATCACTGGGGTTTTGCCCTGGGGTGTGGGCCTGCTGTTGCATCGCCGCCCAGGCAGGTACTTGCGAATTCCACATGGGAGTCTGTTGATTCATGTACGCTGGGATTTGTCCCGAGGAAGCCCCTGTCGAGGCGGTGACCATGTTGGAGTAGGAAGTCTCGGGACCGCTCATACAGGGCATGTATGATTGTGCGCTCTGGTCGTATGATGCCGAGGGTGATAGTACGTAGCCATCACCCGTTGTAATTGGGCTTGCCAGTGATCCTGGACCCTGGGAGAAGGAGGAGTGAATGTTGGATAGATCCAAGCTCATCTTGGAAGAACCACCGTCGACTGATGGGCGAGGTGTCATATGGCTTGATCGGCGGCTGTGGATCGAGGCATTGGAGTAAGAACGGGCTGCTAAAGCGGCCAGGAGATGGCGGTTGAATTGTTCCTCGATCTGCTTGTTCTGTTGCTGCAGCATGCGAATTCGCTTTTCTTGGTACCGCTCGTCCACCTCTTCATACATGGCTTCTTTCTCGACAATCTCCTTGGTAATGTGAAAGGCCTTGCCCGTACGCTTCTTGTGCAGCATAGAAGCCCGATTGGCAGATTCCAGACGAGCATCTAAGCTGCGATCCTTCCGCCGTGAAGCCGCAATAAAGGCTCTGCGTGGTCGTCAGCGGATTGCACTTTTTTTTTGGGTATATTCACATACCTCTCTTGGTTCTCCTCCCGCGAGCGGGGGACAGGCGCAATATCGTGGTCAATATCTGGCAAGGGCATGTTGTAAGAATAGAATAGATAAGCTCCGATATGAAGCGTGAAAGGAGTGAAAGAGGGGAAGGAAAGCAATATTAAATACTGAGGGGAAGCAGCCCTGGAGCACAGACTCTCTCGACCCTAAGCCAAGCTCGGGGCCAGAACCATGGAACCGAGCCGATCATAGTTTGGGCGCTGGAAAAACTTACGGCCACTCGGTCCATGGTTGTCCGCTTTCCAGCTTCATGGCCCAGCTCGAGAGCGCCACGACCCGCTAGATACGAATGGCCGAATATGGTGCCACTCAGAGCCGGAGACTATTTCCAGCTTCTGCAAGTAAGCTGCAGGATACATCTGGGCACAGTTAACGGGCAATTGGCGTGCAACTGAGGGGCCTAGGCCATTGGCAGTTAGGAAGTGGGGGAGGTTACTCCAGACCCCGATACATGGACTCCGTATGAGATGTTACTGTCGACTCTCTGCAGATCTTCTTCCTGAAGCAGTTGGACATGGCTCTTTTTTCGTATTTTTCTGTTTCTCCGGCGAGACATGGCCGTTCGGTGCAGGAAAATGGGACCACGTGATGGCCGGATCGGGTAGGTGCCTTGCGTTACTCAGGGCGTCAACCTGAATTCCCAGGCGCTGAATCCCTCGAGCAGATCCCGGGATAAGGTTACTGCACATTCGGCCTGGTGCAGTAGTGTTCCGGACTCGATCTGATTCCATTCAACCGGCTCCAGCGCGTTTTACTCTGTATACCGCTTTACTCTGGCGACGAGTGCCTATCAGAAACACTAGATGCAAGGCCTAGACTAACCATGATTGCTCTACCTGTTCTCTGTTCTCTGTTCCTCCATGGCTAATCCTCGGGACAATCCAACAGCATGGCCACCTCGGCGTGCCGGTCACCCGGTAACCCTTCTCCGGTACTTTTTTTTGGTTAGCGGGGAGTATTGCAAGGTGCTAGTAGTAAAACATCGTACGTTCTAAACATCTAGAAGCATAACCTCCCCACGATGTGAGTCAGCGTTATACAGCCTTTTTATGTATACACAAATCCATTATAATCACAATCACAAACTAGCTCCAGGGGCTAGCGATGCAGGTGAACATAAACGTAGACCTGCATATAGGTCCATGTCAGTTGATACTGTAGGGCTACCAAACACTCGAACTCCATTGGCCTCGGTTCGGTCCCAACTGCCATTTCGCGTCAATTCACCAATTCGCCAATTCGCCCATTCCTCCAATCCCCAGTGGACATATACCCGGTCCAGTGTGCGTTCCCATGGGAAAAAACAGTGAGATTTGCCACCGGGCCTAAGGCTGTTATCTCTTATCGTCCGGCCGGGACTAGGCGATTTCGAGATATTGCCACAGCACTTTTCTTCAGCTGAACTGCCGACGTCTTACGGAGGTACGGAGTACGGAGTACGGAGAACTCCTTCGTTCCCAATCAGTTAGCAATAGTTCCCAACAAAAGCACATTTGTCATACAGCAACACATCCACGATTAGCTAGTGGGGTCTTGGCGATCAGGGCGATCATTCCGATCCTGAGTCCACATTTAATTTGCCAAAATAACACTATCCCAAACCAGATAATTCCAAATATGTGGCAAGAGGAAAGAAAAAGTGTCCCCAAATCCCCAGATTCCGTCTCCAACGTTGATCGGATAATCATCGGCTACGCGAAAATGAGAGAAACTCCCTGCTTTCCGATCCCCATTTACAGTGCGGTTGCATCTGTGTCGCATGTTTCCGACGCGGAACTCCCCGATTGTGGAAAGGCCAGATCGAGATCTGCAGGCATCCCTACCGAGGACGGCGGTGCCTGCCCAGGTGGTTATCCCATGGGCCTGATGGGGAAAGGGGGGATCTCCGCGGATTTGATTTCAGGGTCTTTTTTTATTTTTATTTTCACTTCGAGGTACTACCTACGTAGGTATGATATGCCTGGTGGATACACTGCTAACGCTGGCACCTCGTGTTGGATGTGTTCGCGATGGTTACCTAGTAAGGTAGGAGAGTATTGTCACTCTGGAAAATACATAGATGCGAGGATTGGATGACGTGTGGCAAGGGTGCGTTGGGAGAGAATGGGGATTGGTTCACTGCGTGGTTCTGAACTATATCATTGTGAATCAACTCATTCACGAAAAGAAAAAGTGCAAATGGAATCTTTATAAACAACATGAATAGGTAAAAAGACGCTAAGTTCTCAATGAGTGCAAAGCCAAGGGGGAAAGAACATCAATCAAGAGATCAATCAAGAGAACAGAAGAGGCGAAGCCGCCGATGACGCTGCACTGGAAGTAACCGGCATCCAGAGATAAGGAACCTCCAACGTTGCTATCACGGTGAATGCGAGGTTATTCGTTGAGCGCGAGCTTTCCACCGGACAGATCTAGGGAAACCTCGGACAGGGAAACAGTAACACAAAGAATTATGGCATCGATTCTCTCAGGCGATGCCTAGCGGTGGCACCATACCCTGTTCCTCGCGGGCCTCACCGCCGAGTTGGTAAGACACCTTGAACCGGATTTTCACTGAGTTGCCCTTGCCTATGTCGATCCCATCCATAAGCATCTCCTGTTGCACACCATGCTGCTGCTGAGGTGCTATGTCGCGGCCCGATTGCGGGCGGAGCTGGAGCGTGTACGACTGATTCAATATTAGTATGTAACCTCAAAATGAAATACAATACGAGGTGAGGGCTATTTACCTTCTCTACGGCGACCTGGAAATGGAGCGCCCCAATGGGTTGACTGGTTGTGTTGGAGAAAACGGCCACAACATGAATTTGGCGCGGCTGATTCGGCACCCGACGCACAGCAAAGTCAACACGAAGTTGGGAGTTGAGGACCTGAATCTTGTTGGTCGATGGGAGGGCATTGCTGGCTGGCAGCGAGGATGCAAAGTTCCACTCATCATCTTCTGCCGGGGCTTGCTGCACGGGTTGCGGAGACGAACTCGGGCCTCCGACCAGATCAAGCAATGAGGACGAAGGAGCATGTTGGCTTTGCAGCGGTGGTTGGAAGGGACTGGATGTTGCCCGCGGGCTGGCAGAGACAAGGGATGCGAATGGGTCAGCCGCTGGTGGTGGCGGAGTCGCTGTAGGCTGCACTTGGGGTGAGGCTCGCATGATGGGTGTGGGGGACTGAGAGACAGGTCGCGAACTGTTCATAGAAGCAAGCATATCATAATTAGGTTTGAAGGCTGTTGATGCCTGCTGTTGGGGTTGTGATAGAGCAGGCGGTGTTGAGCTTGCTGACATAGACGGGAAGTTGACTTTGATGTTGGTCAGTGATATTGTTTCGAGCAAGAATGCGCCGAGGTACTTACTGGAAGATCCGAGAGAGATACCACCTCCAGGAGAAGGTCCTTGTTCGCCTAATGAAAGTCCGAGCAGGTCATTCTCCAGTGAGCTACCACTTTGAGCTGGCCCAGCCTCGTTACCATTGGAACTGGTTTCAGGCTCCGGGTCGAAATCGATTAGAGAGAGCTCATTGTTTGCATTCTTCGAGACACCGGTGGAGGTGCCCAGTGTTCCCTTGGGGATCCGCGATGCTGCATCCAGATCACCCTTCTTGACTAGCTTATACCGCTCGATTGTGCGATGTATGCTGTCGTTAATTTCCAATAACTTGTTGACGGCCTCGGGATCATCGGACTCTTCTTCGCACATTTTTTGAATCTTGGGGTGGGCGCTTTGCAAGGCACCCGCAAGCTCCTAGTAATTGGGAAATTGTGTTAGAGACCAATCAACTGACATCAGCGCAAAGTGTAGCCCATTATTTACCTCGAAAACGTCGCCCTCGGGGAGAGGTTCTCCAGGCTGCTGATTTTGTAGCATTTCTTCCAGAATCTTGGCCTTCTGTTGAACCTTGACGACCTCCTCTGCAGCTTTGGCCCGGTAGTCAGTTTTATGCCGATTATCGAATCCGGCCATGACCTTCATGAGCCGATTTGCTTCCTGTAGATCGGAGGGAGTGCCTCTCCGGATCAATTCTTGGAGTTTAGCAGACTGCGCTTCTCTCTCTTCCTCCTCCATCTCATCAGCAGAACGAAGATTCTAGCTAGCGTTAACTTGAATCCGACGGCAATACCATGTGGGGGCCACATACATCACTTGGGTTCAATACCGCTGCATCTTCCCGACGGACCTCTGGGAACATATAACCCTTGTATAGCAACAGGCGATGCATATCCCGAATGAAGCCGAGATCCTCTTTATAGCGCGAAGTTTGGCAGATAGTCTGGCGCCACTCCTCGATCGACTCCAGGATGCGGTGTTGGACCCTGGAGGCCCGTATGGGGGGTCGCTCGGGGAACCTGCGCACCAATTCATTGAGGAATTCCTTTGTGGCAATCTGGAGATGGAACGGATAGCCGCAGTTCTTGACGGCAATATCGAGTAGCTAGACAATCGGGTTGTTAGTCTCCCCCGCGCCAGCTGTCATTTAAGCTCCCTACGTACCGCCAACGCCAACAACGCCACATTTTGATTTCGGGAATTGATGAGATGAACGATGTCGAATGCGGATTCTCGGGGCCTGAGAAGTAGAACTATAAGCATGCGCCATCCAATATAGAGGTGCCTACTCACGCATTGCCTTTCTTGGAGTTGATTAGGTCCGCAACTTCGAGGTTCAGGGCCAGGTTCGGTTCGTAGTTCTGAGGATCGCAGGCTCTTCCTACAAGAAATCAAATATCAGTATAAATCATAGGTGTTAGATCCATTCTTAAATCAAACTCACGAATTGCCCGCTGTAATGGCGAAGAGCCGGGGTCAGCGTAGGCACCGAAGCGGTCCCTAGCCGCCATTCGTGCAGATGCAGCCTCCAGGATGACGGTTGTCGAAAAAACCGGAGGAGAAAAAGTACTAATCGGATAAAAAGGGAGCTGGACAACGCAATGAACCCAGAGGGGAGATGTGTACAGTCGATGGGGAGGCGGGCGGAGAACCGGTAGTTTGCACGTGTGGCGCTTGTGCTTGGCCTTGATCTTTTCTCAATCGGCCCTGCGTTCACCACTACAAGTTACTACAAGCAAATTACTCTTTGGACATTCTCTGCGCGATTTGTTCTCCTTCCTCACCATGGTTCGCCACAAGAAAGACAACTTCGCGCGAGGGGGCAAGAAATTCAACAACCCCCGCCCCCGAGTGCCCCGCGGCGATGAAGAAACTGAGGGCGCGACCTCCTCGCGACCTCCTTACAAAGCTGCCTGTTGGGATATGGGTCACTGCGACCCTAAGCGATGCTCAGGAAAGCGATTGATGAAGCTGGGTCTGATGCGAGAGCTTCATATCGGCCAGCGGCACTCCGGCGTGATCGTCTCGTAGGTTCTGCGCATTCTTTTTTTCATTGTATCGGCATGAATACTGACGAGATACCAGTCCTAATGCCAAAAAGATCATCTCCCCAGCAGACAAGGATATCATGGAACAGTACGGTGCCGCAGTCGTCGAGTGCTCTTGGGTGCGAGTCAGTGAAGTTCCCTGGTCGCGGATCGGCGGAAAATGCGAAAGACTTCGTATGTGATACGGATTGGACAGTGATGATTTGGATATATTGGACACTAACTATTTTGGTATATAGTTCCCTACCTTATCGCTGCCAACACAGTCAACTACGGCAAACCATGGCGTCTGAACTGCGTTGAAGCGCTCGCCGCTTGCTTCGCTATCTGTGGCCGCTTGGAATGGGCGGAAGACTTGCTCAGACACTTCAGTTATGGCCCGGCTTTCTTGGAAATCAACAAGGAATTGCTAGCGCGCTACGCTGCTTGCGATTCAGAAGAGGCAGTAAAGAAGGCGGAAGTGGATTGGCTCGCCAAGATCGAGCGCGAATATGAAGATTCCCGTGTCGATGGCGGTGATGATATTTGGACCAAGGGAAACACCAACCGCTTGCCTACGCGGAATTCAGATGACGAGGACGACGAGAGCGGAGACGAGGATGACGAAGACGAGGAGAGCGACGAAGAGGAAGAGGAGGACAAGGATCCATTCGCGATTTCTGATGACTCTGAGGATGAAGAGCAAATGGCCGAAATCCGCCGCAAGATTCTCAATTCGAAGGCGTTCAAGAATCCGGAAGAGGAGGAGAAGCAACAGCCGGAGAAAATTTCCCGTCCTGAGCAGGTATATGTCGACTCCGACGCTGAGTCCGGCTCAGCAGGAAGCGAGGACGAGGCTTTCGACAACATCATCAATGCGACCACCGTCACTGACCGCACCGGGATCAAAGCAATTCAGCAGCGGAAAGGAAAAGAGACTGTTTCTGCTTCGTTCTCTCGGACAGAGATTTCTGCTCCGAAGAAATGGTGAAAGTGAGACTTGTTGGATCTTAATCACTCACGCGCTGGCTTTGGGTAGCCTGTTGCTCTAGGTCTCAGAAAGACACAACCATTATCTAGAGTATCTTGGGGTTATTCGCTTCTTGCGACACCTGAAGCCGGCACCACTGCTTACACAAGCGCCACCCTGCCGAGTGGACTAGAAAATCGGGCACTCTGGCAACCAGTACTGTCACTCAGTCTTTTTTATGGGACGGATTCATGTTTTTAGAAGTGCGCTTCAACTTATCTTCCTGACTACCCTGAGGACGTGCAGCCCATGCAACTGTATACGTCCCCTGGTGCTCTGTGGTCCTGTTCTTTCAATGATGTATGACTTATGCTATAAGCCTTCAAAATCTATGGATGTGTTATGACTCATTTCCGGTCTTTTTTTTATGGCTATCACAGCAGCCCGGGTCTCTTGCTGGCAGAAATCCATACTTCCAACCACCCAGCAATAACCTGGACTACCACGGTCATCCGGTTTTCCAGGATGGCAATGATCATGGATACATAATGTAGATAGGTACATATTTCTATGTATATTCTAATATTTCTAAACTTACATATATTGGATTCCCATCGAATGTGCTAAATTGTAGCACCTAGGTACTATATGGCTGGGCTCTTACTAGCATCTTTCAACTTCATTTCTCTAGATTTCTTTTTTTTCTCATCTCTCTCAGGCTAGTAATCTAATATAGGGCAATATGGAGGTCATAGGTATGATCCAAAAAGCACAAAGAGTACATGCTTTTCTTGTATACACGAGAGAATGTCTCTACATATCAACCAACGCATCGAGATATCGTACCCGGGGCAAGATATATGCATCAACCTTGGAAGGAAAGGTTTCAACTAATAGTACCTTGGTAGAATATTGTTCTCAGTCCAATTCCCAATCATAGAGTTTGCGGTCCTGCTTTTATGACTCCCAAAGGCGAGGTCATGTTTTCCATGCCGAATTAGGAATCGGAAGCAAGGCCTGATAGGTATTCGGCGATGAACAAGAAGACAGCAGTCCCCCCGATCTCTCACAATAAACACTCGCCTTGGAAACATCCATCATCTTCATATACTCAGACATCACTTTATCTTATACTCAACGGCAAAAAAAGACATGACCATCAAAGACATGCCTTCCCATCAAATATCGATTAATAATATCGACACCAATGACATACCGGCACTCAAAGCGCAATGCATGAGTCTGACTCGAGATCTGGAAGAGCAGACAGCAGCCGTATCCAGCCTCGAAGAAAGACATCAAAACATGGCCCGCTACCTTCGCGAAGACACCGAGTCGATCAAATCCTCAATCAAAAGACAACATAACATCAGCGACATTGGAACATCATGGGACTTCATGCGAGCGCAGCCAAGAATTATTCTAATGCAAGCTTTGGGCCAAAATACACGTCTGAGGCACGAGATGGAGGAACAGGAGAAGATTATCCAGCATCTTACCCAATATCACTCCAAAGCAATGAACGAATTTGGAAAATACACGACAACCATGATGTCCAAACTCGAAGAACAAACAAAGACAATCGCAGAGTTGCAGGGAAAAACCAGGATAGTGCCTGCACAGGAAAAGCGAGAGAAGAATATGAAAGAAGTCCTCGATATTATTGCCGGCATCATGTTTTCCGAGCTCGAGTACCAACAAGAACTGATTGATGAGTTGAAAACGGACGATGAACAATATTTCCAGCCAACGCATAATACCTTGCTGGATTTGGTTGGAGTTATTGAACAATGGGCTGTGGACGACGAATATCCAGAGATGATATTCAAGCTCGAGGACGACGAGTCACAGATGAAACAGCGAAATGAGGAGCTGGGGTCCCAGGTTGATGATCTATCCCACAAGCTAAAACTGCAGTCGATGAAGGTCAACGGACAGCAGAACTTGATCAAAGAACAGGCCAACGTGATTCTAGAACTCGAGGTCCAGAAAAGAAGACTTGCAGGCGATCTCGAGGCAGTTGATGAACAGTTGGCTTCCATGCTTGAAATCCAAGGAAAGAATGCATTATCGCAGACCGAGCAAAAACATAATGAGCAGGAGAATTCGATGAAGTGTGAGATCGAACAATTGAACCACAGACTCGGACCTCTCGAAGACAATCTGTTCAATGTCAGACAGGCCAAATTCTGCAACTATCTCCGCGCCAACGGCTCTATCGGTCTCACAGAAGCCAATATCATGTTTCACAATATCGACCAGATAGTTCCGACTATCAGCATGGCGGAGGTAGATGCGCGGATGTTCGAAAAGCGACTGGGCAGACTGAGCGGCGACTATATCCCTGATTTTGTCCGTGTCTACGGGGTCCTCCCCTCAAAGATTCTAAATTCTAGTCAGTAAACCCTTTCTCTGACCTAGGCCCCATTGCTAACTGGATATCATATTTAGATACCATCAGACACCCTTTCGTTATCCGGGTCTTCAACGAAGTGGGTGCTATCCATCTGGCAAACCGAAGACTCACCAAAGAGAGCCAGGATAAGTTCAACTTGGTTCTGAGACTGCTGGAAGAGGAAAAGGCTGGGGATGCAATTTTGCTGTGTAGGAAAATGTCTGTACATGCGAGACGAAATTGAAATGATTGTTTGAAGATGGAGAAGGGACTAGGTAGTGAGACTTGCTCCTACGAGTTGTGACTTGCAATTGGAATAAATCTGAATTTTTTCTGACCTCTGCATGCTAGAACAGACACCTTAACTCCACTAAAAGAGATATATGTTTATTTGTATAAATTGTGTGAAGCATTATAGCCCTCACCCATTCCATGGCCTAACAAATTCCACTGTCTGAATGGCCCCCCTCCCAAAAGTATAGTCATAGGAAAGTAGTATGAAAAAAGAGAGAAAAGGATAAAAAAAAGAATGAAAAGATGTAGTTCAACAGAATAGAGACAGCACCGTTGTCTGGAATGCCACTATGTCGAAGATTTTGTTTGCGAAGTCAACCTCTTCTCGCTATCGCTGTTGCGTGCAGAAACTGACACCGTGGTGTCGATGGCATCGTAGACAGTCGACCGTATGATGCTGAGGCCAAGAATGCGTCAAAGAGTGTGAAGAAGGGTGAAAAATGAAGGGATTTGCGTCTGTATAGACCGGGCGGATGGGAGTTTGATGAGGCCGGTACCGCGGATTGGGAGCGTCACTGTAGACCACTTGCGGTGGAGATGATGAGGGCATAAGTAGCATAGGTGAGATAATTGAAGGCATATTGAAGGGACTTTGTGGACTGATTTCTGTGTACTCCGTACTCCGTAGGGATTGCCTATATATAGTTTCAAATGGTGTGGTAAAAGAGGTACCCAAGAGGCTACCACCTGCGGAGATCTTATTTTATGCCCAAGTCAATGTGATGTGTCCGCTGAAGATAGTCGGTTAATTCGGCTGTGTCTCTGCTTCAGGGGCAAGTATCGTCTTAAATCGATTTTCGAGATGGAAGACTACGGAGTCCCTGATACATGTATGCAAGGGTTAGACCACACAGGTTCAGTTGGCCCTGGGGGTTGATTCGGATATATGCACGGGATGGCGATCTCTGGATACATATGTCTGAGATGTGATATATAAAGGTATCAGGGGTCTGAAACAGTGGCTTGCATTGTATCACATTCTATGGAGTATGGAGTACTCCGTATTGATCTTAATGTATGGACTAAAGGGAAGTGAACAAGCAAAAGCCTGCATCTGCCTGAAGAAAACCAGATATAAGACGTGAGATTTCAAACCTGCGCCCTATAGAGTAGATCCTTCAATCCTCAAACATCCAAAATCAAAACATCATCCACCCATACATCCTAGGGAGACATCGAGAACACAATACCCTCTCCCACGTTATAAACCCCGCGGTTGGCGGGGCACCGATTCCCGCAGGCCCAACCCCCCCCTTGATCAAGATGTTTTGTACCCTGTAGATGCAATATCTCGAGTCTACAACGTAGAATAAAATCGGAGTCCAACCCAATGCCTTGAGCTAGTCCACGTGGCCGGTGAAGGGACCGGGCGGCAACTCTGTCCACTTTTCCCACAGTCCCGCAATCCACTTCCTCCAAACAAGTTCCCAAAATGCCTGATAAAGATTCCAGCACTCCCCGTGTCTTCCTTTACCGACACGGTATGTTTTAGAGTGATTCCGCCTATTTCCGTAGTCTAACTAGGTTCTAGGGCAGACGGAGTGGTCCAAGAATGGACGGTACACCGGAATCACGGAGCTTGAACTCACTCAAGATGGTATCAACCAAGTCAACGCATCCGGCAAGATGATTGTTGGATCGGGCAGACTGATTGACCCGGCTAAACTTGCCCATGTCTACATCAGTCCTCGCAGGCGAGCGATGCAGACCTTCGAGATTGCTTTCTCGGATGCTGATAAGCAGGCGCTGAACGATGCGCAAAAGGTCTCTGAGACTGATCGACTGGCTGAGTGGGACTACGGTCTGTATGAAGGCCTCTTGACTAAGGAGATCCGCGCGTTGCGTAAGGACCACGGTCTCGACACCGAGAGCGAGTGGGATATTTGGAGAGATGGATGCGAGAATGGCGAGTAAGTCACTGTCCTTTTATCCAACGCTATCTCAGCTGCACTTCTGGTTTCCACCCGGAGCATATCTGACGAGGTCCATGTAGATCCGCTCAACAGGTGACGGACCGTCTTGACAATCTGATTCAAGAGATCCGTGCGATCCACAAAGACAACATGCACAGCGAGAAGCCTTCTGATGTCCTGCTTGTTGCACATGGCCATCTGCTTCGTGCCTTTACGAAGCGCTGGTTGGGATATCCCATGGAGTTCCCCCTCTCTCTGATGCTCGATCCCGGCGCCGTTGGCGTCCTCAGGTAATTTGCTCTCATCCCATCTCACTCATTGACTTCGCCGTTAACCTTCCATCTCCAGTTACCAACATCATAGCATTGATGAGCCTGCCATGTTGGTTGGATACGGATACCCATTGCAGGATTGATCTGACACGTTCGGACAGTGTATATTTCAGCATAGAGGGTGACTAGATACAGGATATAGACTAGATATATGATGCTGTGGACGGCTTGGTTGAGATAATCAACTAATGTTTCTGACAGGATGGTTAGATGCATATCCGGAGCCTCTTTATGACGTCTCTTCTCCCCCCTGACTTGAACTATAAAAATAACAGAAACCCGCCAGTAAAACAAATCCCCGATCAATAAAAACAAGCAGGGCCCTGAAAACTGCATTATTGGGATAGTCCCTGAGAACGTATTGATCATTCAGCCCGTTGGCGTCAACATCGCAAGAAATGACCTAAATCCCAGCTTCCAGAAGTTCGCCTACGAGGCTATGCTTTTCGATCACCAGGCCAAAAAGGAACCTCCAGGGCTGTTCGTCGAGTTCGTCAGCAGAGCCCTACTGCCAAGCGTACGCCTGACCCGACTGATGCGTCACCCGGGTAGCCCCCTATACATCACGGTCTTTCATGTCCCCAATGGACATCACAATACGAGTGCTTTCAAGGACGCAGAAGTAACATCAGGTGGAAATGGGAGGCTCTTGGCTGGCACTCCCCATGACACTAACACTAGATCAACTAACCGGGGCTAGCTATATGATCAGCGTCTCTCCCGGGTCTCCCCTGATGAGTTTCCAACACCAATTTCTCGCGTCTTGACAGGTGCTTATTGTATATCGGGGAATTTCTCTCATTCTACACGATTATCTTCACATCTCAACACCCCAAACAAGAAAATAGCTTCAGATCTGAGACTGGACGCTAAGCTGGCGGCCATCATGTCGCTCGACAAACCAACCGACCTATCGGTCGCTAGTGCCATAAAGACCATCCACCAGACATCAGAAACCTGTTCCCCGACATCTCCACCCTCAGCAACAGAAAGACGTGGCTCCTCTTTCATGAGCTTCTTCTCATCCATCCTCGGCTCTAAGAATCCACTCGCGCAGCCGGCAGACCCTCACAAAAACACCGTGTGGCTGCTGGACAATACAGCATACCAACCCGTAAATGACGAAACAGACGAGATCCCGACGTGCTGGCATGCCGAGGTCGTCGCCTGTATATTCGAAACAGACGGCAGGAAAGATGTCGGCAAGCTCGTCGCCACCATCGCCGACTACATCGGGCTGGACGGTGAGCTGGGCGGCGACCAGGAAGCCCGCAGACGTATCGAAGAGCGCATCCAACCCTTCGTCAACCAGGTCTCGCCGTCTCGCACGGTCACGCTGCAGGTACCCGTGACTAGACCGGCACAGTCGCACGGTCTCGGCCCATCCGACCGCAATGGCATCGTCAGCCAGACGGTCGATATGGGCGCAGTGGGTGTGTACGATGGGACGATTGTGCGACCACGACTGCAGGACTTCGGCGATGAAGCCGTAGCGATGCACACGACTTTTGCTGCGCCGGAGGGCTGGCTGGTCATCTCGGATATTGACGATACTATCAAGCGGACTATGACGCTGGAGTCGACGGGGGTGATCCGTACGACGTTTGCGGATATCCCCGAGCCGATTGCTGGCATGTCTGAGCTCTATCGATATGTTCATGATGAGCTGAACCCGGCATGGTTCTATCTCTCTGCATCGCCGTATAACCTATATCCCTTCTTGCGTGACTTCTTGGATGAGTACTATTGTCCCGGCACGTTGGTGCTGCGTGATTACTCCTGGATGGATATCACGGGACTTATCAGGTCGTTCACGGAGAAGACGCAGGAGTACAAGGTTGACCGTATGGAGAAGATTCATGGGTGGCTGCCTCGTCGGAGGGTGCTTTGTATTGGGGACTCGACGCAGAAGGATCCCGAGGCTTATGCGGAGATGTATAGTCGGTATCCCGAGTGGATTCATGCTATTGCCATTCGTAAGGTTACGGATGTGGCTCATATGGAGGAGAAAAATCAGCCAGAGAGGTTTGAGAAGGCGTTTGAGAATGTGCCGTCACATCTGTGGACGGTCTTTGAGGATGCGGAGGAGTTGTATAATTTTGTTGATTGGCTGGGGATGGAGGATCAGGTTTTGTAGTTACAGTATAGCCATTTGTACATATTTAGCTGGAATGATCATGGGTCACATAATGTATAATTCTATTTCTCTGTCTGAACAACTTATCTTTGAGCTTTAAAGACGCCGATCTAGGTATCTGATGTTGATCTTCGTGCCCGAATACACCTGCATGGCCAGCCCCTATCCTTGCACTCATCCACATTCTATGAACCACAGACCTTTCCCAGCAGGTTCATATGATACCGAGCCATACATAAGACAGATAAGATCTATTATTGATTGCAGAGGAATTGACCGGGATTGTCAAGTGGCGATGCTGAGCTCGCCCTACATACGTCAAGATTAGGAAATGGCCTCCGATCTATAGACCTCAGGGCAAAAGAGAAGACTCCTCAACCTTTCGATTAAAGACACGATCTCTCTGTACAAGCAAATCATTAGAACATTTCAAAAGAATACATACCAACAAATTGCATCAAAGCCCCAATTCCATGAACATGCAGCCAGAAATACCCCCAACGCAACCCACTGAGGAACCCGAGCCCGCAAAGAAACGTCCCTCTGAGGTCTCCCCAGGAGACACAGAAGGCACAGAAGACACATCAGAAGCAATAAAACCTGCACCAGAAACTCCCAAGCGTACTTCACAGCGCGCAAAGCCCACCTCAACAACGCTCAACGACTCACCCTTGACGCCGCTCTCAATGCGAGCCCTCTACTACACCCCCGAAGGACCAATCAACGACACATCCGACAGAATCCCAGAAGGAGACATCAGCGAAGCCCTCGCGCCCGATACAACCACAACCACCATCCGCAAGAAAGGAACAAATCTCGTCTTCGACGCTAGCTTCCCAACACCGCAACCCTCCCCTCAGCAATATATGCTCAAGGTCTGCACAGCAGCCTTTTGCCATGATGAGGTCCGTCTCGCCGGACTGCTCAACCCGCCAAATACCACACCGTATATCCCACTGCACAGTCTCTGTGGAACAGTCATCAGCACGCCCAGTGAAGACGACGAGCGGGAGGAAGGCCCGAAATTTAAAATCGGCGATGTGGTCTTCGGTCTGGTGAGTTATACGCGCGATGGTGGGGCTGCCGACTATGTTGTTGCGCTTGAAAAGGAGCTCACGCTGAAACCGGATAATGTGACCGTCGCTGAGGCAGCGGCACTTGCGTTGCCGGGGCTGACGGCCTGGCAGGCGCTTTTCAGATACGCTGGGCTTGATCCCGATGTACCTGGAGGGTTGAACGATGATGAGGCTGGCGCCGTAGGAAATAAGACTGGACGGTGGATGTGGCAGCGCAAGCGGCGCGATACCGTGGTCGGCAGCGGGGAATTTGGCTATGGGCATCGCAAAAGCACGGTTGCTGGTTTAGGAAGCGAACAGCGTGGTGCTTTGACTACTGACACTGCCAGTGGCAGTGTTAGCGGGAACGCGAATGGGAATGGGCGTTGGGTTTGGCAATGGAACCGCAATGGCGGTGTTGACAACAATGTCAGTGGTAACGGTAACAACATTGACAGGATACCCGGCACAGCCAGCGCAGCAGCCGAGCCGCCTCCTGATAAAAAGACTGTACGTCGTGAAAGCCTCATCAGTCTCGTCAGCGGTAATCCCAGGGGCAAAAAGGCCGTTCCTCGCGCCGCCAGCACAGTCGACCCCAATCCCAAAGGCACAGTCCGCCGTAACAGCTTACTCAGTCTGATCAAAGGCAATACCAACGCTTCCGGGTCGGTTGATTCGACTGCCAATGCCGGCTCAAATGGCACTAGTCGGCGTGCCAGCTTAGTCGAACTAATCACCCCTAGCCCCGGCCGACGAGGCAGCAAGCTGGGAAACCTAATCAGCGCCGCCACTAATGGCAACGGCAATGGAGAGGATCAACTGCCCAAGATCCGAGTGCTTGTTACCAACGCACGAGACAGCGACATTGGTCGCATCGCCGTCCAAATCCTGCGAGCAGAGTCCCTTTTTCCAGATCCCGTTCGGCCCTGGATTTGTGTGACTTGCACGCAAGTCGAAGCCGATATCATCGAGAAGAACTGGCAAGTCGACGAGCTCATCATTATCCCGCATCTCCCGACGCCTGATGAGTGTAATATCGCCAAGGTATTCCGCACGCGCCGATGGCAACCGGTTGATATTGTGCTCGACTGCGCCGGTGATGTAGTGTTCCAGGCTGCTCATGCTGAGGGTGTCGTGAAGGACTACGGGGCTGTGTTGACTGTTGTGGATGGGAAGGTTGCGCAGCAGTCTCCTCTTGTTCCTGAGAAGGATGTGTTGGGCGAGAGGAAGCGAGGGATTAGGAGCCGGTTTGTACCTGTTAATCCCGATGGGTCAGCCTTGGAGCGGATTGCAGATTTGGTTCAGGAGAATCTTGTCCGAGGGAGAGAGAGTAGTATTGTTGATATCGCACGGGCGGCGGACCTTTTGGCGGCTGGAGCAGCAGGGACAGCGGGGAGTCGGCGTGGTGGTATGGTGGTTGTCAGGGTAAATACTGTTGCTTGAACATTGAGAAGTTTGTGCATTGTTTTAATACAGAGGTCTCAAAAATATAAGCACATTGAAGACACCATGGCAGCAATACCTAGGTAGTTCCGAGGAGAGCAAACCAGAGGCTGCATATCAATTTGAAGCAGACGACATTGGGCCACTTAATAGGCGTAAAGGACTTTCGCAATGAATGCCATGCCCCAAGAGCCAAGGAAAAAAAGGATTCAGAAAGGGGCAAAATAAAACAAAAGGTGAAGTAGATCAAGTTAATGAGATATCCCATACAAGAATAAATTTTGACCCAATGGTTCCATATAAAAAGAAAAGACGACGCTCTGCCCTGATCCCAACCCACAGGATCAAACTACATCAACAGAGAAAAAAGAACCGAAGTTTTGTGGCCAGGGTGTAAGGCAAGCGGAGGAGAAGAGGTCGTGAAAAAAAAAAGACAGTGTATTACGCGGTACGTCCGTTAAAGTAAAGAATCAAGTCTGGTAAAAACGCTCAAGCATGCGGCGACAATCTGTTGGTTGGTTAGCAAGAGTCATTGTGGAAGAAATAGGGGTGCATCTTACCTCCATCTGAAGCTCCTTATCCTTGTTCCGATTGATCTCCTCGTTGATGGCTTGAGCCAAATTGGCTCCAATCGCCTGCGACCCTCCAGTCCTCCGGCCAAATGGCCATTGCGAATACTCGGCCAGCAATTCATCCACCTGCGCAAAAGCTCTTTCGCGAGCCTCGTGGCTCATGGTGACCAAAGCGTTTTCAAGGACATTAGCGGCGTATGCAGCACAGACCATGGTGATCGAACGAAGATATCGGTATTCAGAGTCTTCAGGGAGCCATGGAGTGGGGGGTAGGATCACAGTGCGGTTGGTGCAGATGTTGCGCACCCGTCGATGAAGGTCTTCTTTCGCGCCGCCATCGGCCACAGGATGCGTTGCCATATCAAAGAGGAGGAAGTTGCGCTTTTCGGTCCGGAGAATGCCCTTGTCCACAAGGCCCTTGGCCAGTCTTTCCCGGACTTGTTTCAATTGATATCCGATCTTCATCAAATTCCAGGTTTCGCCTACAAGCAAACCAGTCAGTATTTCATATCACCGAGTGCTGCTCTGGGCTTTTCTCACCACTCAGCAAATCAATCCATGAGTTGACGCTCATCTTCTCGCTCGACTTCATCATCTTTAGCGTCTCGTCCAGCAAGACCTCCCCAGTCAATGTATCGTCGATGACCTCGATGATGCGGTCGGCCAGGGGGAAGCGTCGTCGCGACGAATCCTTTTGCATGCTTATACGACCACGGAGCGCCAGCTCAATGACAATACACCCTCGCAGGGCGTAGGAGATGTTTTCGTTCCAGAAAGACAGATAACCCTGTTACAGCGCGGGCGCGAAGTCAGCATCCGAACTAACAATTGAACAATCAAGCAGGGGAAAAGCATCCCCCATCAGGACTCACCTGTTTATCCTTCAAGCCCAGCAATAAGATATCCTCCATCAAAGTCAATTTCGGCTGCTTGCCCCGTTCCTCGTTTTCACTGATATCGCGGGGGTCGAATGCGATCTTGTGGCCATTCTCCGCACTGGTGAACGATGTCTCCGGCCCGCGGTTTTCCACCGCGGAGCCATTTCGTGAGATGGGTGATGACACTCGGCTGTCATCTTGTTCGTCTGCGCCAGCGACTCGACCGGCGCCTCTGCGGCGAGTCAAGCCCCCGGCTGGTGAGGCCATGAGATCGGGTCGGGTTGGGTGATGGGAGGTTCAAAAGGGGGTGAAGAGGAGTATGGCCGGATATGACCAAGAACTCGAGACCGATCTATATGGCGGCTGTTGGAATTGTCTAGATGGTGATGAGATGTGAGACCGTGTAGACCGAAAGTCTGCGGCGGTTGAAGTGGGACTCTCGGGGTCAGGGGAAACCAGGGACCGAATGGGCTAGCCAAAATAATAGATTGTCGTAGGATCTATTAAGCTAAACCCGCTTGAACGTGGGGGGGGACGAGAACACAGGACTGTCGTGAAGTGGGTTGTGGAAAGGGTGATGGGCCAAGGTCAGTTCGGTGAGGTGGCTCTTCAACGTTCGCCCAAAGAGAACCTGGTAATCTCCCCGATGTGATTCCTTTTTGCGGCTCTACTAATTACTAAAACTGCATTCTAAATTACTTGGCATAAACCTGCAAATCTTTTACTCCAGATCCGTTCATTTTGTCTTTCACACACTGTTCTGGTATTCGAGGCCGTATATGTACATATAGACATAAAGATTCGCTCCAGACACTGCCACTACCGTCGTATGATACGCTGATGGTGCGAGCTAGTTGGATGATTGGACATGTCCCTATGTACATACATGTAGCTCCATCTATCATGTATATAGCTACATCCAGGTCTGTATGTACCTAGGTATCAACCGCAACATTACATACATGTACTCTACGCAGCTCAATGCATGAGCTGAGAACACATACCAATCATCGCACATATTGATGCTTCTCAGCAGACTGCTTCAAAATTGCATAAATTGCACTCAAATGATATACACGATATAGGAAAGAAAAAAACCACTGGCATGTATTCAGCATACAAAGTGGCAAGTCAGTCGAGGGTCACTATGCTCAGCGAGCCCCTCCGATGCCAACATCCCGATTCCTTTTTCTATCCGACTCTCCAACAACCGATCCCAAGTTTTCAAATTAAATATTTAGTGGGCTGTGGAGAGGTTAGCAAGTGCGAGAGAAAAGAAGTACTATGGGATTCACATACCATCGGGCTGGGCCAGGATGTACTCAACAGCCTTCTCGACTATGCGCAACATTCGTGTCAGCTCTAACCAACCATATACATCAAAATCACCGGATGATAAACGTACCGCTGTGGATCTGGTCAGCCTCCTTGTCGGGGATCTCAATGCTGAACTCCTGTTAAGACTGTTAGATATCCATCACAAAATGTGCAATATTGATGTTTTCCCGAGGGAAACCGGGGCGCGTACCTCCTCAATAGCCATCACAACCTCGACGGTGTCCAAGCTGTCAAGACCGAGGTCGTTGGTGAAGTGGGAAACGCCGTTAATCTGCATATCAAACGGTTTTAGTTGATGAACGTTTTTGGTCACCTCTACCGTAACTCATGGCTACGTAAAGGTCACAACGGTGCACCCGATAGATTGACTGACCTTGCTGGCATCGGAGACCTAAAAGTAAGAACGATTCTAGTTAGCATTTTGATTTTCATGCAGAGCCAATAGATAGCGAGGTTCCCCGGGAAAAGAAGATGACGCACCTTGTCGAAGTTCTTGAGCAGGTTGACTATGCGGCCCTCAGCCTCGGACTTGCTGAGACCAGCAGGGGCGGAGTAGAGGCGGACACCCTGAGCGAAGCAGGGAGTGAATTGAGGGACAGCAATGGGGGAGCTGCGGATGTGGAAGGGAGCCGGGGTCTTGACGACACGGGGCGCGGAGGCCTTCAAGGAGCGGACAATGGCGGAGCGGAACATGATGGAATTGATTGGTCGGACGAGCGCAAAGGCTGAGAAGATCTAGAAAAAGGTATTAAAAGGAAAGAAAGGTGGAGAGTAAAAGGGTAGAGATGGGGGAAGACGGCTAAGAGGAAAGATGTGAGGTCGCGCCCAGCAAAATCCTGCGGGCCAATCAACGCCCGACAGATGAGAATGACCTAAGCCCGAAACCTGCAAACCACCACAACCTGAGACTTGCTCCCCTTCCACCTCCAATTGAACCTCGACTCCCTCCCACACACCGTATCCTCACTCTTCTCTAACTATGGCCGCCACCCGATCGGTCGCGAGGCTTGTCGCCTACCGCCGGCCGACCCCCTTCGGCTTGCTGGGCTCGACCGCAAACTTCTCTTCCTCGATCTACCGCGCAGCAACCCCAGCGGGACCCCCTCAGGCCGGGTTCCGCCTGCCCCCGCCCAAGCGCTGGGATCAGGACTCCGAGTCCGCCTTGGACAAGGCCAGCAAATACTTCCTCATGGCTGAGATCTTCCGCGGCATGTACGTGGTGCTCGAGCAGTTTTTCAGACCACCGTAAGTCCTTGTCCCACAGAACATTGCCGGCGACGCGGATATCAATCCACAAAAACCAATGGCATCGAAATATACCAGCCGACTAATTGCGTCGCCCCATTGTAGTTACACCATCTTCTATCCCTTCGAGAAGGGTCCCATCTCCCCCGTTTCCGTGGTGAACACGCCCTCCGCCGCTATCCCACCGGCGAGGAACGTTGCATTGCTTGCAAGCTCTGCGAGGCCATCTGCCCGGCCCAGGCTATTACCATTGAGGCCGAGGAGCGTGAGGACGGAAGCCGCCGGACGACCCGTTACGATATTGATATGACCAAGTGCATTTACTGCGGTTACTGCCAGGAGAGCTGCCCTGTGGATGCCATCGTTGAGAGTGAGTCCAAGGCCTTCTATTTATGCTTAATCGAGATCCAGTCCAAATTTACTAACATGCTTTCTTTCAGCTTCCAACGCTGAGTATGCCACCGAGACCCGTGAGGAGCTTCTGTACAACAAGGAGAAGCTCCTCTCCAACGGTGACAAGTGGGAGCCTGAGATTGCGGCTGCTGCTCGTGCAGATGCTCCCTACCGATAATCTATTTCCCTCCAATTTGATTGCCATCTTCAAGTACACTCACATCAATTCCAGATGTTAAATGTGAGGACATGACGATGCTGATCGCAATACCCCTTCAAGAGGCACCACTCGTGCCTTGAAAAACAAGAAAGATTCTAAGCCCCATCACATCACTGTACATAACTTGCCCTCGACTGTGTTATCATCTTGTACTAGTCAAAATCCTAAAGGAAATGTTTTCCCTGGATCCTTGGCTCCCTTGTCCCTTTTTATTTCCTATGTTGTGGAATCTAGCATTTCGTTTTTTTTTTTCTTTTGATTGAGATTCACTTTTAAAATATAAATATGAGATCAATTCTACCTATCTTACATCTGCGTGGAACCCTTTTCCGCCAACCGTATACTCACACATATTGAGATGTAGAAGTTGACATGGATATAAAGACATAAGGAACACAGATACAGCTCGATAAGAAAATGATATTGTATTCACAGATAAATCAAATCGCTACCGATGCTGTCATGCATAGACATAAATTGACGGACCAAGCCGCCAAAGACACAAACGCAAACACCAGGCACCTTGATCTCCGGACGGATATTTCCCAGTTCAAAGTCTCAAAACACTTTTTTTTGTAGGTTCGGGGGCTTCTTTGAGCAATCTTGGTTATAGGATGTGGCATCCAAGAAACAAAGATCGGTTCGAACGGAATGCAGAGAAAAGAAAAAGAAGAGTTTAAAAGAAGACGGGTTTATGTAAAAGCAAGTGAGAAGTGAAGTAAAGTTAAGCCACTGTGTAGAAGCTCATTTATTTCTTCTTGCCACCACCCTTGAAGCTGCCCTCAAATCCAGGACGAGCCTTCTTCTTGCCACCGCTGCTGGACTTCTTCTTGCCGCCCTTGGTGCCCTTCTCATCCCGACGCTTGCGGAGGTTTTCATCACGCTTGTTTTGGCGTTGTTCCTTGGCGTTGGCGACAGTGTCGATGCGGTCTCTCCACTCGCGCTCAGACTTCCTCTTCGCAGTCTCCTTGCGCTTGAGTGCCTTCTTCAGCAAAGAGGTATCGTCACGAACACGTTCGCCGTGAGCACGCTTCTTAGCATTGAGCCAGAGATCCTTGTCTTCGACATCGGCACGCTTGGCAGGGTCCATCTCTGCGAGACGAGCCTTCTTGGCCTCGACGGCCTTGAGCTGGGAAGCAGGGTCACGGGCACCATTGGTCTTGGGCTTGTCACGCACGCTGGTTCCAGTGGCATCTATCTGCTGACCGTCGGTGAACATGACGCGGCCGAATGAGAAGCTGTTGCTGGCGGAGCCGACGGACTCAGCGGGAGAGCGAGGGGATGCTAGCAGAGATCCGGAGCCACCGGGGGAGAAGCGGCGGGCCATAGCCTCATCGTTCTTCTTTTCTTCCTCAACCTTGGCCTTTTCACGCAATTCCTTCTTGTGTGCCTTTCTTTGCTCTGCCTTCTGTCGGCGGGCTTCGATCAGCTCTTGGCGGTTACGTGCAGGCTTGCCATTGAGTCCGTCTGCGTGACGCTTGGCCCGGAGCTCATCCAGACGCTTCTGTAGGCGCTGCTTCAGCTCTTCGGGTGTGTGCTTGAGGGGTTTGGGCTCTGAGGATTTCGCTTCGGCGGAGGCGGAGGGAGGAACGATGGAGGAGGTGGAGGAACTGCCGGATTTGGGATTTGAGGCATCGAAGCTGGGAGAGTGAGGGGTGGATGAGGCAGAAGAAGGGTTTTCTGGCTCAGCATTGAACTCAATAGAGAATCCTTCCTCAACAACGCCATCCTCTTCGTCATCATCTCCTTCATCCTCGGACGCCTCGTTATCCTTGGCTGCACTGGCCTTAGGCTTGGGTGCAGATTTTTCCGAGGCCTCAGTGGAGGTAGTCGATGGCTTTTTATCCTGCTGGGTTTTCTCCTTTCGGGCAGCATCCTTGGCCTTCTTTTTCTCCTTTTGGGTGGCCTTCTTCTGAGCCAATTTCTCTTGCTTTTGCTTTTTCCGTGCCTCGGCCTCTGCAGCCTTGACAGGGTCTGCCTTCTCAGTCTTCTCGGCCTGCTTCTGCTTCTTCAGATTGGCGGTTCCACGGTTGAGTCCTTCTTTGGGTGTTTCAGTGCCCATCTCTCCGTCCGATGAGTCGGACTCAAGGGTGCCGTCCTCCCGCTTTCGCTTGCGTGCTTTCTCATCCATCACGTCCTTGGCAGTCTTAGCGGCTTCGGGGTTCAGCTTCGCTCGCTTTGCCTCGCGGGCTTGTTCTTTGGTTTGCTTTTTGCGTTGCCATTGATCCTACAATTGAGGATGATGGTTAGACAGAGATCATCAGAATAAACGATGCGGCGAATAACGCAGAATTGATATCAATCCCAAAGCGTTCCGCTTGTCAAATGCAACAAAGGCCTACATACACTTGTATCTTCTTCGCCATAATAGTATTTGGCGGGGATCAAAGACAGCAAACCGTCAAATGCCTGCGCATGGCTGCGCAGCCGTTCCTGAAGGGCAGTCAGCTCGCAATCCTTGCGGGACATTCTCCGAGTGCACAAACCTCGATGTCATCCATGATCTTTCCCGTAAACAGAAATTGAAGTCTGGAGGGGAAAGCTCGACAATCAAGCGCAACGAAAAATTTGGGGGGAGGAAATCTTGGCGCTATAATTGTCTCCGCTTCGGCTGGTTCACCGCCCTCCCATTGCGATTTTGCTGGCTTGGTCTGTGCGTTGATAGACACTTATTTACTAACGTCGATGCTTTTTGTTCAACTCGTCCCATTGTTCGGAGTACATACTTCAATCTCTTTATTGATCTCTTTATTGAATCATTCAACTCATGAATATACCTGAATAATAATAAACAGACTTCATATGCCTTACACATCCAGATCAGGACTGATCCACGAGGCTCGTCCGGATATCTAATCCAGGACAATTCTCGCTTTTGATACTCGTCACGTTTCCATACGGCCATGGATCAGTCCAAATGAGGTCAAATCTGAAGCAGTCAGCGACAGCATGCACCATATGACAATTATATACTCTTCAAGGGAGTTGCAGGCTGAGCCTTCACTGGAACAGCATACTACCAGACACTCCAATGCGACTCGGACTAACATCGAAAAGCACAAATTGAATTGCAAACACTTACCGCTCATCCGGATACTTGATAGGCTCAAGGAGACCAAGCTCCTCCTCAATGCCGCCCATATTCGAGTGCCGCCACGCAATCAGAATATTGCCCGGTCCATCATATGACCTAATGGTCTCCGCCACGCATTCCACTTTCTTCCGCTTGCAATGCGTGTCGACTGCGAGGCCAAGATCGTTAGCGAGGGGCAAAACAGTCTGAAATGCACGGCCATGTGCGCCATCTGCGGTCAGAAAACATATCGTCAGCCATCTCCATGAAGCTCAATCTACCCTGCCCCTGGTCCAGGTAGTATGGTTTTAAATTGCCTTCGAGTCTTGTTATCAACCTACCCCATCGCACATGAGGCGCCATGATATGCCCAATCTCATACTCCGAGGCTTTGCCGAAAACATGTCGCAGACACTGGGCCCGCTTGACTCCATCCAAGGTCAAGCCATGGTCGTTTGAGTTTGCAGGCTTCTCGCCGTGTCGGATTATATAGACTGTCGGATGGAGCTTGGCGGATGCGGCGAGTTGAAAACACATAGCTGGGAGGATCCAATGCAGTAACATTTTGGCATGTAGACTAACTATAGCCCAGTCATGTACCAAAAAAAAATGCCAATAGCTAATGATCAGGCAATGAAATTCAAAGAATTCAAAGAACAAGGTCTCGCTGTGGTTTTCAATAAAAGTGAGTAAAAAGCAAACAACCCCCAAGAACACTCCGTCGACCGGGTACCCATAGCTTCAGTTATATGTGCAGGGCACGATAGTTCTGACCGTCTTCTTGAGTCCACAAGAAAAGAAAAAAAAGGTAGTGGATCAGCAGAGCAGCATTCCAATGATCATTCAGTTATAAAGGCGCCAGGACTAAAAGAGGGATAAAGTGCTGGAGCTACGGGTGGATGGTTGACAAACTACAGGTGAGCACTCAGTCGATGTGCTTCGTCCTAGCGATTTGATTGGTCTGCGGTGTGCTGCATGTCCACTGCACTCCGCTGATCGGCTCACGAGGGATGAGATCCCGAGTGGTGTCAGTAAATATCTCATTTTGCATCGATTTCGTTGTACATGTAGAGCGGGGATGGATTCCTAATATTGCAAATTTGATTTGCGACCAAGGCTGTGTTTTCGGGGCATATCTCGGGCTTTGTGCGAATACTTGACTTCGAAATCATTCACTACGTATATGGTGTTGTACAAGGTGATATATACATGAGAACCCTGAGGATGGATTAAGCTTCCGCCATCAGATCATGTCCCATGTACGATTCATATCCTAGTCCAACGCTTAGATCGCAGTCACCGGTTCATGATGATCAATCCACTAGCAGATCACAAACACGAGTGTCCGAGTTGCCCACAGGGTCAGGAGATAGGCAATATGGTGGGTTGCCTCGAGATAGCCCTCCAGAGATGATCAGATGACGATTTTCCTTATTAACATTCGTGGCGACCCGCGACCCCATTATATATATGTATATTATAGGTTTTGGTCGCAGGCTCTACATATCAATGTAGGAAAAGATCTCACTGATAATCCAACACTTTGCATTGATATTCACACCCCCGAAGGCAAAATCACCCATAGGATCGGCATGTTAAGACAGCATCATGTGAAGGCCGCTTGAGTATGTCATTATGATTTCAACTCAATCTGGTTTGTTCTAGCGACTGGATTTGGAATGTCGCAATGTCGAACAAAACAAAATAAGTGGGCTAGCTGATGCTAAAGCCTTGGCTTCAGGTGGTTGGGCAGAATAGGGCTGGAGATGTATGGTTCTTAGTCAGACTGTGGGCCGGCTGAAGCCCTCATGACGTCAATCACCGGCTATGAGGATCACCTCTTTGTACTCCGTACAGATGCTTAGATCGGCTGATCCCGCCACCTAATATCGATGGAGTACTCCGTATGCACCTGGTAGTTCCCATGTCAGCTCGGAGGGCAACAACTCCTGGAATCGGTGATCCCGCTCGGTATCGGGCAAACCGGAGAAGAAAATCATGGAGGGGCTTAGCGTAGGCAACCAGATAAAATACCCCAATCCAGAATGCCGAGCGCCTTTGTGCAGCGTCTAGCGGAGAACGTAAAGGCTCGGCATTGCCCCAGGGCGCAAATGCAAACAGAGATTCAATACGGACTTCTGGAAGAACCGTGGAAGCCGAGGGATCCGTGTAATTTATCTATTTAGGGATGTCGATCTGGTATTGCATAACCGCCGAAAGGGCTCAGCCTGGCATAGCCACAAGGCGAATGGAGTAGTATGGCGCGCTCAGTAGTGTGGCGGTGGCTGTGATTAACCTGATCAGGAACAAGTGCGTCTTTCTGGGTGGATTCGAATGCAATTACGGAGGGGGAATGGTAAGAAACGGTAAATGCAAGCTGCACAGCGTGCACAAGGCGGACGCTTTGGACGCTGCGCCCCTCGTCCCGTAACTTTTCGCTTGCCATGTGGGGTTCTTACCGTCAGCCCTGTGGTTACTTCAAGTCACGTCTTATAAAAGGTGACCCCTCTTCGCTTTGCTTCCGTTACACTCTCACCCATCACTCCTCCAAGGTTCTTACAATCCTTCCATCAATCTTCCATCAACTCCCATCACATCCCATCACATCAAATCAATCTTCATCATGTCCGGCTACGATCAATACAACCAGGGTGGCCAATACGGCCAACACGGCCAACAGCAAGGTTACGGTCAGCAGCAAGGTTACGGCCAACAGCAAGGCTATGGCCAGCCTCAGGGTTACGGCCAGCAGGGTGGCTCCTCCGACTACTACGGCGGCCAGCAGCAGCAGCAGGGCTACGGTCAGCAGCAGGGCTATGGCCAACAGCAGGGCTATGGTCAGCAGCAGGGTGGCTCCTCTGACTACTACGGTGGCCAGTCTCATGAGCAGCAGCAGTATGGTGGTCAGCATGACCAGAACCGCCAGAGGTATATACTTTCCTCATCCTCCACTTTATTCGGCAATGTGCTAACAGAAAACAGTGGCTATGAGCAGCAGGGTGCACCCGGTGATGCCCAAGAGGGCGAGCGTGGCCTCGCTGGTGCCCTCGCTGGTGGTGCCGCCGGTGGCTTCGCTGGTCACAAGGCCAACCACGGTTTCCTCGGAACAATCGGTGGCGCCATCATCGGTAGCATCGCCGAAGACGCCGTCAAGAAGCACCGCAAGAGCAACAGCCAGTCTCCTCCTCAGTACGGTGGTCCCGGCAGCCAATACGGCGCCCCTCCTTCTCATAACGGCAGCAACAACTCTATGATGGACCAACTCGGCGGCTTCTTCAAGAAGTAGAGAGGTTCTGTCCTTCTTTCGACTCCATGATGACACGTCTCTCATGAATTTCTTTGCTTTTCTTTCTTTGTTGCAATGGGTTGGCATGCATTTCTTTTCGCCAGATCGCTCTTGTTCTTGACAGTATTTTTTTCTCATGGGTTCTTCTTCTTCGCCCTCAAGGGGCTTTTGTATCATGACAGAACTGCATCGATATCGGACACCGACTTTGCGTGATCTGACCATAATCTTCCCAATTGCAACTCAATCATCTTCATGAAAATATGTGCCTAGACCATAACAGACCACAATCGTAGAAAATGGTATTAGTTGTTGCCATTAGGTACGGAGTACTCCGTAGATGTACTTGTTATCGCGGGCGGAGAGGTCAAAACACTGGAATGTCTGGCGGCCTCAGGCACCAAGTGCCAAGCCCGACAAAAGTTCGAGCGGACAAGTCCCCCAGTAATCTCCCTGCCAGACACATCTGCAATTCAGCATCCCCAAAATGATTGTACGGAAGCTTTGTATGCGGCAGAGTGAGTGTGGTTCAATTGCTGATATTATATCTATTACTTCTGCTAACAACACAATTCCACAGGCCGCCAGCTCCTTGCTCTGAGCCGACGAGCCCCGGTTTCGAGTCGCTTCCAGTCGACATTGCCCGAAACACCAGTTGAGACGGTGCAAGCGCTTCCTAGAGATGAGATTTCTCGTCCTGAAAATCCCCTTTTCGAGATGGTGCAGGCACAATCAGAGGCCAGCACTCCTGCACAGCAAGAAATTACATCAAACGCATCGCATAGTAAGCCGCGAAATCCTGATCAGAGACCCTTGGGATGCAAGAACTAACAGATGCTCTTCTCTTTCCCCAGAAAGCAAATTTAACAAACTCGGCACAACCGTGAAAGCCCTCTACGATCCCGAAAATGTCATCCGCAACCCTCCCAAGCCATCCCAAGTCTCGTTGGAAATGCTGCTCGCAGCAGGAACCCACCTTGGCCACTCGACCTCGCGCTGGAACCCACAGAACTCGAGATATATCTTTGGTATCCGTGAAGGAGTGCATGTTATCTCGCTGGATGTGACCGCCGCACACCTCCGACGTGCCGCCAAGGTGGTCGAAGAAGTCGCCGCACGCGGTGGTCTTATCCTCTTCGCCGGTACACGCAAGGGCCAGAAGCGGGCCGTTGTCAAGGCTGCCTCGCTGGCCAAGGGTTACCACATTTTCGAGCGGTGGATCCCCGGTTCTCTAACGAACGGTGAGCAGATTCTCGGCCACTGCGAGACTAAGGTTGTCAACGCATTAGATGAGGAATTGCCTAATTTCAAGGCCGATCTTGCGGATCGTCCTTCCCTCAAGCCTGATTTGGTGGTTTGCCTCAACCCATTGGAGAATGTTGTTCTGCTGCATGAGTGTGGATTGAACAATGTCCCCACCATCGGTGTTATTGATACTGATGCGGATCCCACTCGTGTTACCTACCCTATTCCCTCCAACGATGATAGTCTGCGGGCTACTTGTCTGATTGCGGGTGTTCTGGGTCGGGCTGGTGAGGCTGGTCAACTGCGTCGGTTGAAGATGGCGGAGGAGGGTCAGACTACTTACAAGCCTATCACAGCTGCGGAGCTGCGTCTTGATCCGTTCACGGGCCAACCTCCCGGTGGTGAAGGGCAGAAGAAGTAGATGGATGCCTCTTGTATCTTCTGATTGCATTTTGCTTTTTTCTTAGTATCCGGTCGATTGCATTGAAACGACGGGACTCTGTACTGTATAGATGATTCCAGGTCTTGGTGTTGACATATGTATTAACAACTCTCACTCAATTTTGGTTCTTTTTTACCTAAGCTTCTTATGATTGTGGTTCTATCTTGCAGCGATGGGGTCACTCGTCAGTAACAGCTTGTTAGGCCTCAACCATCGTAACTTCGCTACGGGGCTGCACAAACTTATAGTCTTGCACCTGTAAAACCTGATGTTAAGGTCAAAAGGCTGGACATGATCAGTATGACGGTTCTTTTAGGACTATCATGACAATGTATACATGTATTCTGACATTTAGAGAGATATACAGACCTATCTGTAGGTAGATCATTATCAACTGCAATATAGATTTTGGATCAGGTATACATACCACATGCTATAGCCCCGGAGACGAGATGACTTGAAAGTATCTCCTGGGTACGTGTGACGGACGAGTGACCGTTTGGGTCACGTGAGTAGTCACGTGTGACGCCTCCGCGTCAGTAGCTAGTGGCAGATAGCTGAATATCATCATCTTGATCTTCCCCTAGCTTTCTAGCGCTACATCTGGTAGCACGTCTCTGGTTGTTGATCCAGATCCACATACTGGAGGGCGTCCGCCCTCTCAAAAATTTTTTTAACAACACCTGTTATGCGATCGGCACACTAGGTGGGTGGTGCGCACTGCACCACGCTATATAGTACGCCACTAGCGATCAGCCATTAGCTTCATCCACCATCAATATCATAGCGACGAGGACGTCGCCAGCCTTTTCGTATGCCGGTAGACCTACCAGCATATAATCGCCTCTCTTTATTACTAGTTAGCAACGACTAAGCTATCTAAGCTACCATCACGTGATACGGCTACCCCGCTAAGGAGACCCTAGTGTTACGTCATCAATATCCACACCTCATTATAGACCCGACGGGCATATATCCAATATAGGCACTAGCCTAGCCCTCGGACCGTCCGAGTAATACCGAGCGGATACTATAGAAGGTAGTAGAGATAGTATACTAGCTTACCACTTATACTGAGGATCTAGAGCACCCCCACCTTAACGTATATACCGATACGCTAGCTTAGCGTCTAGCCTTCTTCACTAGGGTCTTTCTACCCCTAGTTAATTAGCGCGCTTACCCGTATCCGCCGGACTAGGCGTTAGAATCACGGAGACCGTTAATATAAGCGGCGAAGGGATTTACGAGACTAGCAGCGAAGCTCCTAGCGAGCTAGCTAGACGGATACCTAGCTAGCCCCCCGCTACTAGCGGCGTCGGAGGCACCTATCCTAGCGGCCCCGCTAAGAGTAGTAGCACCGCTAATTAATAAACCCTAAAGGCCTACGACTCTATAATTTACGTAGGCGATATCTCGCGTAAGAGACCCGCTATAGCTAACGCCGCTACTAGGCCCGGAACCTATATACCTACCGCCGTTATATAGACCTCTGAATCTACGGCTAGACGAGAACTATAATTCTATCTTCGGCCCTTCGAGACTAACGAGGCTACGTTTTAACGACGGCCTATAGCCGGAGCCCTAGTAGCCTAATCATGTGCTAAATAGCTTCTAGGAATATAGGGAGCTACCACTACTAGTACCTTTGTTATTACTACGTATACGCTAGGTACCGCCGTAGGTACCGCCGCTAGATCTAAGTTAAAGGTTACCGTAGTATATATAACTAACGGTAGAAGAAGCCTATACACCTCTAGTTACGGAAATAAATATAACGTAACGAATACTTAATACTATTCGTTAACACGTATCGGCGTAATAGTTAGCGGATATTTCCGCTACGTTAGAAGGTAACGGCGCCTAAACGAATATAAGGCCGAGTATAGAAGCTCCTATACCTATAAGACCCCCCTATTAGCGCTTACTAACTACCGAGTCATATACCGGCTCGCCTAAATTAGGGTTCTCGGATAAGCAGCTCTAGTAGCTAGTAGCTATAATAGCTACGGCGCGAGGCCCACTAGGACTATAAGGTTAACCTAGTATACCGGGAAGAAACGGTTACGACGGCGTTAGTGCCTTTATACCGACTACTTTATAGAAGCTAGAGGAAATCGGCCTATTTACGCCTAACCTAATATAGGAGCGCTATATACGTATAATTAGAGGTGCTATATACTACTCTAACGTTTATGTGTTTCTAAACTAGTTACGAGCGTAGTTGCCCTTAAAAACCGAACTAGTAGTACGCGCGAACGTCTAATCGTGTGTTACGGTATTTCTTTGTTATACTATTTTGCCTTAGGCTCCCTTTCTCTTAGACGGAGGAGACCCCTCCGAATACCCCACGATGTTGGGATAGAACTAATATGATCCGGTCCCGAGAAGCGGGGAACCTAAATCATAAAAGGAAGACACCTATAGGAAAAGGGAAGGTAAGATTTAGTCTTATAACTAATATAGAATCGAATACCCTTCGTTCTAACTACGTATCCCTCTCGTATCATTATTCACCTAGTTAATAAGTACTACCTTAATAAATAGTTACCTTAATAATTCTAAATCTTCTTCTTTAACTACCTAAAGAAATGATAACGAGATAGAGTTCACGATCCCGATAGGGTAATAAGGAGATACCTCTATAAGAAAACCCTACTATTTATAAGATAGAGGAGGGAGAGACCTAATCTTTATTAGAACTCTCGGAAGTACCTACTACTACTAGTGGAGATAACCGATAACCCTCCGAAACCACCCCGAATCTTTAGCGAAATAAGGATAATTCTTAAGTGATACTTAAGAAAGAAACCTTCTAAGCCCTTATAATAAGGATCGAATAGCTCGAAAGAGTAGCCGAAACACTAATATACTATAGCCGGATTCGTAGTAATTCACTAAACCTACGTAGTTAGGAAATCCGTTTTAAGAACTCTAACTTTATAGAAGAATTCTCGATCTAAGAAAGAGAAGACTAGTTACTTAGACTACGCCTAGAATTCGAAGGAGCGAGTAAAAAATATAGTACCGAAAAATAAAAGATCCTCGGTGCCCTATTGTTAGGACCGGCGTGCTAGCGGGTCCTAGTAGGTAATATAGAACTAGAGTGAAGGAATAGTAGGGTGCTGGTATATTCATAAACTAATCGCTAAAGAGCTAAGTTCCCCTAGTAGTCTCTATATAGATGACCTTTAGCGGGTCACGGGACTAGGTCACCTAACCCGGTAGGACTTAGTCTCCCTAGTGCGGTCTCTAGCGGGGGGTTATGCTACCCCTACTGGGTTACGGGTTCTAGGTCACTAGACTAGGCGGGATCTAGCCTATAAGGCACTCTCCTAGTAGAGGGTCGTAACATTTTCCCTTTCCTTAAAGAGCTACGTCCTCGTAGCTGAGGGTCGGGGTCGAGGGTCTTTTGTAGTCGAGATAGGGAGGGTTCGAAAATAGTATATATGTCTAGCTATCTAAAAGAGGGTAATTTGTCTTTGTGGTGGAAGGTGTAGATAGACTCGGAGCTTTGAGCGTTGTCTCTCTTTGTCGCGTATGATCTAAGTTCTTTGTATATTTTTCACTTATCTCTCTTCGAGTTGTAGCTTTCTTCTTTCTACACTTCCTCGTCCTTTCGCTTTTTCTTCTCGTAGCTTTTCGTCGCTTTACTTTTCTTCTTATAGCTTTTCGTCGTCTCGCTTTTCTTACTATAGGTTATTTCGACTTATTATAGTAGCTCCCTTTCCTCTAGTCGCGAGTGCGACGTATACCTCTATTAATAATTACGCCCCTCCGGCCGTCGTCTCCCCTACTAACCCTATAAGTACGTAGTGTCGGCGTTATATAGACCGTCTTAGATATAACCCGGGGTATATATATATCCCTCCGCCTAGCGGGATTAACGTTAATACTCCCCGGTATAACTATTATACGAGGAAGCGGTAGTCTTATATAATAGTAAGTATAGGCCTCCGCTCGTATTAGCGGTTATTAACGTTCCTTAGGTCAATTCTAGGCTCGACGCTTAAGCTAATACTTATATCTTAGCGCCCTGTACTACCCCCGCGTAGAATATATCGTTCCTTACGATTATATAGGGGTTTCGAGGTACGCGGAACACTTTAACTTAAGATATCTATACGGGTATAGTTACGCCTTTCGGTCCTCCTCGCGCTACGCCCCCTCTACCTCCCCCTACCCCCTCCGCCCCCTTCGGCGTAGGTTTTATTAATAAGTCGGGTTATAGGTTAGCTTCGGGCGCCTCCTTAGGCTAGGTTACGTATATAGCGGTAAGGATATAGGTATATCTTAGAGGTTACTCGTCTAGTATAGGTAGTTATTACGTTATACCCTTAGAGAGTGTTAGCTATATTACTTTTCGTCCTATTTTTCGGCGATAAACTCCTATATATCCTTATTATACGTCTATAGTCTCTTTAGGATATTTTTCGTCCGCTCCTTATCTTTACTAGTATTCTAGATCCTCCCCTAACCTATCTATAGCGTATACTTACGTAGCTAGTTATTTTCTAGGGGTCCGTTCGGTAGTTAGCTATCGGGTTCGGCGTTCTTAAGTCTACTCCGGTCCTTCTAACCTTCCCGGAACGTATCTAGTAGTAGATCCTAGGTTATATTAACTTCTTCTTTACGGATCTTCCTCGGTATATTATACGCTTTAGCCGTTCTTTCTTCTTATTATAGTAGCTCTCGAATACTAGTATGTCTTCTACGTTTTCTCTTAGCTCTTAAGTATTTTCCTCGTGCCCGTATCCTCTCTATTTAATAAGGTATTCGGCGCCCTTACAGTTATCGGTAAGGATCTCCTCGATCTCCTATTTAGGTTAGTTATCTACTAGTATAGGATTAGGCCGCTCTTAAGCTTTTAGTGGGTCTCCGTAGTATAGCTCTAATATTAAAGTATATTATATAGGGTAGATCTTACGGTATCTCGGCGTAAGGATTAGCTAGTATACCTATTATCCTACCGTACCTACTAT